CAGCAGCCGGGCAACGCGTACAACATGCCGTATATGGGAGGCCAGCAGCAGTTTAACGTGCCTGGTGGCGCCCCGTCTATGTCGCGTACCTCGTCCCAGGCTGCCTCGGAGCGCCCCAACTCGAGCACAGGCCAGGTTCAGACCCCTGTCTCCACGCATGCCGCGCTGGCTGTTCCCGGCGCCCCTGGCAGTGCCCAAAAGACCCCGGGTGGCGCTGCCGGTGCTCAGTTTGTGAAGCCCAAGAAGAACGCCATTGTCATCAAGAACCCCCAGGGCGAGACCCTCGACTTCAACAAGATGGCCCCCGCTTCGCCCGGCCCCAACACCCCGGCTGTGTCGCGCACGCCCCCTGTGCCCGTGTCTGCCACGCCGCCACCGCAGTCCAAGCCTGCCACACCTGCTGCTACGCACACGAGAACCGAGAGTGCCTCGGTTGGCAAGTCAGCCGAGCAGCTCCGCAACGAGTTCAAGGAGCAGGTCCGTAAGACGGCCGGCACTCCGACCGAGGCGGACAGCAAGGCTAAGGCTGCCGAGCCTGCCAAGGCTGAGGCGAAGAAGTCCGAGCCTGTCATTGTCTCGTCGACCCCTGCTGTTGTTTCTACTCCTGCCCCTGCCAAGGCGGAGGAGAAGACGACGACCGCACCTGTCGAGAAGGCCGCCGAGGCCGCCGAGGCCGCCAAGGCTGCCGAGGTCAAGGAGCCCGCCAAGGAGCCCGCTACGGAGCCCGCCACGGAGCCCGCCAAGGCTGATGCTGCTCCCGCCGCCCCTGCTGAGGACGAAGACGACGAGATGGAGCGGATGATCCGTGAGATGGAGGAGGCCGAGGCTAAGCGTGAGGCCGAAGCTGCTGCTTACGAGATCAAGAAGAAGGAGCGCGCCGCCGAGGAGAAGAAGAAGACCGATGCGGACCGTGCTGCAAACGCTGCGGCCAACGACGAGAAGCTGCGCGAGCAGGAGCGCGAGATGGAGCGCCTCGAGGAGGAGCGTGAGCGCCAGCGGAAACAGAACGAGGCCGCTGCTGCTTCGGGTGGCAAGGTCAAGTCTGTGGCGGAGGTTTTGGCCGAGAAGATCTCTGACATCACCCTGAGTGACCGCAAGGAGTCCGGCGCTGCTTCGTCGACGGATGCCCTGACTAGCAAGCTGGGCGACCTCAAGATCACCGACCGTACTGGCCCCGCTCTGTCGCCGTCGTCGGAGACGTCTGCCGGCAAGCGCGCCAAGCCGTCTGCTCTGAACCTGGCCCCCATCAACACCAAGTCGGTGGAGCCGCCCCAGCCGAGCGCAGCGCTGCAGTCGCTGAAGACGGCTCGCTTCCTGCGCGACCCCACGGCCATCATGTACCCCAAGGGCATCCAGTCTCCCAACCCGGCGCTGAACCCGGCCGTCAACAAGAAGGGCAACTTCAAGTATGACATGGGCTTCCTGCTGCAGTTCAAGGACGTCTTTGTTGAGAAGCCGTCTCTGGACTTTGACCAGCAGGTCAAGCAGCTGATTGGCGAGGGCGAGGGCGCGTCGCGCTCGGGCACGCGCACGCCGGCCGGCAGCAACGCAGGCCGCCAGAACTCGCGCACCAACGCCGCCGCCGCGTTCACCTCGACGGGCGCCATGGGATCATTCAACTCCAAGCCCCTGCCTCCTGGCACGACCTCGGAGCAGCGGTTCGCCATGGCCAGCGGCTCCATGCCGCGCCCCGTGGGTGCCATGTCCTCATTTGGCCGCCCCGGTGGCTTCCCGGGTCCCAGCAACATGACCCGCACACCCTCGTCGTCCATTGGCGGTGGCATGCCCAACTCGCCGCGCCAGGGCAGCCGGTCCACGCGCGGCAACAGCCGCCAGGCCGGCCACAATACAAAGGCTGAGGCTCAGGCTGCTAAGACCATGCCTCTGACTCAAGGCATGGAGCTGAAACCTATCTCGATTTCAGCCTCCGGCTGGAAGCCCACAAGCATTGCCAACCGTGCCCCTGGCGCTGCCGGCGCCGGCGCCTCTGCACCTGGTGCGACCCCGACCACCATGGACCCCGACATGGTGCAGCGCAAGGTCAAGGCTGCGCTGAACAAGATGACGCCCGAGAAGTTTGACAAGATCTCGGACCAGATCCTGACGATTGCTCTGCAGTCCAAGGACGAGGAGGACGGCCGCACGCTGCGGCAGGTCATCCAGCTGACGTTCGAGAAGGCGACGGACGAGGCGCACTGGGCGCCCATGTACGCGCGCTTCTGCAAGTGCATGCTGGACCGCATGAGCCCCGAGATCCGGGACGTGACGATCAAGGACAAGAAGGGCGACGTTATCAGCGGCGGCACTCTTTTCCGCAAGTACTTGCTGAACCGGTGCCAGCAGGAGTTTGAGCGTGGCTGGAAGGTGGACCTGCCGCAGCCCAAGGAGGGCGAGTCCAAGGAGACGGCCATGCTGTCGGACGAGTACTACGAGGCGGCGGCTGCCAAGCGTCGCGGTCTGGGCCTGGTGCAGTTCATTGGCGAGCTGTACAAGCTGGGCATGTTGACGGAGCGGATTATGCACGAATGTGTCCGCAAGCTGGTGGACTACGAGACGACACCCGACGAGGCGGAGATCGAGTCGCTGTCGAAGCTGCTGCGCACGGTCGGTGCCAACCTCGACGGCACGGACAAGGGCCGCCCGATGATGGACGCGTACTTTGTTAGGATCAAGAATGTCATTGACATCCCCGACCTGCCGAGCCGTCTCAAGTTCATGCTGATGGACATTGTCGACCTGCGCAACCGCAACTGGGTGTCGGCCGAGGCCAACAAGGGCCCCAAGACGCTCGAGGAGGTGCGCCAGGACGCCGAGGCTGACGCCGCCGCCAGGGCCCTCGAGGCCGCGCGCAGCACGAGCCAGCGCGGCGCCGGTGGCCGTCCTGGCCTGGGCCGGGGCGACTCGCGCAACTTCTCGTACAACCAGCCCATCCCCAACCAGGTGGGCATGGACGACCTGCGGCGTCTCAAGGGCTCGGCGAGCCGCATCGCCAGCTCGAGCGTGACCACGCTGGGTCCTACGTCCATGTTTGCGTCCCGCAGCAACAGCGGCCGGCGGAACGTCCCTGGTGGTTCGTTCGGGCGTCCTGGCGACGACTCTGGCCCGGCCTCCCGCACCAGCACGCCCCCGACGCGCCAGGACTCCAACACGGTCTCGCACTCGAACGCTTTTGAGTAAGCTCTTGCCACTTCCTGCACTCCCTCTCCCTTTGCTGTGCCCTTTGTGGCTGCGTAAACAGATACAGATACTAACCGTCTTCGCAGAGCCCTCGCCAATGTAGACACGGAAAGCCCGGCGTCGCCTCCCTCGACTGCGGCGTCCCCTGCCCTGACCAAGTCCAGCCTCGACAAGGTCAGCAAGTAGGGTAGGCGCTTTTGTTGAGACTGGCTTGACGACTGTCGGGGGGACAAGTCAAAGCCGACCAAAATACGCTCCTCTTCTCTTTCGACTTTGCTTCGACTTGCTCGACGCGCACTTTAATTTTTCTTTCCTTTCCGTTTTCTACATGGGTGTCATTTTTATCCTGCATTCCATCCGTCTCTGATGCATAGACCGGCGGGGGCTTCATTTGCGCTTGCGTTTTGCGTTTTGTGTTTTCCTGCGTTGCGTTTCTGCCTCGTGTCTCATGTCTTGTTTCTTTTGCTGTCTTGTCTGTTTGCTCTGCATACAACGGGGTTCTCAAAAAGTGTGCCAAAAAGTTGCCTTTCTGCATGATACCTCCCAAAGATTTCTTATCCGTCTTTCTGATCATAGACACATCTTTTTCCCTTTTGCCTCCAAAACCGCCCACTTTGTCGTTTTGCTCTTGTCGCTCTGCTGCTCTACCGCTCTACCTCCTTTTCTGCTTCCTCTTCGTTTCTCCCATGCACTTGGTACCGCCCTCAAGGTAGTCGCACCTCCATGCGCTGTTTTGAGTCGTTGCCGAGGCACTGGTGGTTATTTTTCTGCTGTATTGTCTTGTATTTCTCCCACCAATTTTTCTCCCGCCGAAAGAGCCTCGTTTTTATCTGTGCAATCTTATTCTACTCGTTCCACTATCACGGCAGTGTGTGTGAGGCTGTATGCTTTTGTCTGGTGACTGCTGCCTGTCCGTTTCCTGCCCTTGTGCTGTGGACTGTCCGCTAATGTATGCTCCGTTCTGTATCTAGCGGAAGCTGAACGCTACTGTACGACAAGAAGACAAGAATCGGCCAAGGGTGTGCCTTTTGTATTCCTCGCGGTTTTCTTTTTAGATTTTTTGAGCTCGTGTTTCTCCTTGCTTTTATTGATTGTCGGACGGATGGAGACTGTCTTCATGCTGCCTTGCCTGGCTATGGAGACGAACGAGGCGGAAGACAACCAGGAAGAAAGGCCAGGCATATGTACCGTGAGGATTACGAAAGCTGGTCGCTGGACAGCGTTGGATCCTCGATTTTATTCGTGGCCTTGCTCCGATGTCTTGCGTCTTCAAGAGGGGAGGAAAATGTCTGAAAAAGCTATTTCGTTTCTTTTTTTGCGGATGCATTGGGAGTCTGTTGATTGCTTTCCCTTTTCTTTTTTCTTTTTCTTTCTTTTCTTTCTTTTTTTTCTTTTTTTTCTTTTTGCTCTCTTGTACAACCAGGCTTCGCCTCTTCGATTCTGTTTTCAAATTCGCTGTTATGCTCTCGCCTTTCTTTTAGCACTTCACCAGACCAGCCAGATAACAATACACAACTGTTGCAAACACATTATGAAGAAGGGATGGTTCGGAAGTGATTTTCATGTGGGGATAAAAACGAAAGTATAGCCATGGCAGTATATTGTATTGTACCTTTTATTATGTGAAGCCCATTAACAAGAGGATAAAATCAAAAGAAAATGGGCATCAAGCAAGTACGGCCGCTGTTGAGACAAAGACTGAAAACAAAATCCCTCGTCGCACCAAAATGTACACGAAACCGTAGCAGTCATAAGCAAAACAAGGAGTGAAGACGGACAGAAAAGACGCCCCGTGCAACACACATACACACATATGCCTCCCCCTACACCACGTCCCGCTTCACAATGGCCATGGCGCCCGCAGCAAATCCCAGCTTCGCAAACAGCGTGTCCATGGCCACCCACCGCCGGCCGCACTTGTCCAGGTACCGCTCGACCACGGCCTTGACCGTGCCAAAGCGCACGCGGTTGTGCTCCGCCAGCGCCAGGATGCGCTCTTGGTCGCCCAGCGGGACGGTCTTGTTGCTGCCGCCCCCGCGGCGTTCTTGGCGGCGTCGCGCGCCTTGTCCACGTCAAAGAGGCTGGCAAAGTAGAGCAGCTGGTTGTAAATGTCGCGCTCGCGGACCTCGTAGCGCATGCGGCCGAGACAGTCGCGCGCCAGGCCCTTGGGCCCCAGGCAGCGCGCGCCGTAGACACTCATCTGGCGCGTGCGGTTGCCGCACGAAGCGTCGTCGCACACGAGCCAGCCCTCGTAGTAGCGGGTCGTGGCGACGCGCACGGCGTGCTCCATCTGGGCAACCACCGACAGCGTCGACAGTGTCGTCTCGCACTTTCCACAAGCAATGCCCGCGGGTGTGACCTTGGTCTTGAAAGCCGCCGGCGCCTCTTCGCCCTCGACGGGCGCAGTTGCTGTTGCCGTCGCCGACAGCCCTTCAAACAGGCCCGACGTCTTGCACTTGCGGCAGCGCAGCTGCAGGCGCGTGCAGTCACTAAACCGGATCTCGTCGGGGATCTGCGTCTCGAGCGGGTGGATCTCCAGCTCGCTCGTGCCGTTGGCACCGCTGCCGCCGTTGCCGGCACCGGCATGCCCGTTGTTGTTGCCGTAGCGCCGCATGTCGAGACCCAGGTTCTCGGCCAGCTGCGCCGTCGACGTGCCCACAATGTTGGCACACAGACGCTCGACGGGCGGGAAGATCTGCTTGGCAATGTACCACTCGACGTCCGGCGACAGGCCCGAGTCCTTCTTGAGGAGGTCGCCGGGGCTGTAGGCGCGTTTGGGCGCCGGTTCCGACGTCGGCGCGTTCTCGCCCGTGGCGATGATGTAGCTGACGACGTCGCCCTTGCGCATCTTCTTGCCGCGGCTCGCCTCACGCAGCGCCACCTGCACTTGTGGCATGCTGTCGGCGTTGGGGTAGTCCGTGGGGTCCTTTCCGAGCTGTGTGAAGATGGTGTACTTGTTGGCCGGCACGCCGTTGGCCGGCGTGTGGTCGCCGCTGCGCATCTTGGCCGCCATCTCGCGCAGGTACTCGTGCACGCGCGTCACCGATACCTCGGTCTCGTTGCCCGACAGGATCTCGTTGAGGATGCGCGTCGACATCTCCTTGGAGAGTGCGCAGTACTCGCGCCGCCGCATGTCGAGACCCTTGACCTCCATCTTCTCGACATACTTGCCGCCAGACTCGATCAGGTTGATGGCCGCGTACTTTTTCTTCGCCTGCAGCAGGATCCGCCGGAAGATGTTGTCAATGTCAATCTCCAGCAGCTTGTAGCGGTCGTTGACGGCCTTCTTGAATTCCTGGCCCACGCGCAGCGCGCTCTCTACGTTGTCCACGTTGGCGTTGATCATGACCGAGTCCGTGTCGCCGTAGATGACCTGCAGCGCTTTGCTCTCGGCAAGCTCCTTGGTGCTGCGCAGAATCTCACGGCCTTTGTACGTGACGAGCACGGCCAGCGGCCGCGCGTAGAAACGCGACTTGGTGTAGCCCAGACAGCCGTACATGGAGTTGGCCGTCAGCTTGAGCGCCAGCTGCCGGATGTCCCATGTGGCCAGCTGCTCGGGGGTCGCCGTCTTGCTCTTCATGAGGCTCTTGACTTGCCGACGCCGCGACACCAGGCCGGCAATCAGCTTGGGCAGGATACCCTGGTCCTGGTCCTTGGGAACCTCCGGCACCGCCTCTTCCTCGCCTTCTGAGGCCTACAAGCAAACGTTGTTAGTATTCTGGCCCTTCCTTTTTTTGGATTTGGATTTTCCAAGTTCTGACGCACCAAGGCAGACCGCTCCACGGTCGTAAAACAAATGTTGTACTCCTGGATAATGGACGGGTACAGCGAGTTGAAGTCCATGACAAGCACAAACTTGTCGTAGAGACCTCGCTCCGGCTCAAACACTAGACCGCCCTTGTACTTGTCCTTCTTCTTGCTGCCAGCGCCACCGTCGCCGCCCTCTTCGTTGCCGGGCTCGTCTTCGTCCCGCTGTCGGCCACGGAAGGCTTGCTTGTCAGGGCAGATGTACTTGTTGCGATGGAACTCGTGCAGCAGAATGTACTCGTTGCGCTCGGCGCGCGTGCCCGTCAGCGTGCGCGCCCACGAGTTGCCGGCCAAGTTCGTCAGGACCTTGGTCAACGGCAGGATCTGGACGCGCAGGGCCAGCGCGGCAATAAAGTACGTGTCGGCTTCAATGTGCGCCACATAGTCCAGGAGACCGTTCGGGGTCTTGGCCCACGTGTTGAGCGCGGCCTCGTTGTCGACGTCGCGCCGCTGGTTCTCCTCGCCGCCCAGGTACAGGCTGCACATCTCCGTCAGCGTCCACGACTGACACTTGAGCATGACCGAGCGGCCAGCGTCGTTTTTCAGGTCGCACAGAAGACGGCCCGAGAGGATCTGGCGCTCTGCAAAAACGTTGCCGCCGACGCGGTTGATGTTGTTTGGCCATTGCTGCCGCCGGAGACGGCCGAGACGCGACCACTGTGGCGTCTTGCACTGGCGCAGACGGTCAATCAGGACGCTGTAGTCGACGCCCTCGAGCTCGTGACCAATAATAACGTCCGGGTCGACGTTGGCCAGCTGTGCGAGGAAGTACGAGAGAATATCGGCCTCCGTGTTGGCCAAGCGGATGACACCACGCCCGCGCGACTTGGCCAGGGTGTCGAAGCCGACGGGGAACGCCTTGTCTCGGGGCCGGATCACTGTAAATGTGCGGCACGGCAGCTTGTCGGCCGGCGTCGTGTCGCTGAGGGCGACGTTTTCGTAGATGCGGGCGCTAATTGCCATGATCTCCTGCTTCTTTGACTGGGCGTCGTAGATCATGCGCAGGGCAAGGCTCATCAGCGTCAGCGGCGGCACCTCGGGCGCTTCAGCTTCGGCCAGAACGGACACCATGTTCGGGTGCGCAACCTGGACCTCGAGCTTGCAGTGGGACGCGTTGTTGATAGACGTAAAATCGGCGTCCTCAATCTTCAGCCAGGACGGGCCCATAATGTTCTTCCACAGCGCAAACTGCTCAAACAGAGCCGTGTTGGCGCCGAAGACGTGCGAGTACGTCTCGCCGCTGCTGTTGGCCTCGCTCAGTGGGCGGTCTGCGCGTTGTTAATATCTCAGGAGGCGTAACTACATTACGTGCAAAGGGGTGGAAACGGGGAGCCACGCACTAGAGTAAGGGTAAAGCACTTTGAGGTAGCGGCCCTCTTTCGGGATGCCAGGTAGCTCAAAGGCGTACTTGCGCGTGCAGGGCTTAGAGCGGTGCTGCTTGACGCCGAGCTGGCCCATGAGGCCGTCGACCTCGGCGTACACGTCGCCCATGTTGACGGTCTCGTCGGTCTGGGCGCCGTTGACAACGCGTGTCTCGCGCGGCAGGAAAAAGAGCTTGCGCTCGACATTGTCGACCTTGACGAAGCAGCTGACGTGCTTCTTGGTCTTCTTGTTGAGGACCTTGCCAAACAGGCACAAGCTGTTGTTGACCTCGGTGTAGTCGGTCCAGAAGAAGTGCAAGCTGCCGTCCTCCTCGATGGCGTCCTTGTAATCGATCTTGCCGCCACTGTGGATGACGGCGTCGGCTTGTTGCGGACTGCTCATGACGTTGAGCTTCTGGTTGAGGTTGGTCCACGCCGTGGGGTCCACGGCCGCGGCGGTCTCGGGTGCCCGTGATGCGGGCGAGGAGTTGGCTGGTGACGGGTAGGGCGCGGGCGTCTTGAGGACCTTCTTGACGGGCCGTGCTGCTGTCAGGTTCACACTGGCCGCGTTGACAGCGCCGGCGTGGGCCACCTCCATCATGGCATCGTCATCGTCCTCCTCGTTGTCCCTGTCGGCCGTTTTCTCAGCGCTTCCGGCAGCGGTGGCAGCGGCAGCACTGTCGTGCTCAGCGGGAGCAGTGGCAGGCTGCACCTTGCGGTTGGCGACGCGGACGGTCGGGGACGACGGCATTGGATCGCTCATGGGAATGTCGTCGCTTGGCGGCACGGCATCGCTGTGGATGGTGGGCATCATGTGGTCATCTTCGTCGTTGTTGTTGTCGCCGGCCTGGGCTGGCAGTGTGTCGGCAATGCGGACACGCTTTGTCTGCCGTGGTAGGTCAGAGAGCGGCATGGCATCGCTTCGGCTGCGCTGGTCGCTTGGCCGCTTCTTGGGCATGCGCGGCAGGGCGGGCGAGATGTTGGCGTGCACCTCGCCCAGCAAGTTGGACATGAACTCGTCATCCTCCTCTGTTTTTGCAATCTGTGGGTGCGTTAGCGGAGCTTTCTCCCCGTCAGCCGTCTGACTGCATTAGCCACACAAAAGGGACTGGCCTTTGACTTGGGCTGGGCTTTGGCGGCGCCCTTGGTAAAGTACTCTGCAATATTGCGGTCCTTGGCATCCCGTTCGGCCTCGTCCTCCTCGCGGGCCTTCTTGCCCCTGCCCTTTGGTCGGCCTACGAGACCGGTGCCGTCGTCTTCGCTGTCGCTCCCGTAGACGTGCGTACGGTCCCATTCCTCGCGGCCGTCGTCGGCATAGCCCTCGCCGTTGTCGTCGACAACAAAGTCGTCCTGGTTCAGACGCTCGCGCACAATGTTCTTGTACTGGTTCTCGTCAACCTCTTCGTAGAGTGCATTGTTGTCGTCGACCTCGTACGAGTCAAAGGCCGTCTTGCCCGACTTGCGCATCGCCCGCAGGCTCTCGAACTTGGAGCGGCGCTCCCTGGCCTTGGACATGATGGGCAGGAGGGCGTCGAGCCGTGGGACGGTGTTGCTGGTGGTATCGTATGCTTTTACTCTTCTTCTCGTATGCTGTCGAGACTTGGCGAGGATATGTAACGTCAAGGTGGTGATAACGAGCGACTAGAACGGCGCCTGGTTGTAACGAACCGACAGGAATAGAGACGAGGAGACAAAGGGAAAACGGGGAAACGGGCTATGGGCCACTGAGTGTCGTTGTCTTGTTGGCAAACAACTCGTCGTGGATTGGTGTTTAGAGGTAAATAGGGACGGGGGCCGTTTTGCAGCGGTGGGTGGTGGCCGGGGCGTAAAGTGATAGTGGCCATCGCCAATGGACCTCTCACCCAGGGAAGGAACAGACGGTGACGAGACGCGCTACAACGCGTTCATTGAATCGATTCTGGCAGGGGCCATTTAACGCGCTTTTGACGCGCGAGTGGGTCGCACCTGCGAAAACGCGCTGTCCGCTCCGTTAGATATGGCGATGCACACTGTGGTCTCAGCACTGTATGGGGCTTCGACAGGGACGAATAGACCTCTCAAATTTTTGGTGGCTTATCGATAAGGCCGGCAGCTGCACCATCCACTTAGGACCGGAAAAGCCTTCATGAACTCCACTTGAATTGTTGCACCCTGCAAACATCGCCGATATCCGACAGTCGAAAATACCTCCATTCCGACACACTCCCTCATATAGCCCAGCATGTTCATGTGCAGAGCGTGTGCAAGGCGGTGGCGCGGCCCTCTGTTGGCCCCATCTGCCGCGCCCAGACTGGCGGGACAAGCACAATACATATCGATGACATCGTCGTTCTCGACCACAACAGCGTCTACAGCAGCGACGGCAACCACGATCGCGACCGTGAGGGTTGCAAGGACACTGCGGTCGCAGAATACGTTTGCCGCGCGCCGTCTTTACACGACGGCAGGGGCAAAGGCAGAAGCAGCAACAGAAGCAGAAGCAGACGCAGAAACAAAAACCGGAATAGGCTACGAGCACGGCGAAATCTCGCGGATATTCGACAACGACAAACGAACACGGGGAAGGACTGTCAATAGAAGTGCTGACTCGTTCGAATCAGACGACATTAAAAAAGAAACGTCGGAAAAGGTTAGGGGGGCCGCGGAAAAGCTGAAACTGAACGAGAGGGTCCGACAAAGACTCGCCTACATGCACGACGCGTATGCTATCGCACAGTGCGTGACGGACATGCTGGATAAGAACCGCTATGATGAGGCACTGCACATGACGCGCATGGCCAGCAAGCAGCACAAAGTCGCCGTCTGCTGGAACCTGGTGATCGACCACCAGATGCGCAACGACAGGCTGAACGATGCCATCAAGCTGTACAACGAGATGAAGAAGCGCGGCCAGCTGCCGAGCACGACCACGTACACAACCATTTTCCGCGGCTGTGCCCTGTCACGGCACCCCAAGAACGCCGTCCAGCACGCAACGCGGATCTACAACTCCATGCTCAGCAACGAGCGCATCGTGCCCAACCGGATCCACATGAACGCGGTGATCAACGTGTGCGCACGTGCCAAGGACATCGATTCGATGTTCAACATTGCTGCGACGGCCGACAACCGCTCCCGCGTTCCCGACAGCATCACGTACGGCACGCTGCTCAACGGCATGCGCCACGCGACGGTGAAGCCGCACCACCGGCCGAACCGGACCGGCGATTCCGAAGACGCTGTGTTCCTGGAAGCGGAAAACGCCAGCCTGTCGGTGGCACGGGGACGTGCAGTGTGGGGCGAAGTGGCGAAAAACTGGCACCAAGGCGTGCTCGTCATCGACGAGCAGCTCGTGTGTGCCATGGGCCGCCTGTTGCTGCTGGGCAGCAAGAAGGACAATGATGACATTCTGTCACTCGTGGAGCAGACAATTGGAATTCCGCGGCCTGACAAGGCGCAATCCGGGTTTGATACGGTCAAGTACTACGGAGAGGAAACGAATGAGGCTGCAGACGCGGACGCGAATGCGAATGCGAATGCGGAGGCGGAGGCGGATGCGGATGCAAGTGCGTATGCCGTCACAGCCGTGGATCAGCGGCCAGTACTAGAGTCAACATCAGACTTTGCCCAGATGGAGGACATGGTCTTGGGGCCAGCCGCGCCCGAAGTAGTAGAGAGTGCCGAGTTCTTCAGCGACCCGGATGCCCCCAGACGGTCAAGCTTCCGGTACGTGCAGCCCGGCAACAACATTCTGTCGGTCATCATCTCGTCCCTGGGCACAACCCGGAAGACGTCGCTGGCGCCGGTCTATTGGGACATCCTGACGGCCCCGCCATACAACGTGCAGCCTGACTCGGAGAACTGGTACCGGCTGCTTCGGACGTTGCGCCGCGGCCATGCCAGCAAGACGACGGCTGAGATGATGAAGCGGATCCCGAGTGAGTTCCTGGAGCCCAAGACGTTCCAGGTCGCCATGAGCTGTTGCGCCGCCGACAACCTCAACCCGAACGCCTTTGAATCGGCCGGCCAGATCCTGGACCTCATGGTGCACAAGCTGGTCGAGCCTGACCCGCACACAATGCGGCTGTACCTGCAGACAGCCATCACCTGCAACAGCAAGTTCCGCAACGAGACCGACCCCGTGAAGCGCCAGTCGGCCAAGTTTGCGTTTGGGCGGCAGCTCGTGCGCGCGCTGGCCCGGCTGTGGGACCCGTTCCGGCGTGCCAGCAACGTGGTGTCGTACGCCGGCCGCGGAGCCGTGCCGCAGTCGTTGTCGCCGACGCCGGAGGAGAAGAATATGGACCCGCAGATGTACAATGCCCGGCGCGAGCTGATGGCGCTGGCGCGGCAGATGGTGTCGGCGGCGGACATGGTCGTGTCGGAGAACATGGCGGGTGAGAAGACGGTCAAGGACCTGCGCGTCAGCCGCAACCTGCTGAACCGGCAGATCACCAGATTCTACGCGAAGCGCGAAGAGATTGAGCCGAACCTGAAGAAGGGCAAGCAGCAGCCAAACAACCAGAAAGGCCAGGCGCAGACGAAAAAGGCAGGAAAAAAAAGAGCGGCTAAAAAGAAGAGTGTGGAGGCAGAGGTGATTGAGGAGTAGACCGTGGAGGCACTGGATGCGTCGAAGAAGGTGAAGAACGATATTGAAGAAGAGAAAGACGTTGACATGGATGATTCACAGTAATCCTTTGTCCGACCATACAGAACGCTGCCATATTTCACATCTCATTGTATTCATAGTTTCAGACCAGCCATGTACACATAGACATACCCCGGTTACATATTCAACTTGCTAGTATAGAGTGTTGTCGACGTTGTTATGCTTTCCTGAGAACCGCCTTGTAAGCATCGGAAACGTTGGCGAGCACCTCGACGATGTATTAAAATTATATGGTGAGCCCTGCGAGAACCATGAAAAAGTGGACCAGGCTGTAGAACGATTAGCGGAGTCATAGGCGCTGGACAGCCTGCTGCAGCTGCCCCTGCCTGCATAGCCACCGCCGCCCTGTTGGCACAGCTCCTGCCCAAGCGCGGTCGACACGTCGTTTGAGCGCGCCCCATTCTTTTTCGCCCGCTGCCGTTCTCTTTTCCATTTATTCGTCTCTCTCGTACGTTTAAACACGTCGTTCCAGCTTCGCCCATCACGCCCAACACCATTGCCCAGTCCCCGACGCCTCTCTGATTGCCTCTTGCAATTTCGTAATATCGGCTTCGCGATAAAAAGAAAGCGCAAGCTGCGGTCATCGCGCGCACGCGAGCGAAAGCAAACGACGCCCAAGCCGAAAAGGCCTCATCGAGCAAGCGATCAAACAACCAAACAGCGTCACAACCGAGCACATCGCAGCCGTGACGATGGCGAAAGTAGCAACCGAATTTGAGAAGATCATCAACACTGGTGCGGTCCGGCCTGGCATGCCCATCTCGTCCCAGCGTCGTCTGGACTGAGTACTGACTTTTCCCATCAGATCGCTCTCGCAAGAAGAACACGGCCCTCGCTGCCAAGATCTTTGGCAAGGACCGCCGGGCCAGCGCCCCGGTCAAGGCCGGCGGTGCCTTGGCCGTCCGTGCTGGCGTACAAAAGGTGTGTCTACCGCCCCTGTCCTCCCCTAGTGATCCGTCTGTCTGGTCTTCTCGCTAACTTGTGCAGCGCGTCTCCTCGACTTCCGTGCCGCGCGCCGGCAACATCAACACCGAATGGACTCATGACCTGCACGAAGGCGGCGGCAACGGCAACACGCGCAAGAGCAACGGCAGCACCAAGAACGGCGCGAGCGCGGCAACGGGCTCGCTGGCCAGCCGCGTGTCACGGCCGGGCGAAGCACCAAAGGGCGGCAAGGGCAAGCAGGCAAACAACAAGAGCGGCAGTGGCCGAGGAAACGGTGGTGCTGGCACCGTTCAGCCTGCAGCATCGACAGCACGCGGCCGCCAGGCGCGCCGTTCGGATAGGATCGCGAATGCGCTGAACCGTGCTGACCTGCAGCACCAGGCTGGCACTGCCACGAACGCCGGTGGCGGTCTCTCGATCCGCGGCATTGCCGCCGCCGTCAACGAGCCCCTCGTCGTCATGGCCCAGAACTTTGCGCCGGGCACTACGGCCGCGGACATTGAGAGCGCCATGACGCCCGTTGGCGGGCTGGTCAGCAGCTGCCGGATCCTCAAGACGACGCCGCTCGTCATTGCCGAGATTGTTTTCGAGAGCCGCGAGGGCGCCGAGCGCGTCATTGAGACGTTCAACAACCAGACCGCCGACGGCCGCATCCTGCACGTCTACCCCAAGGCTGTGAATCACAATGTGCTTACGCCGCACAACAGCAACACGCCCACGTCCACCCCGGCCGCTCTGTCGCGCCACAAGAGCAGTGGTCAAGTGGTCGATGGTTCGCTGGGCTTTGACGATCCCATGGACACGGATGGCTTCACCGCGAGCCGCAACAACAACAACAACAACAATACCAACAACGGCAACCTGAGCGGCCGGCTGTACAGTGACGACCTCGTCGGGTCGCGTCCGCCGAACGGCTCTTCGAAGCCACGACCTAATAAACACGGTCGGCCTGGACGTCGGTAGGCGGTGCCTTGACGGCTGGCCGCCGCTTGGGTCGGAGCCAGCACACAATTTACGGGCCTTCGATTTACCGCCACTAGTTTCTCTCCTTGTTTTCTTACTTCTACTTATCTTCCTTTTCAACCTTGTTTTTCATTTTCTCGTTTCTTCTATGTTTGTTATCTGATGGGCAAAATGGCAAGTGGATGGGCAAGCGAAAAATACGACACGTAAACAGGATTCCAGAGAGAACAGCGAAACCAAATACCACTGAATGATTTATAGTAATTACTAAAGTACATTGACGCAGTCGTCAAGACACAAGATTTGTAGGACAGTGTTGGTGAGAATCCGCCCATACAAACTGTCGGATAGTGTACAGCTCAGTGTGTTTTAGTGCAATATCAATTGCTGATCGCCTGCCAGTTGATCGCACGGCGCACGTGCCTTTACATAACCTGCACACAGCTTTAGCGGCAGCAACCGGGCCCACGTATCTCGACTTGTCATTGACTGGGCATTGACGCATTCTGTCTTACTTTCTCACCTCCGACACACCAAACCAACGACACGCAACGTCAGCTGCGGAAAACAAAGCCTTGCTGCTCTTCCACGCCCTGGATCGTCTATCGATCTACCGTCGGTCCTCACCCTCCGACACGATACGGCTTTCCATCACAGAAGCGCCGATTGCCGAAATTCCGGCGAGCTGCTGCCATCGTTCCGTCGACGCCTCCCTGTTTGCGATTCCATCTCCCAGACGTCTCTGTCCCTGACGGTCTCCTATTGAACTCTGATATTTGACTGTTGCCCCTGCGACGAGGGGACGGCAACCCACTATTGTAAAACCGACGCTCCCGCTTCGGAACTGCATCCGCTGCAGCCAACCGTCAGCCATGGCCAACGACGAGATCAACGTCCCGTCTCTCGTCCTGATATTGGTCGTCTCGGGCTTCATTATCCGCCACTTCTTCTTCCGCGGCTCACCACCCGCAAACGGCGCACGCGGCTCTTCCGAGGCCGGCGCACGAGGTGCCGCTGCCGCTGGAAGCCAACAGGGCCAGTCGCGAGATCAGCGGCGTGCCGAGGCCCTTGACCGCCGTACCGAGGCGGCTGTCGAGCAAATCCAGCAAATCTTTCCCTATGCCGACCGCCGTGAGGTCTGGTGGGATCTGCGCCGCAACGGCGTTAATGTCGCCGCCACCACCGAGCGCATTCTAGCTGGGCGTCTGGATTCGGTAGGTTACCCCTGCCCAGCCCTCTCTTCTCCGTCGAGAAAGAATGTGACAGAATGAGACAGAATGGGACGGAATGAGACAGAATGAAGTACGATCGTGCTAACTCCTGCAGCCTCCCGTGACGTTCCAGCCTCCTACACAGCAACCCCGGCCGAGCACCAACGGCTCACGAACGGGCAGCGCCGCCGCTGCTGGTGCAGCCGGCACGCCTGCCGCCTCCAAGTCTGGCCAGCCGAGTCTGATCCAGCGCTACAATCTCGAGAGCAAGGTCGCCGAGCTGTCTGGAGGCGCCGACGCCGAATCTTCAGAAAAACCCTCTCCGTCCGGCGGCAAGTCCAAGAACTGGAGCACAAACCGCGACGAGCGGCAAACCCTGCTCAAGAAGCGGCGGGACGACATGATTCTCGAGGCACGGCGTAAGATGGAGGCCAAGATTGCGGCCGAAAAGGCAAAGACTGCTGAAGGAGCAGCAGCGGCAGCAACAGGCGGTGATTCGGCGAGCTCATGATGGAAGAAGGGGATGTTGACTCAAAAGAATGGAGAAATACCCCGAGTGATGCCTGGAAGGATGTTTGGCGAGGAATGTGTTTAGGAACACCGTTGTCCGCACCGTTGTTCGCAGTTTGGATTAGTCGTTTCTCCGTGTATGATTTTCCCAGCTGTACTTTTATGTCCCTATTCTCTTTCTGTTCAGGTTGCATATTGGGAGGTCCGCCTGGGTCGTCGTTTTGCGCAATACGTAACGTGCTTTCATACTGTCGCCTCTGCCAACCGCAAATCAAAGTTATGTTGTACACGAACCGCCTTTGGGTCAAACATGGTCGTTACGTTCACCTTCACACGCTTTTACATCCCTCACCATACGTGTCTGTTATTTGTCGTATTTCTCTTGGTAACGAAGACGACTTTTTTGTGCCCAAGTAAATCAAAAACAAGAATTCTGCAATGAACATCACGCCGTAGAACGCCCTTTCCCGTCCGTCCTCCGCTATTAGACGGCAGCGACGGCAGCAAGGCGTTTGTTGCTTTTGTTGCTTTTATTGCCTCAGTCCCGGTCCCCACTCTACTCCTCCATAGCATCTCCCGTCGAGATGCCTGCAGGAACACGGCCTTCCTGCAGCTCCTTCTCCAGACGTGCAATCTCGTCGAGACTTGTCGCCGTGCGAATGCGTTCTTGCAACCGCTTGCGCTCGGCGCCCGACAGCTTAATGCGGGCCAACTTGGACGGCGCAGCGTCAGAGGTGCCGTTGGTAGCGCCCGTCCGGTTGAGGCCCGACACCACGTCAAACTTTTTGGACTTGACGCCCATGATCTGCGGCGGGTTAGATGTGCACGCGATAAAACATCACGGGGGCAGCGGATGGGTAGTGGTGGTACCTTTCTTGCCAGCTCCGTCGGCAAAATGTGTGTTCCAAACAGCTCCTCGGCCTTTCTCCGCTCCGCGTCCTTGACCTTTTGGAAGTCAAGGAAGCGCACCGTCGGGCACCGCCAAATCACCCAGTACCGATACTTTTCACGCTTCGTCACTGGATTGTCCAGCAGCACCAGGTGTGTCAGCCGGCCCAGCCGGGCCAGCGGGTCGAGGTCGGACAGCTCCGCCAGCTGGTTGGACGCCAGCGCGAGGGACGTCAGGTTCGGCACGGCGTTGGCGAGGTCGGGCTGGATGGCCGCAATGCGGTTGCGCGCCAGCAGGAGCGTCCGGAGGCGGGGCGTCAATGGGAAGTTGCCGAGCACCTGGATGTCGTTGTCGGTCAAGTCAATGGCATCTTGGGGCTACATGTGAGAGTGTTAGATGGGGCAGCGGTCCAATCAACATGGGAAGTCGAATTACTTACGCCTGCGGCGCCAAGATTCTCAATGGCGACAATTCGGTTTCCTGTCGGGGCCAACGGGCAAACCCAAATAAAAAGGAATTCGCTATCAACTCTGCTCTTCTGAAACTTGGAAAAAGTGTAGCAACGCAGGGGAAAGCAAAAGAGAGGCGGAGAAACCACAAAAGTCTCACCCCCGGCCCTTCTGCCATCTTCTTTTCAGTCACGCGCCGCAGGGAAACCCACCTCGTAAGTCGAGTTCGCGCTCCTTGAGTGGGTTCAGGTACGACAGCGACCCATTGATCAAGTCGGCCGTCAGCCGCATGGTGGCTCGCTTCCTCGAGGATTCGCGCGTGTGTTGTGCTCGTTCGGATCGATCAAAATACGCCGCGCGCCGTTATTGACGTCGTCGATGTCGAGGAGCGGCGCAGCTCCCAGGCAGCTATGCGCGGGTTCCAATTAATGCGGGAAAGATATATGTCGTCGTAATCGGAGGATATCGCTGTGATGGCGGTGTCGCGGTCGCTGGTGGCATAAATGTCGTCGCAGGTCGCGTTTGTCGTGTGCGGTCGTCGGTGTGTAGCTGCCTCAAAGTGTAGTCCTTACTTTCTAGAGAGCAGCGGCGACTGGATTTTCTCGCCTAACAGCAAGCGCGATAAGGCTTTGGGAGGGCACGTTTTCGCACTGTATAGCTACGGTATAACGACACACATTTACCAAGTTTTGTCACAGTGTTCGTCATTTAATTTAACACTGTACACTATACAGCCAGCTCCTACAGGCAACACCAAAGCACACAAAGGACAATACGTGCTCTGTATATTACAAAAATGGCGATTGTATCTCCTAGTATCCCGGTATCGTCATAACGCATCTGAAAACAAAATCATCCCATGCAAAAATTATCAAAACTATGCACACATAAGCCGTAGATCACGTCAACATGTTGCCCCCTCGTGTGCAAGCCAGCAACAAAACAACACGGATATCCAATCCCTCAAAGTCGTTCTAATCCTTAAATCAGTGTCTGTTAATCAAATCAACGCCGTCTTCGAACTCAAAGTTCATGTCTTGAAGCAGGTTGTCCATGTCCTCCTGCGTCACCGAATCCAGGTTCAGGTCGACGTTCATAACGCCCATGTCCAATGGCATGCCGTTGACATGCTGATGGTTGTTGGCCAGGTTCATCGCTGTGGCATCGCCGAGGTTCATGTCAAACACCTCGGGCATCGTCGGCAGCTGTGCCATGCCCTGCTGTGTCTGGTTGGCCGTCAGCATGCCACGAACCATTTCCTTGAACTTCACCAGCAGCTCCTTGTCGTCGGCCGGCGTGCCGAGCTCCGTCGTGCGCCCAAGAATCTCGCGTGCCTTGGCGCGAAGAGCTTCGTCGTCGGGGAACGGCTGGCCGTTCTGAGCCACGGTCGTTCGCACATAGTCGGTAAGGCCGTTCTCGAGCTCTCGAGAGCAGAAAACGGTCGCGGGTTTTGCATAGCGAGTCGTAAACGACTGGAGGAACTTGTTGGCCGTCTCCGACGGCAGCTCGAAATCAATGCCGAGCATGGTCGTGTTTTGCATCTGCGTCGCCGAGGTGTTGCTCATCCCACTGCTCGCATCACCAGCCTCGTCTTCCGGAGACGGGAATGGTGCGATCGGCATCTTGGGGAAACAGTACGGCGGTGCAAATCCAGAACCGCCCTGGGACACGCTCCATGCCGTGAAGTCTGTCGGTAGACCCGGACCGTCCTCGGCCGGCAGGATACCGACGTCACGCTTAAATCGCATCAGCCACTCAGCGTTGTCGGCCGCCGTTTGGTTCCATGGATCATCACTGGACATCAAGGTTAACAATTGTACACTGTTAGGGTATAAAAATACACACACAACACAAGAGCAAGAGGAAGCATACTCGTCGTAGAGGATCCACCGTGCCTGGTGCTGAAGCTCTTCGTCGGTGGGCACATGGCTATTGGGGTTGTTGGGCGACATCACCATGTTAACAAACCGTGTCAGCTCCCGGGCCAGGCGGCGGTAGCAATTGGTGTCGTTCAGGAAAAAAGGCGACGGCACCAGCATGTTGGTACTGCGGGCCGAGCGCTGGCCTTGGCTACTGCTGTGGGCACTGCCGCTGCTCAAGGAGCCCGAACGGCGGCTTGAGGTGGCGGGTTGTGCCTTGGTAATATGACGGCTCTTGAAGGCGTCCAGCCACTGTGGGTCGTCGGCTGCCGTTTGATTCCAACCGTCGTCCAGCTCATAGATGATGAGACGCGCCTGCCTCTGCAAGGTAGCATCATCGAGTGTGACGTCACCCGCTTCGCGCCGCAGTCGCACAAAGTCGGCCAACTCAGCCTCCAGGCGAGAGTAATTGTGGATGGTGGCGTCGATGTTGCTGGGTTCGTTCACCGGCCGGCGAGCCTCGTCGGCAATAGCATCGGACCGGGGCAGATGAGCCCGCTTTCGGAATGCGGATAACCATTGCGTGGAGCTCTTGATCATCCGCAGCCAGAACTCCACAACCTTCTTCTCCGTCGTGATGTGCGCTCTGACGGGCTCTCCAGGACCTTCGATCAGCTGTATCTCCATCTTTCGGATAAGGTCACACGCCATCATCTGAAGCTCCGAGTCCATGGGGGTTAAGCCAAGTTGGGATCGGTCTCGGACGAACTCGTGAAGAGCTGTCTCCAAAGGGCACATATCAAATAGCGTCTCCTGGCCTTTGATGCGCATCGATGCCATGCGGCTCTCAGCCGGTGTCCGAATAGGGCTCATGCGTGCTTGTCTCGCGCAGTCCTCGTCGCCCATGACAAGATCCCGCAACCACGACGGATTTTCTTGGTTCGTCATCGCGGTAAGTTCCGCGGCGAAAACAATCCGACAGGCCTCTACCCGCATCTCATCGTCTGTAAACGTCTTGAGCTGATCTTCCTGGTGCTGGATCCAGTAAGAAAGCTCGCTGCGGAACAGTTCGTAGGCGTTCCTGGGACTGCCAGGAGGCTGCGAGGTTGCACTAAACGGCAACGGCGAGTTGCGCTCGTCGTGAATGAGGTACGGGGGGATAGAGTTCTCGACCATCTCCAATACAGGCTTGTCGAAACCCCAGTCACCCTTCCAGTCAGCCATTGTGCGACCGGTCTTAAAGTGCTCGGCCAGATGATCGATTCGGAAGGTCCACGTGTCCATGGCTATGCCACAGAAACCACACCGGGACCGGATCTCTGGGGTTGCCACCTTCCACTGGTCCATGGACCAGCCCATGAACTTGACGCTGTGGACAAGCTTCAGATGCTGGCGCAAGTGGTCCTTCCGGTAGAAAGTGCGGTCGCCTAGCGCACGCTCCTGGCAAGCGGCGAAATTGTGCGACTCGATGTGCTCTGTGTCAGGCTCTACCTCGCCGCAGAACACGCAGCAAACTTGCTTTGTTTCGGGGTGGACGGCAGTGGCACCCTGTGGTGTGCACACCCACCGCTCCAGTGACAGGTGCAGTGACTTCTCGTGTCTCTGCCAGTCGTGTTTGGTCTTGAATGTTTCGGTACAGAACGTACATTGATACGTCTTTAGCGGTGCCACGAGAGAGGTCGGCCCGCTACGGGCATCGGTAAGCTTCGCCGCCTGCCGCATGAGCTTCTTCTCCATTTTTTTCTCTTCCCGGTCACCACCGCTACCACTGCCGACACCGCGGGTGGGCGCCGAACGCCGCCTCCGCCGTCGCCGGCCACGTTCCAGAGAGCTGAAATTGGAGCCAAACGAGTTGCGCGAGGCGTGCGAGTACGCTGAGGCAAACGAACCGGTGCCACTGGACTGCGACGTGCCCAAACTGCTCGCCGACGATCCGTTGAATAGGGAGCGTCCCGAGCCGTCGTCAGTAAAGTTAAGACTGAGCGGGCTGTTCAGACCAGACGAGATAGCCGAAGCCGATGAGGTAATGGCTCGGGCAATATCGCTGACACTCGCAGGTTCGTTCTCGGGCGGTGAGTTCGCCCAACGCTGTAGCGGAATGTTCTCAAATGTCTGTGGGCGCCGATCAAATGGCGAAGGCGTGCCGCTCCGGCGCGGCTGGGGGATGTCAATTGCACCAATTGAAGCATTGGGGCCGGCGTAGGTGTTGCGCACATGCGGAGATGTAGATCGGGTGGTTGGGATCTTGCCGCGGCGGCGCGCATTGGCCAGCCAGTTTGAGATTTGGGTCTTGTTCAGGCCCGTCAGGCGTTGTAGCGATTCCTTCTCATCTTCGGTCGGGTAAGGGTGTCGGCTGTGGGTCGACACCCAGTTCTTGAGAATCCGTACAGACTCCCGAGAGAAGCGGGCGCCAAGCTTGGGCTGGGCCGCGGCAAACGGGTTTGGGCTGCTGTTACCGACAAGATCCGGCAATTCGGTCGTCGACGAGTCGGCTGGAGCCGAGGGGTAGAGCCGTGCGACGGCATCTGCCTCTTCGTCGTGCGGAATGGGGTCTGGGTGGTCGCCCAACGTAGGCCACGGGTTGGTTGGGAACGAGAGATCAGTGGGCAGGGGCCCGCTGCAAACGAGTCCAAAACTGCATTCGCACCGCAGAGCCACACAGCTCGTGCAGTAACCTTTGTAGTTACCCTCCTGGATCGTTTTGCACTGGTAACCGCCCTGCTTGCAGTGGACACAAGGCTCGTCAGGAACACCATACAGCCCGCCAGACAAAAGGTCGTCGGCTTGGTCGAGAGGCATCGAGTCAGCGGTCGAGTGCAAAAGTGACTCGACAGTGGCATCTGTCTCAGTTATGGGGGCGGCAGTGACATCATGACCACCAAGGTCGAGACCGGCAATCATATTGTTGCTCTGCTCGTAGTGCTCGAGCGCCCAGAAGGAGAAATCGTCGGCGTCAGGATTCTCAAACAGCAAAGCAGCCTCTCTGTCATTCATATGCTGGAGTTGAGGAGAGACCAACAGATGCTGAGCATCAAGGGCCTGGTCAGGGAAGATAGGCTCGCCATCGGGTGGCAGGCAGACCAGGTCGTGGCCGTCCACCATACGCTCTGCAGCGCTTGCAGACGCATCCCAGTTGACAAAGTCATCCATGCTGCCGCCGGGTGAGCCTTCGTACTCTTCGGGGATGACGGGCATACTGCTGCCACAGGGCGCGGGTGTCCAAAGCGGCGGCGAAGAAGGGCAATGCTAAGCCGAAGGTGTAACGAAACGCTAAGAATTGGCAACAGGCCAAGGGCGTATGACAATGACAAACAAAAAATAATGGGGAGATGTGTCAAAAATGAGTAAGAAATGAGGTAAAAGACAGGCCCAAAAGGCGCTGGGCGGGAAACAATAGATAGTTTGACGAAGGATGCTCGGTTGTCCAAAGTGCGACGCCCTATGGCAAGAGCGAGCGACGTTGACTGGGGCCACGAAACAAAATTGTGAACGAGGCAATCGTCCCTTCCTGATTGGGATACAACGGGATGCTCCCACTCCTTGCCTTTTTCACCTGGACATGTGATTCCAGTTCGAAGCAGAAAAGAGCAGCAAATACACAAACGCAAAACAACACGATGGGATGGAGAATAATGAAAATAGAAAGAAAAGAAAGATTAGAAAGGAATTGAATTACGAGAGGAGAAGTATAGAGAAGTGTACAGAGGAAGAGAACGAAAAAAGACTACGGGGTAATACCTGCCTAGTAGAGATATGCCTGCAAGCAGGAACTACAAACGAAGTGCACATAACAACATACAATGAGAAGGAACCATCGAAAACAGCAGAAGGACCACGGCGAGGCCGTGGTGAAGGGGAAAGAGCGGCTGCTGGTCCGCTTGCCTTGGCTGGGTCGGCAAACTAGTCACTGTAGGTGCCTCTTTCCCTCTCTAGTGGCCAGACCAGTACTAGGAAAGAAGGCGGAAGAAGAAAGAGCAAAGAGTGGGTGTGCCAAGAGTGGGGCTCTTGTCTGTGAGGTTGTCAACGAAAGGGCGCGGCGACCCACCCAGGCACTGACATTGAGAGAGTATATTTCGTAGAAGGACAATGGAACACACCAAGCGGAAGCTCATCTTCGACATCTCCGCAAAGCCAGCCGCATGTGCGGATACGTACGCCACAGACTGTGCCCACTGGGCAAGGCTCCTCCGCCGGTTTTGAACAGTGCGAAAGTTCGACAAAGCACGGCCAACCAGGAAAGAGCAGCAGCGAAGGATGGATTACGCCGACTCGAGGTATCTTAGCGCTGCAGAACGAGCGGTCTGTCCTGGGGTTTTATTTCGCGGAGGAAGGCGCGGTTCAGCGCCGGAGATTTGCTAGAGGTGCAGAGTAAGTCGGACATATTTCGTAAGATACAAAAACGTCAACTCCTTCCATGTCCCGCTTTAGGTGCATGTCGTCGATCCTGGCACGCCCTTGGTCGGCCCTTCCTATTTTGACGACGGGTCGAGCTGCCTTTAAAGGCAAGGCAACTATCGAACGCTCCGGAGACATAAAATACAAGGCAAGACAGGTTTGGGTCGTGCTTGCCTCGCGCGTGCATTTTACGAATTATGCCGCGCCATGTGCCAGTCTTTTGAAATAGACGTGATCATCCCACCACTTTCTACTGAGCACACGATAATTCACTCCCCCAAACGACCGACCACATTCGCTCCGATTCATTGATGATGCGTCAGTTTGCACTCAGCAACGAAGTTTCCTGCAGGCCAATGCGGCAGCCAGGTATCGGCGTGGAAATGCACCTCCTTCGCTGTCTGTCACGACCTGATCTGTGGTCCCCTTCAAATCTCAGTCGAACAACCAGAAGTCAACGTGAGATCGTGTGCCAGTTGATTACTTATCCGCCCGCAAACGAGAGAAAAATAGCAGGCTAGAGCGCCCTGCATCAGGCCGAGGCTTAAAACCCCAGCGTATGCGGTTCCCCATTCTACCGAGCTAATCGTCAGCTGAATGGGTGTGCCCCTCTTTGGGGTCCGAAGCCGCAGGCCTATCTGGATCCAATGCACACCACCCCAAGTCACGAAATAACAGACAAAGAACGTCAAGCGGACTTTACGAACATACTGTGCATGATATGTAGGCTGGATCTGCGCCGCAATCCAATGGCTCTTCCGTGCGCCGGCTCGCGACCTGGCAAACTCCGAGTTTATGAGTCCCGGCTCTTCTCAAGTGCAAATGGCGTTCTAGACCAGCTTTGCCGTCATAGTTAATGTCCAGAAGCTGCCCTGTCCTCCCCCGCTCGAGACAGGACTCAACCTACGACCAAGATAATACAACATGGCTGCGGCCAACCGCCGCACGCGAAGGCAGAACTGATGGGCAATAGCGAATATTCTGCCGAACACCATCTACATCGTGGGCGACAAGGCTCTCACACAAGCTGACATGAACCATTGCGATCGAAAGAAGAGCAAAGTTACAAGTGATTCTCCGTCAAAGAATAATTGAAGCACCAAGGGCGGTACAATGTTTCACTACAAGGAGTATATTCGCACGCTCTAAACAAGAGATCACTCCATTGTGAGGCTTCTTGTGAAATTGAGCGAAAATGTTCTGAAATCGGATATCAAGACCAAAAATATTGACAGAAGAAGAAGAATAAGAAAGGTACAGAAAGAGAAGAGAGAACGACACAAGAAGGAGCCAAAGTTGGTTAGTGTCCTTGCAACCCACGCCCAGTGGCTCAACCGGCTGTCGAAAGGCTGGAAGCACAAGTTCGAAATATCTCGTCAAGCCGACACGGTTGCTGTATGCATGTCGGCGCTGATGCTAGCCGTCGACAGGCATTTTGCGTTACGCGGTGCCGGCTTGAGGGAGCAGCTGCGCAGTGCCTTGCAGCAGACGGCGTTCTTCGTCGTAGACAGAGGGATGAAGCAGGCGGCGCCACGATGTTACTCTTTGATGGATTAGGGCTGGTTAGGAACGTGACTCCTCTACAACGGCGGAGTTGGAACGTCAAAGAGTAGGGGATGGTCTGTTGAGTCTTCCAGAAAGCAGAAGCCTCTGCCCCGGTAGTCCATGATACTGGTGGCCGCAGAATCATGCGCCTATTTTACGAGAAGCGGCTGACGAGTCTTTCCGAATATACGAGGGCGGTAACAGACCACATCCTATTGTGTGAACCATCATATTATGGAGTCTACAGCCTAGCATGGCGACAGTGACAGCGACAGGCCAGCGGGAAAAGAAAGAGAAGAAGAGGCTACTCGTGACTTGACAGCATGGTGTGCTTGGACAACAGGCATTCTTGACAGGTTTTGCTGTATCCCCGGTTGACAATAAACTTCTGACACTTCTCTCAGGAAACCTTGACCGCGCGTCGTCCCTACTTATCCATTTGCGATGTATGTGGAAACACACAAGAGATAAATGGCAGTCTAGTATCGCCACAAATCACCTAAAGACGCTGGGGCACCCTTAACATCGAATCAGGAGGCGGTAATAAGCACTGCTACGTCTTGATGAAAAAAGCCATGTTTTGTCCCAAAAGACACCACCTGGTCTGTAGATTCTCTCTCCGTCAACCCCAGACATCGTTCTAGGCCCCTCTCGTTCTCATAGACATTTCGTAAGCAATGCAATCATGTCCTTCACACAGGGATATTAGCATAATTTTTGTTGCTGTGTGACGTGGCTCAGGCAGGCAGAGCTTTAGTTGTCGCATATTCCTGCTTCCGCCTCTACAAGTTGACCATATGAAATGTGGCGCTAGATCGAGACACGACCCGGGCAAGGCATCTAAAGGTTAGGGACTGCATTGAAAGACGGACAAAAGTTAATTGACTTTGAACTTGTTGTAAAGAGTCTGTTTGTGACAGAGACGAGTCAAGCCAGTTACGGCTACGAGCTTGAAGAAAAGTGTTAATGCCCTACAGAACTTATGCCCCTGCAATCTTCCCAAGCGGGCTAGGTGATGACGAAGCCGAGCAATAAAATGCAGAACGGATACAGCACGGAGACAAGCAACGCATTTGACATTATGGGCTTCCCCGTGACTTGTCAGCCGAGAACATTGCCAAAATCCAGATGGATGATTCGTAAGGATTGCGTCTTACTGCAACCCAGGTGGAATGAGCGTCCCAATTATCATCTTCCCTCAGCCTTGCACCACAGCCTTGCGAACCGACACGATTAAGCTTATTTGCTTAGGAAGTTTGCATTTGGCAATTTGGCAACTGCATTCCAGTTTATAGTTTTTGATTAATCATCACAATCGTCAACGGCAAAGACATGTGTTGCCGCCCTTGCTCGGTTACGATACCGCCGTTGGTGCTTCGTATCTCGCTTTCATTTGGGCGGAGTAGCAATGCACGACGGCGTCCGGTGTCAATTCCTTGCCGTCTGCCTTGCGCTGCAACGACTGCACCGATTGGCGCTTGGCGAACTGCAACGAGAGCCAGAGCCGGGAACACCAAAAGAGCCTGACGCGAACGATGATGGTTGGACCGTCTTACTTCGCCGTGAAAAGCTGCTAGTGCGGTACTTGTTATATTAACAATCTCGTGCCAAATACAATGTACCGACATATCAAACATGCTTAAGTGTTATGCTAGCAGGGGGGGCCTTTGTTGAAAGTTGATATACAACATAGAGGTCCTGCGAAACGCCTTCATATTTGAAAGCCAATCTGCCCGCATCGCCGTGATGGATTTAATCGCAGAGCCTCCATGCATAGACTGCCATTCTGCTCGGCAAGCTGCAACGCTCATTTCTTCCTTACCTCACCTTACCTCTAATTTGGCTTATTTCCTCCTGGGGCTCATCCCACCAGCGCGAGTCGCAATGTCGAGATCGGCGCAAGGCTGGACAGCCGTGCCTACTGAGGAGGATGTGCCACCAGCCGTATCCGCATCCCGGCCCACAAAGTCAGCACAACCCGCAACATCCACATCTTCGTCAAGTGCCGCCCCAAAGACCCGGCAGCGCATACACAAGCCGCCCGAGCCGCTGAATGTGCCGGATATTGAGGAAGATGCCGCCGAGCGGAAGCGTGTGCTGAATGTGCTGGCACAGAGACGGTACAGTACGTCGCGCCCTTTTTCTTTTATTCCTCTCTTTTATTGCGTCACTTGCTAACATTAACAAGGAGAACGGAGGCGACAAAAAAAGGCAGCCAAGGCGGGCGCAGCGGAGCAACCGCCCGAGGTCCCCGGGGGCGATGCAGAGATGACCGATGCGCACGTGGTCGACCTGACGGCGATCGATCCCGCACTCACGGGCAGCGGCAGCAACGACTCGAGCCCCGACGTGGACGAGGCGGTCGCGTTTATGGATCTGCCGGCCGCGTCGTCAGCAGCGTTCATCGAGGGCACGGTGACGTCGTGTCCGCTCGGCGACCTTGACTTGTCGGCCGAGAGCATGGCGCTGGCGCCCTTTGAATTCGACCTCAGCCTGAGCACCAGCCTGGCGGCCATGGCAGCAGCACGGGCAGCCGAGACGGGCTCGTGGGGCATGGGCACAGGTGCCGTGGTTCTTGACGAGGCCGCCGAGGGAGAGCACAACAACGCCCTAGTGACCACGTCGTCTGCGTCGGCGCCGTCGCCCACACAAATGACCGTCGTCAACCCCCTGTTGACGTTTGGCACCACCGCTAACAATGCATTTACCGATCTCAGCAGCGTCTCCCTCTCCTCATCGTCCTATGGCATCTCATCCTCGTCCAACTCGTCCGTCTCGGACCCCCTCTCGCCCACCTCCTACTACATCCCCGTCACCGAGCTGACGCTGCTACGCGCCGTCATGCGCATTTCGACGCGCCTCGGCTGTACGGAGGAGATGTGGCAGATTGACGGCCAGTCCCCGTTTGTCGAAAATAGAAAACCAAAGAAACGCAGCGGCCCAGACGCGAATACCGAAACGGGCCTCTCGCCACGCAACACCGAAGACGGCCTCGCACTGTTGCCGCCCAACTGGCGCCCCACCCGCGTCCAGCGCGTCGTCCCACACCACCCGGCCCTGGACGTCCTGCCGTGGCCCTCGGTCCGCGAAAAGCTCATTGGCCTCTTTAATATGCCCCTCGACGAGCGGCCCCCGATTGCCGCCGACCCACTCGCCCTCGTTCATCTCATCTACGATCTGGAGGACAGCGCCGAGGGTCTGCGCATCTGGGGCTCCGACCCCTATGACCCCACGTGCTGGGAGGTTGGCCAGCTGGTCTTTGAGCGGTGGTGGTTTGTCTTCGACCGAGACATTATCGAGCAGAGCAACCGCTGGCGTCAGCTGCGCGGTGCGTCACGACTGCGGCCCGTGCGGACAGACACACGCACCAAGGGCGTCATGGACATGATCTGGGCCTGAGGCAGATTGGTGCATCAAGGAATTGGTGCACGGGAATTACGAAACGAGACACAGGACAGCGAAAGGATATTTAAAAATACCACATGTATACTAAGTTATGATTGAAGCCAACGCAAAGAATCAGACCATCACCCTTGACTCTCAACCGCCACAACCGCTCTGAACTCTGCGCCGGCGCTTCGCCCATGGGACCACATCCAAACAGGTCGGTAGTAGGTGAGAAATGTGTTGTGTATAAACGAAATTCATGCCAAATACATCGTCAATTCACCTTGCATGTTATAGAGTGCACTGTTGGCGAGGACGACCACACAGGACAACTGTTTCGTACATTGGTGTACCTGATCCGGAAGGAACACGCGCACCTGCCACCTCCGACGGCCAAAGCTTGCTTTCCTGCATCCTTTAGCTAGTGAAGTGGACAGAACGGACAAGGCAAGAACAACATCGACGATCAACGCAACTTGGGTAGGCACGTTTTAGGCCAGCAGCAGGCACGGGCAAGCGTTGTGATTCGCTCGCGCCTTCCCTAAGCTTCTCAACGAACGGAGCAGAAAGTAGCACTTGCCCACATGCTAGGAGGCTGGGTCGTTCTTTCTCGCTGGTGGGTTCGCTCCACGTTGGCCCTTTCCCTTTTCCCCCCTGCGTGCCTTCCGGTATTAGCGCACTCGACCCCTCCATCTCGAAAAGGAAAGTCTCCAGAAATCCCAGCAAACAAGCCATTGGCTTCCTCCTTTTTCCTTCAAAAAAACTTTCGACTTTGCAACTCTCACAGGCTGTTGTTTCTTCCCTGCAACCTCCCCAGTCGTCTTTCTCGCCTCGCCGCCTCCGAACTCCTCTCGTTCTCTCTTCCGTCCGGCTCTCGTCCCCTTCTACCTGCCAATTCCTCGTCGGCGGGCCGGCAAGAGAACTGGACCGTTCCGTCCAAGTCCGATTTCCGTCACAAATATGCGTTTGCAGTAAAACCGCAACGGTCGGAATTTCGCAGTTGTCGAGCAAAGCATATCTCCATACCTGACGTTCCTTTTCGTTGTCTGGCACAAGTACGGCTCCGAGTATGTTGCATTGTTTCCCTTTTCCAGTCAGCACAAAGGCAATCCCAGGGTCCAGACGTCAAAGAAAACGGCCACAGTACGAGTCATCTTTTAGCAGTTGGCTTGCGTGACGTTGTTTTCTTTGGCATCTTCTCTCCCCCATTTCAAGCTCAATTGTGCTCTGACCCCAGACACGTCCCCAATCACCCCTCCTCTGCACCACGTTATCCGTCGTACAGACATAGGTGTACCGCTTTGTCCGTCAAACGCCAATTCCGTCGGGAGTTGGCATGACCTCCCCGGCATGCACCAGTCTTCTCCGGTCCAGCTCCGATTCGACCTCCGTGGCCTGCCAATGCAACATACCTTTGGTGTCTCTGTTTGTTTCCATTGAGCTCTCCCAATTGCGCACTTAATTTATACTTGCATATATATGCCGCCGCTTCTCCTGTAGACCCCACCTTTGGACGTCAGCTAACGGTCACTCTATTGTCTTCAGACCAGGCAGATTTCGTCGGTCGCCTGCTTCCTCACCCCAGCTCCTCTTCCTCTCCGCCACCATGCATATCCGGGACATGATCGTCGAGGCCGAGAAGGACGGTTTGCCGTCCTTCTCCTTCGAATACTTTCCGCCCAAGACCGCCCAGGGTGTCCAAAACCTCTACGAGCGCATGGAGCGCATGCACCTCTTCGGTCCCAAGTTCATTGACATCACTTGGGGCGCCGGAGGCCACGTCGCTGAGCTCACCGCCGAAATGGTCACCCAGGCCCAGACGTACTTTGGCCTGGAGACCTGCATGCACCTGACCTGCACCGACATGGGCGAGGCCGCCGTCAACGACGCCCTGCGCCGCGCATACCGCGCAGGCTGTACCAACATCCTCGCCCTGCGTGGAGACCCGCCCCGCGACAAGGAGACCTGGGAGGCCACCGACGGCAACTTCTGCTACGCCCGCGATCTCGTTCGCCACATCTGCAAAACCTACGGCAATCACTTCGACATTGGCGTGGCCGGCTACCCCGAGGGCACCGACGACAACAAGGACGAGGACATGCTGCTCGACCACCTCAAGGAGAAGGTCGATGCCGGTGCTTCGTTTATTGTCACACAGATGTTTTACGACGTCGAGAACTTCTTGCGCTGGCTGGCCCGCGTTCGCGAGCGCGGTATCACCGTCCCCGTCCTGCCCGGCATCATGCCCATTGCGACCTATGCCAGCTTCATGCGCCGTGTCAACCACATGGGCTGCAAGGTCCCCGCGCGGTGGGTGGAGAAACTCGAGCCCGTCAAGAACAACGACGATGCCGTCCGTGAGATCGGCAAATCCCTGGTCGCACAGCTGTGTCGAGACATCCTCGCAGGAGGCGACGTGAAGCACCTGCACTTTTACACCATGAACTTGGCGCAGGCCACGCGCATGGTCCTCGACGAGCTCGACTGGCTGCCATCCGCCGACCGCCCGCGCCCGCCGCCCGCCCTGCCTTGGAAGCAGTCCCTGGGCCTGGGTCGCCGCGAGGAGGCCGTGCGCCCCATATTCTGGCGCAACCGCGGAAAGTCGTACGTTTCCCGTACCGCTGACTGGGACGAGTTCCCCAACGGTCGCTGGGGTGATTCGCGGTCGCCTGCTTTCGGCGATCTCGGCAACGCTTACGGCGTTGGTTTGCCAGGAACAAATGCCCGGAACCGCGCAAAGTGGGGCGAGCCCCGGTCTATTGCCGATGTTGCTAGCATCTTTGTGCGCTACCTCAAGGGCGAGTTGCAGTCTCTGCCGTGGAGCGAATCGCCGCTCACTGGCGAGGCCGACAAGATCCGGCAGGACCTGATCGACCTCAACAAGCACGGTCTCCTCACCATCAACTCGCAGCCCGCTGTCGACAGTGCACCGTCCTCTGACCCCGTGCACGGCTGGGGCCCACCGAACGGCTACGTCTACCAGAAGGCGTATCTCGAGCTTCTGGTCCCGCCCGCCCTCTATGCTGAGGTGATTCAGCGCGTGCAGGCCCACCCGCACCTGACCTACCACGCTGTGACATGGAAGGGTAAGCTGGAGACGAACGCCCCTGGAGATGGCCCCAACGCTGTCACCTGGGGTGTTTTCCCCGGTAAGGAGATTGTGCAGCCTACGATTGTCGAGAGCATCAGCTTCCTCGCCTGGAAGGACGAGGCCTTCCAGCTGGGCGCCGACTGGTCCCGCTGCTTCGAAGCCGGCAGTCCTAGCCGCACCCTCATCCGCGGGATGATGGATGAGTGGCACATTGTCACCATCGTGAACAATGACTTCCACCAGCCGCGGACCATCTTCGAGGTCCTTGCCGGCCTCCAGCTGTCTGACATGGACAAAGAGGTCGAGGCCGAACCTGTTGAAGCTCCGGAAGCCACCGAGGCAACACCCGTCAAGCCCGTCAAGGACGCCGTCGATGCGCAGGCGGCGCCTGTCGCAGCTTAAATATTTTATTCTGTCTCTTCGAGCATAGTAGGTCGCGGCCTTCCAACGACATTATCCGTTTACCTTTTCTCAACAATTTTTCCTGGCTTTGCTGCATAGCTACAAAATATTCAACAATACGAGGGAACTACAATTTAACACAGTATCTCTCCTTTTCATTATGGATCTCGCATCACGGCGTTTCGGGCGAGCAACTCTTTAGAGCTTGTCATTTGCGACAATTCAACTTTTTTCCTTTTTTTGTTCTCTGCTTTTACGATGAAGATTATTTCTCATCACCTTTTCTCGTTAACGACTGCGTTGTTCTGGTTCGGCATTGTTCTCGGGGAACGCTTTTTGCAAACAGGGTTTTGCAAAAACCACAAAAGTACCTTTTTCAACAAAATTGGGGAAACGAAACATTGGCATCTGCATTGATGGGGCACACAAAACAAACTTTTTTAGAAGCTTACGCATAACGACAAAACTTAACATCCGGGAAAAAGGAACAAAAGCCACGACATTACAAAACATCTCAACGATACCCCATACAACGAGACAAAAGGAGAGCAAGGAGGAGGATGTGGTAAGACAAAGGACCGGTAACAAATGTTACTCGGTGTCTTCAAATAAAACATATAAAACTATCTAGCAGAAATACAAGTGACACATATTACGTCTCTACATACTTGGCTCGTAGATATATTTTGGTAATAATTTTCATGTTTCTGTACAGTTTTGGAATAAAAAAAAAGACTAACAAACTGAAATAAGACTAAAGAAAGGAGTCGCTTTCAAAATGAAAGAAATTGTACATGGAAGAACCGTTGGCGCAATAACCTACTGCAGAACCATGTGTGAGTCAAAACAGACGGCACTTAGTGATATTAAATATATTATACCCAAAGACGCTTTTGAACAAGATTCACTTGCCCATGGGTGCTGCTTACAGCGTGTAATCTACAACAACAGCTGCAGGACGATGCCGATATACCCTCCATCTAATGTAAGTCCCATTCGCCCTCGTCGGCAACGTCAAAGTCCATGTTCTGCCTCTGCAGTCTCGTACGGTGCCGGCGATCCTCTTCCTCGCGCTGCTCGTCTTTCTCCCGTTCTTCACCTTCTTCGAGTTCGTCTTCCACCTCCATGATACAGGGGCCATTCCTCTCTGTTCCGTTCCGATCTGTGGTCGTCTGTGCGCCTGCAGTATGGTCGCCGTGGGCAGGGACCGCACCGGCGACCCAGCTGAGCTCGACTGGCTCGTCGATGCCCGGGATCAACTTGCTGTCTGGGGAAGCAGATGCGCCGCTGGCACGGGACAGACCGTGAAAGAAGGCCTCGGCGGTGCGGCGGTCGCCAAAGGTAATGGTCGCGTGGTCGTCTGTCGTGTCAATCGCAGAAAAGTCGCCGACGCCCAACAGATGTTGCCGCAGGGCCTCGCTCTTGGCGGGATCGGTGAAATCGCAACCGCTGACCGTGACCCGTCGCGGCCGGTTGTCGAGCGAGTAGGCCGCATAGACAAGTGACATGGAGCCTGGCTGGTAGCCACCGCGGCCGCCGCCTCTGCCGCCACCACGGCCCCGCGGGGCATAGCTACCCCGACCCCGACCATAGCCGTCGCCACGTGGTGGTGGTGTCCACGGCGAATAAGAATGCGACGGCCAATCATCGCCAGACATGGATGGAGACGGTTCGCCCAGGATCGTGTCCGGGTCGATGCCCAACAGTTTGGCCTCGGTCTCGAGCGTAGCGAGCTGTGCGCGGATCAGTTCAGTCTGCAGTGCCTGCGCAGCGGATTTGGATTTCGATGAACCGGGAGACTCGGCCCCACTAGTTCCGTCGTTGTCGTCGTCGTCACCGGCGGCTTGCTGCGAATCGCCCCGTTTAAGCTTTGCGGACATGTTGGCGACAATCTTTTTTCGCAGTTCAAGCTGCTGGGCGAAATTTCTCTTAAGGCGGTCGTCAATGCTCTGCTGCTGCTCGGCAAGCTCTTCCAGCAGCCGTTTCTTCTCCTCGTGTTCCTTTTGCGCAGCTTCTTGTTTTCGCCGAAACTCGTCCATGTCCAACTCCGGCGTTGCCTCTCCGACCTCTCCCTCTTCCTCGCCATAACCAAACTGCTTGAGCGAGGAATGTTGAGGCTTCTCATCGTCAAAATGCGACACGGTGACGAAGCGGTTGTCGAAAAGCGTCTTGGGCGATGTGACGGCCATGTGGGCCGCCGCGGGCGTGTCAAATAACACTGTAGCCACCTTGTACTGGGGGTCGATCATGACGTCCTCAATGGTGCCGAAAGTGGAAAATTGGCTTCGCACATCTTTTTCGTTCAAAAACTCGTCTGGAATACGTTTCACCACAATGGTCGCCTTTCTGGCACCTGCCGTCACGATTGTGACGCTCCGGGAAGGCTGCGGTTGCGCCATGGCAAGGCCAATCTGCGCGCCGGCAGGCGTGTGATCGAACCGGCAGTTCACCTTGTCGCAGACACCCTTCTTTTCGAGGTTACGGCATCGGCGCGCACGCTTTGGTTTCTTGGCGCGCTGGCCGCTCGTACCCGAAGCGGCAAAGGCGTTGTATGATGAGAGCGCAAGCTCCAGTTGCTGCTGCATCCGCATGAGGTTCTCGACCAGGTGTTGCGGGACGGGACCGTTGCCGTAGAAAAAGGGCTGCGGACCATTTGGTGACATACCGGCAGGCACCATTGGAGCACCGGGCTGGAACACGGCCGCGCCGGGGTTGAACGTGCCGGGGGCGGGCGGAATTTGTGGCAATGGCGCTGCTATGTAGCCGCTGTGCGTAGGTACAGGAAAGCCGGGCTGTATTGCAACATCTGCTCCTCCCCGACCACCACCCAAGATGCCTGCGCTGCCTCTGCTACGACGCGGCTGCTTGGCTGCCCTGTCACCTGCTCCTCCGGGCAGTGCTGCAGGCAGTGACGACTCATTGTATGTCCGTTTTCTCGAGCCGTTTGCGGGGGGGATCGTCGATTCGGACCCTGCAGGTGGTTGGACTGTGCCATAGCCACGGCTGGCACCGGCTCGTGGGAGTTGGGTAGTCGGTGCAGGAGGTTGTGGTCCCGGAGCAGGCTTTGTAGACGGCTGTCGGGCACCTGGGAGGAACGACTTCAAGGAAAGTGCTTCGAAAACTTCATCGACAAAAGGTCCAGTCTCTGCAGCACGGGTTAGCAAAGGGCCGGGCAGCAGAACCAAGCAAGCAGAGAATACAGCGCGTACCGTCTTTCAGAAAGTCATAGAGCTCCGACCGACACATCTCCTTTGCACTGGCTGAGCTCGTGTCGTGCTGGAGAAGGGCCACTACATATTCGGCTAGGATGTCGGCGTCCACGTCACTGTCGGTCCGTGATCTGTCGTGGAAACCGCAGTCAGTATTGGCAGAAGCAGGCGGCGTGCGCAATCACAAAGGCCCACGTACGATGCTTGCAACGCCTTTAGGCGCTTCATCAGCCATGTCTTCAGCAACGGCGCATCCTTCGCGTCGAGCACCATCGTTGCGGCCGCGATAGCTGTCGTCTCTACTTAGACGACAGCGACAAGCGTCAGTGTGGCGGGTGTGCGAGTCCACATGGGTCGTCGAGCGGTGGCGTGGAGAGGTAGCAGGCGGCCGTGTCGATTGAGGTTCAGGGTCGGGCTTGAAAAGGGGGTAATTGAGGATGCGATAACACCATATATAACTTTGGCTGGGCTGTGCGGGAGGAAGGCAACAGGTTGGGAAGGAAGGTGTTGCGTTGCTGGTGGCTCTTTCTAAAACGAAAGTAGATGAATTTACAAATGTCGGTGTTAGCAGTCTTAAAATTCTACAGCTAGCCTTGCAGGGGTATGTTTACGCGTCTGTAGCTTGTGCAGCGCGGCTAGCTACACTAAAGACCCGCTGTAATCGCTGTAGACGTTACCCGCTCCACTGAATGTGCTGAAAATGCCAACACTGCGGTCGCACATTGTAGTGCCACACATTATCACACATTATCACACATTGTCACATCACCCAAATTTACACAAATTCACTCCCAACATGAGACAGAATCGTTATGGACAAAAATCAGCCACGTTGGAAATGAAAATTGCAATTTCTTGGGATTACGGTAAAAAAAACATCATATTTGGAATCCAGTACACAGACAAACTATAAACATCATGAAAGCACCCGCTTTCTTTCTTTCCGTTTTTGGACCCATGGTTTCGTTGACGTTTCTTCAGCTGATGCTGGATCGTGTCGTTAATGCGAATAATGATACGATGGCACGCCTCCCACTAACAGGGGATATCGCTGGGCTAAGATGCGGGATATAAGGCGCTGAAAGGAGAGGCATGATGAAACGAGGCAGAGCCACACAGTAATTTGGTGAGAGAGCTGGCGAATGTTCCGTTTACAGCTTGTCGTAGTACTGTACACATTGTTAGTATTCGGCCATCTACCTTTCTTCTGTTTGGGGTGTTTGGGGATGCAAGAAGCAAAACGTACCATGTCGTAAGTCGGGAGCTCGACCTTGAGGTTCTTGCGCTTGCGCATGTCGAGGACGATCTGGCCGACCTTGCTGGTGGGGTCGAGCGGCGAGCCACCAGGCAGGATCTGGTAGTGGTCGAAGACGGACTGGGGGAAAGCCTGGCCACCGGTGGCCTGGCGCAGATCGCCGTTGAAGCCGAAGGACTCCATGACGGGCATGTAGGCCTTGATCGTGAAGAGGGGCGTGCCGGGGCGCTGCTCCTCGTTGAAGACGTGACCTCTGCGGCGGGTCAGGACACCGTACACGCCACCCATGGCCTGCTCGGGCACCTGGATCTCGACCAGGAAGACGGGCTCCAGAAGAGCCGGCTCGGCCAGCAGCAGCGAGGCGAACAGCACACGGCGGGCCGTGGAGATAATCTGGCCACCGCCACGGTGAATGGCATCCGCGTGCAGGGTGACATCCATGATGTTGAAGCGGATCTGGCGCATCGGCTCCTCACCGATGGGACCTTCACGGGTGGCCCACTGGAAACCGGAGACAACGGAGTCCTTGATCTCCTGCAGGTACTGGACGGCCTTGGTCTGGTCGACCAGCAGGTTGGCACCGATGGTGTCGGGACCGAAAGCCCAGATCTTGCGGGCGTCGGTGACATCCCAGCCGTAGTTGTCCGCCAGAACACGGCCGCGGGCCTTGAAATCGTCACGGGGGCCGATCTTGCCAGCCTCGATCTCATTCGCGAGCTCCTCGTCAATGGGCTCGGCCTCCATGTACAGACGGTTGTGCTTGTTGGGCGACTTGGACAGGGCAGTCATGCTGGACTTGCCAGTGACCGTCTCACGGAACTGGACGACAGGGTCCGAGATGATCAGGGGAACGCCGGCGTGGTCCTCCTCGAGATCCTTCAGGCAAATCTCGAGATGCAGCTCACCGGCACCGGCAACGACGTGCTCACCAGACTCGTTGGTCAGGGTCAGGACGCAGGGGTCGGACTTGGACAGACGCTTCAGACCCTCAACAAGCTTGGGCAGGTCCTGGGCGTTCTTGACCTGGACGGAGCGCTGCACGACGGGCGAGACGGAGAACTTCATGACCTTCAGGTTGTGCGAGGTCTCGCTGGTCGACAGGGTACCCGACTTCAGCAGGAACTGGTCGATGCCGACCAGACCGACAATGTTACCCGCGGGCATGTCGTCAATAGGCTCGACCTTGCCGCCCATCATCAACACGGTACGCTGAATGGCCTTAATGGTCAGGTCCTCCTTCTTGCCGGGCACGTAGTTGGGGCCCTGGATGCGGACACGCAGACCCGAGCGGACGGTACCCGAGAAGACACGACCAAAGGCGTAGAAGCGGCCCTTGTCGGAGGTGGGCACCATCTTGGACACGTACAGCATCAGAGGAGCCTTGGGGTCACAGTCGCGGATACCAATGGCAGCCTCGTCGTCCATAGGACCCTCGTACAGGGTCTCGACACGGTAGCGCTGGGCAGTGACGGGCGAGGGCAGGTGCAGGATCATCATCTCCAGCAGGGAGTCGGCAGCGGGCAGGAAGGTGCGCATGACAGCCTTGAGCAGCTGCTTGCCCTCCTTCTCGCGGTCTTCGACCGGGAGCTTCAGGGACAGCTTCTCCAGGAGGTTGGCGACCTCCTCCTTGCGGAAGTTCATGACGGCCGAGAAGATCTTGAAGATGGGGTCCAGGATGAACTGGTTGAAGGCACGCTCCAGCTGCTTACCCTCGTAGGTGCCGTTCTTGGTCCACTTCTTGGTGGCGGGGTTGAAGTAGTTGTCGCCCCACAGACGCTCCATCATCTTGTTGCGGTCAACACCGAACTTCTTGGCGTAACGGACGGCGAACTGGCGGATGGTGAAGGCCCAGCCGTGCAGACCGGAGCCGAAGGCAACGGTACCGCGGTCGGGGTAGACCTGAACGTCACCAAGAGCTTCGTCGAGGTAGGTCGAGATGATGACGTTGACGGACTCAATGGTACGCGAGAAGGACTGGTACAGATCCTCCTTGGACACCTGCAGCTCGAGCAGCGCGCGGTCGACCTTGTTGATGATGATGACGGGGCGGATCCGCTCACCAAGGGCCTGGCGCAGGACAGTCTCGGTCTGCACGCAGACACCCTCGACGGTGTCGACGACAACAAGGGCACCATCCGTGACGCGGAGGGCAGCAGTGACTTCAGACGAGAAATCAACGTGACCGGGCGAGTCAATGAGGTTGATCAGGAAGTCCTTGCCGTCGGTCTTTTGGCCAACAATGTCCTTGACATCGTCATCATCACCGAGCGTGCCGTACAGGGAGATGGCGGTCGACTTGATGGTGATACCGCGCTCCTGTTCGTCTGCACGAGTGTCGGTGGCGCGAGCGTCACCGGCCTTTGCGGTGGAAATGATACCAGCCTTGGCCAGCAGAGAGTCGGTCAGGGTAGACTTGCCGTGGTCGACGTGGGCAATGACGGACATGTTCCGCACATTGGTCGGCTTGTCCATCAGCTGACGGATCTCGTCGATCGTGAAGCTGGAGGGTAAACCATGGTTAGTAATGATGGACTGGATCAATGATGAACATTGGAAACGCTTGGCCTAGAAAGCCTGAAGCATCCAAGAACAATCTGAGCATCAAGACATGCCAATAACAACTTCTGCCAGTCTCGTCTTGCATCACGTTCATGTTCTGCCCTCCCTCCCCTCACCAAACTGCCGTCGGACGGTAGTTGGGCTTAAGTCCGGGTGGGCAGAAAAGATTTCGTGATGCACAACAAACACGATAACGAGGGCAGAGGATTGATGAAACCAAAGCCTAGTCGTGGAGAATTGGAAAACCTGATGCGATGCAGAGGAGAGGTAAGGGATAGAAGCTACTCACTTCACCATCTTGGCGGTATTGTATCGCGATCACGATATAAACGGTTTCAAAGGGGGTTTGAAGATTGGTATGGTTGAAGGGAAGAAAAAAAAGAAGAAACAGAGGGGAGAGAAAAGAGGAGGGAGGGTATGGTAGAAAACGGAGAGTTGGGTAGAGAGAGAGGGTGGGTAAGTGCGAAAGGTTTTTTTTTAATAGGCGGGGTATTTTTTTCTGGCGTCTCCATATCTCCTGCCGCACTTAAGTAGCATATCGTCCTGCCTCTTTCCTTGCACGAAGCTGTTGCTGCGGCAGACAAATAAGATGCACCTATTTTGTCTCGTGGCGGGGCGCTAAGAGGAAAGAGCAGTCACAGATTTTTGGGCTGACAAACTAGCCACGGATTAGCAGCACTCAATGCACCATGCAGCAGCTGGTATTTGTGAGAGCTTTCTTGTTTGGTTCGTAGGGCAGTGCACCCAGTTACACGATAGGTGGCGAAAGGGAAGGAAAATACAGTCGCTTGAGGTGGCTTTGAGAGCGAAATCGAGGCTATTTACGCCGGTGTGTTATTTGGGAGTCACAGAGAAGAGTCAGAAGAGTCAGAAGAGTCAGAAGGAGTCATAACCAGTCGCTCGCGCCTTCCGGATCAAAAAAAAGTATATTATGACCGCTGCCGACAGGAAGCTACGACTGGGCACACAAACCGTACCGGGATCAGATGCTCGTCTGCAACGACAGAAAAAGGCAAGAATGGCGATTCATGGACGCGTTAGGAAAGCGGGGGCGGGGACTGCACTTGCCGTTCGACTCAGAGTCTCACTCACCCCAGCAACTGCGCCAGGGAGGGGTAAGGTGGCAGAGCCTTCCGTGCGCGCGCTGTAAACTTCTTGGTTCAGCAGGCTGCGTGCCGCGTTACAGGCCATCGAACCTCCGTTGCAGAAAACAGCTTGGTCATGCTCTGGGACGGCAAGGGGGTCCTTTCTTTTTTTGCCCAAGGCTCAATTCGCTGCCATGTTGTGCCGCCCATACCTTTTCCTGTCAGGGCTAATATGCACGTAAGCCCTGAACGCCACAATTGGACCCACATTGAGCTTCAGCCACAATCAGAGCCAACATCATTGAAGCTCCCGAATGGACGATACAACAGAACGGGCGACAGAGAAACAAATGCGAATCGCAAGTGTATGCGGTGTAAGCAGAATGTTTTGTTGTTTTTGCAATTTTGGAAGGCATTAGATGTAGGTAGAATATAAGAAAAAAGCAGTGGTATACAGGATCACTCCTTAGGATCGCTCCTTCCAGAAACAGACTCGGAACGCCAAATATGCATCACAAATCAAAACGGCTGTATGCATGCCACCCTATTATTGCCCCCCTTTTTCGTTCTGGTGCCGAGAAGCACTTATCAAATACTTCACTTTTTTTGTTTACCTCCCAATCCCCCGCTTCACCTCACGACGTCCCGAGAATCCGAGAATAAGCGTCCTCGACTTCGCCTGCCAGTTCCAGCAAGGAGACAATCACAATTTGGTGTGTCAGGTTTGGCAGACGGTCCCGGTGGAGGCCAATCCATTCCAGCGGCGGTGTCGCTTCGCCCATGTCGCGCAGCTGAGGCGTCTCGATAATGGCCGTCTCCAGTGGATTGTAGAAGTACTTGGACTGCGGCACGTTGACCTCGGCGGTGATCTTGGTTTGCGTGCCGTTCTGGTCGCTCGTCTTGTCGGCTGCCGCCCCGTCGCCACCGCCCCCCAAATCAGTCCCATCAGCGGCGCTGTCGGGTACACCTGTGACACGGATGGCAGCCAGAGGGATTTCGCGGCCGAATGTCTGCTCGAGCGTGCGGGAGTGGTTCGCCCACATGCCGCGGATGTAGCTGATGCGTGAGTAGTTCCAGCCAACCTCGACCTTGCCCTCAAAGGCAGACTTGAAGATGTAGTCGATCTGGCGCGACTCGGGCTGCTGCCAGGTCTGCATGCTGGCCTCGACGCGCGGCACCTTGAGAATCGTGCCTCCGCGTGAGCCGGTGGCGCTCAATACAACATCTTCGACCGACAGCTCGCCGATTGTTTTCGGCGGCCCATCGGGCGTCGTTGTTGTCGTCGGAATGTGTCGGACACCAGCCAAGCCGATGCGAAGCTGGCCGAGCGTCAGTCCGAGGTTGCTGTGGACACGGCCGTTGTCAACACTGGCCGTGAACCGCGCCTGAGCATTGAGTGCTTCCATTTTGAACACCTGGTGGTCGGCAAAGGTGTTGGGGTAGACGCCGAGGTTGACCGCCCGTAGCGTGACGACAACATCTGTATCCAGCGAGATGGGCGACTTGGCAAGGATTCTGTCATCGTCGTCACCACCGACAGGCTCGAGAGGCAGCCCGGCCGCATCCGCCGCGGACCCAATAGCCAGAGCAGTCGCCGTCTTCGCTGCACCGCTGAGTACTTTGCCGCCTGCGGCTTCAGATATCGTTTGTGCTGCACTGGCCGATGGCCGCCGGTTGGTGAACTTTTCAATCTCCCTCAGCGACGTCTCATAGTTGGCCTTGCGCTCCTGCACCAGCCGTAGGAAGGCTTGATACAGAGCAACACTCTGTGCAGCAGACGTCGTGGTGCCAAACACCTGAACAGCGTCGCCCTCAAACACAGCGACAAGACGGTCGCCGAGGCCCTGTCCCCGGCGTACATTATACATCATAAAGTCGAGTGAGCGGACGTCAGCAACAAGGAAGGCTTGGTAGTCAAATGACGCCTTGACTCGCAGTTGACTGAAGCTAATGGAGGCCTGAATCAGCGGTGTCTTGCTCAGCGCCTGTTCGCGCTGTGGCCATTCGATCGAGGTGCGCAGCCGGAAATCCTCGAGCGCCACGAACCCGCTCATGCGGCCCGTACTGTCGACACCGACACGGCGGAAGCCGAGACATAGATTCTGCTCCCAGTCCGAGGTCTTCTTGGACGACACCCAGAAATCCTCAATGGCAAAGACAGACTTTCCGAGCGCTTGGCCCAGGTCCACATTGATCTCCAGCGCCGCGATCAAGATGGAGGCCGTCCACGGGAATGCGGCCGTTGCTGCAACCTGTTGGTATCGCTGCACGAGGTGAACGGTCGGCTGCTGCTGTGACGAGGACGACGCTACCGATGCCGATGTTGTCTCACTGGCCAAGTTGGTGGTCACAATGGGTACACTGTCGCCCTTTTGAAGATCTCGCGGCGTCCAGATTTCGCGGAAGAGGAGGAAGTCTTGCACCTGCCGCACATTGATTGAGACCTTCATCGGACTGACTTTGAGCAGTGCGGACACGCCACTCACGCCGCTGACGTGTTTGCTGTTCATCAGGGACAGGACGATCGAGTCAACCTCGAAGTTGCCGGTTGACTCACGCGAGTAGACATGCTGCACTGACGCTTGCAGGCGGCTAATGTTGCCCGAGATAGCCACAAAGTTGCCGTGCTCGACGGTCCGAATTGTGTTTATCGTCAGGTAGACGTCGTCGAAGCTCGTTGTGGCGGCGACACGCGCTATAGGCTGGCAGCTGAGCGAGAACTGCTGCTTGTAGATGCGCAGGCCCAAGTTGAGCTTGAGGCGGCCAAGCATGGCGTTGGAGTTGGCTGCCGACATGAGAATGTTTTCCTCTGGCTTGGACTTTGTCATGGCGGTCGCAATCTCGGCTGCGTCTTGGTCGTCATCTTGCGCCAGTTTTGCCACCTGTCCAGAGTTGCTGACAACTTCCTTGATGCTTTGCGTCAGATCCATGACCAAAGGCACAACCGACGGGTAGATGACATTGCTGGATGGGTCGATCTTGACTTCGGCGTACAGCGAGGGGTCTCCCTTGCCACTATCTCGGTACTCCAGCTTCCACGCCAAGCCCGGCGAGCGGAGCGTTGTGCTTCCGCCTGCCTCGTCCGAGTTGAACTGTCCGTATTTCCCGCTAACGCCCGATCGGCGTGCGCGTGCTGTGCTGGCACCGGCACCAGTATTGTCTCTCCCGGACGCACCAAATGTTGTAGCCGCCGGGCCAAATAAATTGCCAGTTGGCGAGGCTTTCTTACCGCCAATGTACACCACCGCACCGGCGAAATCTACATCCACCAACAGCGACTCCAGTCTCTTGTTGCCGAGGATCGGTGGCTTCGCGGGCGACTCTGGAAGCTTAGATGGCGACGACGCGCCCGTCTTGGATCCTGTGGCGCCAGGAGAGCTTGTGGTGGGGTTCCAGCGCCGCGAGACCTGCTGTACATTCTTTATGGACAGCTGGATCGAATCCTTGAGGTGCGCTGCAGGCACGATAAATTCCGAGGTGAGGCGCAGATCCAGGGACTTGCCCACGGCCTGGAAAGCGAAACGGCGCGTCCGCGAGGTAGAAAAGTAGGCAACATTGAAGATGACCTCCGGCAGCAGTGCCGAGTTAGGCGAGCGAGCCTTTTTGTCTTGTGTCGGTGGCACCAGCTGCAGCTGTAGGTTCTCGATAGTCAAGCGCGCCGAGTTCTTGGTGCGCGTGCCCAGCTCAATGCGACCTAGAAGCAGCACGAGATCTTCCTTGGCCTCGTTCGGTGGTGCCGTTAGATAACGGGATTGTTTGGGTGAGAAGGTGGCAAGCGCACACAGCCAGTTGACCTGGATGTTCCGGATTTCAAAAGTGTACGCAATCGAGGACAAAAAGGACTTTATAATGTCAGGCTCCTCCTCCTCCTCGGGACCACCTTCGACCGGCTGCTGGTCGTTGATGACGATGCGCGGCTTCGATTGCCGCAGCTTGCGTAGGTATTCCATCTCGCGGGACGTGTCAAGGTCGTTAATCTTGTCGCCCATGTAGCCGAGAACATCGACGACGGTGGACACCGTGTCGGGCGAGAGGCTCACATCGAAGCCGTCGCTCTTAATGTCAAACGCACGCTTCTCTGTGCCGTCATCGCCCTGCTTGGACGTCGCTGTGATCAGGGCCGCAAAGACCATGCTGCCACAGGATGCCATCTGTCCTTCCGAGCCTTTAAGAATATCCAAGGCAATGCGGCGCAAATTGAGATAAATTTCCGGATAGGCCAGGACAGGGCCACCGTTTTCAAGCCGGTTCGTCACCTCAAGACGAATGCTGTCGAGGCAGAATGAGAGATGCGCCATGGGCTCCGTATCCGCCTTGAGCGATACATTGCCAAAGATTTCCAGGCCGGCAAACGTCGAGTGCACAGAGTACACTGTGGGCTTGACTTTGGTCTTGGCCGGTGCCACAGGGAGTGCCTGCGATGGTCCGGGTGCGGCAGCTACGGGTGGCTGGCTGCTGAAGATCTCCTTAAAATGCCGCTGGATCACCTTTAATTGCTGCTGCATGTCGGCAACGGTGCTGGCTATTTCCGGTCGATTCAGGGCAGACAGCAGGCTGTACACGGCAGCGGCGTCCAGCTGCACCAGCTCCAGTGACGAAAACACAGAGATGGTCTGCTCATGCTCGCCGATGCGCGTGGAGATGCGTCCGTTCGTCGGCGGGATCTGCAAAACTGAAATACTGCGCGCAGAATTGTTCGTGTTCGACGTCACTTGCATATCGTGCGCGTTCTCCTTGACGTCAAAATCAAAGATAATCTCCTTGCCAAAGTTTGCCGCCACAGCGACTCGCGCAACAACACCAGAGATCTTGTACGTCAGCGAGCGCAGCAGCGGTACACTGATGCTATATTGCTCGAGGAACAGGGCTACTTTGAAGCTGAAGGACGACAGACGCTCAGCAATCTTTCCGTTCCCGTCGTCCTTCGTGGTCTTCTGCACAGCTGTGGACGACGCAGGCGCGGATGCTGTCGGCTTGTCGGGCTCCAGGGGGAACAGCTCGCCAAACTGGTAAAGCTGCGCCACCTCGTCTCGAACAAGCAGGTCGAGCGTCTCGAGCAGCGCAAGCGGGTCCTGCTTGATGGCGAAAGAGAAGTTTTGACTGCTGGCCGTGGCCTTGATGGTGTGCTCGTAGCGGTTCTTGGTCGTCTCCATGCAGTGCGCCACAAATACGCCCGGCCGTTGCAGCTGCGACGAGGTGACGAGCTCCGAGTGGCTCTTGGCGCGCGACGTGATGGTATCGCAGCTCGTGATAAAGTTGGTGTCGATGATGCGGTTGGCACTGCGACGGACAAGCAGGGACGACTTCATGCCCTCGCTGGCCATGCGTACGTTAAGGTTGATCGTGTCCAGAACCAGCAAGCCATGATCCATGGCGAACACGACGTGAAGCGCGTTCTGTTGGGGAACGGCGCCAGCACCACCGGGTACGGGTTTGACAGGTAAAGGCTTCGCGCCGCCTTTGCTTACCATGTCGTCTTTCGCGGGCTCGGTAACGGCCTTGCTCGCAGCGCCGGCTTCCTCGTCAGCCGCTGCCTTTTCGGACAACCGCCGCTTGTACAGGCGGATGACATCTTGTGCGAGCTCACAGATTTCCCAGTTGAGCCGGACGGCGGAGTCCGAGCAGAAAATGTTGAGTATCGACGTCACATCGGTTCCTATACCACCTGCGCCCGCCGGCGCAACACCTCCTGTTTTCGCCTTGGGCGGCACATTGTTGGCAACCGCTTCGCCGTTCTCGAATCGGACCGTGAGGTCAAAAAAGGTAATTTCGTTTTGCTTCGGCCCGGGGTCCAGAAGAAGCTGTAGCTTCCGGACGCGCACGACGCTCATAAAAGCCAGGATAGGCCGCTTCTCGGCCGCCTTCTTGTACATATCCACCTTGAGAGAGCCAAACAGCTCCTGCAAGAACAGAGACTGCGTCAGATCGCCGAGGTCCCAGCCGCGCCAGTACTCGAGCTTCGTGATTACCTCGCGTACGGTACCGCCCGGAGGCGCGACCACAAACTGCGCCTGGACGGGTTCGACGATTGGTAGTAGTGGAGCCTGACCAAGACACTCACGCATGAGCTGCTCCCTGGGCTCCTTCTTCATCAGGAACCATACCTGGCGCAGACGCATAGCGAGTTTCCAAGAGTCAAAAGTGCGCAGGTGCTCGTGGGCTGAGCGCAAGATAGCCGAGGGTCGGACGAGGAATCCAGGGTCGGTGACGCCGATACCCGCAGAAATCAAACGCTGAGCCAGGTGCGGGCGTATGCGGCTGTTGTAGGAGAGCGGCCTGGCAAAAGACTCGGACAGGTCCTCGATGAGAACGCCAGTGCGGTGGATCAGTGAGGCAATGTACTCGATCTTCTCGGAGCTAAGCTGGGCCTCGACGGCACCAATATCGGCGTCGAGGTAGGCCAGGTCTTTGGTTCCCATGGACACGAGGACGTTCTCGACGCTGGCGACAAAAGCGGCCTGGGGTGTAGAAATAGCGGCGAGACGCTCGGACGCGGACAGCTCGACAGCGCCCAGGCGCAGCTGGAAGGAGTTGTGCATCTGGCTCTCTTCTGGCCGCATGGCGTCGCGCCAGGTAGTCTTGGCACGCGACATAAAGGTGATGTTGGACACAGAGACATCGTACTGGTCCTGCTCATCGCGAGCAGCAGAACCAACAGCACCTGGATTGGGGGACGAGGTGGCGTTGAGGAAGCGCAAGTTGGCGCGCGGGAGTTGGACGACAATGTCCTGGACTTTGCCCTTCATCTTACGCTGCTTGCCCGCGGTGATGATGCCGTCCATGGCGCTCATCTGGACAGCATCCAAGATGTCGTCGGGCTCTTGCGGCAACAGTGCGGAGATGAGGGCGGCAATGTGTTTCGCGGACGTAGGGTTGAAGAAGGCGCTGATTCCGTCGTGGACGCGGATGAGTGTACTCGCGTGCACCTTGTCGTCGCTGAGGATCTCCGGATCGACGTCATCAAGACCAAAATCGGCGGGGGACATGCCATCGCCCACGCTGCCGGCACTGCCTGCACCTTCGCCATTCAAAAACCCATTTTCGGTCCCTGATGTCTCATCTCCACCACCACTCCCACCACCACCACTGCTACTGCTGGAATATTTTGCATCGCATTGGGCGGCGACTTCCGAGACGTCCGGTCTAACGTCTTCTAGGGGAAAATAAGGAGCAATGTATTTACTCGAAAACGCTACTGTCTTGTGGTTAGGGTCATGCTGCTCGCGGCGCGACGACGAGGCCGTCTCGTGCTCGGCTGGGGGGCTGTAGAACCCAGAGAAGTGAGTGGAGGACGACCCATTGCGAGTGTAAGAACGCCGCTGATGCTCTCCTGGTGTCTCGATGGACGTTTCTGGCAGAGCATCGCGGTGCGTGTGTGCCGAACTGCGCGGCCGGTAAACACTGCCCTGGCTGCTCGTGGTCGAAGCCGTTGCGGACAAAAACGAACGCTGCGATTGCTGGCGGCGCAGGCGCCGCTTGGATGCAAGAGAAGTGCCTCGGGACGACAGTGAGATGCCGTCGAGCTCGAGGTCCTTGGCCGTGACCGGCTGCGGGATGAACGGCACGGGCTGTGCGGGCGGGTCGACTGGGTCAGGAACAAAGGCCGGGTCGAAGTACTGGGGCAGGAGCAAAAACGAGGTGCGCTGGGTGCGCTGGTCCTCGCGACGGATGAGCGCCTGCTGCAGCGTGCGCTCGTTGGTGAAATCAAACTTGCGGCCGACAATGGCAATGCTCAAGCTCGTCTTGACAAACGCGTCGGTCTCGACGGGCGCCTGGGGCCGCGACTTGTGGCGGATGGCGGATTCAGAGTTGACGCAGGAGACTTGAAGGTCCGGAATGGAAATGTCTGCGCGCTTGGAGTAGTGCTGGCGCGCCCAGTCGTTGTAGTTGACGTCGACGCCGTTCTCGAGCGACAGGAGGAAGGCGGCTTCCTCGACGTGCAGCCAGATGTTGACGGACTGGATGTAGACGCGCAAAAAGGTAATGTCGTACATGACGAGGGTGTGGTACGGCACGAGGGCGTTTTCGTCGTCGTCAAACGTAAAGCCAAAGGCCTTGCCGCCGCCCGCCAGTGCCGTCAGGAAATCGGTTGTGCACTCGCCCATGACGGCGCCGACAGACAGGTCCCAGTTGCACTGGTAGGTGGGCTCCGTAGGAGGCAGACCAAAGAGGCGATTGCCGTAGACGTGCAGGCCGTCGACAAACAGTTGGGTGTTGGACAAGGATGCTGGGTCGCGGTCCGCGCGGCTGTTGCTGCTGTCACCATCCTTGTTGCGGCCATCGTCGCCGCCAGAGGCGTCCGTACCGAGCGAGAGGCTGAGGGGTGCCAGAACAACGTCGACGTCCATGTAGTAGTTTGTAAACCGCAGGTCGGCGTCGAGGCCCGCGGAGTCGATTTGGACGTGGCGCGCGGCCGAGTAGATGTTGGCCGGCAGCAGAAGCGTGGGATCGTCGGCGTGCACGCTCAGAATGACGTCGAGGTCGTTGGAGACCTTGTGGGGCGGGCGGCTGGCAATCTCGGCGTCCGGGTCGGTCTCCTTGAGACGGAGGTTGTCCTGGTACTCCTCGAGGGTCGTAAAGTGGACATCATCGCCAAAATAGTTGTCCTTGAGCTTGATAAAATAGCGGACCATGAAGCCGTAGGCAGTAAACGAGGGCCGCTGGCCGGCAATGTTGAGCACCAAGGTGTCGGTGAGGTTGGGCGCGGTGGCCGCGTGGTATTGGTACTTGCCGTCGACACGCAGCATGCTGAGGCGGCCGACCTGCTTGTCGCGGACAAACATGGACTGGGTGTTCCAGGGCGGGGCGTGCAGCTCGACGGTGGCCGCGTCGGTGCGCACGTCAAAAGGGATGGCGTTGTCGGGCGGGCGGAACTGGTCGAGCGGGACGCACACGGAGGCCTCGAGCAGCGCGCTGGTCAGGACGATGAAGGTGTTGTCGTCCATGCTGGTGGGGTTGTTGATGATGTTGGCGTCGTTGACATTCAGATACATCTTGACGTTGGGGAGGGCGAGATCGATGTAGTACTGGAAGGGCGTAAACACAAGGTACTCGGCGGGCGGGCCGGTGCCCCAATCGTCGATCAAGTCGGTGAGCAGGTAGACGTGGTCGCGCAGCAGAAAAAGCTCGAGGTCGTTGCTGGTGATGTGGAAGCGCCACTGGCGCAGGGCGTTCCACTTGAGGGGGGTGGACAGGTCGCAGGCGATGCGCAGAGCGCCGGACCGCCACAGAGCTTCTTGGTTGACGCTGCTCGAGATCTCGACACGGGGCAGGTCGAGATCGAGCGTCGCTCGGAACCCTGTGGCCGTTGCGAGCATATCCATAGAATAAGAGATGGTGGCGTTGCTGGCGATCTTGATGTCGAGCCAGCCGTAGGGCCGCTGGCCCGAGGCAGAGGGCGCGGGCTCGGATTTCTTATACCGGGACCGGTTCTTGCGCTTATCGCGGGCGGAGCGAAACTTGGTGGCCATATCCTTGCCTTTGAAGCGCCAGTTTTTGGACGCCTCGCGGGTGGGGACGCGCAGTGTGACCTCGTCGTCGAGCTCGACATAGACCTTGAACTGTGTGGGCAGACGCACGGCGCCGACGGGCAGGCGGCGCGCGGGCGTGGCGTCCTTGCTGAGGCCGGGAAAGAAGACGCGCTGCAGCTCGGCGCGCTTGCGGTCAGCCCAGGGCCCGTAGTTGACGGAGCCGCCGCGGATGGAGAGAGATAGGCCCCAGGCGGGCGACGGCTCGTTGCCGTTGACGTCTAGAACGTTCAGAGAGGGCGGCCTTTCAGAGCGCTTTGCACGGCCGGCGTCGTCGCCGGGCGGCAGTCCTGCAATAGCACCGGCCGTGACTTTGCCGGCCGAGTCCCAGTAGAGCGTCAAGAACGCCTCCGGACTCTCGAGGATCGGGTTGAGCATAGCATACTCGGAGGCCGTCCACCGCGTCTTTTCGTCGCCGCCCGGGCCGTCAAGATACCGGGACAAGCCCTGCCAGTGGACAGAGCCGGGTAAGCGAACAGACGTCGCCGTGGCCGGCGGATCACGAGGATCAGCCGAAGTAAACGATTCGACGGAGCTGCGGAAGTAGGGCAGCAGGTTGCGCAGCTGGCTGTAGGCGGAGCGGCGGTAGTGCCGGAAGAACGAGCGCGGCGGCAGGGGCCCGGTGTCGTCGGCGATCTGGCGTTCACGCACGGCTCGGGTCGTCTGGTCCTCACGGTAGTCGTCGTTGTCGCGGATCTCGACAACGGGCTTCTGGAATTGCAGCCGGAAGATCTGGCGATACGGATCAGGGGTCTCGGTGTGCTGGGCGTCGATCTCACCGGACAGGACCTGGGTCTTGACGATGAGGATGCCCGAAGTGTTCTCGTTGCCCATCACAACAGCCGCTTTGTCACACGTGAAGTGGATAGGGAAGAGTTGGAGGAAAGCCGGCAATGCCTCATTGTTGCTGTCGGCCGCGTCGGCCGCCCTTCGCTGCTCGGCCTCCGATGCGCCAGCCGCGTTCCCATCGCCGTGTCCACCGTCCTCGGACGACGACGACGCCGACATAGAGTCAGCGCGGCCAGGTGGACGCTTGCCACTGCTGTCGCCGGTCCTGCTCTTCATGGCTTCGACAAAGGCCGTCACCTTGTTGCCCAGTCCCAGTCGCTCGCCGTCGTCGCCGTGGCTGTTGTTGTTTCGCCGTTTTCGTAGTTTATGTAGCAATTCATCGCTGTGCCGGGGTTGGTTGGGGTTGATTTCCTCGTACTTTTCGCTTGCATTGCATTCATCGCTGTGCTTGTTGCCGTCGTTCTCATCCGGGTAGTCATTCATTCCCGTCAAGCCGGCCACAATGCTGTCGTACGCGGCGCTGCGGTTGTACACGTACCACTCGAGGCCGGCCAGCGACACGCTCATGCGACAGGGGATCTTGGATTTGGTCTTCTGGTGCACCTTGCCCTCGTTTGGGTCACTGGGATCCTCCGAGGCGGCAGGGCCCTTGCCGGTCTGTCGTCGCCGCTTGCCCAGGTTAATGTGTCGCACCCGCCGCAGCCAGTAGGCCCAGGTAAGATGCCCGTTCTGGATGAGGATCGTCTCGTTCTTGCCGTGGTACCGCAGCCCAACAAAGAAGATGCGGCCACCCAGCAGCGAGAACTGCACGGCCTGTACGTCAATGTAGATGCCATAGCGGTGCCATGTCCACGTGCGCAAGGCCCACGAGACAATCGACGCGAATAGGCGGTTGAAGTAGAGGAGGAAGAAGAGGGCCAAGAATGTCGCGACGATGATGTAGGCCAGGAAGACACCGCTGAACCGGGTACCATTGGCCTTGAAGGCACTTCCGGCAAAGGCCACAGCGCGGACATCGACGCTGGGATCGAGGTCACCGTGGAGGCCCATCATGTCAGGACCCCCTTGGGAGGCTATGACTTGGGGCTTCAAATCTATGCCAGTCGTGACCTCGCTGCTTCGACACGCAGCTTAAACGCCATCACGGGGTGGCCAGCTGCTCATTGTCCGTCGGGTGAGGGCGGTGGGTGTCGTCGGGTCGTTGGTTCGCTTGTGCGAGAGTGTTGTTTGTGTACGATGCGTCGAGAGCACGTGGAATTCCGCGGGCAACCGTGCAGCCTTGGTCCTTCTTGGTCGGGAGCTTTTATCGGTGATAGCGCGCTGCAATAAGGCTGTGTCGCGATTTAGGGGAAGGAGCAGGCTAATGCACCTGCCGAGCTGTCCATCCCGAAGTTTAGGGGCGTCTCCACAATTCAGCCTGCGATGTGTTTCCGTCGTTCGTGTCCAGTTTGGCATTCCACGTTTGGGAGGAACGATGAACGATCAGGACATAAGACTGGCAAGGCTTTATGTATAGTCTCTGAAGCCGACGGCGTTGTATTAACGGCGGGTTGCGTTTCTTGCTTTGAGAGACGTATGCAAAAATTTGGTAAGCTCTTATTTTTATGTGTATATATATTCATTAAAAAAATGTTTAAAAAAAAAAAAATAGTACATCTATTTAACCAAAGAAACCCTCCCAACCAAAACAATAAAAAACGCAGACTCTCCGTTATATCAAATACAACACTTCTCTCTCAGTACCAAGCTCGATAAATGACAAGGCAACGTATAATTTCTGGATTCCGGATCTGTGGCCGCGACCTCCAGATAAAAAGAGCTGTCAATTGCTGTAGACCTGTTAGCGCTTAGACATAGCTTCCAAGTGTGCCCAAAACGCCTATCACGCCTCCCCGATAAGGCCTTATCAGCATGACCTAGCCTAACCGCGCTAATGCACCAACAAATTACAGCGCAACACACCACCATGCAAGAGCTAGAGTCCTGACGTCGTCATTACGGCTTGCCAAAACGGAAGGACGACATTACGCAAGCCAGGCTTCCACATCTCGACCGTCAACCCACCACATCGCCATCCGACGTGCTCCGGAGCTCGACCTCCCGCGCTCCGCCTGCCCTGCTCCTGTCTCCGACGATGCATGTCGCCGCGTAGACTTGTGCTAAAGCGACCCAGCCGGTGGCCCAGCACGCTTTGTCGGCCCCCTTTCGCCGGTTTCAATTTTCGACTTCATTGTCCCGAAACGCGTCTGATCCGCGATCCGATCGCATCGCCACTGACGGCGACACACCCCAGCATCTTCCATTCTGTACTTGTTCGGCACCGCGCCATTTCCCATACTCAAAATGGTCGGAGGAACGGGCCAGAAGCTGGCCGAGACGACGGTGATCTTGGCCGGTGCCGCGTCTTTGGCCGCGACGCTGATGTCGATCGTGTATGTAACTGGCTTCCGTATGTCGTGATGTTGGCCCCTCGACTGTCTGCTAATCACTGAATTCGTTCCGCAGGTCCATATGGCTTCAGCTGTACGTGTCTATGCTATCGTCACTTACGTCCTTGCGCTGGCTGTCCTGACACTTTTAGGAAAAACTACCGCAAACCGCTCCTGCAGCGATATGTCGTCCGTATTCTTTTGATGTACGAAACTGCCAAATACCCGAACGTCTGCATAGCAGCATGCCTATGGTCGCCCATACTGACTCTGACAGGGTCCCCATCTACTCCATATCGTCCTTTTCTAGCATGATATCGACCACCGCCGCCCAATTCCTCGACCCCATCCGTGACATCTACGAGGTTTGTTTTTCGGCTGCTCCCCATGGCCAATGTGCAACGTCTTTGCTACCACAACTTCTAACATTACCAGGCCTTCACCATCTATACATTCTTCCAGCTCCTTATCAACTATCTCGGCGGCGAGCGCTCGCTCATCATAATGACCCATGGCCGTGAACCCATCTCCCACCTGTGGCCCTTGAACCACGTTCTCCCTCCCGTCGACATCTCTGACCCCCACTCCTTTCTCGGCATCAAGCGCGGCATCCTGCAGTATGCCTGGCTCAAACCTCTCCTGGGCATCGCCGCCATCGTCATGAAGGCCACTGGTACCTACCAGGAGGGCTACATTGGTCTCAACTCGGGCTATTTCTGGAGCGGTATCATCTACAACCTCAGCGTCACCGTCAGCCTGTACTCGCTGGGTCTCTTCTGGGTCTGCATGAACAAGGACCTGACGCCCTTCCGACCTGTGCCCAAGTTTCTGTGTGTCAAGCTCATCATCTTTGCCTCGTACTGGCAGGGCTTTTTGCTTTCCATCCTCGTGTTCCTGGGCGCCCTGCCGGACAACGTCGAGGGCTACACGCCCGACAACCTGGCCGCGGCTATCCAGGACGCCCTGATCTGTATCGAGATGCCTGGTTTTGCCGTGGCCCACTGGTACGCCTTCTCGTGGCAGGACTACGCCGACGACACCGTGTCGGCGGCCCGGCTGCCTGTCAAGTACGCCGTGCGGGACGCGTTTGGTATCCGCGACCTCATTGAAGACTCCAAGCTCACGTTCCGCGGCGACAACTATGCTTACCGTGACTTTGACTCCAACGACAAGATCATGGCCCATGCTGACTCGCGCTCGCGTGTCGCCCGCCTCAAGGCGGGTATGCGCTACGAACGTGGCGGCAAGGGCAAGTACTGGATCCCCAGCCCCAACAAGACGAACAATTCCAACGAACCTGACCCGTACACGCCGTTACTGGGTGGAAACAATAGCGACGGCAGCAGTGGCGGGAAGAACGGCAGCGGCCACGGCAACGGCCACGGCAACGGCAACGGCAACGGCAACGGTGACTATGGAAATGGCAATGCCGGCCCGAGCAGGAGCAACTCGCATTCGCAGACAACCGACGACTATTTTGGCGAGCTGGCGCTCGATGAGGACATGGAGGAGCTGTACGGCAAAGCTCGCAAGCTGGAGTACGGCGATTGGAACTATCCCGTCGTCCCGGCCAACGTCCCGTCCCGGGCTGCCCGGTGGCGAACTACAGCCTTGGGCGGTACCTACGAGCCGGTTCCCGGCTACTACTCGCCTGTGTCCCCCGTGACGCCCGATCTGAGCGGCGGCCCGCGACGAAGCGGCACCAACGCCAGTGGTGGTGCCAGTGGTGGTGCCAGTGGTGGTGGAAGCGACCGAGAACCTGGCCCCGACAACAGAGGAGACGCGACCCCGGCAGCGCCAGAGGCTATTGTCGTGTCCAAAAAGAAGAAGGGCAAGGGGAAGCAGAAGCAGTCTGGTGCGCAGCCAACGGCCGACAAGACGTCGGACAAATCGTCGGACAAGACAGCAAGAAAGACCAAGAGCGACCCTGACGTGGTGGCGAAGCCGACGCTAAACACCAGCAGAAGCACAGAAACGGCCCCGGCGGCGCCCCTCTCACCAAAGGGAGATGACGGCTTGGCGGACAGTCAGGGCCCGGCCAACGACCAGAGTGCCGCCAGCGACGACAACGAGTCGCTGCGGCTGTGGCGGCGGAATGACGACGAGGACGACAACGCCAGCCCCGTGCTCGAGACGACAACGCCGACCTACAATCTGGAAGGCGATGAGTTTCGGAATGTCTGGGGCGCCGGTCAGCCGGGGCAATAGGCATGCAAAGCGAGGCGAACGTAGGTCGTTCTTCCGTTCTGGAACCTAGGCTTCCAATGTTTTGCATTTGATTTTTTATGCGCGTATATGGCGAGCGACGTTTTACCATTCTTCGTTTCGATCTGTAGTGATACCTAGTCATCGCCCGTCGTTGAGAGCGCCGAATGTGTTCAGACTCATGTATTGTGTTTGTTCTCAATTTGTTGGTCATTATAAACTATCTATAATTACGTGCAAAATGCACATTATCAAGTACGTTTCGTCGTTTGTTTGCCCTTGTATATACGTAGAATAGAAACGTTCTGCGCGCAGCTAATGATGCCCACCGTATTGCTTTGCCCTCATTGTCAACACAACACGCCCAGCAAGCACATCAACATTGATACCACGAAACGCGTCGACGACGACACGAACGCGTCTTTCAATACGTCCCCCCTCCTTTTGAGCCCCTCCGAACGGGATGGACGAGGGGTGGGTGAGCAGGGGCCTCTTCTCTTTTCTACCCAAGTACGACGACATATTACTCCGTAGATTGCAGAGCTACGACGCACTGCGACCCAAAAGCAAGACGGACAACCAAAGTGCCATAAACCGGGAAAATGCCATGGAAGATTGTCCGAGATAGATGGACGAGAGGTCAGTGCTGGCGGGTGTGTTGGCCAAGGAGGACACAGACAATATGTCGACTGGCGTCGTTCGTCCTTGGGCCAAGGGACGCAGACCAAGAGGCATTCAGTGACGCCGCTCTCTTGACTCTCCTGGTGAGGCCCCTGTTGAACCGCATCGCCCGTCCCTTTCCTTCCCGCGGGCTGGCCCAACGGCCCCCCTACAGCTTCCTACAAATAGAGGATCGCCTGTTTTGTTTGCTCATGCGGAAAATCGAAACACATATGTTTTGTAAACGACTCGCTCTGTATCAAGGGGAACTGCGGCGTATGGAGTACGAAGTATGCTCGTCGTTCAAAACAGCATCATTGCCTGTTCTTGCTACACCTCTAAGCGCCAGCACCTGGATTGGGGGTCCCCTGGGCCGTCTTTTGGCTTCTTCTCATGACATTGCGCCTCCCTTGACACTGTCATATTTTCGGTGTATTTTTAGGTGCACCGATCCTCGACATATGTGAATGGAAATATCTAAAGGGGTGAATTAGAGAACCGACAATCGCAGTGGGCGCACGGTCTTTTTCAAAAATGTGTGATCAAATGCGCAGTAGGCGGGCTAGGAGACATGAGTTTAGTCACAGTCGCATTGTGAACACGCTGTCTATTTTGAGTATTTTGTTGGACAAAACGAAATATCGAAGTAACAAAAATAACGATATGTTTCCTTCTTGGCAGTGGGCTGTAGGTCTGAATGACCAGTTGGAGGGAAAAGGTCAGCAAGGGTAATTAAAATGGGCACAGAAAAAGGAACTTTTCGACGCTGTTGGATGCGACAGGCGGGATGTAATACGTGACATTCAATTTACCAAGTAACAGTAGACAGGCTGGGAGACTGCCAACTTGGCTTGGCAAAGGGAGTAACATTTCCATGTCATCCTGCGACAAAGTTTACCACTGCCCATGATGGACGGCGTACGATGTACAGAGCACGATGTACAGAGTGCGACATATATCGGCGTTGTATTTCTGACATTCTTCTATGCGTTGATGTCATTCTTCGTATGTCGTATTGAGCAAGGCATTCTTTCATGTCTTCAGACGAACGCATCACGAAATATACGAGAGAAATCTCGCTTTTGGGACCTTGGGGCTGCAGTCAGCAGCAATCCTGCAAGAGGAACGAAATTAACATCCTTCAGCAAAATGTGCGCTGGATCTTGTGAGTTTTGCCTTCTCCTATTCCATTCTCATCAGATTTGCCTTGACTCCTACCTCCTGCCTCCTGTCTCCTGCCTTTCAAAATTTGTGTCTTTGCTGTTTCACAATCTGTACGTTTTGGGATACAAAGGCGCACATCAGTGGAACATACTATTTGCGGGACCTTGCTCGACTATGGGGCGCGAGTGGTACTACATGGTGCCGTGCAAGAACCAGAGAAGAACGGGGAAGACGAGGACAAGGATTACAGGGAAACAAGGAAAACGCAGCAAAATCTCGAGGAATGGATTCATGTTGACAAAAGAGCAAACAGCTGACGGGAGGTGATATAGTTTGGGATGACCAGACGGAAAACTTACAAAATCAACAAGAATTGACGCTGACGCAGATTTTTAAACCCGGATAGCAATGAACTGTCAGAGGTCGATAGTGATGGACATGAAATCGGACCAACGAGGCGATGATGGGAGGGTCTGAGTGGACAAGACGGGGGCGGTGGCCGTGGCAGTCTTCAAAATACCGAGTTAAACGGGGAATTACAACGTTACTGACATTGGTAACGATTAACTGGGTCGCTTCGCGCCTCTCTATTTGCTTTCTTTTTCATCAGCGAGACTCCCGGGACATTATGTTGTCGAAATATGCACTGGGTTGTTCGTCTGCTGTTTGCTGAGGTCCGCGATACGATGCTTGCTCTTTGAAATTGTGATGTGATTCCGAGGTCCTTTGCTATACGACGTTATATTATTGTTTTTTGTCTTTCCTGGAGCAGCGGCGCAGTGGTTGATCCTGTAGACTATATTGACAGCATGCTATCGCTGCGTACTGTGGGAATGTGAAATTGGCTTACCGGGCATATACAAGGCAATCTATATCCACACATATGACCAGTCCGATGGGGCCGTTGTCCTTATGTCGTCACCAGACGCGACGTGCACTGAGCTCTACGGCACCTCGCGTCTGGCAGTGGGCAATGGTTCGTTTGCAAGTCGGCTTACATGACATTGCCATGAGGCCTGTTGGAAAGATGCATACGCTTTTGTGTCGCACGGTGAGACTGGTGTTGACGCTGTGTACTATATCTCGTATGCCGTATTACACTCTCAGAGTCTCTGTGCAAATGCTCGGCGTCCACAACGGCCGTTGACAGCCAACCAGGGCCTGCTTTGACAATGCCGTCGAGACTGCCATTTCGTCGCGCTGCCCTGTCTCACTGATTTGATGTTAACATCGAACAGTTATTGTGCAGTCCGAATCGTTCTCGCCCACTGGTGAGACCATCGCCACCAGCGTCTGCGGCTGCCATTAGCAATTGTCCTCCAGATGTCAATGCATGTCTCACCTGTCGTTCGGTGCTAAGCCCATCCAGACCCTTTGTTGGTGGGCCTTTTCGTGTTGTCTCGCGTGCCCGGCATTCCTTATCAAGGCAACGAATCTGGGATGTCGAGTATTTTCATGTCTTGCATTTCAATATATTTCGCATTGGTACCGCAGCAGAGCCGGGCAATTCAACCCATCAGGAGATCCAGCCATCCGTCATATCATCCAGGCCATTGACGAAATGCACCAGCTGCCGTGCTTTCTGGTCTTGGGGCATTCCTGCCGCTCATATGCATGCGACGCTGCCCTGCAGCAATGGATACTATGCCGCTGTTGTTGCAGACTTTTGTTGACATTCAACGTCTCGTTCTTTGTTTTGATTTGGTGATCTCCTCACAACGGACAATTTGCTGCCGCGCACGCCAATGGCTCGCATTGCTTAGCAGGACGAGCAAGCTCGCCTGCTCGCCTTGCCGCTTGTCCCTGATGTTGTTTGTTTTCCTGCGTGTGCTTCGCTTGGGGCCGCGGAGCGTCATATGCAAGCCAAACGGGATGAAAAACAGGGCGATGCTGCACCTGCACCTCGCTTGCGATGCGCATTGCTCCTGCGCAGCCTTTCGCCTCTATTTTGAGCCTTATGAGACACGCTCTTTCCTTTTTGAACATTTTTGCCCGTTTGTGTCTCTTGCTCCTTCCTTCGTCCAAGAAAAGGCTTTGGCATATCTGGATGCACTTTCCCGTAACTACCAGCCCGTTTTTTGTCGTCAAGGGAAAGAGCTGTCTTGTCATACCTGCCTTTGTCCTGTTTATCCTTGTATCTTGTATATATGTGCCTCCTCGTGCTTGCCTTGTCTGCTTTCCGTGCTTCGTGACGCTCTTTCCCTGCCGTGCGCTCCTGCCTCCCAGAGCCTTTTCCCTCGAACCACGGCCAGGCCACTTTACGGTACGGACACTGGTGCCCTCTATCGCGCCTGCCTCGCACCGGGACGCGACAACGACCGAACATACTGGAGGCATCGGAAACAATACTGGCATCATTGCCTTGGCGCCGACGGTCCTTCCGTCTGGTGACGTTCCCCGTTTCGTCTATCCTGTTCCAGCCGCGCCTTCCTTCGACGTACGTTTCGGAGCTCCTCGCCATTTGGCACATGCAAATTCCCCTTCATCGCCCACGACACTTTCCCACGATAACCTCACCATCATTTCGTATCAGAACCAACAGCACAAGCTAAACACGCCAACCACGGCACCCAGCCACGGCACACTACCAACAGCACCCGCCTTCAGTTGGCTCACACACCTGAACATCAACAGATAGAACAGAAAACTGACAAACCCGTCGTACCTGCATCTCCATCGCGTACCCCTGCTTCCTCATTTCCGCCATCGCCACCGTTACAAGCGTCCTAGCGTCGTGGGCCGAGTCCATGGTCAAACTGACTGGCTGTTTTGCCCTCTGGCCAGACGTTGCAAGACTTGTGAGACTCCCCTGCACACCACCTTCTCTTTTTCCTTCTTCCCCTGTCCAGGTTCCTGCTCGGGGCACGGATACATCTTCCCCACCACTGGACATTGGGAAGTCAAGGACCTCTGGGTTGTCATCAACACTACCCAGCTTACAGACGCTAGCAACAGGCCGTTCGTGAACCTTCACCCGCGGTGGGAGCGCTACGGCGTCCTGTCCACGCTTGACCCCTGGCCTAATCCACACCAGCCCACTTCCTAGCGCGCCAAAAACATAAAAAGGCGTAAAAACGCAAAAGCACAGGCCGGGCGCAGGGAGGGAAAAAGACTGAGAACAGGAAGGAGAAAGGAGAGCGAACGGCCAGTAAAGACCGCGTCTTGGAGGTCCAAGTCGCCAAACACCGCCAAAACAATACAAAGAAGCCTTGACAGTGGAGGAGATCAGAAACCGGCGAGCCTAGCCCACACTGCCGGCCGGTCGACTAAAAAAGAAACACAGGGGGGTCGAAAAGAAAGAAACAAAGAGAGGACAAATCGAGGGTGAGGCAAAGAGAGAGGAACGGGAAGGACAAGGGGTGATCCCCTGTCTGTCACCTGTGTTTTTTTGGGGACTGTGGGCTGTGTGGAAGACACATCCGATTCAACGGGGACGGGACGCGCCCCATACTGGGGAAGTTCCTGGGAAAAAACTGCTTTACCGTGGAGATTCGTCCTAGTCTTGGCTGTTCTTTTCGCTCTGTCATTCTGCCACTTTACTTTCTTCCGGATGTTTCACTCCTACGGTCGTTTGATTTTTTTTTTTGAGTTTGATTTTTGAGTTTGTTTGTTTGTCTGTTTATATTGTACTTGTACGACATATTCGGCGCGTGGTCCTTGTGTGATTACAAAACCTGGGAACCTGGAACCTGGAACCTGGAACCTGGAACCTGGCTTACACGACTCTGGATCGACGACACGCAAGTAAACGACGTGCGGCGACCCGACGCGGCGACTCAAACCCGCTCCACGACTCCAGAAACAACGAAACCTTTTCAGACAACAACGGTGAAAAAGGGCCACACCGTGGCAGAATCGAGCGCAACGCCTCCACCTCGAGCCCTGGAGACCACGACGGCGATACAGTAGCCTCCTCATTCGCGCCATGTCTGAGGCGGTGCCGAACAATATGACCGTGACCACAGATGAGGCATCAACAAATGCTTCTACGGTCACGACGCTCGAAGCCTTGCAAAAGCAGTCCAGCAACACACGCCGCATGCGACCACCAGTCGTCCTCCACGAAGCAGCCGGTGCCGACGAGCCCCGAGTACCCCTTCGCAGCGGGCCGCGCGAAGGTGGGCTGCGCGCCACCAACCCTGAGAAGCTCGCCCACAGAGAGTCGCGCTTGGGCCTGCGCGGTCTGTTTTCAAGACACAAGTCCTCCGGCCAGGACGTGCGTGCCTCCATCGTCGACTTTAGCAGCTGGCCTTATTTTCATACGCCAAGGTCCGAATCGGCACTGTCAAAGAATCCGCACGCTGCATCGTCGTCGCTGTCCGTTGTGCCACAGGAGCCCGAACCGAAGACGGATCTTCCGGTCGCGCCCACGCCTGACCGCTCTACCCCGACACCGACTCTCCCTGGTCAGCAGGCTCCTGTGACCGCCACACAGCCTACCGAGTCGGCAGTGCCATTAATAGGAACACCGAGCACCACCAAGGCCAAGAAGCCTGCTGTCCCGTTGCGCAGCCGGACGCCAATATCCTCGTCACGCGCCGTTCGGGGCTCACTCGCTACCTGGGATCCGCCGCCACTGTTCCAAGCATACCCCCAGGCCATCAAGCATGCCCAGTTGCCAATATGTACCACATCTATCGAGGTCCTCATGCGCCTGCAGGGGAGCGTCGCTGGCGGCGACGGGGCCGCACGTGAGGCTGACTCACCGGAAGATGGGGTTGAGAAGCTCGCGGAGAAAGCAAAAAGACGACACCGTCGCAACACCTCGGGCTCTTCCATGAAGCTCGACTGGGTGACCAAGATCTACGTTCTCGTCACCTCGGGCTATCTTTTGCAATACTCCGCCGAGGGCTCCTTTGACCGCCTACCGGAAAAGATCCTGCCCATCAGCCGCGACTCGGCCGCGTTTGCAAGCGACCTGATCCCGGGACGCCACTGGGTCTTGCGTGTTAGCTCGTCCATGGACGTCGACGGGTCACAGACAAACGACTCCCGCTCTCTATTTTCCCGCTTGCCCTTCCGCGCCGCCGAGCGTCGGCAAGCCACTACCTTCCTCTTGGTATTTGAGAGTGCCGAGGAGATGGAGAGCTGGATTAGCATCCTGCGCCGCGAGATCGAACAGCTGGGCGGCAAGAAGCATCTTTCCGAGACGGGCAAGCCCAAGGCCGAGAACGGCGTCGTCGACCCACGATTCCAGGTCAACCACCGGACGCTGGTTGTGCGTGACCCGGAGCGCTTTTCGCGGATCCTCAGCCCAAGTGACGTGGCACATATCCCCCGCCACACGCCAAGAGAGGGAAACCAACATCAACACCTCGAGGCGCCTTCGCCCGCGGCTACTATGTCACCCCCCGACCGCGACCCTCTGAGCGACGACATGTCGACGACCAACAGCGTCTACTCGCAGGATGGACGCCAGCTCGAGAGTTTGCGGGACAGCGCTGGCAACCGGTTTTCGTACATATCGTCTGGCCAGCGTACGATTGTGACATCCGATAGCTCGTCGCCGCCATGCTCGCCTGTCCGGAACAGCTTCACCAGCAACCACAACGCCCAGACTGACGAGCAACAAGGCACGACGGTCACATCCACACCATCGCCCCCACCACCTCCACCAACACAACCACAACCGGCTCCCGAAAGCCCAGACGCTCGGCCAGCGGTTCGGTTACGGACCAACGCTGCAGCCATCCTCGAACGTAGGCAATCAATGCAGGTCATGACCTCGAGCCAACGCGTGGCGGACATTCATATGCTGCCGACGCAGCTGCCGCCGCCGCAGCCACCGCCGACAGAGGCCCTACCCCGTTTGCCGACTTCTACGTTCTCCATGTCAAAACCTCTTCCTCCACCAGTTCCACTGCGGCGCGAGACGAACTTTAGTCTCTTTGACGCCGCGGCAACCATCCCCAACTTCAGCGTCCCGCATTCGGCATCGAAGCGCTACTCGGCCGTCATGAAAACTTCCGCAGCACCCGGCATGCCCCCGACACAGGACCTGCTTGCACAGCCTGTGCCTGAGTCTACGCTGGCTGCGACATTTTCTGCCTTCCCGCTGCCACCTCGCGAGGCCCCGCCGCGACTACAGCAATCCGCATTCGGCCCGCCAAGTACCAGGAACAGTCGACGGCGGCTGCCCCCGCCGTCCCTGGCCTTCTCACGACCGCTGTCCATTGTCGCGGATCACGCATCGCCGAGTACAACATCGCCGCCGCTGGCTGGGGAGGTTGTTGTTTCCAATGCGGCACTGGACGACAACAACCCAAGCAGCCCTGGTTACGGGTCCGATGTGCCCGACACGCCTGCCCTCTTTGATGCCTGGAAGAGCCCAGAGCCCGTGTTTGCAGAGCAACCCTCCTCACCAACCCGGCCGGTGTCTCGGCGACGCAGTGGATCGTACTCGTCGCTTTCGCGAAACAGCAACAAGCCAGGCAGCAGCGGCAGCGACAATAGCTATGCCACGGCATCGGAGGTCCCAGTCCGCAACAGCCCCCGCAGACACTTCAGCATGCTCGCGCTGCGCTCGGTCTCTGACTCGGCGTCGGAGCGTATTGAGCCACGGACCGTCGTCGTGCCCCAGCGTGCCTCGATGATTCTGCCCTTGTCCAAGTACAATGCACTGTCGCCAGAGCTGCCAGAGGACGATCCGAGAGATAACTGGACGGCACCGCCACTGGCACCGCCTCCGTCACAGCCCCTTCCCCAACCCCCGTCGCGGCCGCAGTCGCGTGGACAGTCGCAGTCGCGGACAAGCTCTCTGACTCGCCTGCAAAGCCGCTCGCCTGCACGTCCAAGGTCCTCGCATGGCAGCAACGGCAACCGTGGCAGCAGTGACTTTTCTTTCCCGCTGCCTCCTGGCAACAAACGGGCGAGCATGTTTGTTCAGCCGAGTACTGGTGTCGGAGGAAGCATCGCCGATGGTCGTCAAACGTCGCGGCCGCTGTCGCTCTATCATGCCACTGCGATGTCGCGGGCTGGCGGCAGTGTCGACACGGGCCGCGGCCGCACCTCGATCAAGCCCGAGCCTCTGGCGACGCTGGCGGTAACTGATGCATCGAACGGGTCGCTCGCGCCACCGGTCATGCACGCACGTGCCCGCTCCACATCTTCCAATGGCGCACTGTACCGCCGCAGCCCGCCGCAACTGGCCGACGGACCACCGCCCGCGCCGCCACCATCTTGCGCGCTCCCGCCCCTGCCTGTAAAGGCGCCCGAACCGGATCCTCGGCGGCGAATTCTGCCGGTCTGATCAGTGTGCTCGCGCCAGAGTACAACACACGCGCACGCTCTTCGGCCACATGGCTTGTGTCATTCACTTTTTCTCTCATGTTCTGTCTTTTTTTTCTCTCCCTTTTACCTCTTCTCTTTCCTATGTCCTTCTCTTTTCTATCTTCCGCCCTTCCAGTCAACTGGTCACCTTCCAGTCTTTTATATTTCCTTTGTCATCTAAAGGCGCGGTGCACATAAACCGAAAGACTTTGGGTTTCACGGAGTCTATTGCTGGGTGTATTGCTTTTGCTGCGCTGTATTATTATTTTTCTTTCCAGTCAGCAGACGACTGTATTATAAGGCTGGGAGCGAACGGCACAATTTTGCCTTTGTGGACGAATCATGCGGCCAACGAACAATCTACATGTTGAATGTAAACAGCACCATTGCCACATTGTGAATGATAATGACAATGCCGACGTCACGACAGCGTTACCGTACGCGTTGTGGTGTTGCGGCGGGCGAATCAGCGATAATAGGGGAAGGCATACGAGGATCTCACCTGTAGCAAAGTGTGTGCAATTTTGCCCCACTTTAAATAGGGAATAGTCAACACAGAAGCACACAGAAAATGGGCCACAAGATTCAGGTACCGGTGCGCCAAATTTTGCTGCAGCGGTACCGCACGACCTGAAAAGTTTGCCCCACACTGCCTGGCAGTGGCCAAAAAATTCGACGCAAAAGGCAAGAGAAATTCACACACTTTCTAGAAAAAAAGGCCCCACGCAAATCACAACCACAATCCTCACCATCACGACCTACTATCACAACCCACCCGCCCACGACTGCGATTGCGATCCGGACGCCTGTTATCGAAATACACCTGTATTGAAGAATACGCACACCACACAGGCACACCACACACACACACACACACACACACACACCGCAGCCATGTCGACAGCCGCGCTGCCGAACCGTGCCAAGCACGACTGGGCCGACGACGAGGACATTGACGAGACCGCCGTCAGCACCGAGCTGCCGCCGCCGCAGACCATCAGCAACAAGGATGGCACCAAGACCACCATCAGCTACCGCTTCAACGAGCAGGGCCAAAAGGTCAAGACCACACGCCGCATCCGCTTCATCACCCACCGTGAGGTCGTCAACCCCCGCGTCGCCAACCGCATGACGCTCTCCAAGTTCGGCCTGTCGGCCAAGGACCCTGCCGGCCCGGCCACCGACACCACCTCCATCGCCGAGAACATCATCTTCCGCCCCAGCTCCAACTGGCGCAAAGACGCCAAGGACGAGGCCAAGGACCCCAACGCCAACGCCCTCAAGGACAAGCTCAAGGACAAGAAGGTCAAGTGCCGTATTTGCAACGGCGAGCATTTCACCGCCCGCTGTCCCTACAAGGACACCATGGCGCCCATCGGCGAGACTGCCGGCGCTGCCGACACGGGCGCCGACGATGACGAGGGCGCCGCCTCGCGTGCGGGCGCGGCCGGCGGCGACGGCAAGAAGGGCTCGTACGTGCCCCCCGCGCTGCGGGGCGGTGCGGCGGCCGCGGGTGCCGGCAGCAGCATGGCGGGTGCCGGTGGCAAGTACGGCGAGCGCGACGACTTTGCGACGCTGCGCGTGACGAATGTGTCGGAGCTGGCCGAGGAGCAGGAGCTGCGCGATATGTTCGAGCGGTTCGGCCGGGTAACGCGTGTGTTCCTGGCCAAGGACCGCGACACGGGTCTGGCCAAGGGCTTTGCGTTTGTCAGCTTTGCCGATCGGACGGATGCAGTCAAGGCGTGCGAGAAGATGGACGGCTTTGGTTTCAAGCACCTCATTATACGCGTGGAGTTTGCCAAGAAGGCAACCTAAGGGGGGCGTGGAGATGGGAAGACGCTCTTCGTTTTTCCCCTTTGATGCAGAGTCCACGGAGAGAGACATAAATGCAAAGGCCAAAGAGGGATCGGGGACGGGAACGGTAACGGGAACGGAAACAAAAAAAGGTTTCTACGCATTCCTAACAATGCCATTTGTTTGTTCGTTTGTTTAATCTGTTCTTTTTGATCTTGTAATTCACGAAACTTGACAGGTTATGAAAGAGAGATTCTTCTTGTTCTATCGACTGTGTACTATCTGCAAGAGACTGCTACACTGCCCACGGATGTTTACTAATACGAAAAGAACCACAGGATGCCGTGGTCGACTTCTTCTTCCTTCCTTTTGCGCAGCCTGCGGCTGGCTGCGCTTCTGGTCCGTGGTCGAGACCGGTACTCGTAATTATCACGCATCCGGGCCGCAGTTCGCGTCGAGACGGAGGCAGGCCCCGAAGGCACTATAATAGAAGACCGTCGTTTCGCTCTCTGCCTGTTTCTCTGGCCTGTGCCTCTACTTGTAACTGACGCAGAGATGGAAGCCGGCGAGGGCTCCGGAGCAGATGTCGTTGCGGGAACCCGGTTTGGGACAGTCCGCGCTGTACCACTGGACCGGCCACTACGCGACGAACTAGCATTGGACGACTTGGCAGCTGTCTGTCTGTTCGAGACCGCACGATCTTGGGCCAAGGCATCGTCTGCTCGTTTTTTTGCCAATGCTTGCTTCCGATCTCTTTCGTTGTTGCTCGCGCTCGCCAGAAGGGGCGTAAACAGCGACCGGTACTGGATACCAAGGCCAGGATACTCTGGATCAGATCGTGCGCTTTTGTTTCCGCTCACAAGACTGGCGGAAGGCGCACTGGCGCTCGTACTGGTCGTTCTGTTGGATCCAATCTCCTTCGCGGCAACATTCTCGATGAAAATATGCGGCGTCAGACGGAGCACATCGACGGAGAGCCTCAGGGCTTCTTGCAGATGGTTCTTGGCTTTGCCGTAATGGTCTTTGGCCTCGGCATACAAGGCGCGCGCCTCGGCGGAGCGTCGATAGACATTCTGGCGCTGCTGAAGACGCTGGGCCGTGCTGGCAACACTGATGCTGCTGTGATTGCTCCGAATCAGGGACTGGACGTCTGCAACGGAGCTCCCTCGAGCTTTGGATGACTGTGACCGTGTCGATCTTGCAAGCTCAGTCGACTGCGCGAGCCGCTCCTTTGGCTTCAGCAAAGAGACCTCTCTTTGGGAGTCGTTCTTCTTGGTTCCGTCCGTGTTCATTATTCTTGCATCTCTCTGCTTCCCTGTCGATCCCGAGGAGCTTCCTTGCGATGGGATCTGCTTTCGAGTTGACACCTGTTCTGGTTTGGGTGTGTGCTCTCTAGCTGTCGGTTCTTTGGCCAGATTGCCTTTGCTATTTTGCTTCTCCGCGGTGCTCCCCGTGTCCCTTTTCTCGACGACGTAGAGGGCCGATCCCAGCAAGGGAGTCCTGCTCCCCCCATTTGCATCGGAGCCAAACGACACTACCGGCTGCGTTCCGGCGGGCAGCATCTTGCTCGATTTCTTTTCGGTGGCCACACCCTTGATGGGCTCATTGTCTTTCGACCTTTTCCCAGTCGGTTTTGTCTGTTCCACAACCCCAAGAATGGACGACGTTACAGCAGACTTCGGTTGTGAATAGACTGATGGTGGAGGGACTGGCGGCCGCGATGGATGAGGAGGTGCGCCAGCCACCACTGCCAACGGTAAAGGGGAAGACGATGTCGGTGGTGCAGGAGAGCAAGGCCGTGGCCGCAGCCTGTTTGGGCGTGGAGGCACGATCGGGGGCTTTGCTTCGCGGACCATGTTGTGATGGTATCTGGGATATACTCTTGGGAGGCGATTTTGAGCAGAGCTTGAGACCTTTTGCACTTTCTTCTTCTTTCAACTTTGAAGAGAGAATCGACTGCGAGAGCCTCCTTTTTAACAAAGGTCCCATTCACAACACACACACACACACACAAGTACACGCACACTGCCTCCATTTCGTCACCCGTGTCACCGTTCCCACACCTCCATCGGTGTCTCTAGACACACCGGACCACCGACCAGTGCTTACCAAACTCTTGGTTGACGGGTTGTGAGCCAAGCAGAATGGATCAATATATTCTAAGCCAGGAGCCATAAACAAAAAAGACCGCTAGTTGCTTCGCTTACCCAGAAAACGCAGGAAAATAAATATAAACAGTAGAACAACAAACGCAACGAGATGGAGGTGCGGGCTGTAAAACTATAACAAAGGGCGTAATAAATACCAGGCACAACGCGTAGGAACCGGGGGCGCACTGAGCAATGTCTGCAATCTCGCGCATCTAGACTTTGCCTGAGTCAATGCTGTGCCTCTGCCTAAGCCTCTCTCCAAGAAAGAGATAAAAAAAGGCTCCACTGCAGTGTCCCATAGAAGTGCCCCATCATCGGTTGGATATGAGATACTAGGCTCAGGGCACTTTCATCCTGAGAGTGCACAGCTGAAGGCTCACTTGATCCATCTGGCCGCCACCCGACGGCAGGAAATGCACCGGTCAAGAGGTAGGATCCAAGTATAGGACTCAAAAACGAAGCCGCTGCTGGTGACGGGCTCATTAAGCAGCTTTGCACGCGAAATTGGACCGGGGAATTTTTCATTGGCGTCGTGCCTCGCGGCCGCTAGGCAAACCTGCTGGCAAAATGCAGGACGTCCGCGGAAGAACAGACAAAACGGAACAGAACAAGGTTGGCCAGCAGCGTAAACAGCATGCAATAAGGCAGAGACGGGACGGCGGTGCGCAAAGGTGGTTGTGGTGGTGATTGTTGTGGTGGTGGCTGTCTGGGCGTATTGCGAAGCGTGTCCGTTTCGTGTCTTGAATGCCGCAAGGTTCGTTTTCCCGAACTGCCGACCATAATTTTCTGACTAGAGGGCCATGGCGTTGTGTCTTCCCTCATACCAGACGCGAATGTTGTCACAAGGCTGTGATGCACTCTGTCACGTATTTATGCAAAAGCCTCCGGCTCCTTGTTTTCGTCAACCCCCATCCATACGCTCCTGCCTGCCTGGCAAGGCTCGCTAGTCGTTGCGCTTGCCCTGAACGGCACCAGCAACGGCGCTGGGATCCGCACGTTAGCCCCCACCAACACGTCTGGAGGAAGGTGCAACGCCCCGATATCCACACCTTCCATCAAGCTTGCACCCCAAATCCGAGAAGCTTCGTCCTGCAAACGGCTTAGGCTCGTTGGGGACCGCGAAATTGCGCACAGAATTTTTTGGCCATTTTTTGCTCTTTTCTCATGCTTTGCCCTGTTCGACTTTGCTGTTTTTGTGGATTGTTTGTCGCTGTTCCAGCTGTGTGTTGCGTGGGCTGCGAAGATGCACAGTTTTGGGCATGTGACAGTACCCACGCGCGCGTGGCCTCCTTCCCGTCCTTGCCAAGTCAACCCCAACAAAAAACCAACAGGCGGTTCCAAGTGTAAAATCGTACGTCGTCAAACGGCAAGAGCTATGGGTGAAGTGCGTTTCAACGGTCAATGACGGCAACCGCGATTGTTCGTCATCTGATCGCAAACCGCCTCTCTGCGTGTGTTTCAAGGACACGTTCTGCATCTGCCGTACTTTGCGGCAATACCCCTCCATTGCTCTTTCTTTTGCGATCGACATCTCTGTTACTACGTCGTACTTCCTGTTTTCTTGGATCGACGGTGAGGCAGTGGGCTTCTCCTGCCTTCCGCCCCCTTCTGAGAAGACCCCACTAAAGCTCGATCCCTTCCTTCCTCACTACTAAAACACAGCGACCCGGTGTTTCCTGCCTCTATCTACTTTCGCTTCCCTCTATTTTTGCGTGCCTCACCGCGGGCTTCTCACCTCTCTTCGTTCTCTTCTTCATCTCCTCAATTGCTTCGCCAATTCTCGCCGTTGCTGCATCCTCAACCTCCCGCTTGCAGCTCAATCCCGCCCCACCCAACCATGAGCTCTGCCCCAGACGCAGCTCTGGAGCAGCCCGGCCAGCTCCGCCAACGTCATGCCCCTGCCGACGGTCCTGTGGCGGCATCCGTCTCCGCCAAGGGCGACGTGAGCAGCGTTGGCTCGGAGCCGTCTGGCGAGGACGTGTTGAAGCCCAAGAAGACGTACGGCCGGACGCCTGACGGCACAGGTATGTAGCTCGTGCTTTCAGCCCTTGCATCTGTCGTGTTGTGTGTACACCCCACGTTTCCGGGATTACCCCATGTGGAGAGCAATCGTACATGTGGAACATCGAAAACAAAACCAAAGAGAATCTTGTCGCTAACGATGGCACCCGTCGTATTTTTTTATATTTTTTTTGCCGTGCAGTCTTCACCGTCCCCACAACCCATGACATGGTGTCGCAGCTGCTCGATCCTCGCCAGCCGAAGAACTTGTCCGACGTCGTGGTGCTCGCCATTCTTGCCCTCCACATTCTCGCCGCGTATCTGCTCCCTGCCGGCCTGAAGCGTCCTGTCTGTGCTGCGCTCTTTTTGTTCTGGCGCGCCTCGTACAACATTGGCATTGGCAGCTTGTTGACCGTGCAGTCCAAATACCGGCTGCTGGTGACCTGGGCAAAGCGGTGGAAGCTCTTTGAGAATCCGGAAACCGGCAAGAACCCGCGTCCATGGCTCTACCGCCTTCTGAAGTGGGAGCTCGAGGCCAAGATCCCGGAGGACTACGTCTTTGAGAAGGCGCCCATCGAGTATAACACCTGGCTCGTCTTCCGCCGCGTTGTGGACCTCATCTTGATGTGTGATTTTGTGTCGTACTGTCTGTTTGCTATTGTGTCGAGCCACCGCCCCGAAAGCGAGAGCTTTGTTATGGCCGTCGCCCGCTGGGCCGTGGGCATTGCTCTGTTTGGTTTCAACCTCTGGGTAAAACTCGATGCCCACCGCGTCGTCAAGGATTTCGCCTGGTACTGGGGCGACTTCTTCTACCTGGTCGACCAGGAGCTCACCTTTGACGGCGTCTTTGAGATGGCCCCGCATCCCATGTACTCGATTGGTTATGCCGGCTACTACGGCATTTCCATGATGGCAGCCAGCTACGACGTGCTGTTCATTTCCATCGTTGCCCACCTCGCTCAGTTTATCTTCTTGGCCGTTGTCGAGAACCCGCACATTGAGAAGACATACAACCCGCCCACCCCGCGCGCTGCGCGTGCTGATTCTAGCCTCAGCACAGATAGTGCCCATGCCCAGGCGGTGCAGCACCTCAGACAGCTCCAGGACGCCCAGCAGCAGCCCATTGACTCGACAACGCCGGCTGGCGGCGCCGCGGCAGTCCCCGCAGTCGTTCACGATCTGTGGGGCATGGCGAACCTCGACCTGTTTCGCTCGATCGACTACTCTGTCATTCTCCTTGGCGGCTACCTCTCCTTCCTGACGATCGTGACCCCGAACACACCGCTCTGGCAGGGCCTTTCGCTGTTCCACGCCATCGGTTGGCGCATTTGGTACAACGTCGGCCTTGGCCTCATCTTGCGCCGCCAGTCAAGTGCCAAGTGGTTCACCCGTCATTTCCTCAAGTATGGTGAGAGCGCCGGCGAGGCCTGGCGGCAGTGGAAGGGCATGTACCACATCAGCATGGCCATGTGCCATATGTCGTTCATGATGGCCTGCTGGAAGATGTACTCGCCCCCCGAGAACTGGAATTACGGCTGGGCCATCCTAAAGCACGTGCTGGGCAGCAGCCTTGTGGCTCTGCAGGTGTGGACGGCGTTCAGCATCTACGACGAGCTCGGCGAGTTTGGCTGGTTCTACGGCGATTTCTTCTTTGACAGCACCGGCAAGTTGACCTACAAGTCCATCTACCGGTACCTGAACAACCCGGAGCGCATCATCGGCACAGCCGGTCTGTGGGGCGCTGCCCTGATAACGTGGAGCCGGTCCATCTTTCTCCTGGCGCTGATCGGCCACATTCTGACGCTTGGCTTCCTCGCGTATGTCGAGAAGCCGCACATGCAGAAGATCTACGGCCGCAAGCTGCGCTCCGAGGCTGGTCTGACCAAGTTCATCCGCAAGTCTCTTCCGCCGCCGGTCAAGGAGTGGCAGGACAGCGTGGACCGCGTCCTCGACGAGACGCGGCACTTTGTCGAGGAGTTTGTGGACGCCGCACGGCCCAAGCTGGCTGCTGGTGTGTCGACCATTGTGCGTGATACGTCAGCACTCTTCAACAAGTATCCTGCGCGTCTTACGATTACTCGTATTGTCCCTGGCGTGGCTGGCTTCGACCCCAAATACTACAGTCTCGAAATCGAGGGTGAGCAATTGCCATCGCCTATGGTCCAGAGCGGCAGCCGAGAGTCGCACGCTGCTGCCGCTGCCTCTTCTTCTATGTCTTCCTCTTCGTCTATTTCTCCGTCTCCCGCGGACAAGACCAATGCACGCGCATACAACAACGGTCAGACGATCGTGCTGCAGTATGGCGCTCCCATCCGCGTGCGCTGGACAGCACCAGCCAATCATTGCAAGAAGGACTGGGTTGGCCTGTATAAGGTGGCGGACGGCCGGTCACGGGAGAAGACCGAGGTGCCGTCTCTTGGCCGTTGGGTGCCGACGACGCCGGGCGTGTTCGACACTGCTATTGACCGGGGCATTCTGTCGTCGGACGAGCCAGTCAAGGGCGGCAAGGCGTCGCCTGATGACCCAGACCTGGTGACGGGCGAGATGGTCTTTGAGGGCGATCAACTGTGGTGGACCTCGGGCGTGTTCGAGTTCCGGTACCACCACGACGGCAGCCACAACGTCATGTCGATTTCACAGCCGTTCGAGGTACGGATCGCCAAGTTTGACGACGACGAAGAAGGCTCTGTCGACATGGGCCTCAGCGGCGGCGGTGGTGGCAGCAAGATCGGTATCTACGCCAAGGCCGTCGAGGAGGCGTTGCTCCCTGTGGTGCAGAACTGCCTGGACCGCGACCCAGACATTGCACCGACGACCGCCGATGACGTGTTTGGCGGGCATGTGGAGCGGGACTCCAAGTATGCGCGACGTGTGGTGTACGCGATCCACCACATGTTTGGTATCGAGTTTGCACCGGCTGTGGTGCCCGCTGACGGCACGGTGCGCAAACTGGCGTACCGGATATACAGCGCCAAACAAGTTCTTGTAAGTGGACCCCTCTTGTCGTTGTTTTTTTTATCTTTTTACCTTTCCCATGCCAACTGATTTGAATCTAGGCACCGTACAGCATGTCACCGTCGCGGTAAGGCGCGTGACTATGCGTCTTGCCCTGACTTGCACCTTCTCGCCCCCATATACTTTCGTCCCCATGCTCTCGTCCCGCCTTTCGACTTGCTCTCCTCTCTTCTCCGCTTTGTCGCCATCTCTACGGCGATCTTGTTAGCCTTTGTTCTTGTTCTTCTAGAATGAGTTTTGCATTTACACCCCCCAAAAAGCGATACCATGGCGAACAGAAATTACATACATACGATGGATAGATATTACGTTTTGTGTTCTGTGTTCCCTTTTCTTTTGATATTTTCCTTCTTGTTTTTGATGCGAAGTTCCTGGGTCTTTTCTTGGACCGAGTGGCTGTGGGTTGCGCAGGTTCCGTTCCAACACGGCGCCTACAAGTAGCAGATTATGTTTGCAATGATATATTTTGGATCTTGGCCTGCCTCCAATTCTTTCTTTTGCAACATATTTATTTAGTCTCCTGCAGCAATATTTTGAGAGTGGTACTCTCACTCGACGTTGGCTATCATACATTGGTAGTTTGGAGGCTTGTGTTGTCGAAGCCGTTTCGTCGCAGTCTCCGGCATTGGCAGGCTCTGCAGCCAACAAACAGAGACACAATGTCGTGTGGCGTTCCTACGTGACTTTATTGGCCGATGACATGTGCGTGGGATGCTGCCAGCGTGGTGGTGCTATGGGTGGGCCCTTCTGGTTAGGCACCACCCCAGTTTCAACGTTAATGTTCGCTTCCAAACTGCCGCTCCCAAACACGAGCAACCTTTCTGACTTTTCTTTGCAGCGTCCAGATGCTTCCCAAGAGTCTGGACCGCCAGAGACCACTTTTTCTCCGGCTTCTGCCATTTTAGCCTATCTGGCGCTCCGTAAACAAGTCGCTCAGTGGGTATTTCGCGGCCAACTCCAGAACATGTCGCCAAACCAAAAGCAATTCTGCATTCCCCCAGGATTGATGGCATATTGACTTGACAGAGATCAAGCACCTAATCGAGTATACGACCGTCCTCGCAGGCCGCGCAGAAAACAACGACTTTCCGACGTTCAGACTTCGACGTACACGACATGGAACTAGACAGACCCATCTCTCTACCTTGCTGGCTTTGTGTGCGATGGCGTGCGATGCCTTTCAGAGCAGAGAGTGAAAGAGGACGCTTTTTCTTGTGTTCGCCTGCTTATTGAAGCAGTACGCCGCGCTTGCCTGATGAGGGCTAGAAATGGCAAAATGATTCTGTACTATCTCGTATTCTGCTCGTTGGCAAATTCCACGGACAACGAAGGCCAGGCAAACCCGAAGCCAAGCCAATGTATAAATAATATTGAGACCCTGGGCCTGATTCTAGAACCATGTCGACTACCTTGCCGCAGGCAAAAGCTTCGTTCGTCGGGCCCCGCCCGTTGCTTGCTGCCGACGACGCCGCAGAGGCACCAGATGCCCAGAGTACTGATTCTTGGTTTATGTCTATGAAGCAGATGCGCAGCCACAGAATACCCACGGATGTATTAGTGGATGTGTTTATTCGTCCAGGACGATCCGCCGAGAAAGCGCAAGGTAGCGCCGCTCACGATGCTCTGTCTGCTTTTGCATTCCTCCCCCACACTTTCGCCGCAGGGCAGAGACGCTTGTCCACTTTGGTCCATCGTCGTGTGCTTCTTGTATATTGCTCGCGTGCATTGAATGTCGTGCTTCCGCCTACCGGAGACGCTCCGTGCGGTCTCGAGCTTGCCGGTCCCTGGTGGCATGTTGGCCAGTCGTCTTCTCTGTGTCTGATTCCTCATTGGCGGTTCGTCTACGACTCCTGTGCCTCATCTGTTGCAGCCTTTGGTCCTGGATCGCTCCTGTAATCCTTCTATTTTCCGTCATATAAATTAAAAAGGCTTGTTTGCTTCCTGTTCCCGTCTGCCCGTGGTTCCTTGATCGTCCCCAATCTCTTTTCATACTTTTATCCTTGAGTGTGCCGGTTTTCATAGTCTCCTTCTCCGCATTACAGGAGAAAACCGTCATATATTCCCTTTACTTTTCTTATGTTGTGCTCATTACCCATACCCCTCTGACAATCCTTGAGAATCATCCAATCCCAAACAGACAAACAAACATAAAAAAGAAGGATTCCAAAAGTCTTGGCATTTGGCCCACTTACACCAAAACGGCCAAATAGAGTCAAACAGGACAAAATCAACGAAGATGCGTCCAACGAGGCTAAAACAAAACGACGAGGCCTGAGAAAGATACAAAACCGTTTCTGACCTCGAAGATAACTCAACCGAGACAGCGAGGGAAAAAACTACCTGGCACAATCCTGCATCGTATCAAAAAGCGCTCGCTTCAGGACCGTCCTCTAGTCTGGATTATTGGGGATCAGACCCTCACTTTGATACCACGATTGCCACAACCGAACAACACGTCGCCTCGGCAGAACACTCGCTGACATCTTGGTTCTGGTCTGAACCTGGCATTTGTCGCAGAAAAGGATACGGGAAAGAAACTGAAAGACGGCGTCGCGCAAAAATGGGTGCAAAAAGTGATTGTTAAGAGACGCAAAAAAAGGCAGGCACGACCAAGTAGCACGTGGGCCAATTCGGCCCAGCTCGTGGACCACGCCTTCCCCAGCAAGACAAGACAGCAGCAGCCTCTTTCCCACGTCGTGGTCGCTTCTGGCCATCGATCGTCGCTTCTTTCCCGCCGCGTGCATTTGCATCGTTCCTTCCGCTGTCAGTTTTCTGAACATTGGTCACTCCTTCCCTCATAGTCTTGGCAGCCGAACATTTCTCCTGACATTTGACATTTGACTTTCGATTTTCTTTTGTCTCTCGTCTTTTTGTCCCTTGTCTTCTGTCTCTTATACCTCCTCGCGCCCACTTACACCGTCATCTTTCTTTTCTTCCCGTGTCACAATGGCCTTCCCCAGTTTGATTACCATGTCTCCGGCTTCTTGACAATATGAAGACCGCCTCTACTCCTGGCTAAAAGGGGCCAACCTGTCAGTTGAAAAGGGTGTCTTTTGTCCCTTTTTTTACGTTGTTCCTTTGTAGTCCACCTCGTTTCTTTTTTCCATATCCTCCTCGTCAATCCGCAATGGTCTCGTTATCACGGACTTGTGCCGTTTTCGGGACCATGGCAGGGTTGGCTACGGCAGCCGACCTTGCCAGCTATGTATTGCCACTGGTGAGTTATGTCGGGCCTTTCTCTCTACTTTTCTCTCTTCAGACACATCCCCATAACCAAAGCTATTCATGTCCTTTAGATTGGCACAGAGGCCGGCGGAAACACCTTCCCCGGTGTTTCGGAACCCTTCGGCATGGTCAAGCTTGGCCCGGACATGGACACCGGTCCTGATGCCACTGGTTCAAGTTATTCGGGCTATGTCCCAGGTGCCGCCTTTTTTACTGGCTTCAGTATGCTACACGAGAGTGGAACAGGCGGTGCTCCAAAATATGGCGTCGTCTCGCAGATGCCCGTTGCGGGCACCCCCGTGGAAAATCCGCTCCTGCGCCACGCCGATGCCCGTGGCGCCGTGGCCGACGAAGCCAGTCCGGGCTCCTACAAAGCCACCATGGCCTCGGGTATTGTCGTTGAGCTTGCTGCCTCGTCGCGTGCAGGACTCTACCAATATACATTTCCAAACAGCGCCAGCGGCACGAACAGCGTTATTGTCGACGTGTCGCATTTTTTGCCGGCCCCCGACCGTGCCTACCTGAGCCAGCACTACCTCGGCGGCAACATTTCTGTCTCCTCCAAACCTGACGGCAGTAGTCTTCAGTACCAAGGCGCCGGCACCTACAACAATGGCTGGAATCTGTCACCCGCTTGGACTGTCTACTTTTGTGGCTACTTTGATAGCCCGGGCACGGTGCAGACGTTTGTCGGCACCAGCAGCACCGGCAGTACAATGCATCAGTTTCCTGCGGCAAGCACCGTGGACACATCACCGAACCGCCTCGGTGCCGTCTTTTCCTTCAATTCGACAAGTACGAACACTGTCACGTCTCGCGTCGGTGTCTCCTTTATGTCAACTGCCCAGGCCTGCAGCAACGTCAACAGCCAAGTGCCGCCGGGCACCAACCGGACGGCCCTGGAGGCACAGACCCGAGCCGCCTGGAACGACCAGGTGCTTAGCAAAATCACGACAACGGACAGAGACAATACCACGCGGCTTCAGCTGCTGTACTCGTCCTTGTACCACATGTTTCTGCTGCCGCAGAACAAGACGGGCGAGAACCCCTTGTGGACCTCGTCGGAGCCCTACTACGACGACGTTTTTACTCTCTGGGACTTGGTAGGTGAAAATTTGACAGCCCTTTCTTTCATGTGTAAGATCAAAAATAGCCTCTGACGTCGACAGTTCCGCTGTACGACTGCCCTGTTCCACGTTCTCCAGCCGACCATGTACGAAGAGTTCATCCGGTCGCTGGTCGACATCTGGCGCCACGAGGGCTTCATGCCGGACGCCCGCTCGTCGTTTTTCAACGGCGTTACTCAGGGTGGGTCGAACGCCGACAACGTTTTGGCCGATGCTTACGTTAAGGGCGTGCGCGGTAGCATCAACTGGTACGATGCCTATGCTGCCATGGTGACCAACGCCGAGACCGTGCCGGTCAACAACAACGACCCGCGCGACCCGACCGGCTCGACAAAGGAGGGCCGCGGCGCCTTACCGGACTGGCACAACTACGGTTTCATTACGCGGTCCTATGGTCGGTCCGTCACACGTGCGGTCGAATACTCCGTCAACGACTTTTCGCTTTACCAGGTTGCCTCGGGCCTGGGCAAGGCCAGCGACGCCAGCAAGTACCTTGACCGGTCACGCAACTGGCGCAAGCACTGGAACCCATCGGCGGCATCGCTCGGCTTCTCTGGGTTTCTGGTACCACGGACAAAGACCTCATTTATTCAGCAAGATCCTCTCCTATGCGGCGGATGCTACTGGGCAGACGATTGTACGTGCAGCAGTCCCGGTATTCTAGTTGGATTGTGTACTAACAGGGGTGCAGACTACGAGGCTCTTTCGTGGGAGTACTCGTTCAACGCCCATCACGACATGAAGGCTCTTGTTAACTACTCAGGTGGCGACACCGCCTTCTCTAACCGACTGGCCATGATGTTTGTCCCTGGCCAGCGGCCCATTGGTTCGGCACAGTTTAACAATACTATCTTCAACCCGGGCAACGAACCCAGCTTCACCACCCCTTACCTCTTCAACTTTGTTGGCCGCCAGGACCTCTCTGTTCAGCACAGCCGTGCTGCTGCCGACGCCTACTACCTGCCAACCCCAGGGGGTCTGCCGGGAAACAGTGACGCCGGCGCCATGGAATCATGGGTCCTTTGGTCCATGATCGGCTTATACCCGATCACCGGACAGACCACGTTCCTTATTGGCTCGCCCTGGTTCCACGACCTCACCATCAGTCTCGGTGGCGGCAAGACCTTGCAAATCACTTCGACCAACGTCACCACCACCACCTCGTCATCACAGGCTATCTTCGTTCAGTCCCTCAAGGTCAACGGCCAACCGTGGAACCGGTCCTGGCTCACCTATGACGACATCTTCGCCAACGGCGGCCGCCTCGATTTTGTCCTCGGCCCCCGGCCCTCCAACTGGTCCACCGATGGCATTCCGCCGCCCAGCCCGGCTACCGAGGACATAGTGCCGCCACCATTGGTGCTACCATCCGTCGTTGACCAGGACCGCTTTAGTTGGCGCGTTGACCGGCCGGTACTGGCGAGTCTGGTTAGTGCTGTGTGCGCTACTCTGGTCATCTCGGCCGTGTACCTCTGCCTTCGGCGTCGCCGCTCGCAGTTGTTGGGCAAGGGCCAAGCGCACCAGATACCTACTACGGAGGTACCACCTCCATCACCACCACAAGGAGTGAAGTCTAAGCTTTTAGGATTGCAGCCCCGGGTGCTTCAACTGCCAGCGATGGCATTTCAACAGCTGAGACGGGGTTCTTTCGGCTCCGCAAGAAAAACCGATGTGGCCGTCAACGAAGCAGCCGTTACAACGGGGCCAGCTGTGAAAGCAATAGCAACGACTGTCTCTGTTAAAGCAATCGATGATCTTAGCGTCTCGGACAGCCAACGGACCGATCGCTGCGACGATGATGCCCCCAAATCCAGCGGCGAGGCTGAGGTAGCATCTCCTGTGGTGCTTCAGCCGGCACATGCGATGGGCCTTGATGCTGTTTGATACGGATTTTCGGCCTATTTTCTCTCTCCTTCTTTCGCACATACTTGGAAACATATTTATCAGCAGTACATGTCGGATTGAGCGTTTCCTCTTCTCAATTATTTTCTGTTTTAGTTCCTTGCTCGTCGCACTCGGAGTTGCGGCCCCTGCTCGAAATCCTCAGCAGTATGACCGACGCAAGAGATACCCATACATTAGACAGTCTTTGTCGTTTTCTAGAGCCACAAATTAAATAAACATCAGTCTTTATATTTCGAAATCCAATACTGGTTTGTGCCCGTGCGTTTGTCTTGCACTTGTACTGTATTATTGCGGACGATGTGCAGCAGCTGTGTATATAGCGCTCTGAGACCCCGCTAGCCGCTTAACCCCAACTGAGCTTTGGTACTACACGGCCACAACTCTCAACGTCACCCCGGGCGGAGACGTCCGATCACGCTCCGTGCTTCTTGACAAAGCCAAAACACAATTTTGAGCTCGTTCCAAAATGTCGAGCCGTCCTCGCCAGCGCCTGTTCACGGCAGTGCTGCAAACATCCGCTGTTACAGCCAGCCCAGGACCTGCTGGCCGGCGATTGTTCTCCCTGTCCGCTCATCGGAGGGCCGACTTTGCCCATGCAGTGCGTCACGTTCGAGCGTCTGTCGTCTCGTCTTCTTATTGACAATTAGTTGACTGACACGCATGCAAAGGTCATTGGCGGCGGCGTCGTCGGCCTCGCCGTAGCACGTGCCCTGGCGGAGCGGGCAGCAACGGTCGCTCCTTCCTCGTCCGCATCGGCATCGTCTGTGCTCCTGCTCGAACGCCACGACACCGTCGGCACCGAAACCTCTGCCCGCAACAGCGAGGTCATCCACGCCGGCCTTTACTACGGCGCCGACTCCCTCAAAACCCAGCTCTGCATCCGCGGCCGGCAGCTGCTGTACGCCTTTTGCGACCAGTACGGCGTGGCCCACCGTCGCACCGGCAAGTGGATTGTGGCCCAGACGCCCGGCCAGCGCGCGTCCCTCGAGACGATCTATGCCTTTGGGCAGGCCTACCACGACCGCGACGCCGTTCCTCTGCGCTGGGTCGGTGCCGCCGAGGCCAAGGCGCGCGAGCCCGCGGTGCGTGCGGAGACGGGCGTGCTCGAGAGCCTGGCGACGGGCATCGTCGACAGCCACGGCCTGATGCAGACGCTGCTGGGGCTGTTTGAGCAGGCAGGCGGCGTGCTGGCACCCGGGTCGCCCGTTGTGAAGATTACGCCGCTGCCGGTCGGCAGTGCCAGTGCATCCCGGCAGCCAGGCGACGGCGGCTGGCAGCTGCACGTCAAGACGTCGGCGGCGGACGCCGAAGAGACGGTCGTGACGGCCGAGACGATTGTCAATGCAGCCGGCCTCGGTGCGGCTGCTGTGCACAACATGATTACGCAGCGGAACGGCGCGGCCGACAAACAAGAGCCCATGACGCTCCACTACGCAAAGGGCAACTACTTTTCCTACGCCCACAGCCAGCCGCGCGTGTCGACGCTCGTGTACCCAGCCCCGGAGCCAGGGCTCGCTGGTCTCGGCACACATCTGACGCTCGATCTGGCCGGCCGTCTCCGGTTTGGGCCCGACGTCGAGTGGGTGGACGACCCGACCGACCTGGCTGTCAACGCGCAGCAGCTGCCCCGGGCCATTGAGGCCATCAAGACCTACCTGCCGGGCATCGACCCAGCAGCGCTGCAGCCCGACTATGCCGGTATGCGGCCGAAGCTGGTCAGCGCGGGCCAGGGGGCGGCCGACTTTGTTGTCCGTAGCGAGCCGGGCTACCATGGTTGGGTCAACTTGCTGGGCATTGAGAGTCCCGGGTTGACGAGCAGTCTGGCGATTGGAGAGATGGTGGAGAAGATGGTCTATTCAAGCCGAGGCGGAAAGAGGTATGATGACGATAACGACTGACTCATTTGAGATTATAATAGATGTATTTTAATGACCTCGATATTTTGGTGACAATAAAACCATAGCCGAGTTGTGACAACAGTGTGGCCTCTGATCATGAAGCGGAGCGATACTGACCAACAAGCAAAAGAAGAAAATCTACAAGGCAAAAGAGACGAGATATGCAACCAAAAAAAAAAAAAGAGATGCCATTCAAAAGAAAATCCAGAGGTTAGAATAAACCATAGATGAAACAGACAAAACGCCAGTTTGTGCAGCCCATGTCCCGTGGAAGGGGGCTGTCCCATGTTGCGATCCCCATAACAGGCAAACCATCAAAAATAAAGAAGCGACATGGCAGAAAAGATCGAAACGGAGAAAACAAAAGAGAATATCAAAAATAGGAAAGAAAAAACCAGAACGCCCCAACGGTGTACCTAACAGAAAATCCCCTCGTTACCGCATCGTCACGCTCGGATAGAACATCCGGCTCTTGATGTTGACCCGGAACTCGTAGATGCCACCCTCCGTTCCGACATACCTAGGACGGTTAGGGACTGCAACGAAATGACAAAACGAATACAAAGAAGAAAAGGGGAGGGAACAAAGACTCACAGGATACTCCCATCCTCGCTCCAGGCAAGGCCGGCTGTGTGGCCGTCCTTTTGCTCTGTCGGGCCAGGCTCCCGAGCGCGCCGCGCCGTCGGAATGTTCGAGTCCCACGCCAGCAGGTTCGACGAGTTGAGCACCGTGTCGGGCAGCGGCAGCGGCAGCGCGTTTCGGTTGGCCCGCCGGGTGGCGTTCGGGATGCCGCCAAACCCGCGGTTGGTCGTCGCCGCCGCCGCTACCGTCGTCGTCGTCGTCGTCGTCGTCGCCCCCGGAGTTGTGGCGGCGGGCGGCTGGTCACCGAGCTGGTACGCATGCAGAATATCCATCGTCCGGCTGTTGCTCACGTCGTCTTGACCCCCGATACCACCACTGCCGTCGCCGCTGCCCCATAGCGGATCCCGTTGCCGTGTCGTCGAAGTCGCGGCGTCGCGGGACGAGAAGGCATTGTCGTCGCTGCCCGAATCGTCGTTTTCGACGCCGGCAGCGAATGCGCTGGCGCGTTGCGCAGCTTGAAGCAGTCCGGTCGGCGCCGGTGCCAGCCAGCGGCGCTCGACGTCGGCAGCATCCCGGGCGTTGCGCAGATTCCGCAGGCTGCCGAGAATGTCGTTGACTGCCATGGTCACATTCTCATTTTGCTCGCGCGTCCGTGCGGCGCTCCGGGCGCGGCTGTTGCTGGTGCCGGTCCGGATGTTGATGATCCCACTGGCGGTGTTGCGGGTGCTCGCCAAACTGCCGCTGCCGCTGCCGCTGGCCATAGCGCCGCTGTTGTCCGCACCCGACGACATGCCTCGCGAGCCCAGTGACGGCCGTGACCGGAGCAGCCACGCCGCCCGGCGTCCAAAGTCGGACGTGTCCCGGTCACGATCCCGGTCGCGCTGATCCCGGCTCAGCAGTGCCTGCTGTTCGCGCAGCAAACGTTGCCGCCGCAGCATGCTCTGCATACTGCGGAGGTTCTGTGCATCGCCGGACGACGTCGGCATGTGGTACCAGTCCAGCGCGTCCCGAATGCGCATGGCCTGCTCGCTCGACGTCATATCGTAGTCGTTTGCCGGCGGACTGGTGGATTCGTTCAAGGCGTTGCTCATCGTGCTGTCTCCGCCGCCCGCATTGCCAGAACCGCCAGCGCCCTGCTGACCTGTCCGTCTACGCTGGCGCTCTTCCTCGAACTCGTCGTTGCGGATGACCTCGTTAATGTTCACGTGCTCATAAGCGTCGTCGTCGCACAACTGGAGGATCTGTCGCGACACGAAGCCGTTGCGCACGTCGGCGACACCCACCGACCCGTGGTCCTCGCTCCACGCCAAAAGGTCGTACGGGCCAGGACAAAAGGACATTTCGCGCACGGCACCCGAGTCCACGTTGGGATTCGACGAGTTGAAGCAGGCCACCAAGCTTGTGTTCGGGTTGGCGAGTGTGCTCGTCTCGTAGACATGGATCACGCCGTACTGTGTCGCGACGGCTAGATACCGGCCCGTGTTCGAGAAACACGCCGCAAAACTGCCGCGGTGGACACTGGTGTCGACCCGGCTCTGGCCGCGCAGGTGATGCTTGGCCAGCAGCTTCCACTCGTAGTGCTTTGCCGGCATCGTCTGTGCCTCGCCACGGGCGAGACGGTTGGAGCCGCCAATCTGCTTTTCCACGCGCTCGTGGATGTAGAGATAAGGGTCATCACTGACGGCCACCAGCAGCCGGCCGTCGGGCGAGATGACGGCGCGGTTAACGCAGTCGGGGTAGTCCAGCACATCGAGCTCCTCGGCCGTCTCCAAGTTGACAAGCGTGACCTGCTTGTCATTGTTGGAGAGCGCGGCGATCGGGCACGAGTAGGCACCCGGCCACAGCGGCACAAAGCTCGACGGGGTCCATATCGTGATGCAGTTGACACGGTCCGTGCCAAACTTTTGGCTCTTGGCCACCAGCCGCGACGGTACGGTTACCAACAATGCCGCGTCGGTCATGCGCATGTCAAAGTCGTCGTACTCTTCGTCGTCCATACCCGGTTCGTTGTCATCGTTGTCGCTGTCGTTGTCGTTGTTTTCGTTGTTCTCAAGGTCGTGGTCGTGGTCGTGGTCGTGGTTGTGGTCATGGTCCATGCTGTGTGGGCGCTGGGCCAGCCTGTCCTGGCTGCTCCCCTCGACCGTTCCACCCCTACTCCCTGCTGTCGATCCGGCAGCCGCGCCATCGCTGCTATCCCTGCGTCCCCGTCCTGGTCCGATAGCACTCGGCGACTGGGAGCTGGAAGCGCCCCGCGTCGCATTTACCCGGATGGCGACAAACTCGCCCTCTTCACCTCCACAGCAGACCCAGCCCTGCCGAGCCACGAGGCATCGCGGGGAAAACTCGAGCTCGGCAATCGTTTCCGATTTTCGTGTCGCGGTGTCGAACTCTTGGATGTGCAGGTTGCCGATGCCAGCCGGGAAGTAGACGGTGTCGTTGACGGCGCCAATGAGAGATCGCAGCTGCCAGTGACTAGATACAAGTGCAAAGGGTTAGTTTCCAGTAACAGACTGTATCGCTGGCTTCCAAAAGCCGAAGAGGTGACGCACATTGGATTGATGCGGGCACGATAGTGTCGTCTAGGCTCCCGGCAAATCAGGGCTTCGGTCGGATAGCACCTATCGTTTCGCTGAGGTTAGCACAGATGGCTCGATTGCGCGCGGATGGATTATCACCGCCGTCGACGACTCTGTCTGTGGACCATCCCCCAAGACATACGCAGTCTCGTCTTTCACATCCCCCACGGCCATGGCAGTCGAAATCGTCGGTGGTCAATAGCAGAACAGGGACAAAGTGGTGCGACATCCACCAGCAAAGGAGGAAGCGCGGTTGCGACGGGGGTGGCCCAGATACGGGCCGAGCGAAGAGAGGTAATCGGCAGTCGCAGGATTCGATGGCAACGCGACGCCGCAGCGGCTAATGCGTCCGTCGCAACGGGGGATGGTGTGGTTCGTGTGGTTGGTGCTGTCGTGATCAAAGTCGACGTTTGAAGGCGCGGATCGTCGTCGATTGTATCACAGCAGTCAGGGGCGTCCTCGCAGCGAGAGTCGACGTTGGTCGACCGATTCGTTTGATCTTTGTACAATCAAAGGATAGATGTCGGTGGAAATAAGACGAGGCGTGGCGGTCGTGTGCAGAGGGGGATGCAGTTTGATGACTATGTCTCTCAATTTGCGACGACGATGAATTAGACGAAAGGGCGCGAGATGACGTTCAGCAAGGAGCCAGCTGTAGTTTCCTTTGCGGAGGCACCAGACGCCGTACGGGGCTGCAAAGCGGCACTGTGTGCTCTGTAATTGGCGGGCAGGTGCGCCGCCCTGGCCACTGTGCGAACGGGATAGTGGATCGTGCGCCTTGGCGACGAGGCTGAAATCCCATGAAATCCACCGTAAGCTGCTGGGGAAGGCGCTGGCCTGTTTGCGCACTGTATTGCACTGTGTTGCACTCAACGCCAAAGAACGAGCTGCAAAGTGTAACAGAACAAGGACGCACCGCGGTATCAACCATCAAGTACGAAATACAGACATTGCAGCAGCAGTGAGTCTCCATTCTGGGAGCCACGCCGTGCGAGGCATGGGCGAGCAAAACGTTACAGCAACATTATGTGCCGGTTTTCGCTCATAGTGAAGGCGGTGAGTTGTGTTTCGGTGGACTAGGCGGCAGAAAGTGCGGGTGCTCTTTCCCTGTCTTTCGGCCTTCCTGTCCTAGCACAGCCCAGCTTTGGCACCTTCCTCCTCCGGCCCGGAACCCCAGCTTAATCTGTAATGTTTTGCGGCCCAGCGCGCTCCTGCTCCAATGGACCTCGGCCGCGAGTAAAAAGCGGCAACAGCTCGGTCTCGGTCTTATTCCTTCCTGCCGCTTTCGACCGCTTGCTCTGGCTGGTCCACGTAAAGCCGGTGAGGTCATTGGTACGCCCTGGTACGGAGTAGTAGAGAGTCACAATGCTGGCTGTTTGTGTGCTTCCTGAGAAGAGCAGCGTGGACACAATCAAGAAGATGGACATTGTGAGTGTGCTTGAGCGTCCTTTGGGGGAGCATTTTGCATTCTCAGGCAGGCCATCGCTCCTTCCTCCCATCCCGCTTAGACCCGGAACATAGTCACGTGTGCTACATTTGGGGGATACACGTGACCGTTCTACCGCTTTAGGAGTCTGTGGCAACCGGAAAAGTGGAGCCTATCGCTCTAGCGGGCGGCCAGCAGCCAATAGGATTCAGCGCCTGTGAGTGGCCCAGCACCTTCTCGAATTTTTCAGAGAGCAGGGGCAATGAAAAAAAAGAAGGAAAAGAAGCGGCCGAAAAAAAGCTCTTCCATAAAATCTTCCATCCTCTCTCCAGGTCCCCTCTGCCCACACCATTTCTTCATCATTTTCTCACTTTATACCCCACGGTGCATCTTGTCCCGACTCACCTCTTCTGCGCAGTCTCCTCCTTCGTCGTCCGAGTTGTCTTGAGTGGTCTCTGTTGTATCCTGTGTTTTCTTTTTTTCTTTTTTTCTTTCTTCTACACGTCCGACATCATGTTGGCCGCTCGTTTCTCCAGAGCCGTGAGTACCTTGTCCCATTCTCCCAGCTGCAATTCCGACGACCCGAGCCGTCCGCTAACCGGCACAGCTTCCCCGGGCATCCTCCGTGGCCACGCGCCCGGCGGCGATGCGCGCCAGCGCCTTCCGTCCTGCCTTTGCTCGCTTCGAGTCGACCGGCACCGAGGAGAAGGTCAAGGGCGCGGTCATCGGTATCGATCTCGGCACCACCAACTCGGCCGTTGCCATCATGGAGGGCAAGGTCCCCAAGATCATTGAAAACGCCGAGGGTGCCCGCACCACCCCCTCCGTCGTCGCCTTCTCCGAGGACGGCGAGCGGTTAGTCGGTGTCGCGGCCAAGCGCCAGGCCGTCGTCAACCCCGAGAACACCCTGTTCGCCACGAAGCGGTTGATTGGCCGCAAGTTCAAGGACGCCGAGGTCCAGCGTGACCTGAAGGAGGTCCCGTACAAGATTGTCCAGCACACCAACGGCGACGCCTGGGTCGCCGCCCGCGGCAAGAACTACTCGCCCTCGCAGGTCGGCGGCTTTGTTCTGCAGAAGATGAAGGAGACCGCCGAGTCCTACCTCAGCAAGCCCGTCAAGAACGCCGTCGTCACCGTCCCCGCCTACTTCAACGACTCCCAGCGCCAGGCCACCAAGGACGCCGGCCAGATCGCCGGCCTCAACGTCCTGCGCGTCGTCAACGAGCCCACTGCTGCGGCCCTGGCCTACGGTCTGGAGAAGGAGGCCGACCGCGTCATTGCCGTCTACGATCTGGGCGGTGGCACGTTCGATATCTCCGTCCTGGAGATCCAGAGCGGCGTCTTCGAGGTCAAGTCGACCAACGGCGACACCCACCTGGGTGGCGAGGATTTCGACATCACGCTGGTCCGCCACCTGGTCGACCAGTTCAAGAAGGACTCCGGCCTGGACCTGTCGGGCGACCGCATGGCCATCCAGCGCATTCGCGAGGCCGCCGAGAAGGCCAAGATCGAGCTGTCGTCGTCGCAGCAGACCGACATCAACCTGCCCTTCATCACGGCCGACGCCTCGGGCCCCAAGCACATCAACACCAAGCTGACCCGCGCGCAGCTCGAGAAGATGATGGACCCGCTCATCACCCGCACCATTGAGCCCGTGCGCAAGGCCCTCAAGGACGCCAACCTGCAGGCCAAGGACATCCAGGAGGTCATCCTGGTCGGTGGCATGACCCGCATGCCCAAGGTGGCTGAGTCCGTCAAGGGCATCTTCGGCCGCGAGCCCGCCAAGTCGGTCAACCCCGACGAGGCCGTCGCCATCGGCGCCGCCATCCAGGGTGCCGTCCTGTCGGGTGAGGTCACGGACCTGCTGCTGCTGGACGTGACGCCGCTGTCCCTGGGCATCGAGACCCTGGGCGGTGTGTTCACCCGTCTGATCAACCGCAACACCACCATCCCCACCAAGAAGTCGCAAGTCTTTTCGACGGCCGCCGACTTCCAAACTGCTGTGGAGATCAAGGTCTACCAGGGCGAGCGCGAGCTTGTCAAGGACAACAAGCTGCTGGGCAACTTCCAGCTGGTCGGCATCCCGCCGGCCCACCGCGGCGTGCCCCAGATCGAGGTGACGTTTGACATTGACGCCGACTCGATTGTGCACGTGCACGCCAAGGACAAGTCCACGAACAAGGACCAGTCCATCACGATTGCCTCGGGCTCGGGTCTGTCGGACTCGGAGATCCAGCGCATGGTGGACGAGTCGGAGCAGTACGCCGAGCAGGACAAGGTGCGCAAGGACGCCATTGAGGCGTCGAACCGCGCCGACAGCATCCTGACGGACACCGAGAAGGCCCTGACCGACCACGCCGACAAGCTGGACAAGACCGAGTCGGACCAGCTGCGCGAGAAGATCACTGAGCTCCGCGAGTACATCTCCAAGAGCCAGGCCGGCGAGGGCGATGCCACCGCCGAGGACATCAAGGCCAAGGTCGACGAGCTGCAGAACGCCTCGCTGAACCTGCTGGACAAGGTCCACCGCGCCCGCGGCGAGGACCAGCCCCAGGAGGAGCAGAAGCCCGAGGGCGAGAAGAAGGACGAGACCAAGCAGTAAATGCAGGGTGGAAGCAGCCCGACCGCCCGACAGGACGAGCTTGGCATCGCCAGCGACAGCAGATCAAAAAAGAAACAAAAACAACAATTGGGACGAGGAAACAAAAAGAAATGATGGGCCTGGGATCCTTTTGATTTTTTAGCGCAATCTGTGGTTTTATAGATTTTCCCCCGGTGTTCTTCCATTTCATCATGTCATTTCCATCACCTAAACGCCTTCATTTCCTCTCTTCATCTCCATCTCCACCATCTTTCACATCTCTCTCCATGTATCTCCTCTCTGTACTCTATACATTCATGATTTCATTGTTATATCCATTTTGAATCTCGTTCGTCTCTTTGAGAGCATATGTTGTGGACGAGTCTCATGTGGTCTGGATCGACGTTTTGTCTGCCAGACTCACGACACGTTGGGGCGGAACGGACAGCGAGGGCAGGCACAATAGGCGGGAAAACGCGGCGTTTACGAGCATTTAAACAAAGTTGTTTACGTTTGTTTTATGTTTCTCATTAGGAACAGACAGAGGCAAGACACAAAGTTGAAAGGCCTGGGCAGTGCAGCGCATGCTCTTCTTTCCTTGTCGCTTTTTACTTTGATCCACCGTGCCTAGCAAGCTTGACTGGCTTGCGGTCATCTATTTACATATAAACATAATAGACATATCCCCACTCATTCTTAAGGTACCCGTAAGGATCATGCTTTGCCTTTTCATGCTGTAGAAATATGAGAGAAAAAGTGTGAAAGAAGAAAATGTAAGGTTCGTAGATACACAATCATCGTCTTATCTCTTGAAACCGAACCAGCCACGCTTTTGCGGCTGTTCCTGCTGGGGCGGCGGCGCGCCCGAGGCCGTTGGTGCCGCCTGCTGGCTGCTCTCGCTCTTGACAGCCGCTGCAGCACCACTGCCGGCCTTGCTCGGGTAGTCAATGTAGTTCCATGCAATGTCGAGGAAAATGGGCTTGACGGGCACGGCCTGTATCCGCGGCGGGTAGGACACAATGTTGTCGAGGTCGACGGCGCCCGGCGGGTATTCGCCGAGCGTCTCGGACAGGGCCAGCGCGCCGGCCTTGCTGGCCGCAGCGCCAGCCGCTGGCTGCTGTTTCTCAATGTCGACCAGTGCACGAGTCCGCTGGAGCTCGGCCTGCAGCAGGGCCTGCAGGAAGGCGACGTCGTCGGCCGAGACGTGGATGCTGCGCAGCGGCGAGTCCTGTGTCTGGCCGCTGCCCGTCGCCTTGCGCGCACCGCCGGTGGCGGCCTTGGCGAGGACCGGGGCCGCCGCATCCGCCTGGTCGTGGGCGTACTTGACGAGGGCCAGGGCGTTGGCCGCATGGCCGGCCAGCGCGTGCGAGCGGGCAACGGCGAGCGACTTGAGGGCGACAAAGTACTTGGCGGTCGCGTCGAGCTGCTCGGCCAGCTCCACGTCGGCGGCGACGCCGGGCAGCTCCTTGACGGTCTCGAGGCTCTGGAGCGTGCCGTCGTAGAGGACAAGCTTCTCCTTGAGGCGCGCCAGCAGGCGACCAGGGGCTTCGGGGCGCGCCACAGCCGGCTTGCCCTTGGCCTTTCTTGTGACGACGGGGGCCGACTGCACGACGGCGCCGTCGTGCGGACCCGTCAGGACACGGTTGCGGCCAATGCGGTCGCTGATCATCTCGTAGTTGGCGGCGGTGCGCGCAATGTACAGGAGCTGCACACTGGGGTCGCTCTGGGGAATGCCCTCGTTGCGCAGGTCGTCGATGGCGGCCTTGGTGGCGTCGACGGCGTCCTGGCTGACGGTCAGCACGTCGTCGTAGGCGGCCGCCTTGTCCTTGGGGGCCATGCGGGCGCCGCCGGCCACCAGCTGCGCCTCGAGGCGTGCCTTGGCCAGGTCGAGCGCGGCCCACGCCGAGGCAATGGCGGCGTCCTCGATCTTGACCTCGCGCGACCGCCACGTCAGCGTGCGCGTCGAGGCCACGACGCCACCCACAGTCCCTGGCGCAGCCGCCTCGAGGCTCTCGATGCCGTCGGCCGTGGCGGCCGTCTTGGGCTGCAAAATGGCCGGGTCGATCTGGTTGACAGAGGCGACGAGCGCCGACGTATCCGGCGTGGCGGCGACGCTCGTGGCAGACAGGAGGGCCTCGCGTGCGACGATGGGGATGGGCTTGGAGCGCGGCATCTTGAGCTGGTAGGCGGCGTACCGCAGCGACGGCTCAATGGTCTCGGCGAGCAGGTCGCGGAAGATGTCGGCGCGCGTGGGCGAGGCGGATGAGAGGGCACTGTAGATGGCCCAGACGGCGGCGTAGTTGGCCAAGCACAGCTCCCAGGCCTGCTTCTCGAACGCGGCGGCGCCCCGGAGCATGGCGGCATAGGCACGCGCCTCCAGACGGTCAACGTCGCTGGCGCCGCTGGCATCGTCCTGCAGCAGATCCGACAGGCCGGCGGCGTACTTGGCGGCCTTGTCGAGACGCGAGACAATGTGCGAGCGGGTGTGGCCGGTGATGCCTTTTTTGTTGGAGGCATGGGCCGCCTTCATGGCCATGGCCTGGGCGAAGGCGCGCTCGGCCGTGAGCAGTTGGAGTCGTGCGTAGCTGAGCAGTCAGTAAAGAGTCGAACAGCTTCCCCCCCACCCAAAACATCAGAGAAAACAGAGAAACACACCTCACGTCTGCAGCCACCTGCTCGGCCGTGATGTTGTTCGCATTGTGGTTGTATTTGCCCCGATGCCGCGTGGCCACGCGCAGCTTTTTCCGGATATTCAGCAGACGGTGCGCCAGCTGTGTGCGGTAGGTGCTGTAGTCGCCGTACAGCAGGGCCTTGTCTCTGGACGAGACGACAAACTGTGTGATATCCATTGTGCGGTCTTCCTCTTTGCTATTTCCTTTCTCTCGTCTGCCGTCTTCCTCTCGTCGCTCCTCGTGACAATCGCCAGGGCGGAGCAGAGAGTGAGGCCGTCTGCGTGCGTCCTCGGTCGTCCACAGCGGATCGAGCGTGCGGCTTGTCGTCGTATGGTCTGCGAGGGCGGTGTGGCCGGTCGAGAGTCTGAGAGATGTGTGCTATCCCGTTCTCCTATTTTCTATTTTGCTGCTTCCTGTTTGTCTTCTGCCAAATGTGTGGGGTTGATATCGACAGCGTGTAAATTTGCTAGCACTGTTTTTTCCTTTCGTTTGGCAGCAGCGAGTCTCGTGCCCCACCTTCTCAGAATGCTTCTGTGCGCCTGTCGCTCCTGCCCAAAGCGACGGCGTCCAGTGGGTCGCACCCGCCATCTGCTACAGCGTTGTACGAGGGAAGGTACGGATCATTCATTGGCCGCTCCGGCGCAAAAGCTCCAGTAGCTTGGGCACCTGCCATCAATGCACCTGCCAGCCGAACATAACATCGGACCACTACCCCATCGAAAAAATGTTAGTATGAACGTCCATCTGTAGATGCATCCATTCCGCCTGGGAGCCCACCATTTGCCGCCAAACAACACCACGGCCTGACACAGCCACACGTTTTGAACTGGGCACTGCGACAGTCGACTGTGGTGCAGAACAAAGCGTGCACCCACACAAATCTCTTCGTCTTTCCATCGCCACGCGGAGCTCTGTTTATATGCACGTGCTAAAGTGAGGCTTCACGTTTTTCGTCGCCAGCAATTCCACGCAGCTTGCTTCTGCTCTGTTGCTCTGCACCGGCTGGGGCTCTCGACCGACCAACAGACCCAAGTGGCATTGGGCTTCTTCGGAATACCTCTCGACCTGCCCATAATGTGTCCATAGCCTGCTCGCCAGCCGACAACCGTCCTCCCATCTCACGGCATACACGCCGCCATCTTGCCACCTTGCCGACGACGGCCGCTTCGACCTGATGCCGCTGCTCGACCGCACAGCGGCCGGGCTGGAGCCGGCCGGGCTCCAGCGGCTGCTGCCCAACGTGTCAAAAGCCAGCGGCACGTCGTCTGGTGCCCTGCAGGCCCTGTTGTCACAGCGAGGAATGCACGGATCCGATCCGCGAGACGGCTATTTCGACATGTACACTCCAGAGCTGTCCCAGATCGAGCCACTCAATGCCTCGGCCTTTTTGCTCGACTTCCTGTACCCAAAGGGCAGCTTGACCTTTGTCCGGAGGCTGTCCAGAGCCACAGACCGCCGTGGCCGGGCAGACAGCTCAACCACCGCACCCACATCCACGAATCCTACGCAGACCGCAAATTCCCCACGAAAACCAGCACCGACACGGCACTTTCGATCCCTCCTCTCCTCCTCTGCTGCTGTATCCGATGGCGCCCAGGTCCAGAGCCATCCAACGGCTGCGGCTGATCACGCTTCTCACAGAGCCACGGATCTGTTTCGCAGCGACGTTAGCGGTCGGGCTCGGGCGCCTCGTGAGGACCAGGGTGCCGTTCTTGCCGACCTGACGCAACTCGTCCAGCTGCGGCCGACAGCCACCGACCACGACGCCTTTGAGCGGGTGTGGGACCTGTACAGCCGGCTGGACGACGGGCCGCAAAAGACGGCGCTGAACCGCGCGGTCCTGCAGTTTCTGACGCCGTCCAAGCGGCCGACGGAAGCACACAGGGTCCTGCGTCTCTTTGAAACGATTGACCCGTCGCAGTGGGACGCCGCCACTGTTGCCGCGGCCATCAACACCCAGCTGCGCCTCCGAAACCGGACGGAAGCTCTCGCCATCTTCCAGCGCAGCACCGCCACGGGTGCTTGGGCAGACGGCGCAGCACCCGGGCTCGACCTGCTGATCGCAAACGCCCTCAAGACGCTCTCGTGGGACGCCATCTCGGCCGCGTGGAGCGTCTACAAGAAGAAGACCGGGCGGGTCAAGGCCGAGGAGCCGCTGCTCACGGCCGTTGTGGAGCTGCTGGGCCTGCAGGACAAGATGCAGATGTTCGCCGAGTTTATCGATATGGCGGCCCAGAAAACACAGAAGCCGGAGCATCCTGAGCCGCCGGAGCAGCCAGAGCTCTCAGAGTCGCCTGAACAGCTCGCGGCCCTCGAGCTGGCTGAGCACAACACCGACCCGGCCGAGCGCCTGGACCTCGAGTCCCTCAAAGAGGCATTCAAGGCCATTCTCGAGGCCTCGCTGAACCGCCTCGACCCGGACGCCGCCTTGCCCCTCGTGCGGTCTCTGACAAACCCGCGTGTCCTCGAGAACTTCATCCAGGTCCTCATCAACAACAAGCGCTTCGACCTGGCAGCACAGGCCTATGCGGAGTACCGCGTCATGCCCAAGTTCCGGCCGCACACGTCCACCCTCGCCGCCATGGTGCGCCACGTCTACTACCCACACAACGCTCGCGGCATGGAGGAGGTGCTCAAGGACTGGTACAACGCCAAGGGCCGCCTCAGCTTCTGGGGTTACCAAAAGTACCTCGCCTTTTACGCGTCGCGCGGCGACGTCACATCCGTCTACCGCCTGTGGGACGAGTTCACCACCGTCTATCCCACGGCCATTGCGAGCGCCCAAGACACCTTTGCCCACCTGCTCAAAGTGCACGCCGTGCGCGGCGACCTGGCCCAGGTCGAGCAGGTCTTCGCCGAGACGTCGGACAAGTACAACGTGAAGCCCAACATTATCTGCTGGAACATCCGTCTGCACGTCTATGTCGAGCGCGGCCACTATGCCAAGGCCATGCAGATCTTCGAGGACCTCTGCGAGGCTGTCGCGCCAGACGACTACAGCTTCAGCACCATCATGTCGATTGTCGGCGGCCGCGGCGATCTCGAGCTCGTCTCGGACCTGTATTGGCTGGCCCAGCAGTGCGGCGTGAAACTCACCGAGGCCATCGTCGACCCCATTGTCGAGGCCTACTGCCAAAACGAGCGCTACGACGACGCCGAGCGCCTCTGCGTCACCACCACGCGCGACGGCACCGTCGGCGGCAAGCCGTACACGGCGCTCTGGAACACGCTGCTGCACCACCACGCGCTCCGCCACGACCTGGTCGCCGTCAACCGCATCCTCAACGTCATGACCCGCCTCCACGTCAAGTACGACGGCAACACCTACAGCGCCCTGCTCTTTGCCCTGGCGCAGTGCCGCCAGCCCCGCCGCGCCGTCGAGCTCCTGCGCACCGCCCAGGAGGACGGCATCTTCCGTCCCGAGGCGCATCACTACACCCTGCTCATGATGGCCTACATTCGCAGCAAACAGCCCCACCGCGCCCTGCAGGTCAACCGCCTCATGCACCACATGGGCTTCCAGCGCTCCAGCCAGCAGGTCCAGATGGTCATCAAGGCCTTTAGCCAGTGGCAGGACTTCCCCAAGGGCGACGCGCCCGCCGAGGGCGGCCTGAGCGCCACCGAGCGCCGCGATCTGTTTGCCAAGGCGCTGCGCGAGTTCCAGCGCTCGCTCCATGTACAGGACCGCCGGGACGCGTCCATGCCGTCGCGCGCCAAGGAGGCCGTGGGCCGCGACGCCGCACGCATGCACCTCGGCGCCGTCCGCCGCTTCTCGTTTGTCCTCTTTATGCTGCTGCAGGCGCGCGACTTTGCCGGTGTCGAAGAGGTGATGCAGCTGTACAAGTCCATTGCGCCCGCCGACGAGCGCCAGCAGCCCCTGCCGCTGAAGCTGTGCAACGCGCTCATGCTGTCCGACTACTACGAGGGCCGTTTCGACCGCGTCAAGGAGATGTGGCAGAACATCCTGGCCCGCACCCAGGAGGTCAGCCGCCCGCAAACCTTCAAGACGACGCGCCTCGAGTCCATCCTCGGCCACGCCAAGGGCGACCATGCTGAGACTGGCATTCCGGCCGCCCCTGCCGCCGGCCAGGAGTCGAAGGAGGACCGGCCCGTGGTCGCCAGGTTGCGGTACGGCCTGACGGACCCGCTCAAGACCATGCAGCGCCTGTACGCTGCGCAGCGGGACCCGGAGGGGCTGATGAACCTCGTCAACAACGACGCCCTCGCCAATGGCTTCTTGCTCGACAACAAGAACTGGAACCATTATGTGCAGCACCTCGCCCGCCTCGGCCGCACGCGTGAGGCCTTTGCCGTCTGCGAAGAACAGCTCATGGGCCAGTGGAGCGGCTTTGCTCCTCTCCGTGCCCTCCATCGCCTGCGGGGGGACGAGGACGGCAGCCTTTCTGGCATGAAACAGCAAGCACAACAGCCCCTGTCGTCGTCATCACTGCCGCAGACACAGAGCAGGGTACCATCGGAATCACAGTCTCCCGAGGCGCGGGATGCCGACTCGGACGGCAACGCCAGGACCAAGGAACAGGACATGAACAAGACGGGCAGCGCCAGCCCACGCATGTCGCGCCTGAAGCGCATCCGCGAGAGCGCCACCCGCTACAACCGCCCCATGACCTACACCTTCATGGTCCTGGCCAAGGCGTACCTGGAGCTCGAGCAGATGGCCGTGTGGTCGTCGGCCGCCGAGCGGCAGTTCCACGAGCTGGGCGCCAAGAGCCCGCGCACGGTGCATGCGGTGCGGACCATGGTGCGCATGAACTCGCGTATCGAGGGGCGTGTGTTTGGCGGCAGTGACAATGTGGCCACCGACGTGGGCATCTTTCCACCAGCGGACATGGACCCTGCGCCGTCGGAGTCGGCGCAGGATAGTCGACAGCAACTCGCCTCGCAACGCGTCTTATGATATAATACCTCGCCATGAAACGAGTCAACAATAATGAATGAATGGTCTAATAGAGTGGGAAAAAATATACTCCTCGTTTGAGGACGCCGGCACATAAATATACAAATGTACATTAACCGAGGTATGTCTCTAAATGGAGAAAACCAGATAGATATTATGATAACCAGATATATATATATATATATATATTGAATTGATAGGATTGAGCTGAATTGGAGGGTATATATAATCCAATACGGCACCTTAATTTGTCCATCCAAAACGTGAACATAAAGGTAATACTATTGGCGGGAGATGGTCGGTGGATTGTCCCATTCGACAACAGATTCACCATCGTAGGAAGCTTATTCTCAAATGTCAGGGGTCTCTTTGTCAGCTTCCTCTGGAGCCATGTTCTTCTCAACTTCGAGTGACCGCAGGCGCTGCGATAGGAGTCCCTCGCAAGCAGCGGGGCTACCGCTTACGAAAGCGTTTCCGCCATAGCCGATATCGCCTTTACTGAGCTTCTTGTACAAAGGCAAAGCAGGAGACGTGACCGTCGTGGTTCCTGTAGAGCTGCTGCTGCTGCTTTCTTCCATGCTGTTCGAGTTGTGGCTCTTGCCGGTAGTTGTCTGGTCCAGACTGTTTGCAGGACCAAATCCGAGTGCTGCAACGGATGGCGAACCCAGTGGCTGGTCAAACCTGACGAAAGGACGACCGCCAATCGTATTGCTTTCAGTCTGGTCGAAAGGCAGCTGACCGACTATACCGTGGTTGGACCAAGAGTGCGAGGACACAGCAGGCTTTGGTAAGGCCGATTGCGTTGGGGTGGCGGGCACAAGTGGGTGCTGGACGCCAAACGCGTCAAAGGCTTGCGACACGGCATTGGCAGTGAATGACAAACCCGAGCTGCGCCGTCGGTACGCTTTCTCGGCTGCAAGAGCGGCGCCCGGGCCGTTCCCGCCCACGTGGTAACCACTACCACCGGCAATACCCGCAGGCGGGTGCATCACGCGGATGGGTTTGTAGGGCGAATAGAGGGGCTCAGGAAAGGTCAGTTCGTTTCTCAGCTTCTCTTTTCCGTCCGGTACGCGATTGGCAAAAACAACACGGATGCTTTTGTAGAGATAGTAGCGCCCACGCGAAGGACAGCAAATATGCAAGTGAATCAGGTACCGCAAAATGGGGCGATCAGATGACGTGTCGCTCGTGGCTGGCAGGTTGTCGATAATCGGACCGGCCGAGTAACTGCGCTGTCGAATGAACGTTTTCGTGCCTGCCTCCATCCCGGTCAAGTCATAGGGGACCAGGAACAGCTTGACGGCCGTTTTATTCTGGTTCTTGATGATGATTTGAAGTTGGCCCTGTTCTGGAATGCGGTAGGAGCCGCCCGGTGGGGCTTTGGGGCCATGCGGACGTCTCTTATGAGAACGAGATGCAGTAGCAATTGGTTTGTTCGCCTCTGTATCGGAGAGATCGAGTCGCTCCACATGCATGTCTTCCATGACAATCTCGTCTCCATTCGGATTGCCCTCCACTGGACGGGCAAGATTGTGGATTTCTCCCGCATTGGCTGTGCCGTTCGTTCCACCCTGCTTGAACTGCGCCGGCCGGGTGCGCGAGGCGGTCCGTCGACTGGGCATCATTGCCTTGCGTTTTGATCGTTGCTCGGCGCCTGAATTGGGCAATCCATTCTCGAGGTCGACCATGCCCACATAGGGACTGGGGCCGTCTTCGGCTTTGGACCGGCCGTAGGATGTTGTTGCGTAGCTGTAAAAGACGGCTGAGAATGGAAGCGTGACGTGTGCTGGGCAGCGGAGACCGGGTTTGCACTTGGCTCCCAGGCCCAGAACGCCGATTTGAGCGAGGAAATCAAGCGGCTTCGACGGCGTTGTAGACATACGGCCACGGAGAATGCTCTCTTCGTAAGAGCCAACCATGGACGCATGCTGAAGGGGGGACGAGTCCAAGGTGAACGACGGTCTTCGGGAACGTGAGAGTAGCGGTGTCTGAGGAGTAGATGCGGAGTTTAAAGTCGGAGGGAAATGGTCGATATTGTAGTTGGAGATCGTAGAAAGTGATCTACGAGGCTGGTGTGCCTGGTAGGGAAGCGTGTTCTCACGGCGTAGGTTTCCTGATAGTGGGCGGGGGAGCGGGTGAGATATTATTGGGACAGAGTAAGGGGATGACTGCAAGTGGCGATTGTGAGAGAATGTCAGCGTATGCCGCCTTGCATTCGCTCTACTGCCAGCGGCTCTCTGTGTCGGGCTGCTGCCAAGGGCAATGTCGATGTGGTCCACGGGGAGGCTGCTATCCGCCCCGTCGTCTTCGTCGTAGTTGCTCTGGGACTGCACAAGCGGGCTCGTTGGTGGCATGTAGACAAAGCTCGAGGAGATTGACGACGACGGTGACGGTACATTGGATCGGAACACACCAAGTTCCGCCAGCGCAGACGTAGGAGGAGACCGGTGATCGAACGAAAATGGCGCGTAGTGCCGAGGCGGTGAGGTTGCTACCCAAGGCGAGGGAGAGACGTCTGCCGCAGGTCCTGGCCGGGGTAGTCCGGTAGGGCGGGCTTCCGTTTCTTCAGACGTTCGGGCCTGGCGCCTACTGGACGTGCTCTGAGTGAAATCGCCGCTGTGCAAAGCCGACCGTGGCCGTTCGATATTCAGGCCGTCTTCCAGTCTGGCGGCAGCCTCGGCGTTGTGGTCGTGCGCCTCCAATGGAATCCGTTCAGGGGTGATATCGGCCGCAGGAAGCAGCGTGGTTGACGTTATTGTGTCTGCCGATGGAGGCCTGGGACTTTGAGTAGGAGTCCGCTTGTGATACATTGACCCGACCTGCGCGGGAGAGTATCAGCAAAAGGTATCCTGTTATCAGGAGCTGTTGACAGTACAGAGGAACACTCACATGTCGGTTTGGGATCCAAGTCGGGCTCTCGCCTCGCTTGATCCTTTCGATTAGCTCCGCTCGATCGGTGACCTGCTCAGAGGCATCTCGACTGGGCGGTGTGCGGGGCGGTGATGGGTCAGCAAATCCGTGCTGGGCGTCGGAGGCCGGCGAAGGCTGTAAAACAAACGATCGAGGCAGGGGTGACGGAGTGTCTGGGAGCGGTCCTTCGCACAAGTCGGTCCGTATGCTCTCTTCGGACATCCGACGGGACACAAAGGGAGATGTGGGAATGGAGATGGGTTTTGAGGGAGTGCTGACACGTTCGGATTCCGAGGGAGGTGACGGCCGTGGCGGTGGAGAGGGTTCCTTTGGAGGAAGCTCGCCGCTTTGGGCGAGTTCCATCGTATCCTCAAACATCGGCATGTTGTCAGGGAGCCCTGGTGGGAGCTCAGACTTCAGGGATCGATTTTGGACGAGAGCGAAGGAGACGAAATAGGCGTGATTCAGCTGCCTGGTGATCCGATCCCCGTCTCCGGCTCAGACGGGGAGGATCAAGCAGTAAAGTCAAACAGATATTGGTGACTGGTGGAAAGATAAGGACAGTGTCTGGTGTGGTGATATTCAGATCATGCTGGGAATCGTTCTGTGAGAAGCTGAGGCGTAGCGAGTTGTCGAGTTTAAAAGCCTGTTTGAACACGCGAGGGCAACAGCATTTGCCAGGGTGAATGCTTGTGAGAACCACCAGGTTGTATGTGAAGAGGAGAGTGAAGATCACGTTTTCGAGCCCAAGCGAAACAGCACAGCGTCCGTAAAGGCTTTCGATCTTGCAATAAAGGTTAGCTCTGCCCGTGGTCGTTGTCTGTGCAGCCGGTGGATAGGTGCGGCCTCTACTGTCGGTTGTGCATGGGCAGGTGCGTCTGCATGCAGGTGTATGCAGGGAAAGCCAGCCTAACGAAGCAGCGGTCAACTGTGAACGGCTGTGAATGGCATCGTTGGTGGAGATAATGGCGCCGGACCGGTTTCGGCGTTATGGTCGTTCTGGAGAAAGAAAGTGGAGAGCGCTGGGGAGAAAAGGAAGGTCGTTCATGAGACAATGGGCGATGGCCAACGCCTGAAGGGCTATGAAGGGATATGCGGCATGCAGTTGAGATAGAAATAAGTAGATGTGAGGAGAGGATGTTATGAAAAGAGAGGAAGAGGGCATAGAAGTAGGACGAGAATTGAGTGCTGTTGCATCGCATGGGAATGAGGAAGCAACGACTGGACCGGGACAGGCAGGAGCAGAGGAGGGCCTGGGTTTGTGGCCCACTAGGACTGGTCAAAGAGGAAGGCGTGACGCTCGCTCATCTGCTTTTATTGACGTCAGGGCGAACTGGTTTAGCTTGCGGAGTGGTGCATGAAGCAGGAGCAAGCCCAACGCCGGCAGGAGCAAACTTGGTCATACGCACAATAAGTACTATGTTTGGGAAGCGACCACCAACTGCCCCAACCGACTCATATTGGGTTTAACGCCCTCCCGTCAGTCAATCTAAGGAAGGCACGGAGCATAGTTATGCAGAAGCGACTCAAAAGTGGCAACCGCTCCTCAGTCCACTCTCTCTCGTGTGCCCTACTCCGTAATTGCTTGCTGTAACGCCACTGCGAACAGTGTGACTCAAAGATTTCGCTGGCAAAAGGTGCACGCATCAAAACGGAAAGTGCCCCACATGCTCCCACCCAATTGGCACTGAAACAACTCGCTGTTGAGCACTATCTGACCCCATTAATACCGCCCATTAAAAGTCAGTGGGTCTGGCGCCCATTTAAAACACGAAACAAAAATCGGGGTTCTTCATAGCACCACCTTTGAACCTGCTGTGTTTTGTGCTAAAAGAAGCAAAGCCTCAAGCCAAGCCACAGTACGCTAACAAGCACCCGTACGGTTGGCTCATTAATAGGGCCCAAAAGACCTGCAAAGATCCCAAGCGAGACGCCCCAAAAAGCTGGCCGACTTTTACTGCCGGTAGAAAGAGGACTGTATAATGATGATGGGAGTCAAAAATAGGGAATGAGGCCAGGAGACTAAGTTGGGGAGACGAACATAGTGTCATCGACAGGACTCCTTCTTGCAGGCAAACTGGCACCTAAAATAGGGGACATTGGGCGTTATTTTGGGGCATTGCCGCCTAAGCCGCCTGTAGCAACAGAAGACAGCCCCTAATGGATGGGACCATAATTATCGATAAGTCCCATCTTATCGCGACCGCCAAAAAAATAGTCGGCGAGTGTCTGCACGGCGTGTCCAACGGCACCTGGACATCGACGACCACCTGCACCCCCTCTATTGCAACCACAAGCCTCACCTCACACCCACAAATACAATGGGCAAACGATCAGCCGACGACGCAGGCAGCAGTGCCGCCGCACCCCACAAGGCCAAGCGCTCCCGCACCGGCATCCGCGCCGCCCTGCCCACCTCGGACGATGCCTGGCGCCGGAAGCTCGAGCGTGCCAAGGAGTCCAACGTGATCCGGGCCAAGACGCTGCAGACGTACGCAAAAGTGAAGGCGCGGGCGCTGGCGGCGGAGGATGCAAAGGCAGCATCAAAAAATGTAGCCGGTGAGGACGAGGCGGCGGCGGCGGTGGCGGCAACTGCACCCATGCACCCTGAGCGCCAAGCACGCATCGACGACGCAGAGGAAGCGGGTGGGAGTGGAAGGGACGACAAGCCGGCCGAGCGACGGCGTCCACAGCGCGGCCCTGGGGCCCGGCCGGCGAAACGGCCACAGTCCTTCTTCCAGAAAGCCCAAGAGGAGGCGGCACAGAAAAAGGCCGAGGCCGAAGCACGACGGGCTGAGTTTGAGCGCAGGGCAGCTGAGCGTGAAGAGGCGCGGGCGCGGCGGGCACGGCACCAAAAGGCCATGGCCAAGGCACGGCGGGTGGATACACACAGAGGTAGTCGACACGGCGGCGGTGGCGGAGACAACCAGCGGCGGAAACTCGGTCGCGAAAGTGGAGTGCTGCTCGATCGAGTGCGCAAGATGATGGGGAAATAACTGACTGTCTGGGCACATCTGTTTCTTTCTTGTATACATACTATTTTGCCATTGTTTCTACCTTAGCATAGCACGGACATCAAAAGCGTCAAGGGAATCGCCTAGTAAAGCTCACACAAACTTGCATTTTAAAATATAGCATAGACTTGATCTTTTGCAAAGAGGAAAACAGCAAACGGATATCATTAAATGTCCTGTCATTGAACGAAGAAAAACAACATGCTTGCCCGCCCTCAAAGGGAAGGCTAAGCACGAGAAAGCAAAAAGGTGAGCGTGAGGATTGTAGACAAAATAAGGGGGCTGTGTACGGTCCAAAGGGATGACGACCCAGTCCCCTCATCCCAAACAGATTCGTCGTCGTAAACGCTTCGAAAAGTCCAATGACGTAGGAAAAGTAGAGGAACAATAGCAAACGTTTCAGAAAGACCAAAAAGGAAATACCAAATGGTCGACGGCGGGGTCGAAACGATATAAAAGGGCCAGAAGAAACGCCATGAGGATCTCAAAATCACAAGTGAATCCCAGGAGAATAGCACAGTCACAATAAACAAATACACGCTTTTACAATATGTACACGAGCATGGAGAGTGGGCCGAGTGAGTCGAAGGTGCGGACGTGTGTTGCCCCTCATGCCTCGGAAAAGATGGTGTGGCTGTTCTCAATGACAAACTGGATCGAGAGGTTCTTGGAGTGCATGTCGGACATTTCTCTCTCCAGGTTCTCGGTGTGGAGAATAGTTGGTGCAAAGACCACTGCCAAGTTCTTGGGAGGCATCTATCATCAGTTAGAAATGCTTTTCTCAGCAGGGGACATGGAAATGGCGTCCAGAGACGTACCAAGTTCTCGCGTTCGCGGTTGGCAACACGGGCAAGGTGGAACATGAGGAACTCAAGACAATCGCGGTGCTTGGGCGGCAGCGTGTTGAATGTCTTGCGCAGGTGGGCACAGCGCTCTGTGGTGTCCACAATGTCTGGTTTGTTAGCACGACGGTACTCGTGTGTTTCCTGCATGTCCGGAAAGGCAACTGCAACTTACTGATCGACTCCAGCACACTATCATACACCTCAAACGTCAGCAGCGGGTTGGGCAGCTTGCGGAAGTACTGCTTCAGCACGCTTGTCACCGCTGTGATGTCGAGACCCGGGTCCGAGATATCGTAGTCCTCCTGCTTCTCGAACCCTTCCTGGATCGCCTTGACCTGCGAGTTGCCGCCCGTCTTGCGGTAGATGCCCTCAATGTCCATGCCGCGCAGCTCGACTTCCTCGATGCAGCGCGTCACGACACTGGGGATCTGCCGGCGCTCGTAGTCAGCACGCTCGACGAGGTCGGAGCCGAACAGCGTGCTCGGTGATTCCGCAACAGGTGGGCCCTCCTTGTTCATCAGGCTGGCAGCTGTACCAGACTTGGGCACGCCCGACTTCTTGGAGAAGAAGCCAAACCCGCCATTGGCATTGCCAGGACCGCTCGCACCACCGGACACGCCACCGGGAATGGGACCGGAAATGGGGCCGCTGATGCCACGGCCGCCGACGCCACCGCTGCTACCGGCGCCACCAACACCGCTGCCCGTGGATCCAAAATCACCAGGGCCACGGTTGATCTGCTGCGCCGTCTGGGCGCCAAAGGCAGTCGGCGAGTCGACAGAGGCCACCGTCATGTTGTAGGGCAGGCCAATGCTATCGCCCGTCAAGCCCTGGTATGGACCACCCCGCTGCTGCTCGCGGTCGTTTTGGAAGGCGCCGACCGCGCGGTTGACACCCTTGGTCAGGTTCTGGGCCACCGTCTTGGAGCCCTTCTTCCAGTTGAACTTGCGCACTTGGCCCTTGCGGATGTTTACGACCGTCGGACCGGACTCGACAATCGGCTCCTCGCCATCCGTGCCGATCAGCGTGGCGTTGGTCGAGGTCTGGATGCTGGCTGTGTCCAGGTTCATCGACGAGATCGAAGGACCTTTGTGACTGTGGTAGATGCCCAGGCCGTTGGGCGACTTGGCCTGCTCGGGGCCCACCTGGGACTTGAAGCGCTCCTGGATCTGGTGTGTCAGGTCGTTGTTCATGTCAGCCAACTGGGCGTTCTTGGACGACAGCTGTTCGAACTCGAGTAGCGCACGGTCGCGGTTGGCCACCGCCTGGTTCTTCTCCTCGATCAGCGCGTCGCGTTCCGCATGAAGCTGCTCAATCGTCACGGCCATGGTACTTTGCAGCTCGTTCAGCCTCTGCACAAAGTCCTTGATGGCTGAGTCCTCGAGCTCCTTGGCGTCGATGGGTTGCTTCGTCGTCTTGGCGCGCTCGACGTAGCCGGCCAGCGCCTCCAGCTGGCGAATCATAATCTCGGCCTGGGTGTCCAGTACAGAGACTGTGCGCCGCTTCTCCAAAAGCTTCTTGTTGAGGGACTTGAGATCCTTCTCGGCACCAAACTGGCGCTCCAGCTCAGCCACTCTCTGTTCTGAGTTGCGTAGACGACGCTTGAGCAGGGCCGGGTCCTCCTGGGTGGCACCTCCCGACAGCGAGATGGGGCTGCTGATGTCGCGGGCGCCCGAGTCTTCGACAATCGGTGTCTTGGGCCAGCGCGGCGATGCAGTGGCACGGGTGGTCTCGCTGAGACTGCGGTTGTGGCCGCGCGGCGAGATGCCGTTGCCGTGGTTTAAGTTGCTTGATTCGGCGCTGCTGTTGCGGCCGTGCCGGACGGCGTTCGAAACGCGGCGAAGAATGGAAGAGGAGCTCTCATCGGTGCCAAGTATGCGGGCCATGTCTTCGTCCATGCTAAAGTCGCCACCGTTGCTCCAGCGCGGGAGCTTAGGTGACGGGCCCTTGGGAGGCGACTGAGGTTCGCTGCTTGACACGGTGCTGCTGGCCACAGACTCGTTGCTCGGAGTGTGAAACGACGCAATCGGGGGAGCAGGGGCAGCGGTCGGTGGGACGGGTGGCGCACGAGGCTGCATGTAGGTGTCGCTCAACTTGTGTTCCTGCATAGCGGGGCGAGGAACAGGCGGAGGTGCCAGCGCAGGCTGCGGGATCTCATCTGCAGGCGATGGCTTGCCGAGGGGACTGGAAATAGGCATGCCATTGACTGGAAAGAGATAGCGTGTTAGTATGCAGTATGCAAATGAGAGATGAAAAATGAGAAAGGTATGGGAAATGACGGTGTTGGTCTTACCAGTACGGGCGGAGGCCGGCAGCTCCTTTCTTGAGATGGGACCTCCACGGACATGCTGGTCGCTGCTCTGGCTCGGCCGGCTGGTGGGGGTTGTCAGGCCGCTCGAATCGGGGTACTCATCGCCGTCCTGCGCCTGCCGCGTGTCTTGCGATGAGCGGCCACCGATGCTCGACGCGGACGTCGAAGCAGGCGGCGACGCCGTGTTCTCCTTGTCCCGCCGAGACGCCTTAGGCGTGTCAAACTCAAGGGCGTTTCCGAGTGAGTTGTTGGCTTGTGAATTCGCCCGCGAGTTTGCCGTTGCTTTCTTGCTCTTAGGCGCCTCCTGCAACTTGAACTCTTCGCCGCGGCCTTTGGAGGGCGCAGCGTGCTTGTGGTCTTCGCCGGCGCTGCTGGTGCCGGACGACAAGACACTGCGATCCGTTCTCGAGTTCTTTGAGAGCTTGCGCGAAAGCAAGTCTTTGGAGGTCGTGCCACTGCTGTCGTAGTCGGGTGTAGAGGTTGAGCCTGGCGGGATGGCCTTCTCTTGGAAGGCGATGTGCGGCGTCGAGGCTTGCGAGTCGCCGCTCTTGCCGTCTGAAAAGTAATCCGACCGCTCCTTGCCCTTCTTGGGGTCGGACAGCGAGTCAGATACAGACCGAGGCGTGGCGGAAAGGCCTGGACTGGGATCGAGGGCCACAGGGATGAAGAAGGACTCGGTATCGCTTGCGCCTAGGTCGACGTTGCCGCCAAACATGGCAGAGCTGCGGTTGTTGCGGTAGTTGGACGGCGGCAGGGTGAGCGAGGGTTTGGAGCCGGTCAAACTGTCTCTCGTGTCGCTGGGCGGGGCCTCCGTCGACGAACGTTCTGGAGACCGGTCTGGGCGAATGCTGCTGCTGAGGGACGAGGGTTCGTTTCGTGGGTAGGGCACTCTAGGGCGTGGTGAGAGTTCCGTGGGCGTCTGTGGTGGCAGGGCGGGCAGCGACTTGTCTGTGATCATTGGTGAGCCGTCTTTTTCTCGCGCTTTGGCCTGCGCGGCGGCTTTGTGCTTTTTCCGACGACGGGCCATGAGAGACTCGTGGCAGCTCATGCAAAAGATGCCTTGGGACGTGCGAGCATAGCGTAGGTTCTCGATCTTGCGCTTGCAGTTCCGGCAGCGGAAACAGGTAGCACAAAAGGCCTGTTCGCCCGTCAGGATGGCCAAGTCTTCGATTTTGTTGCCACATGCGCTGCAGCTGTACGTGCAGTTGTTGCAGATGAGCGAGCCGTCGCCGAGGAGGAGGAGGTTGGCGTCGGAGTCGAGGAGGGTACCGCAGGAGTTGCAGCGAAAACAGTTGAGATGCCACCTATGGCCGGCTGTCATGGGAGTGGTTAGTTGGCGGTTCAACTATCAGATGAATACGACAAAGACGCTACCGTCGAGTCGACTTACCAAGCTCAAAGGCTTTGCCTTCCTCAAGAATCTCGCCGCAACCCTTGCAGGGGAAGATGTCGTCGGCCTCCATTGTGTTGTCCAGGTATTCGTCTAGGGCCGCCATGGTTTACAAGAGGCCGTGGGAGGATAAGGCCCCGCGCGACCCCACAAAGGTAGAACGCGGTAAGTAGATGCGATCAGGAGCGGTGTCGACAGTCGCGACAGAGAGTGGTCGAAACGGCACAGAGCGGCCGTGGAACGATCATGTGAAGACGAACGTGGCGTGCGCAATGATCGATGCTACCGAAAGAACGGCTTGTGTTTCCGAGATATGACACCCAGAAAGCTGGCTTTGGCGACACGCGAGATGCTGCCCAGAGAAGGATGTCGTAGAGGCAAGGAAGAAGCGACGTTGGGATGGAGGAGAACGAAGAACAGAGATATGGAGAACGGGTGCACGTCGAATGGGTTAGGAAGGGATGATGCGTGGTGAGGCTGAAAACAGCTGCAGCGAGACGGAGGGAGGCGAAAACAGGAGATTCCAAAAAATTGCAGGCCGGGTTCGAGAGCCCAAAGGAGTAGCCAGCGAAAGAAAAAGAGAGGCAAAAAGAGGCAAAGATGAAACGTCGTAGAAGAAAGAAGACAAGCCAGCACAGAACAAATGAGGCCAGAGCCTTTGCAAAAAAAAACAGGAATGAAAGATGGGGTTCCGACTAAGAAAAAAGAGAACGACAAAGCAAGCCACAGGAGGGAAATGCTCGGGGCGCGATGGGACTCTGAGCCGAACCAGCTAGCCGCTATCCGCATGGCGTGGCGCGATGGGAGATGGGGGAGCGAGTGAGGAGAAGAAAGAGGATTGTATGTAGAAGAGAAATTTCGTGATGAAGCGTCGTGGAAAGTCGCGGCGACGTTTCGGGCGAGAAGGGCGCAACGCAGGGTTGGGTGGGCAAGTACGCACACACGCACGGCGGGCGGAGGACGGCAGGAGCGAGGGACGAGGGACGTGGACGTGGAAGGTGCTGGTGTGGACTCAGACAACGTGCGTGGGGCGTGTGGGAAAGTGGGCGTGGAATATGATGGCAGGCGCGGATGGTGGGTAATCAAGAGCATGGAAGAAATGGACTGCGGCGCGGGCACAACGAGAGAAAGAGCGGTCCAGGGTCGGCAGGGTTGGAAAGAGCAACCAGGGGCACACACTAAGAAATTGGACGTTTCGAGAGCAACAACACAGCCAACGCCATCCCCGTTTACAGGTGTAAATTAGCAGGTGGACAGGCACTAGTAAAGAACTACAGTGGACCAGCCCAAGTTCACGGGCGATTCATTGGACCCTAGGGGCGTACGCGATACGAACGACAGTATTACTGGTAATTCAACGGGCGAGGGAGAGAAGTTTCTTCTAGCCAGGGGTATTTACGACACGGATTAGCACAAAAGGTCTGGTGGTTCTGGTGGTTCTGGTGGGTTTCACAACAACTACAACTTCTGGGCGCTCCCAGGGCGAATATGGCGGTCTTTTGGGACAAATACGAGCGCAATAGCGGTGTTTTGCCAGTGCTAGCGGCCGTTGGGATGCGGGAGTGCGGGCTGCTGTATGGGGCGCTGGTGCGATGGTCGACGGACGGCAAGAGTAGAAATACTGCTTCCTTTCAAGGTTGAAAGGGGGGAAGAGGAATGGAGGAGAGAGAGGGGAGGGAGACCGATATGGATGGAGCTTGGGAAAGTGAGTTGGGAGGCGATGTGGAGTAAGGCAAGGGTAGCAGCATTTGGAGCCCAAGAAATGCGGTGGTTCAGGACGAATACAGATGGCGGTGGGCTTCGTGGGTAATCTTCAACAGGTGTCAATACGACGCAGAAGGAGTTTGGCGAGGGTGGACCAGAACATGCCGTTTGGGAAGATGCAAAGACATCAACAGACGGGCGGAACAGACAGTACTTCACGTCGATGCACGTATGAATTATAGAGTACGTTGCTCTATGGATGCTCCGCAGGGCTAGATACATATAAACAGACGACAGCGACGAAGTTCGGCAGCAGACAACCAGGACAGGCGTGGCCTGGCCAGGTGTTGAATACAGAATTTTCACGGCCAAGTATCTGGGTTACGACAGTTGAGGTACGTCTTAGGAGGTCAACAGTTTGGGGTGGCCCATGTCAGGCCCTGGTGTGAGTGGACAACCGCAACCATTGCAAACCAAGCTAGTCAGGGCAGGGGCTGACAAAAGTGCTTCGTCGAGACATGCAAGACCAGAGAGGAGAGATGCAGAAGGGATGCAGCACCAAAAGGGCAACGATGGGCAAAATATGGGCAGCACCGCCAAGAGGTACGACAGCGAAATGCAGTGTGACAGGGGTTGGGCGAGGACAGAAGAAGGGGAAGAGAAACAGAAACAAAAATAAAAAACAAAATCAGAAACAGAAACAGAAACAGGATCGAGTGGCGGCTGTCGGCTTCTGTCACCGTGATAAAGGCGAAACGGTTGGCATTATACAGAGGTGGGAAAACAAGAAATAAGAGCAGCCCAGCGACAAAAGGGAGACCAAGCAACGCCGGGTACAGCAGTATTCCTTGCGTAACCAGACTAACAGGTATCTCCGTCCTTCGTAACGCATACAGTTGAATTGGCGACAGCAAATGGGCGGGAGACGGGACGCAGGAGACGGAGGCCAGGCCAGGGTTGGAAACTGTACGATGTACGATGCAGCATGCACAAGCAGGAGTCAGTATCCGATTTGCAGGCTACTGCACAGCTTGCATGTTGCGAGGAGAAGAGAGAAAAGGGGTAAATATGGTTCAAGCAGCTACAGATGCGAATATACAACATATAAGGCAAGATATCGAGTACAGTACGGTGCAGGACAGAGAAAACGGGGAGGAAACGAGATGAGAGGTCGGGATCGAGTCGGGGCAGAAACAACAAAGGAAACAATAATGGAGAGCCAAGAAGTAGAAACAAAACACTAACGTGGCGTGGAGAAGAGCCAGGGAACGAAAAGAGGGAAACGAGGGAAAGGAAAGCTGCAGAGACGAGGCGCGAATATCACGACCGGCCTAGTGTGGATGCAGAACTGGAGAAGGTCGTATTAGCGAGCCAGGCCGTGCGACAGGCGCTGGCGCTGCGCGTTGGATAGGGGTCGTTTGCCGCCAGGGGTGTGGAAGTGGGTGGCTCGGGTGGGTATGCCCTTTTGGATGTGCGCTAGGGAAGGGGGGGGACAGGCGGGCGTTTCCAAAACAAGCGACCAGCACACGGCCCTGGAGCTGAACAGCGATGGATCCACAGGCGAGGAATGGGGAGTGGCCAGAGGCAAGAGGCAAGATGCGGTTTATTTGACAGGTGGAAGGCAGGAACGTCTCCGCAAATTCAAGCAGGGCAGGAACAACTGCATTCGTCAGCTCCTCACAGCCGCCCTATCCAGCCTCATGCGTCCATCAGCCTACGTCGTACGTACTCCGTCGCCCGTTGTGTCTTGCATCTTTATCTGAATAATTTAGAGTACGCAGCGCCCTGCAGGAAATTGACCTCGTTTATCTGCTGCCAACCGTGTCGGGTGCCAACGCGTAACTGCGGCGCTGCCGGCCCTCCCCATTCCGCGGACCTTGGGCTTCAGAGGCAAGAAAACAAGACCGCGGAAGACAGGAACATACACGTACTTTACCCCAACTATGCGTACCCTCGGTGTGCTGAGATATAAATTGCAAAGCGCGGTCGACGTGTCGATGAGTTGTATCACGTGACGCACCCTCCAACTGTACTGAGAACAGGAACAGGAGCAGGGACAGGTTCCTGGACCCGCTAGCCCAATGCGGATTAGTCACTTCCTGTTCCGGGCGAAGTCCACCTCTGAGGTGTGATTCATCTGCAATTGAGATTTTCTCGAGCTGCGTCGGCTGTGTGTCATACATCACCGCCACTGTTGGCAAAAGCTTCCCTTCTCTTTCTGGTCCTGTTCGTTTTTTTGTTCCTCTCCCTCCTGCAACAAAACACCACATAATCACGTCAACCATCACAATGGCACCGACAATTATTCACCTCAGAGCCGAGACCAAGCCGCTGGAACGCCGTTCGCCGTGTATGTTTTTCCTCTTGCAATTCCCCACCATCGTGCTGGCGTTTGTTCCGTCATCTTTGGCGCGAAGCTCACCATCCGTCTGCAGTGTCGCCGGCATCGGCCAAGGCTCTGCTCGACGCCGGCTACGTGCTGCACATTGAGCGCTCGTCGGACCGCATCTACAAGGACAGCGAGTACGAGGCCGTCGGCGCCGAGATGGTGCCGGCCGGCACTTGGGTCAACGCCCCCACCGACCACATCATCCTCGGCCTCAAGGAGATCACCGACGGCGACGCGCCGCTGCCGCACAACTACATCCACTTCCAGCACTGCTTCAAGAAGCAGGACGGCTGGGCCGAGGCCCTCTCGCGCTTCGCGCGCGGCAATGGCCGGCTGTACGATCTCGAGTTCCTCGTCGAGCCGAATGGCCGACGCGTCGCTGCGTTTGGCTACTGGGCCGGCTACGCCGGCACTGCCATTGCCCTGCTCGCCTGGGCGCACCAGATCCTGCGCCCGGGCACCCCGCAGAGCGCCGTGCCCGTGTTCGACAGCGCCCCGGCGCTGGCCGACCACGTCAAGGCCGCCATGGCGCCGGCCATTGCCGCCAACAACGGCGAGCTGCCCCGTGCCATTGTCATTGGTGCGCTGGGCCGCTGCGGCAAGGGCGCCCGCGATTTTTGTGTGGCGGCCGGCCTGCCCAAGGAGAACATTCTCGAGTGGGACCTGCCCGAGACCAAGCGGGGCGGCCCCTTTGAGGAGGTGGCCACGTCGGACATTTTCGTCAACTGCGTGTACCTGGGCGCGGCGCGCATCCCGCCGTTTGTCACGTTCGAGTCGCTGGCGGCCGCCGGCGCCAGCCGCCGGCTGCGTGTCATCTGCGACGTCAGCTGCGACCCCAACAGCGCCAACAACCCGATCCCCCTGTACTCGACCTACAGCTCCTTCACCAGCCCGACGGTGCCCGTGTCGCAGGCCGTCGACGGCCCCGAGCTGCGCGTGATTGCCATTGACCACCTGCCGACGCTGGTGGCCCGCGAGTCGAGCGACGAGTTCTCGCAGCTGCTGCTGCCGAGCCTGCTGACGCTCGACAAGCGCCAGACCGAGGGCGTGTGGACGCGTGCCCAGAAGACCTTTGAGGACCGCGTCAGCGAGCTGCCCAAGAGCAGCTAGGGTGTGCAGGAAGAGAACATGTGGGTGGGAAAGGCTCTGAGACACCTCTTCCGAGTTGGATGTTGCCAGTTCGCAATGTTTCGCTTTGCTTTTGTGGGTAGATCAAAAGGATTGAAAAGGGTGGAAACGTAATGACGAGACACGAAAAGTTGGCGTTCAGCCTTGCAACAAATTGCCTGCCAATGTGTCAGCCACATCAACCGTCACAGTCACAACCCGGTAATACGTCGTAAAGCCACTGATGCAGTTTGACAAACGTGACAACAGACGAGGACACAGCCAATTCGACTGTTGCACTCAGACATCCACAAGCAACAGTGTTTTGTGCGGCCATCAAGACTCCACAAAGGCGCGTCGCGCGCAATCTATCGCAGGGCTGTCCCTGCAGCCCGCCCGGTGTTTCAGGTAAAGTGGTATTGACCAACGTGTCGCAACTGTGGTTCTTTTTTTGTTATTTGGTGTTTTTTGTTCTTGGGTGGCCTTGGAGTACTTCCGTACATCGTAGTCCTTTTGAGCTGACGCTCCCTCCTTCCTCACTCCCTCCTGGCAGCTTCCTCTTCTGGCCCCGCGCCTGGGCTGCAACACTAGTGCCTGCGCTAGCGGTTGTTCAGCGTGCTCAGTGCAAGGGGCCGGAAGGAACCTGAGTGGCTGCTGGCCTGTTTAGTGAACATGGCCAGGGCCCTTCGGACCCCTGGGTCGATCCGCAAAGAGTGGCCCCCCTTTTTGTTTGTCCCCTGGTTCCTGTGTTTGACGACCAACGAGCTTCGTGTTCGCACACATGCTGTTTTCTTTTCCAGAAGCCGACGGATGATCGGCCGTCTCGCCTCGCATTGACTTGATCAGGCAGGAACAGACAGGAACAGACAGGGCCGTTCTTTCCAGTTGGGAAAGACGGGCTGGAGCGCTCGCCTGCGTGATTTTCTCTCCGAAACGGCAGGACATCAGAAGGAAAGAACGGCAGGTGCGGATGGCAATAGACAAACGGGAGAAGGAAGGGGAAGGACAGGAAAGACGAGGCTGACGATGCAATGGAACAACATCCCCACCCCTAGGAATTCAGTAAATACAACGTATAAAATCCAGAAGCCCACTTGATCGTCGACAGCATTTTGCGGGATCACCTTTGGCGACCGCTGGTCCGTCAGTGTCTGTTCGCCAGGGCGCGCGGGCCGCCATTGCAACCTTTTTTCTTTTTTCCCTTTTGCATTTCACATTTCACTTTTTATTTCCGTTTCCGCAGCAAAAGCTCCGCAATTCAGTCACTCTGCAATACAACGTAATATAAGACATGTTACAGCGATCTTGAAAGTGTGTCCCCCAGTCACAGCCGTCCGAGAATACGATGGGATGCGGCAAGTGACCTGAGAGAGGCCATCGACGACGTCCATACCCAGAGGAAGCTGTAGCTTGATAGGACATGTCCAATGGAGACTGTATAACCGAGAGGATCTCACGTCGTCCCGAAGAGCGCGGCCAGACGAATTGCAGACGGTGAGCTTTTTTGCATACCGAAGAGGTGCAGATAGAAAATATAGAACTATGACGAAGACCGTGGGGACGACCGACAAGATAACAAACGGTCTTTATACAATCTCACTTTCTGGGAAGGTGTTGTGAAAGCAAAATGTCTTAAACAAAGTAAAATAGGTATTACAACTAGTCACTACAAAAGAGAATGGAACGGAGGCAATCATAAATAAAAAGAAAAAGAAATCAGAATAGAAAAATAAAAAAGAAGCAGAAAAAAATAAAAAATACAGGAAACTGGAAACAATGTGGCCCCATGTACACAAAAATATTCCTATTTTTGCAGATAAATAAAAGTACACCTGTCCCGTTCATCACCACCCCCTTGACAGACTCACACGGACTGCTCCCTTTGCCGTTTCACAATGTAGTACGTAATGAGCGACTTCGGGTCGTCTTTGACACCTCGCAGCGCGCCCCAGAACCGGGCATCGCCTACCCGCTCATGTATGGCGACGCACAGTTGCACCGCGTCCATGCGCACGCCCGACTCGCTGCTCTCGATGCACCGCTGCGCAAGGCCCGACAGCTGCGCCAGCTCCGTGTCTGTCGGGTAAAAGTCCGGGCGCGCGTCCACAAGCACCTTGAGCACGTGGAGGCCCATGCTGAGCGAGTGCGGTGAGGTGATGGCCTTGACCTTGCCGGGAGGCACAGGACCGGCAGAGCCGTGCGGGCCGTCGTTCTGGTCCGTCAGCGCCCGTGTCAGGACCAGCGCAATCTCGGCCGCGTCGCCCAACGTCACCAGCTCGTCCGCCAGCAGCTCCAGCCCGGCCACCATGTGGGCGCGCGCGTCGTACCCGGCCCGCGCCGCGAGCAGGGCCTCGAGGCCGCGCGAGATGTGCGGCTGGAAGTTGTCGCGGGACTTCTTGAGGAGCAGCTTGATCGTCGCCAGGATCTGCGCCTTGACGTCCTGCACCTTTTCGGGCGGCACGTTGGTCACGGGCGACTCGAGGTAGGCAAAGAGGCCTAGCAGCAGAGCGTCGAACCGCTCGTCCGTAAAGAGTGCGGCCGCGCCCGTCTTTGTTGTCATGCCGTTGCTGATGGCCGAGTTGCTGGCCTCCCGGATGATGCCCTGCAGTTTGCGGAAGCCGTGCACGTCCAGGGCCTGGGCCTTGACCTTGGCAATGCCGCTGTCGAGCAGCCGCGTGTTCTGCTTCGCCTTTTCCGGCGATGATGGGAACAGAGCGGGCGAGGCAGTGGGCTCCAGCCGTGTTGTGTCGGTGGTTGTCGTCGCGGAAGCAGCGTCAGCAGACATGGTCGACGCCACAGCCAAACCGGCACCCTCGTCCGGCAGCCGGGCCAGGTTGCCCGCGTCTTCGTTGACCGGTCTGTCTTCTAGCACCGTAGGTGCAAAGATTGTCGCCGTGGGAGTGGCCGTGGACTGGTCTTCCGAGAAAGGATCCTCATACACCTTGAGCGGTGGTGACATGACCATGGCACTCAAGGCATCGTCGTCGTCCACGGGGGCGGGACCGGCAGCAGGGGCTACTTTTCTTGCCGCTGCAAGCTTGGTCGGTGTGGGGGACGTGGGTGTAGCAGCGCGCTCCAGAGGGAGTTCGATTTCGACTTCAGGGGCCTTCTCAATGATTTCTAACTCTGGTTCTGGCTCGGCTTCCGGCACCGGTTCGGGTGCATGCGCCGGCTTGCTGCGAACCCGCGACGGGCTCGTCGAGGCTGGGGGAGCATGCGTCGCCTTATGACCTGCTACGCCGCGAACTGCGCCAGGCTTGGGCTTCGCCGGGCTGGTTCGTGGAGACGATGCTGTCGCCGTCACGCCGGGTCTGTGCGCCCCGCCAGCGGCGGTTTTGGTGACAGGCGGTGCGGCAACTGCGCGAGACGGCGTGAGCAGGTTTGAGTCGCTCGCCGTGGTGTGGTGGCCTGGTCGCGTTCGCGGTCCTGGCACGGCGCCTGGCCCTGTCCGCTTAGGAGAGGCGCCCAGCGTTTTCGGCGTGATCGCCGCCTTGGAGCGCAGCCGCTCTGGAGGACTGGATTGTTCGGCCGACGGATGGTCGTGTGTGCGCACCGAGTACGGGCCCGCCGTGGCCGGCCGCGCGTGCAACTCGGGCCTCCGCCGTGTGGGCCGCACGGGCGCAACTGACAGACCACCTTCGCCGCGCTGACGACCAAACTTGGCCTCTGCCGTCCCTGATGACGGGGCCGCCGCCGACGAAGCCGAGGCATTGGATGAGCCGGAGACGGTCCGCACGGGCGAGAAATGAGCCATGGCCGACCCAGGCCGTGCAGGGAGGTGGCGCGATGCCAGCGTTTCTTTCTTCTTGGCTAGCATCGCCTCGCGCAGCGAGGGCTTGGACGCGCCGGTCGTGCTCTTGGAGAAACCCAGGCCAGGGCGCGCCTTGTCGGCGGCCGCGCCCTCGGGCTTTTTGGGCGAGTTGGGGTTGTTGGAGTCGTTTTGGAGGAGCTTCTGGGCCGTGCTATCGAGGCCAGTCATGATGACCTCGGCCCGTGCTGGCCAGACGCCGGAAAAGCACCAGTACGTGGCACGCATTCGCTCACGCACGCCAGGGTTGGGGTCCAGCAGGCCCTTCTTGATGCATTTCTCAATCAGGTCCAGGCCGCCCGAGTGCTCCACATGGTTCTTGTGGTGCATCTCCTTGGTGATGATGGTCTTGACCCAGCCCGACGCGTAGGTACGCGGCTGGACATTCTTGTCCTGGCACGCACCCCAGACGTGTTGGAGGATGCGTGTGCTGTATGTGGCTTTGGAGATGATGGCCTCGACGGTGGTGTTGGCCAGCTGCGAGCTGATCTTCTTGGTGCCCGCAGACAGCTTGACAAGCGTCTGCAGCAGAATCTCGACCATGGGGTCGATGCCGGGGCCGAACGTCGTGGCCATGTCCTGAATCAGACTGCAGCCCTCCTTGCACAGACTGGTGCGCAGGGTGACGATGGCCTTGATGATGCCGTCGAGCAGCGCGCGGGCGTTGTTCAAAAAGGCGTCGGCATAGTCGGCAGCGTTTCCGGCCAGAAGACGGCGCAGCCGCGTGACGCTCTCCTCGCGCTTCAGCCAGTTCTGCTCCGTCTCCTTGCCCTCGAACCAGACGTGCATCTCCTTAAAAATGTCGTCGAGCTCGCGCTGCGTGTTGACGTATGCCGGCTCGACGGACTCGGCACGGCTGGCGTCGGGCATGGGCGTGACGGGCCGCTCGCTGAGAGACGAGACGCTGGCGGCAAAGCTCGAGGCCGTCGACAGAGGCGCCTGGGGCCGCACGGCGCGTGCGGAGTCGGGGCGCGGGGCAGGCTCCGCCGCGGCAGACGACAACGCAGAAGAGGCGCCCGTGGGCGCCAGCTCCTTGACAATGGCCTGTTCAATGGCAGGCCGCACCTTGAAGTTCTTGAGCTGCTTCTTGAGGTCCGTCTTGGCGGCACTGGGCGCGCCGCGGAACAGCTCGATGACCGTGGCTTTGGCGGCGTCGCGCACCATGCCGTCGGCGTCCTCGAGCAGCTCCATCAGCACAGGGACGTAGGCGCGAAAGGGCAGGCTGTGCTCGTGGTGCATCTGCAACAGCCACTGCATGCTGGTCTCCTTGGCGCGCGGGTTCTTGCCCGTCATGGCGGTGTTGCGCAGCGAGCGCTCGACGTCCATGGGCGCGGCCTGGTAAAGCGTGACGAGCGACTGCTGCGCGAGCGAACGGTACTTCTCCTTGACGTCGCCGAGCTTCTCGACGATAAGCGGCAGCGTGCGCGCCGCTTCCTTGGCTAGAAATTTGGGTTCCTGACGGGACAACCGCGTCAGCAGGTGGTTGAGGCCCGTGAAGCCGGCATTGACGAGGGCGGCGTGCTGCGAGGAAGAGGCGGTGCGCAGGGCCTCGAAGAGGACGGGGATCGCATGGTCGGGCACGTTATGCTGCTTGATGCCCGACTTGGCGGCGGTGACGAGCTGCACCTTGGTCTCAACAGAGGCGTCGGTGCGCAAGACACCCAGCAGCTCGTTGACCTGGTCGAGGGTGATCTTATCGGCCATGGCGGGTAGGTCGAGGAGGGTGGAGGCGGGGAGCGCGAAAGGGGGGCACGTCGGCGACGCGCGGGTCCGGTATTAGCGGCCGTCAATGCAACGCAGTGAATGGGCCGTCGTGTAGTCGCAGTTGAAACGAGTCGAAAGAATTGGCCGTATCTGGTCGTCGTTGTGTCGTCGTCGAATTTGCTTACTCAATATCAGGATTACTATGCTCTGGATGCGATGCGGCTGCAGGAGGCAAACAAACAGGGTTCCTCGCGTCGGCCAACGCACGGCACACACGGTGGACTGTGGACGACGTTGCGCTTTGGGGGGGGGTGGGAGGAATGGAGGGGAGTTGGGCGTGTGCACTCCGTCGTGAGTTGTGGTTGAGGAATGAAGCCTCTGAATATCTCGATAGGAGAGAAAATAGCGTGTGGGTATGATGTGGCTCGACGGGCCACAGGGAAGGAGCCACCCAGATCGCCAAAATTAAAGTGTCCAGAGTGTTTTGCGTCAACAAAGCCAAAACAGGAAACCGCAGCTCGGCACGTCGCCCTGTGCCTGCACCTGCCTCGCCAAAGCTGTCTTACCCCTATGTTTGGTGGTCCCCCCACTACCTCGTGTTGGTGGTCTCTCCAGCCGCGTCTGTTGCTGTAGCAAAGTGCGCTAGTGCCCTGGAGTCGCGTTCGGTGGCGTTTTAGCGGTTGGGCGGGCTTGGCCGCTGGTAAGATTAAGATACTAGTGGTTGTAGTGGTTGTAGTGGCTACTTCTGGCCACTGAAGAGCCCTGTATTCGGGCGATATGGCCCCGCGTTTTGCCGTGTCTGAAAGCTCAGTAGTCAAAGCTGGCCGCCTGTGTCGCCTAGAAAGGGGCTATTGGAGATGCCTTTTGTAGTCGGTACGTTTAGCGGATGCCCACCGTTGTAAGGCGCTCCTTCTCGCTTACAGAATGTTGCACGATGCCTCAAACGACACGACACAGACAGCGACCAACACAATATATTTAGCCATCCAGCCAGAGACACTTGCGGGCCTGCACGTTGCTTTCCGTCCAGTGCCCAGCCGATCCGAATAGCCTGCCCCTTCTTGCAGTGCTCTGCACTCCCAACTCGTCCCCCGCACGTCTCATGACGGTCAAACGTGTGCTGGTCAACCGTCCCAAGTCTACTCTCGACGACACGGCGACGATGACGGCTGACAGCGGAAACGAGACGCCTGTGGCATCCAGCACAGCTGCTCCGCCGGCTCCGACGCCGATGCCCCCAGAGGGCAGTTCGAGCGAGGCCGCTGGCAACCACGCAGCCGATGCACGGTCCAGCGACCGCATCACCGAGCCGCCGGCGTACCCCAAGCCGAAGCTGCGCCTCGAGATCCGGGATGTCAACCACGAGGGTGCCGATGTGTTCCTGGGCGCCGTGAACGTTTCTGCCGTGCTGCAGCAGGCCGTGGGCAACGTGCAGCGCCTGCTGTACGGCCGCAATGCCTGGTACGCTGACCCAGAGACGCACATCACGCCGACCCGCTCCGTCACGGTGATTCTGCGCGACATGGACGGCGTAGCCTACACGACGGGCTCGGAGCTCGACGGCGACCACAAGGAGATCCACTTCAGCTTGCGGTACATTGCGGGCATCCAGCCGCGGAAGCAGCGGGCCACGGCCGAGATTGCCGGCGTGCTGACGCACGAGCTGGTGCACTGCTACCAATGGGACGGCCGCGGCACGTGCCCCGGCGGACTGGTCGAAGGCATTGCCGACTGGGTGCGGCTCAAGTGTGCGCTGTCGCCGCCGCACTGGAAGCGCGAGCCTGCGGCGATTGGCCGTTGGGATGGCGGCTACCAGCACACGGCGTACTTTTTGGAGTACTTGGAACGGCGGTTCGGTGACGGCACAGTGCGCCGCATCAACGAGAAGCTGCGGCTGGAGCATTACGATGGCGCCGCCTTCTGGCCGGGACTACTGGGCCACAAAGTCGAGAAACTGTGGGACGATTATGTAGATGCTGTTAAGAACGACCGGCCAGAGGCAACGGGCGTGTCGACGTCTGGGATATAGTAGACGCTACGACAAAGTGTGAGATGTAGCGAGCGAGCTGTAAGACGAATGGTATTTTTGCAATATTTTCGAAATAGATGAGGCCATGTTATCTCTTTGGATGTCTATTTGTCTCATTATAGGACATTGGATTGTGCCGTGTCGTTAGCCCATAGCGCCTTCCTTGCAAACTACGACCACTAATGTGCGCGGACCTGCCCTATTGGCCAATCCACTATTCCAACACCCCCTGGGCACCTTCCCGCTGCTGGTGGAGCTGCACACGTATCATCTCACGGCCACAAAACAGTCGACATCACCGTCTTGCAGCCATTGCATCACCCAACACTCGACGAAGCCGGCCACATCGCTCTTCCCGCCGTCCATTCCGCCCATTTCCCGACTCCGCGATGGTCGCCGCCGAACCAGACGTCGGTCTTCTGACGTCCTCGGCCCAGATTTTCTCGTCCAAACACACCCTTCCTCAGATCCGCGCCATCCACAAAAGCCTCCATGTCCAGGCCGACGACAAAGCCACCCGCCTGCGAACGCAGGTCGGCGGCTCCTACCGCGAGCTGCTCGGTACGGCCGAGACCATTGTGCAGATGCGCACCGACATGGAGGGCGCCCAGTCCACGCTGGCCGGCATGGGCGGGCGCTGCGGCCGTGCCGTTGTGGGCGGCAAAGTGACGGCGCTGGCCTCTTTTGTCGACCACGAGCAGGAGCAGTCTGCCCTGAGCCTGGCTGCTCGCGCACGGCTGCTCGAGGCCTGTTCGCGCACTGTCGGCCGCCTGCTGTCGCGCTCGAACCCAGACTACAGCGCCGGCCACGCCTCCAAGACGGGCAAATCCGCTCGACAACAACGGAACCACTACCGCCAGCAGCAGCATCAGCAGCGGCAGCCGCAGCAGCAAAGCTGGGGAGAGCGGTTGATGCTGGCGTCCAAAGTTCTTGTGCTGAGCCGGCTCTTGTTGTCTGGCATAAACGACACGAACGGCGGCCCGCCCCGCACAAAATCAAGATCAAAGCAGGCAGCACTGCAGGACGCCGCCGTGCTCGCGTCCATCGAAGCGTCTGAGCGGTCACTCGGCAGCCTGCGACGGCGGCTCCGAGACATGATTGAAGTTGTTGAGCGCGCGGTCCCTGCGTCCGCCTTGGACAAGTCAACAGCGGCAGCGGACGACGCCGACGAGGTCGAGGACGTTGACGTCGACGACGACAACAACAACAGAATAGGTGGTGGTGCCAACGACGAGGACGAAGACAACGATGGCAGCATTACACGAGAGCAACGAGACAGACACCACACCGTATCTGCAGCAGCGTCAGCACGAGACGACCTTTTGCGCACCCTGTGTGCCCACAGCCTGGCCACCACCTCGGGCGCTCGCGATGTCTTGTGGCAGCTCTTACACGTCCGCAGCCAGGCCATGGCACTCGCTTTTGAGATGGACGAAGAAGAGCACCAGAACAACCACCAGAGTGAACCGGGACAGCAGCAGCAGCAGCAGCAGCCGTCGGACCACCGGGCGTCGTGGAAGGCCGACAACGTGCTGCGTGGCCTGGCACTCTACACCAAGACACTCCTGGACGTGCAGGCCTTGCTGCCGCACCGGCTGCCCGAGGCCCTGCTGGGCCTGAAGCGGCGGGCGCTGCTCGACGACGACGCCCTGCGCCAGGTCGAGGGTCTGCGCCTGGATGTGTATGCCCGCTGGTGCGGCGAGGACGTGCAGTACTTTAAGCCCTACATCCGCCACGACGACCTCGATGCCACCCAGGCCCGTGACATGCTCGCCAAGTGGGCCCAGCGTGGCAGCGAGGTGTTTGTGGCGGGCCTCCAGCGAGCACTGGAACAGCAGCCACCGGCCGACGCATCGTCTGAAAAGCCGGCACAAGGCACTACTCCATTGGTGATTCGGCGGTACCTCGACATGCACGCCATTGTGGATCTGCGCACACGCGTGCTGCAGCTCTGGATCCGCGACAGCAGCAAGGCGCGCGGCTTCGATCCGTCGGAGCTGCTCGACAAGATCCGTGCCGTCTTCAACCAGCAGATGCTGCAGGTGCTCGCCACCAAGGCTGCCAAGCTGCGGCTGGTCGGATCCGAGGTCGCTGCCACGCTCGCCTCGTGGCAGGACGGTGTGACGGACCGCCACGCGCAGCTGTGGGGCACAAACAGTAGCAGTACCAAGCACGACGACCATCAGGCTGTTGACACTGACCTGTCCGAGGGCGCTGTGGCTTTTGTCCGCGACGTCGTCACGCGCCTGCATGGCCGCAGCGATGCTGTCGCCAAGGCTGTCGCCTCGTACGTGACGTGGCGTCATGTCGTCGACGATGTTGCTGCCGTCGTTGACCAGCTGCGGCGGCAGCGCTGGGACAATGACGTGGACGACATTGTCGAGGACGAGGACACGATTGCGCAGCGCCAGCAGCTGCTGAGCAAGGACGACCCACAGACACTGCACGACCGGCTCGAGGCAGCCCTCGACACTGCCTTCCAGGAGCTCAATGCTCAAATCACGACCGAATGGGCGGCTGTCGCCTCGTCCGACGAACTGGCACCGACCACCAAGGGCAACATTGCCATGTACCTCGTGCGCGTGCTGCGCGAGATTCGCGGCCGGCGGCCGGCCACGTCGTCCGCGTCGGCAGCCACAAGACAGCTCGGCTTGGCCATCATCCCCGAACTGCACGCGGCCATTGTCCGCGTCGTTGTTGCCCCGCCGCTGGAGCAGTTTACCCGCACGACGTTGACACGCAAGACGGTGGCCGGTCGCGTTCTCTGGGATGCCGTGGGCCAGTCGGCCGCTCTGCCCTCGACGCCGTCGCCTGGTGTCTTCAAATTTTTGCGCGACCTGTCGACTGCCATGGGCACGGCCGGCATGGACCTCTGGAGCCCGGCCGCCGTTGCCCAGCTGAAGCAGCAGGTTTCCCAGCAGCTCGGTGAACAGTGGACCGCGCTGCTGGAGACGACCGACTACCTCCAGGAGGACGGTGACACGACTCTGAAAAAGGAAAATCAAAAGGAGGCGAGCGAGGCGTCTGGTGGAGAGAAGCAAGATGCTGCATCCGCAACCACGTTGTCCGCGGACGACCGCAAGGATCTGCTGAAGCAATGGCTCTTTGATATCGCCTGGCTGCAGTGCAGCTTGGGCAGTGTCGCCGGCAAGGCAGACAAGACGAAGAAGCGAGGCATGGCCGAACTGGAAGACGCAGTGTTCCGACGCACGGGCCTGTCCGAGGAAGAGTCCAACGACAGTGGTAGCAAGACGCCACGGCAGCGCATTACCAAGGCTGCGCAGGAGTACTGGAAGAAGACGAGCCTGCTTTTTGGACTGTTGGCATAGACAAAAAGTAAATAAACGGAGAGCCGCAGACGGAGACAGAATCGGTAGTATATATACAATGAATAAAGAGCCAATGATGATACAAGAAAAGAGATTTCAATACAATTCACAACATCCAAGATCCCGGTGTGATTGATGGCCATCCAAAATTAGCATTTGCGCTGTACATTTTGTTCTATGTCTTTTCTTCTGTCTTCTCTTCTTTTTGCTTTCGCCGTAACATTAGCTTTACAGCTTGTGCCGCTTCTCGCCCATGGCCAGCTTGCGGAACTCCTCCTGCGGCACGCCGGTCATGAAGCGATCCAGGCCGGCAAACACCTCGCTGACGTTCTGGCGGTCCAGCGTCTCGTCGTCGGCGCGGCGTATCAGCCGCTTGATGCCCAGCATCGAGTCGCCAATCAGGTGGTCGCCCAGGCGGTCGTCGATCTCGCGGAGCACGCGCTTGTGGAAGGCCGCGTCGGACGCGGCGTCCTCGCCGTCAAAGATGGCATTGACAAAGCCCGTCTGCAGCAGCTCGGCGCTCGAGATGCGCTTGCTCATAATCAGGGCCTCGTTGGCCTTGGAGCGGCCGAGGCGCTGCACAAGACCCAGCGACGCACCGCCCTCGGCGACGAGACCGAGCGAGCTGAAGGGCGTCAGCAAAAAGGTCGACGGCGTGCAGTAGACAAAGTCGGCGAAACCGACGAGCGCCGCCGACAGGCCGATGGCCGGGCCGTTCAGGCCGACGACCAGGATCTTGGGGTGCGTGTAGAAGGCGCGGGCAATGTTGAGGTTGTTGGCCACAAACGAGCGCAGCCAGTGCCGGTGGGCGTCACGGCCATGGCCGAGGGGGGTGCCCTCTGCAAGGGAGACGTCGGCGCCGCTATTCTGTCAGCAAATGATTGACCCAACAAGGAGAGGAAAAAAAAAAACATTAAAAAAAACCAAAAAAAACCATCACACTGGTATGTACGCACGCGGAAAAGAAGCGGCCGTTGGCCGTCAGAAGAGTGACATAGATGTCGTCGCGCTTGGCAATCTCGCTGAGCTTGACGGCTAGGTCATAGTACTGGCCCACCGACAGCGCGTTGAGTTTCTTGGCGTTGTCAATGGTCAGGACGGCGACGCGGCCCTCGTAGGACACGCGGATGACATCGGGGTCGGCGTTGTCAGACATGGCGGCGATTGAAGACGGAGATGAGAAGCTGTGGATGTAGGAAGAAAAGAGTTGTGAAAGGAGAAAAAGGAAGACGAGGTGAGGCTGGTGGTTGGCGGATGACGTAAGTGGAAAGAGCCGAGGCACGTGTCAGTCGATCTTTCCGGCGACGATGAGATGCAACAAGACGGGATGAAGGAGGAAGGAACGAGCGCAATGTCGAGAACTAGCAAGAAGGACGTCTTTTGCAAAGGCTGAGACGGACTAGAAAGACTTGAGCACCGAAAGATAAATAATGCTGTCGAGCAAGAATATACTACGGCGTACACCATCGAAACGAGCCTGCCGAACCATGCATTCCATTTGCACGGTCATCGGCTAGAACGTAGAAACTAGACCTGCCCGGGAGCGACTTCCCCAAATAAAAGTTACAGCAGGCGCAAAGTACCGGTCTTATGAATCAGTAGCGCCGAGTGACTTGCGCCACCACGCTGGGAAGGTACAAAGGCAGAAAAGGTTAGGTAGGGTTTGCGGGGAAGGAGCGCCCCAAAGCCAGGAAGTTGGGGAACAGCTAGATACCTCGGCTGGATCTGGCGCCGCATATGACGAGGCAAGTACGAACGGCATCTCCTCCGCATGGAATGCAGCTATACAATATTCGAAGACCTCCCATGGCATCCGGCTCAAATCCAACAATGAAGCCATCCGTTATGCTTGCCATTATGTCTTGGTCTTTTCCAACCTTTTTACATTTCCAGCAGAAGCGTTCGCTCTCTTGCCCGCTCGTTCGCCTCGAGACATGTGAATGGAGTTAAATGAGTCAATGGGTCAAATTTGATACGTCTTCTGTAGAATCAACAGTGCCGTATATTCGTTCATTGTGTCGAATAGTTCGGCGGCGACTGCATCTCGAGTGGCTCCATCTTGACTGCCGGCACCGCATGCACGCCCGGGACGGGCGTGGCCAGCACCACCGTCTCCGGGCCGGCCGGGATGCCCTCTTCCGGGCCCATTGGCAGCGCGTACTCGTCAATGGGCAGACCCAGCAGGCTGCGCAGCACGACGACGGCGCCGGCCTTGCTCATGACCAGGTTGGCCTCGTGGCAGTTGGGCGATGCAATGCACTCGAGACAGCCGCGCGCGGCCGCCAGCGCGTCGCCAGCATTGTACAGGCCGCAGGCACAGCTCTCGATGCGCGTCAGGGCCTGCTGCAGCAGCAGGTCGACAAAGTCAAAGGCCTTGGCCGTGATGCCCGTGCCGCCGGCGCCGCCCTTGGCATCGTAGAACGTGAGCCGGGCGGGGCGCTTGCGCTGGGTGACCGGGCGGTTCTGGAACTCCTTGAGGCCGCTCTTGCATTCGGTGCGCACGTCGCCGGGCAGGCTGATGACAAAGTTGGGCAGCAGGCTCAGCACCGCGTGCTCGGCGGCGTGGATGGCGGCGGCCATGTGCAGGCGCCGCCGCTCGAGCACGGCCAGGCCCGACGCGGGCACGTCCACCCAGGCGCCGCGGCTGTAGCGGACCACCGGCGGGTTGTCCACTTGCACGGCATCCAGGATGCGCTCGCGGCGGTCGACTTTAAAGTAGCCAAAGACGGTCTGCGAGATGCGGATCTTGCCCAAGTACGCGCGCGCCGCGTCCGGGCTGTCGCGCGCCGCCGGACCCCCCTCGCCAATCCGCCGGATCGCCTGCGTCTCAATGGGGTCGATGTCGGTGAAGTCGCGCTGCTGTGTCGTCCAGTCCACGCGCACGCGCTCCACGCGCGCCAAGCCCTGGTCCGGGCTGAACTCGCGCACCAGGTACGTCGTGCCCTGGTGCAGGAAGATGGCGCCGTCGTAGATGGTAAACGTGGCGCGCGACGCCTCCAGCTCTTCCAGCACAATCGGTGGGTTGTGGCCAATGTCCACAATGGCAAAGTGGTCGTCCTCGGTGTCGCGGATCGCCACCAGCTTCCACGGCTGCGGGCGGAAGTGGTCGTGGCAGTGGAAGCAGTCCATCTCGTCGCGCACGAGGCGCTCCGCACAGAGCGCCGCCAGCCCGGGGCCAAAGTATTGCTCGTCGTCCGCGGGGCGGATCGGCATCTCGTACGCGGCGCACTGCACGTGGCCCTCGCGCACCAGCATGTTGGCGAGGTCGACCTGCAGCGAGCCGTGCGGCTGGTCAAACAGCATGTCCGGGTTCTGCATGTAGTACTGGTCCGTCGCAAACGAGTCGCCGACCAGAATCGACAGCGAGTCGCGCCCCCGCCGCCGTCCCGCGCGCCCGCTTTGCTGTCGCAGGTTGGCGATGCTGTAGGGGAAGCCCCACGTCATGACGCAGTCGAGCGAGCCAATGTCGACGCCCAGCTCCAGCGCCGTCGTCGCCACGATGCCCACCAGGCGGCCCGCAAACATGTCTGCCTCGATGCGTCGCCGGTCGTGCGCGGTGTAGCCGCCGCGGTAGCCCATGACGCGCGACAGGCACTCGTGGCGTCCGCGCCGCTCCAGTTCCTGCTGGACGGCGCCGACGAGCTTCTCGCACTGTTCGCGCACGCGGCAAAAGGCAATCACGCGCACGCCGCGCAGGATCAGCTCGCAGAACAGCCGCGCGCATTCGTAGAGCGCGCTGCCGCGGCCGCTGGCCGGATCGCCCGGCACGCGAAAGGGCGTGTTCCAGCAGAGAAACTCCTTTCGGCCAGACGGCGAGCCGTCAAAGTCGACGAGCTGGACGGGCGACGTCTGCTCCGGGTCGCGCTCCCAGTCCATGACGCCAAAGATGGTCTCAAAGTGCTCCCGCGGGTTGGCCACCGTGGCCGAGCACGAGATGAAGCGCACCGAGCGGTTGCCGAGCGTGGCGCACACGCGCCGCAGCCGGCGCATGATAAAGGCCATGTGCGAGCCCATGAGGCCGTTGTAGTAGTGCAGCTCGTCGACCACGACATAGCGCAGCCGCTGTAAGAACGAGCGCCAGCGGCTCTCCTGCGGCAGAATGGCTGCGTGCAGCATGTCGGGGTTCGTGAAGAGGACGCGCGCCTCCTCGCGGATGCGGTCGCGCTCTTTCCACGGCGTATCGCCGTCGAACGTCTCCGCCAGAACATCGCACAGGTTCGGCATGTATGCCAGGAGGTCGCGCAGGCTGCGCTTCTGGTCTTGGGCGAGCGCCTTGGTCGGGAAGATGTACATGGCGCGCGTGAACGGGTCCTCTTCGAGCGCGTGGACCACAGGCAGCTGGAAGATGAGCGACTTGCCCGAGCTCGTCGACGTCGACACCACGACGTGGCGGCCCGCGTGCAGCGCGTTGATGGCCTCGGCCTGGTGCACATAGAACTGCGTGATGCCTTTGGCGTTGTACAGCGCGTTGACCGTGTCCTGGCTCAGCAGAAAACCCAGGTCGCCGTACACGGGCTCCTGCTCTTCGAACACGCGGTGGCCGTCAGGGACCACCTGTCCCGAGTACCACGGGCTGTTCTTCAGCTCGTCCACAATCTCGGGGATCGTCTTCCGTTCCGCCGGAATCGTCGGCGGGATTCCGTTATTGCTGTTGTCGTCGCAGTCTGTGTCGCCGTTGTTTCGCGATGGCCGCGCGTCAACAAGACCCTCTTCGGGGCTCGGGACGGGTATAAATGCCTCCGCTTCGCTTTTCAAACACTCGACGGGGTCGGTCGCCTCTCTGTCTCCCTCCAGTCCCTCGCACCGGTCCAGAAATGCATTCACGGCCGCCGCAAACCGCCGGTTGCGCTTTTCGATGAGCGCCGTCATCTGCTTCTGTCCGTACACGGGCATCCGCAGCTGTTCGTCCCGCAGCATGCGTGTCGACTTTGTCGGCTCACCCGTCTTCGGGTTAGCGACCTCCCGCTTGAGGCCCTCGTCGATAAACTCGAAATACAGGACCTCTTTGTGCAGCGGCTGGCCCTGCGTGCCCTGTTCGTCGTAGACGCCTCCGTCTGGCCGCACCTTCATCGCCTCTCGACCTGTGATGCCGCCCACGGACGCGTCGGCTGCCGGGCCCTGGGCTTTCAAATTGTTCCGGGTCCGGCTCGTCGCCCCCGTCTTGAAGGTGGTGTCACGTTCTGCACCCTGGATGTCGACCTGCAGCGACAGCTCGTCCACATAGGCAAAGCGGATCGTGCCGGCGGCGTCAGCAGAGCTGCTGCCGCTGTTGAAGTGCAGCGACAGGAGCGCCGCCACGGCGGCCACGTCGCTCTCGAGCAGCGGACGGCCCGTGTTGGACTCGACGGCCGTCTTGATCGTCGCAAACGTCGTCAACAGGTGCTTGCGCGTGCAGCAGATGGTGTAGACCAGGTTCAGGGCGCGGTGCGTCTTTTCCAGGTCACGGAACCACTCGGGCCAGGCATCGACCTTGCGCGGGGTCGGGCCTTTGCCAGAGTCAGTCTCGGCATCGTTGCTGTCCTCCTTCTGCGTCGCCGGCTTCCTCTTCGCAGAGGTCTTGCGTTTCGACGCTGGTTTTGGCATGCTGCCTCCTTCGCCGTCGATACTGCCGGGCGCGGGGGCATCCTCGGCCACTGGGGTACCCACATCGCCGGACACAGCACCCGTCGTATCGGATCGCTTCCGCTTGCTACCTGGTCCGTCCGTTGTGTTTGTTTCGCTCTGTACTTTGGCGGGAATCGTTCGACGTCTCGTTCCGTCTCGTCGCCTGCCGCCGCCACGACCGTCCGCTGTCACCGCGTCGGCCATTGTATGCTAGGCACCTCAAAAACAAGCTCCATTGGACTGCTCGTATCCGTGGGGTGGGAAGGTGTTGCGACTGTGGGTAGGTGTTGACTGTAAGTTTTGAAGCCGAGGGGGCGTGAAAGATCGCGGGGTGGATCGCCACGCGAAAGAACGGCAAGTCCCCTGTCGCGAGCTCACGTGATGCACTTTCCACTTTACTGACGTTGGCTTTCAACGACATACTACAACATACATAAGGAACTCATAGGACGCCGTGACGTCGTATTTGTTGATCAGGATTATTTCTGTGTATTTTATTTTTATGTCGAAAATATTGTAGTTTTATGGGATATATTTCGACGTCACAATATAACTAACGTGTATTCGTATTTTCATTTCGACTCCCTCGATAGCTTATCGTGACATATATCAGACGACTTACGTATAAACCATCAACCATTTTGGAACGCCCGCTCAATCCCAAAGACAATTTTGAATCCAATACCATCATAGAGGCGTATATGCACTGCAACGCTTTTGATCCGAGAAACAATAGCAGCCCCGCCCACAGTCTCAATCTAGCAACATAAAGAATACATCCTCAGCTCATAACCCGCCCTGCACGGTCACGATCGTTGTGTAAATCATGGCAACGGTGCCGACGGCCATCAGGACAATGTCCAGGACCCGAAGAAGCGCCGACGACTCGTCCGCCATGCCCCGGTAGTGAAGATACGGCGGGTAGATGAAGAGCAGCGGAACACAGGCCAGCGACCCAATGAGGGCCACAAACCGGTCGAGGTGGCCGGCGCCCAGCACGGCGACGGCACCGCAGGCCACCGTCAGCGCAGTGCGCAGGGCGTTCTTGGCCCACTTGATGCGCGGGTCGCGTTTGCCCGAGCGGTAGTAGACAGCACCGTTGCCAGAAGACGACTTGGTGCGGAAGAGGCGGCCGTCGATGATGCGCACGGCGGGGAAGAGCTGCACCGGCATGCCCGCCAGCACGGCAATCGCGTACAGACACTGCACGGTCTGCACGAGGGCGCTGGCGCGGGGGTAGTTGTCAATGACCTCGGTCTTGGTGCCGGTGCCAAACGCTGCGTAGCCAAGCGCGCCGACGGAGATGTACGCCGCCGTGATAATGGCCATGACGACGCCGAGCAGCCAGCGAAACCGCTCGGGGCGGGCCATGGACGACTGGATGGGCAGGATGAGGCCGATGCCCTCAAAGGTAAAGATGGCGGCGCCGATTGTCAGCGCATAGCCCGACGGGTTGAACCACAGATCGACCGTCTCGTGCACGCGCCAGCCGCGCGCCGCAATGGCAGCCACGTCGTACGTGTACATGTACACGAGGCCGATGGCGATGAAGACGTCGCCGAGCAGGGCGGCGGGGCCGAGGCGCGCAATGTCGCGCACGAAACCGAGAGGGATCAGCACGGCCACTTCGAGAGCAATAAAGGCGTTGGTCGACAGGACGCTGTCGTCCACGCCTCCCTCTCCTCCTCCTCCATCAAGAGGATTGCGGCGCGTGTGGGCGTGCGCCACGGCAGACGCAAACGACGCCAGATTCTCGGCTGCAAAGACAATGCCGGCACACACAAACCCCAACTGCGAAAGCGCAATGGACCCCAGGATCAGGCTGCGCATGCGCGGGCCCGCAATGGCCAGGCCAATGTCGCCGTAGCCGCCACCATACCGTTGGCGGCAGCGCAGCAGCAGCTCGAAGCCGCCCATGGACAGCATGGAGACGATGAGCAGGGTGACCGTCGAGAAGACCATGCCGCCGTTGTTGAAGGCCTTGGGCAGAAACATGATGCCCGTGCCGACAAAGGCCTTGAGCAGCGTGAAAAAGGCCTGGGACATGCCGGCTTTGGCCTTGCCACTGCCGTCGCCAGCGGCGTCGCCGCTCGCCGAGGCCACAACAGCACCAGACGTCCGCCGGCCAAGCAGTGGCTGCCGTTCGTGCGGCCGCCGCCGAAGACCACCGCCGGCTCCCATCCCACGCTCCACGTCTTCGATGCCTCTTCGTCCCTCTTGTTCTTCTTCTTCTACTTCCTCGTACTCCTCTTCGACCTGCTCCTCGGCACCGCCTTCATCCTCCTCGTCGTCAGACGCTTCCAGGTCTTCGTCGGCAAAATGGCCGTAGAGCTCGAGAAACTCGACAAAGTTGCGCGCAATCGGCATCTTCACGGCACGAAACGCGGAGGCCCGCCGCTCGCGCAGGTGTGTCCGCCGCCGCTGCATCGTCGCCTCGCGTTCCTGCAGCTGGCGCTGCCGGACCTGTTGCAGCACAAAATCGCGGCGGAAACCCTGCGGCGCCAGCAGGTCGCGCACCTGCATCTGGGGCCCGTCTCTGTCGCCGTGCCCGCCGTGCTCGCTTCCGTGCTCGCTGCCGTCGCCGTTGGGGCCGCCAGTCACGCTGCTCACTTCGCTGGGTGTGTACCGGTCGTGGAACGTCGCGGCTCGTCGGTGGAGTGGTCTGTTGGGGAGCTGTGCAGGCCCTGCAGATGGTTGTTTCAACTGTTGCTGTGCTTGCGGTTGCTGCTGCTGCGGTGGTCTCTGTGAAGGCTGCGAAGCCGAGGCATGGTCTTGCGCGGGCGAGGCTGTCGTGGAGAGAGACAGCGGAGAGGGTGTCAGGAGCGGCTGGCTCTGCAGCACCTGCATCCGCGCCGGTGCCTCGGCCATGCGGAACAGGGACCGGTGAACATCGCCGCCTTGCAGATGCAGCGAGGAGATCTCCTCGCGCTGCTCCGCTCCCGCTTCGCCTTCAGCTTCGTCTCTGCCGGACCGTATGGACGCCGATGTGGATGCGGCTGGAGCTAGGGACGGTGTGTTGAGATGCGGCTCCGATGCACCACCGCTGGCGCCGCTGTCGCCGCTGGGGTTGCGTCCGCCAGCGGCGGGCCGGTCCTTGTCTGCATATGGCGCAGTGCTCCCCGGCGCCGTCTGCTGCTGGTCCTCCGGGACGAAGTCAGCTGTGTAGCCCTGTGGCAGGTGCTCGGCAAGGGTCCGAGCCGCGTTCTCCTCTCGGGACGAGACGGCGGGCGAGTCCGGTGGCGTTTTTGTCATGGTTCCATGCGTACTCTAGCGAGTCTTATGAGTCAAGTGTGGTGATCGATGGACGGGAGGAATCGGAGGCGTCGTAGATTGCTGGCTTCGAGGTGGTTGTAGTTTTTATTCCCTAGTCGTTTTGTTTGGCCAAAAAACCGTCCACCTTAAAAGAATCTAGATGATCGGATTCCGATTGGCGTGAAAAAAACGTGGGAGAGGAGTAAGGCCGATCCAAGCCGTGGAAGAGTGCACGACGGCTCTAGTGCGGAGCTGAGTCCACAGCACTCCCTGCAAAGCGAACTGACATCACTGTTCTTTCCGTTGTTGCAGCCGCGAAATACGTGACCCACAGTGCAGCCGCAACTGCCGTTTTAGGAAGGCAAACCACTAACGATGCTTAAAAACAACCTCTCACACAAATGAAATGGTAGGAGGTCCGCACGTGATTGTCACGCAGTGACAAAAAATGCGAATAAAAATATAGTGCATCCAAGTTCCAAAATGCAGCATAACATAAGAATAGTCATTGCTCAAGCGCTGCGTCAACACAACACGCACTTCTGTCCACCTTCTCTGTCAGATCGTAAGATAACCAAGCATGTGCAGTCGGTACAATATAAACAAAGCGGGAATCGCCAGGAGAGTACTAGATATACAAAAAAATAAAACGAAATAAAAAATGGAATCGCGGTCGTAAACGGACAGAAAATGGTGTGACGGAAAGGAACTAATGATACCAATGAAAGAAAAAAGTCATAAGCTCGCGGCAAAAACGAGACTTCTGTATTGCATTGCCGGCCTGCAATTGTATTAGAATTGCTGCACGACCTCATCATCCCCCAGAACGTCATTTTGCGCAGCAACGGCGCGACGCGAAGAAACCGGTGCCTCCTCTTCGTTGTGGATAGAGTCATCCAAAAAGACTGACTGGTTAGTATGGGTTATTGAGGAGTCAATGGATAAGCAATGAGCAGCAAGGGAGATGCATACCGTGTGGTCGGACGAGGAAGGCCAGGAGGAAGACAAAAGAGAAGACACCGGTCACCAGTACAAACACAGCCTGCGGGTAGCTGCCGACCGTCGCGGCATACAGGCCGTTGAAAATCATAGGGGCGAAGACGCGTGAGAGTGCGTGGAGGAGGCCGATGGCGCCGAGGAGCTGGCCAACCCGGTCGGGAGAAACATGCTTGGTGAGCGAGGACTGGATCGTTGCAGATCCCAGGCCGCCAAAGGCCGTCACAATGCCGCATAGAACAAACACGGCTGGCTTCCGTGCAAAGATATAACCGGCCACACCGAGCACGTCCGAGAAGATGGCACTGCGAATGAGGAAAATGTCCAGACGATCGGCGCCTCTGTTGGCCTCACTCGGCGCCTCGCCCGAGATCCGCCGCTGGCGCGCAGCGGGGCGCACACGGAAAAAGTAGTTGATGACGGGGAAGATGCCCATGAGCACGACAACGCGCACCATGGACACGAGGGAGATGAAGGCGGACGTCTCAAAGTTGCCCCAGTGGAACATGAACTCGGTGTACAGGAGGGTGACGCCGCCCAAGCTCATTGCGGCTGCGAGAAGCAGTGTGTCGATGGTGGCCAAGACAAGCAGGTTCCGCCGCGCGCGTCTTTGGTGGGCGCCGTTGGGAAACAAAATCGCGAGAGGAGCCAGCGGGTTGGACCGCCGCACGCGGAGGATAGTTTTCCGGGCATAGGCCGGCAGCCACGTCTTACGCCCAGACGCCGCCGCCGCTTCATGTGCCAAATCAAATTCACGATTTTGAATCGCGTGCAGCTCCTGCTCCTTGGCGTACTTCTCACGAGCGATGCTCTGACGGCGCGGCGACAGAGACTCGGGAAGGATGAAAATGATGTAGAGGATGAAAACGGCATGGCAGCATAGCGTGACATAGAAAATGGACAGCAGCGACCCTGTCCATTCCACCAAGAAGCCCGCAAGCAAGGGGCCGAATGCCAGGCCAGAGAAGAGGCAGGCGTGCATGTAGCCGAAGGACACGGCGCGCTTGGAAGGCGGCGTGCAGTCGCTGGTGTAGGAGTGGCTGACAACACTGCCGGCGGTAAACGAGCCCGCAAAGCCGTCAATCACCGAAGCCAGAATCAGCCAGTTGTAGTGAATGATGTCGGGGTAGTTGGCCGCCAGGATAGTGATGACCTCGCCCACGAGCCCGCCGGACGATGAAATTACCATGATGGCTTTGCGGCCGTAGCGGTCGGATGCAGCGCCGAGACGAGGCGCCGTGAAGGCGCTCAGCGAGCCGACGATGACGCTGAGGACGAGCGTGAAAGTGGCAACATTCCGCTGCACCTCGGCAATCTGGCACTGCGGGTTGTTGGCGCCAGGCACGACGGGCAGCACATGGAAGCCCTCGTGCTGGCGATCGGCAAAATATTGGCGACAGACCAAATCTATAATCAGATTCAGCTTCGGTACCAACGAGCCACCAAACGCCAGCGTGAACAATGCGTAGGGGCCAATGAGCCAGTAGATGGACGGCCTTTGCGTCCAAGGCAGGCCTGCAAAGTCCTCTCCGCCATCCCAGCTATCTTTCCGGCCACCGATCGATGCCGATGTTGGTGCTTGCTCGGAGTCGACGGTTGCATCGATGTCGGCGCTGAGAAGCGCATCGGTCTCGGCGTGTCCTTCTGCCGGAGAGTAGTTGCTTGGCGACGCTGCTGGCCGGCGCAGCAGGTTAGTTGCTTCAGACATCGCCTTGTACGGTGTTTTACTTCAGCGTCAATGGTGTGAGTTGTGAGACGCGATGCGCGGGGCTTGTTGACTGCTGCGTCAAAGAATATGGCATTTATCGAAGCTGGACGTTTTTGGTGGTATTGAATTATTGCGTGCGCATACAAGGAGGTGTGCTGTGTCTTGACGATTGGCAATAAGAGACCTGCGCCGGGCAGATCGATTGCGAGATATGGTGAAATTGCTGCACTGGCCAAATAAGTGCCGGAGGTTGTCGTCGAGTTCCTCCCGAGCCGATGGGGGATACTCGTGCTTTTTAAAACACCTCAGAAAATGGCTTGCTGTACATCGTATGCCCTGTTTCAGGACGACGACAAGCAGACACTGGGGATGGAGAGTCTTACGAAGGGAACGGGGCGGGAAGAGCAAGCCAGGAAGACAAACTGCCTGGGGTTGACGACAAGCCGGATCAACACCAGCTTTGCGAGCCTGTTCCAGATTGGACGACCCAAAGACCAAGCCTAGGATCCGTGAGGACGGGATGGTGTCCGCGCGCGCAGCGTTGGCGAAACAAAGAAAACACAGCCAAACGGTAGAGACGGCAAGGAGAATAAAACGGCACCGTGTGAGACGGGACGTGGTGGGTCTTGAATGGGCGAGAAGAGGGTTGGATGGACGACACGGGATGGGGGAGAGAGAGATGCGAAGTGGGAGCCGCCCTGGGCCAATTTTGTGGAAGCGTAGACGTGGTCAAGAGACGGGGAAAGGTCCGTCCTGATAAGAAACGTACACGTCAGGAAGGAGGAACGAGACAGATTGGTCCGGTAGTGGTTGCCGTTCGAGGTGCGAGTGCGATAGACAAAATGGAAGGTGTGCAATCGCCACGCAATCTTTAACCACGGCAGTTCTGGAGCGAGGACTGCAATACTCCAAATGGGGAAGGCGCTGAAGGGTGAAAAGAGGCAAGCAAAGAAGGCGCGATGGGAAACGCGCACATGTACGAAATAATGATGGTGGAATTGTGCAGGAACGAACGAACGCCGGCTTGTTGAATGGAAAAGGACCCATCGAAGCAGAGGTAGCCAAGGTTGCTATCGAAGAGGGCTATGGGGCAGACCATCACAAAAACGAAGACGAAAAGCTATCTGATCCCCCATTCCGGCACCATCGCATGGTCGGACACATTTCGAGTCCCTGGTCGATGGGAGGAATAGTGTAATGTTAGTGGCGCCCTTCCCTCTTTCTGTCTTAGTGTAAATGGAATGGCCAGCCATTAACATCCTACGGCGACTTTTTGGTGGCGGAAGGCGCAATTCAGCCCGTTTTCTAAATGGTCCTTTGTCAGGCCCAGCCCAACAGGGGGGGTTGCATCGTAAGGGGGACAGGGGTAGGCATTGCGTACTTCGTACGCTGCAAAATGTGGAAGGAGCGAGCCGAAGAAAGCCAGCGCATACACAACAGGGGGGGAAAGAGCCAACGGAGTCGGCATTAGTGGAAGCCCGTTAGCTGCGGCTGGCCATTCTATTCGTTCTGTGCCTGTCAGCCAGTCCAAACGTTCCACGCGGCATGTCGCCAGAGACCCAACGCTGCAGGCACATTTCATTTGTTGTGTCGTGGCCCAGCGAGCAAGTTCAGACATCCAGTCTTTTCGATTGTTGGGCAATTGGTGCATTGGGCTGCGCATGCATCACTGTAACACTCTGTCGTTCAATTGCCGATTCGGCCCCCGTGCCTTCCCACGTCGTCGTGCCACAAAGTGTATGACGCAGTGTCGCTGCCGTCATCTTTCTTGACCGAGTAGGGGAGGAGCGATGTAGACCGACGTGCAATGGAAAGAAAGAAGGGCAAGAAAACAAGACAGGCAAGCACAAGCGTCCGTTGAGTGTGTCGCCTCTGCGTAGTGCCTCGCTTTTTGTTCTGGAAAGAGCGACCTCTGTCAAGGCGATTCTCCCCTCGACCCAGCCATAATAACACGCATATTGATGGAACATCTGCCGTTTAAATTCAACCGATATACGACACAAGTAGCGGCACTGAATACTGTGTTGGCGCCAGCAAAGATTCTCGGGCACTTCCACAGATGGGGCCCCATTCGAGACTGATAACGAGTCATGACGACAACGACAAACCAAGATACTTGAACTCGTCGAACCTGTTTCTCATGGAGATAGGAGTCCTGATTGAGTCCGTTCCCGACTTGGCCTGTGAGCGGTTGAACTTGTGTTTTGACATGCAACGGTGCCGAGGCTTGGCTCTAAAGCCGCCGTCTTAATTACTAATTAATATGTTCCTCACCTGCTTCCCCTCACTCGATCGAGACCGTGTCGCCAAGAAAGTGCCCGACCCTAATGAGCAAACGGCCCACCATTTGCGAATGCGTACGAGCGTGACTTGATATGAAGCTCTCTGCTTGTCAGTTCGATTCTCTTCCAGTTTGCTGCTTTTAGTGGGATGCGGATCGGCAGCGACCTACCTGCTAGAGGAGAGAGCTACTTTGAAACGCTGAAGACATGTTGAAGACATGTTATTACCATTTACTGTTCAGACTGTCATTCAAGACATTTCATGACGTCAAACCGTTTTGTCTAGAAAACGAAGAACGGATATCGACCACCGACGACGGATATGTCCCCGTAGCGGCCCAGACTCTCCTGTCGGCATCTTTCTTGGATCCCATTGGCAAGAGGCGCCGTCCGTCTGGCCTGCGCACAAACGCCCAGAGATGGTGTTCACTCTTGGCATATGCTTATCGAGTCCATTACCGCAATCATCAATCTGTCCAATGTTGTCCTGGCCAAGCGCCTACGAGAAACTGCATAGCGTTGCGAAGGTAGACGAGACCATATTGGGGCCACTTCAACAGTGTGTCGCATGATGCACCTTTGGACTTGACCGTCCGGGTCAATCTCGAGGCAGACTATCTTGAGTTTGCCCTCGTCTGCATTTTGGACGTCTGTGAAGTAGGAGGATACACATTGCATCGAATCTCGGCGACGATGGAGTCTTGCGGGCTGTTTGTGATGCATCACAGTGCATCAGAGATGGGCATTCTGGCCTTGAGAGTCGCTTTGCGGGAAGCTTCTTACGACATGTAAACGATTCGCTTCTCCATGACACCATCGAGGCAGCCGCCAAGGTCAGCCGCAATGCTCATCTATACGACGAACGAGACTTTTGCAACGGCAGCACGGACGAGGCCTATCGTTGAGAATAGAGTAAGCCATGGAAAGATGATTTCATGCAACCAATATCTAGCTGGCATCGATCTTTGATTGTAAAGGGTTGGAGGGATGTGAATCAAATATAAAGAGACGACTGACACGAATGTTCTCTTAAAATAGCCGACGTAAATTCTACGAATTGTTTCGGGTGGTTGAATGTCAATATTGAAGTTGACGACGTTGACAAAAGGGCAGCAAGGCTTTGAGGCTTTGGGTGGCGCGGCTGCAAGACAGTGCGCCAAATTCGCCTCCGCACGAACTCACGTGATGGGACCGACCCCTGAATTCCCGTGCGGCAGCCCATTTTCTAGCGACTTCTAGGCGCAAACGCCGCCTGAGCTTGGTGATTAGCAAAATATCCCACACCGCAGGACGACGACACGAAAACATCGACCTTACGAGCCTTTGCGATCTCGCCTACGGCGGTCTTTCTCGAGGTGGTCTTTGTTCGCGGAGAACGTATATCGTACCGTCAAGATGTGGTATGTCTGGCTGCTCCGCCAAGGCCTTCCTCTGCTGCCGACCGCTCATCGCTCAGAGCTACCGCTGACACTTTATTTCACCCCCTTTCTACAGCAAACACATTCTCAATGCACAGGTCTCCATCCGGTCACCATGCTGTACGTCCGCTCTATCGTTTTTCCTTTTTTTCCCCCTTTAGTCTCTCGAGTACTGACAGAACAGGCCGCAAGTGGTTTGACTGCAGCGAGTGCCACCAGGAGACCGAGGACCATGCTCTGATGCAGCGGTTCGAGATGATCTTTGCCTGCAAGAAATGCAAGAAGTGCTTCCGCAAGGACGCGCGCGAGTTTGAGGACTCGGACGAGTACTGCCCGCACTGCGACAACCACTTTGTTATTGACGCCGTGACGCCCAAGCAGGCCATCACCATTGAGAGCGAGGACGTTCGCGTGGACAACCGCATGATCAAGGACGACCGCATCAAGGCGCAGGACATGCGGACGATCTTCGACCCGGACCTGGACGCAGACCGACTCGGTTAGGGAGGGAGACGTGTAAAGGTTGCTACATCGGTGGACCAGTACGTTGAGGCCGGATACAAAAATGGCTACCACATACCCACGCGTGCGAGGGCGAGCAAAAGCTAGAATAGCATCACATGGCGTTTTCATGATTTCATTTATAATTCATTGATTTTTGAGACGAACGACAACGTGCAAAAGGAAACGGAAAAAGAGTATATGATTACATGCTGGTCAAATGGGCGTTGTAGCGGAGGCCTCATTTTTTTTCCACCCCTGTGCTTCCATGTTCTTTCGTTTGTCCGCGATACTGTTTCGATCATGTTCGCGGCGAGACCAGAACGATAACAGGGAAGCCACGGGATCTATTTTAAGGATAGTTCACGAGCCGTCGACATGTACCTAGTCTGAATCGCCCTGGTCCTCGGCTGCCCCCCGTGTCGGGATAGCGGCGCTGGTCGTGGCCGTGCTGCTGCCGCCGGCGCCTGACCGGCCACCCTTCTTCTTGGCCGCCTCCTCCTGCTTCTCCTGCTCGATGTTCTTTACATGGTTCTCAATGTCCTCGACCGGCAGCAGCTCCATAGGCTTGCCCGGGGCCATGATGGCAATCTCAATGTTCTTGGCGCCGGTCTGCACCACTTCCAGCAGCGACTTGATAGCGAGCTGGATCGTCTGCTCACGGTCCATGTCCTCCTTGTAGTTGCGCTCGAGGAATTCGCGCACCGTCTTGCTCGAGCGGCCGATCGCGTTTGCCCGCCTACATGGAACGGTCAGTGCACTGCAAAACGTGCGAGCAGAAAGATAGAAAGAACTGAGAGGGGGGACAAGACGCACCATGCAGAGTAGATGCCCGAGGGTTCGGTCTGGTAGAGACGCGGGACCTTGCTGCCCTTGTCGAAGCCCACAATCAGCGTGCTGATGCCAAACGGCCGCACACCGCCGCTCTGCGTGTACCGCTGCTGCACACCGGCAATGTATTTGGTAATGTACTCGATGGTGACGGGGTCCTCGACGGTCAGGCGGTGCGACTGGGCCTCTAACCGGGCCTTGTCGAGCAGGATGCGCGCGTCGGCGTTGAGGCCGGCAAAGGCCAGGCAGGCGTGGGTGTCGAGCAGGCCGATCTTGGACGGGGTGATGCGGGTGTCTTGCAGCTTCATGGCGGACCGCTTCTCGCAGCCGAGCACCACAATGTCGCTGCCCTTGACGCCAACGGCGCACGTTCCTGTGTGGTGGACATCTGTCAGCCTGCCGTTTTGCCGTTCGCGACTGTGTGGCCTAGGCACGTCGCCAGCCACGCATCCGGTGGGACAGCCACGATCGTACCTCTCTTTACTGCTTCGCCGGCATATTCGACCTGGAAAACGTGTCCATCGGGACTGGCAGAACGTTAGAGCTGTTGAGCGACAAAAGACAGTCTGGAGATCGCGGGGCGGTGTTGCGGGAAAGCGGCCGAAGAAGCACGCATCGTGGAGACGCACCTGAAGACTATTGACAACAAAGAGGGTCAGCATGCATCCCAACCGTCATCTCTATTGAATCTCCTTTCTCCAAACATACCAGAAAGAGCTCTGTCGTAACCCGAAGCCATGGCTGTTTAGGGAGGTTGGAGCGGCGGGCGGGAACGGCGAATTGAGACGCGCAGAGGACTCGAAATGCGAAAGGTATGGAGATGTATGGAATTGGTGCCCGGCAGCTGGTTGAATGCCGTCGTTGTGCGTCGTCGAGTGTGGTAATGGGCGAGAATGCAGACGGACGGTGATGTGGCTTGGAGCTTGATGCTGCGCGTTTGAAGGAGGTGCTGACGGTGCTTGCCAGCCAAAAGCCAGCCAAAACGCCAGGTGCAGCACCAGGCTCCAAAAGCTCTGACGAAGCTGGAAGCCTGTGGTTAAGGGAAGGCGCGGCGGCTTTCTCTGATTGGCTAGGCTGGGCAGTATGTGGGTCTTTTGTGTACTCGCCTTGCTTCATGAATTGCCCCACAGTGCCTTACCAGTCACGTGTCGATAGCCTGATTTGGTAAGACGAGCAGAAAACGATAACGAGGCCGACTACGGCAGCTGCGGCGAATAGTAAAATAGCCGGCCATACTCTTAAACAATCAGTTACATGCAAGACAGTGGCCCCGAAAACGGGCGAGAACGAACGTTTGGCAACCGCGAGCACGTAATTGGATTTTGGAGGTGGCATTGGCATTGTCGGGACGACTTCTTGGCGATTTACTGCTGAAAGGTAGCAACTGGGGCGCAGAATCCTTTCTTTTATTTTCTTTGCTGTTTTTTTTTATATTTTATTTTTTTAGGCCTTGCTTCCTCTCGGAAAAACCAACCTCACAAGCAAGCTTTATCGATTTTGTGCTCCTGGTTTCCGACTATGGCGTTCAAGGTACAAGTTGGTTCCGTGCTGCGGAAGACAGCGACACCCAAGACTGCTGCGTTACGATCGGCATGCGCCGCACGGATAGCAACCCCGGCCGGCACGACCTTTGGGAGGGCGGCGGCTGCGGCCCGGGGTTTCTCCACGTCGCCCATGCGGCTATGGCGGCCCACACAGGCACGGCAAGCCGATATCACGCGCACGTCGGAGCGCTACCCGGACCTGAAGCGCGACTCGCGTTTTGCGGCGCTGACGCGCGAGCACGTCGCCTACTTCAAGGAGCTGCTGGGCGAGAACGGCGTGGTCGACGCCGTGACGGACCCGGCGTCCCAGGACGACGTTGAGCCGTTCAACGGCGACTGGATGCGCAAGTACCGCGGCCACGGCAAGCTGGTGCTCCGTCCGGGCTCGACGCAGGAGGTCAGCGAGGTGCTCAAGTACTGCAACGACCAGCGGCTGGCGGTGGTGCCCCAGGGCGGCAACACGGGCCTCGTGGGCGGCTCCGTGCCCGTGTTCGACGAGGTCGTCCTCAGCACGGGCCGCATGCAGACGATTCGCTCGTTTGACGACGTCAGCGGCACATTGGTGGTCGACGCGGGCGTCGTGCTCGAGGCCGCCGATGCGTACCTGGCCGAGCGTGGCTACCTGTTCCCGCTGGACTTGGGCGCCAAGGGCTCGTGCCAGATTGGCGGCAACGTGTCGACCAATGCGGGCGGCCTGCGGCTGCTGCGCTACGGCAGTCTGCACGGCACCGTGCTCGGCGTCGAGGCCGTGCTGCCCGACGGCACGGTTGTCGACGACCTGTGCAAGCTGCGCAAGAACAACACGGGCTACGACCTCAAGCAGCTGTTTATCGGTGCCGAGGGCACGCTGGGCATCGTGACGGGAGTGTCCATTGCGTGCCCTCAGCGGCCCGCCGCTGTCAACGTGGCGTTCCTGGGCCTGTCGTCCTACGACCAGGCGCTCAGGGCGTTCCGCGAGGCCAAGGCGCAGCTGTCCGAGATCCTGTCGGCCTTTGAGCTTATGGACGCCGGCAGCCAGCAGATTGTGCGCACGGTGCGGCCCGACGCCCGGCGGCCGCTCGAAGGAGAGCACGACTTTTACTGCCTGATCGAGACGAGCGGCTCCAACGCCGAGCACGACACGGCCAAGCTGGAGGCGTTCCTGGAGGACGTCATGGGCAAGGAGATTGTCGAGGATGGTGTTTTGGCGCAGGACGAGACGCAGGTCAAGGCGCTGTGGACGTGGCGCGAGGGCATCACAGAGTGCCTGGGCCACCTCGGCGGCGTGTACAAGTATGATGTCTCGATCCCGCTTCCGGAGCTGTACAAGCTGGTCGAGGACACACGGGCGCAGCTCGAGTCCAAAGGCCTGATTGGCGACGGCGACGAGTTCCCGGCGGCGCAGGTCGTTGGCTACGGCCACATGGGCGACGCCAACCTGCACCTGAATATTGCGGTGCGGCGATACGATGAAGCCGTCGAGGCGGCGCTGGAGCCGTTTGTCTACGAGTGGATTTCCAAGCGGCAAGGCAGCATCAGCGCCGAGCACGGCCTCGGCCTGGCCAAGAAGAAGTACATTGGCTACAGCCGGAATGAGACGATGGTTGGTTTGATGAAGCAGATCAAGAACACATTTGATCCTGTGAGTGTTTTGCATCCTAGTTTGTTTCTGACATACTCTGCCCATTTTGCACCAACATCCCTTTGATATCGTATACTGACCAATATAGAACGGCATCATGAACCCGTACAAGTACATCTAGAGGGAGATGAGGCGGTCAAGAACGCAAGAAAGCGGGGACTTGGGTTTGTCTCATGCGAGTGACCTGAGACGGCCGACATTCACGTATCTTATGATTCTATATCCCCGCGCGATAGACATGGAGACAGGGGCGATAGAAACTGGGGCGGTGGAAGAGCGGAAGAAAATGCAAGCGAACAAGAGATCATGAAGCACAACAAACTGAAACACATATACATCACCAGCATTAGACAGGAGAGCGAGAATGAAGAGGGACTAGGCGGAGGCCTCTTTCGGTCCAAGTGCTGCACCTCTGTGCATCGTATGTGTCTTTTTCACCTTCTTGCAGTGTCTCTGTGGGCCACCATGCGCGGTAACAAAAGGAACTGCTGTACGTTCCTGAAGAGTCGTAGCTGGTGCTTAATGTTTGTTGCATCGCTTCGGCACCGCGCCGGGCACCCACTGATCCCCTTTGGTTCTTTGGCTGATCAGAGACACGGACCAGATACGAGAGAAACGGGCATCTCCTCCCAATGTTTGATGCAGCCGTAATTCGTACGTCGTATTTGTCGCAGTCCACCCGGAACAGAGACCCACTCCAGCAAAAGCGACAAAGACACAGTCGAGACACGACAGAAATGCATGCAAGGGGGAGCGCAAAGGAGGAATGCGAGTGGCTCGCGCTGGTAGACGATAGAAGCGTGTATTGGGCTGGCGTCGGGAGGATCTGATGAAACGAGGACCAGAAATGGTTTTCTTCTTTTTTTCTTTCTTTCCTTGTTTCTTTAATATTAATTTGTTTTCCAAAGTAGACTAGTAATAGAGTGCCCCTGCCCGTCTTGGAACGGCGTCTTTCTTCTTTGAGGCAAGGACGGTACGAAGGAAGGAAGGGGCAGCCGTATGTATGTTGTACGAAATACAATGTCGGAATTATCGTGAGCTCAAGACAGAAAGAGCGAACAAACCAGTAAAAACCGGGGCAGGAAATAATATTGGATGTTGCAGCACAGTATTGTGAAGGAGGCATGATCGAAAGAGGAAAGAGCGCCCCCCACCAGAGACTAGTTGGGGGGAGGCTAGGAAAGCGCCAATATATGCCAATACAAAGTTCGAGAACCTCTAGTGCCACGGGGAAAGCCGTGGCGGCTGGCCAGACCCCGTTCGTCACTTTTACGACGCTCCAGACCTCTGTTTCCACTGGACAGCACAGCAACAGCTTATCGCTGGTGGCTTGTCCGAGCCGCCGACAAAAAGTACGGAGCCGCACAGGGCTGAACAACGAGGAAGGAGCAAGAGAAGCAGCTGTTCTTGGGGCGCATACCCAGGCAGGTGCGAGTAGAAGGCGCGGCATTGAGTCGCATGGGAAAGAGCACCATAGCGAGGAAGGAACGGCTACAATTGAGCCCATCATTCTGGTCCCGTCGCTCTTGCTTGACAGTGACACTCCACCCGCGGCCATGCACGGCAAGTGCAGCTCGTTCCTTGGGTTCGGCAACGAGAATCGGTCACGATGTGCATACCGAAAAGGCGATATTGCGACGGCTGGGCCAGGAACGGAAATCGAGAACGGTCCAGAGCAAGCGATTCCCATCAAGCACCTCGCTACCTCCAATATATGCTGCAGACGTCTCATTTGGCCGTGGGTCAACTGGCAAGGCGGGAAATATGGCAAGCGTCATCGGCCAATAAATGGCCGATAATATTACAGAATATACTCTGTAATAACAAACCAAACCAGCGGGTCTACTTGCGTAATTCCTACACGTGCCTCCGAGGTGGCCCAGTTGCACGAGCTCGACGTCCTCATTGTACAACATCAATTTCAACAGACTTGGCCTCCTCGCGCATACATCGTAATCTCGCGTCCACAGCAAATCCCGGAGACTTGAGCCCGACGCAACTCGCTAACAAGCTGGCTAACTCCAATGAGCACACTACTGTGTAAGATTATTATCTGGACTGGGGCGCGTCGCGGACAAGCTATGACAACCAGCCACGCTTCCCCCATCAACCTTGGGCTGATCACAACGGACCGTAAACAGGCCAGGCAAGGCCCCCTGGTTCGGGCAAACGTCTGCCACGCCATTGCCATGTTGTGCCCATGTCCTGTCCGCCTGCCAAATTGTTCCCTGGTAATTACCCAAGGTAAGCAGCGTTCCTTTCACCCCTGCCACCTGCAGCCCTACCGGGTCCTAGTAGTATTACTGGCTACCGCTGCAATGCGCTGTGCGGCGTGTCTTGCTGTCAGACACATAACCTCAAGATGGGCTGGAAGGCCCTCTTAGTGCAGCTATGGTCTGCCTCTTGTCCAGATGGGTGCTTAATGCGGCCTGTTCTTCGTTTCCCCTCCGGGGTCTGTCATAGTAACCGTACCACGGGCCTTTTGCTCGCCAACTTTTTTGGCTCCTTTCCAAACACCTCATGTTTTACCATGAATGCTCCGTCGGCAAACGTGCCAGACCCGACATAAGTCGCGCTGGCCCTCTCCCCACGCTGCCAACGGCGTAGCCTGTTTCAGTAGTTACCGTTTGGGTGAGCTGAAGGTCGGCTGAAAGTGAAAACTAGAAATAACGAAAATGAAAACAACAGAGGAAATCTCCAAAGGTCGGGAACGAAAGTACGTAATTTCCAGGAATCAATAATCATAACAATATGTGCAAAACTACTAGTATCAATATCAATTCTCGTCTACTAACTGCATGTTCAAAAGTAAAAAGTAAACAAATGCATCATAAAGGAAAGTCTGAAAGTGAGGACAACAGAGTAATAGAGCGTACACCCGATATTCTTCTCGTCACATAGACCACTCACTACCACTTTGTCTACCAACCTAGATTGTCTCAGTGGCCCACAATGCCAAATCAGATCCCGACAAATTCGTGTTTCTCTCGTGCTCTGACGACTTGACTTCTGTTTCGGTACGATGCAATCCGGCTGCCTCTTCCTCTCCCTGACGTTTCCTCCTTTACTCTTCCCTTTGTATATTCGTCTTTATCAGCTTTTACGACCGAGTGTACCGCACAGCTACCGGGCTAGGCCATGTACGAATGTGCAGAAGCTCTCGTCTAGCCGTTCAATATTTATGTTTTAGTTACAGATTAGGGCGCAATGTGGCGCATTGGCGCTGCGATGGGCGCTTTCCAGCGAAGCTTTAGGGGCTTCGGTAGCGCGGTCACGGCCACCAGGCTCCGGTCAGACCACGCCTTACAAACAGATGGCCAGCGGCTACGAGCGAATGCGGCATAGGACATGCATCTGCTTGCCTTGATAGGCCGCGTGTTTATATTCAAGAAGTATTCCAGAAGTATTCACGACAATAATTGCTCGTTGCTCCTCTCCTGTTTTATGTCTCGACGGCTCTTTCCCGTTTTTGACTTTCTTGAGCGCTTCTTTCTTTATTTTTTTTTGCTCCGCTCTTTCCCTTTGCTCGGTTTTATGTGCCCCCTATACTACGTTTGTTGCTTCCGCTCCTTCCACGCCAAGCAGCAGCTGTCGGTCGCTGCTTCTAGCCCATGGTATCGAGCGATATAGAAGTGCTTCCGTCGAATATTCGAAAAACGCTCAGCCCCCCTTTCTGCACATCTATTCACGAGCACGAATAGGTTTTCTTCCTTTTTTCTTTTTCTCTCCCTTCTAGCCAAATCAGAACAGAAACTTGTCCTGCCCCAGTTCATCGAACCGAGCTTGGTATACCTGCAGCCAGGGCCGCATTCGCTTCACCCCCTTCCCCTATGCAGGCAGCTTTTCGGCTGCCGATACCGATTTCCAAGCACAAAAATAAAAACAAATACAAAAAAAAGAGCAACATCAGAAGCTTGGCTGAAATGGGAAACGAACTGGTCAAATCCTAGCAATGCTGAAGCCCCCACTGCAAAGACAGTGTCTAACAACACTAGCCCACCCTCCTCGTCGCTTGGGATCCTCTCTCGGTCCGTGAGAGGAGGTATATTGGCGTCCTTCCTTTGCTCCTTGTCAGGTTCCATGTGGCTTTTCCTTTTCTCTGTGTGAGTGTGTCTGGCGGCACATCTGTCTTGGGCACACCCCTGCGGCTGACGATTGCCTGACCAGATTCGCAGGCAAGATCAAGAAGAGGCCCACACACTCGGTTCACGCACTCGGTTTATTTCCTCCTTAACCATCACCTCATCACAGACACAAACAGACAACCAGGTCCACCCACACACTGCTTTGCCTTCCCTAGCCCACCCCTCAGCCCTCCCTTCGGCGTCCCGATCCTGCCCTCAGTCGTATCCTCGTCTCCGTCTCCGCTTCTCCTTCTGGTACAGGTGTTGTATTGTCCTGGTGCATAATCTGGATTCCAGTCTATATTTTACTCGGATCGATTACCAGGCTCGTTCATCCTTGGTATATTTTTCTCCATTTATTATTCATACTCCTCACGGAGTAGTGCTCCGCTGCCTTGCTGCCATATTTACTTCACTGACTTGTTAGCGCCCTCTTTGTGATTATTTCCAAGGCACGGAGTGCATACTATGCATCATTTTGACTGTCACACTTTTTTTTTTTTTTTTTGCAAACTCATATATCTTGTCAACACCTTCCTCGTTTTGCTTTGTTGTCCATCCTCTCAGCGGTACGTCTCGAACGAAACCAATACATACTTTGCGTATATGCCTGACTTATTTGAATTTTGTCTCTTCAAGAAACATACTGCTTCATTCTTCTCTTACCCTCCCCTCCCCGTTTAATGGTCTCCCTTTACCGGGCCGGTTCTGATCTCGAGGATAAATACTTCGCCACCACCACGCCAACCCCTTTACGAAAACAGATACGCAGACACGGGGACAAAAAAAAAGCTCATAAGCGGAAAACGGGTTGGCTACCCACCGGAGCAACTGCCACTGATCCACCGCAGATGTGTCTGTTCTAAATCGTCGGCGCATGGGCAACACGTGGCAGTCGTTGGGAAAAAGCGTCGGCAAGGTTGACAGCGTGGACAGTGTCGATGAGCAGCTATTCACCCATTTTGTTCCTGCTCCTTTGAAGATTAGGCTTTCTAAAAACAGCCGGGCGACGAATTTCGAAATACTGTGACACTCCTGTCACACTAGCTCACCCAGATTTCTCGATATCGACGTCAGCATCCTTCAACTGACAAAACATCAGCAAATACCTTCTCTTGGCGTACACAGACACACACACACACACACACGTCTCAACATAATCAACATGGTCGGCGTTCCGGGAAAATTCAAAGGATGCGAGACCTGCAGATTACGCAGAGTCAAGGTATGACATGCGGAAGGGAGAGGTGGACTATTTTTTCCAGATCGTATACTTCAGTTTTGGCACTCCTATTGCTGCCCTCTTTGCTTGCCTGACTCCTAACATGAGCACCAGTGCGACAACACACGCCCCTACTGTAAGAAGTGCCATGATACCGGCCGCGAGTGTGCCGGCTATGACCGTGAGACAGTATTTATTATCGGCACACCTCAAGATGGCGGCCGGTGTTCGTCCCATCCTCCACGCGTGGTCAAGCCTAAAACGCCGGCCACAACAACAGTCAACACACCCGGCAACATTGGCAGAAGCAGTACCAGTGTCAGCAGCAGCAGCAGCAGCAGTGCAAAGAGCCGATCCAGCCCCAAATCACGTTCGAACTCACGGTCGGCTTCCGTGTCGAGGACGACCTCCAACTCACCTGCCGCCGCCCTATCACCATCGCCCTCTGTTCCTTTTTCTATCCATGAGCAGCAGCGGTACTTATCCGAGTCACTTGCACCCACGCTGTCAGGCATCATGTCACCAGCCAAATTCGACACAGCTGTTATACCCATTGAATCCGCCATGATTACCCAACGGCCCAACGTAGGCATGCTCAACGGCATCAGCGTGCCCGATTTAGTACTTATCCCACCGCTGCGGTCAGCATGGCATGACTCCCTCGTGGTTGCCAGTGGCGGTATCGTTCACCAGGTGCAGACAGCGGCCCTATATACGCAGTTGCAGTCCATCGTCCGACACAAGGGCGACAGCGGCACCGATGGCGGTTTTCACCTCTCGCCGTTCCCAGCGTACACGCCTACCAGTGTACGGCCGCCTAGTGGGGACAGCGAGTTTCATCTATCATCACACTGCATGGTACATTTAGCGACAGGAGACAATGGCCACAGCAATTTTGAGGCGAGACCCGCGGAGAATATTTGCCTTTTTCTCTACGAGGTACGCAGATGGGGCGAGACGGATCCTGACAAATGGAGGGGGCTTGTCGTATGGTCTGTGTGCCCTGGAGCTGGATGACAGTAAGCTGACTCTCTGACTCCAGCACAATGCGCCTTTATCATCAGGATTACCGGAACAATGGAAGGATCCGGCCATGCAATTCAGCAGCGTCCGCCGAACCGGACCTGCTCGATTCGCCACATTTCCAGCGCACCACTTCTTTGCACGGGTCTACCGGCCAAATGCGGTACGTCTGCTACGATGGTGAGAGCTTGGGGCAGAATGAGAAGAGGGACTGACTTGTTAGATTTGGTCCGCACTGATATTCCGACAAAGCACGTTCCTGTCCGATCCCGAGTGGACATCGACGCCATGGGAGGTCCATCCCAAGTCCGGACTCGACCGCCTCCTCGACATCGCAGCCCTCCTTCCCGCCGTGCTCAGCCGCGCTGACAATGTCACAGCCCACCAGCCTACCTTGGGACGCCGGATGATGGCCCAGGACGTGCTGGCCAACTGCCTCTATGTCGAACGAGTTCTTGAGCAGTGGCACGCCACTGTCCAGGATCTAGGTATGCGAGGCGGCTCCAGTGTCAACGGTGCTTCTACTATGAGCCGCGCGCCGGTCGCTTTGGATGGCAGCGTGGACGGTGGGTTTCAGAACGGTGGCACACGGACCCGGGCCAGCGGGCACGGCGCCATCGGCAACTGGTACTGGATTGCGGACCCAGAACACACGTCAGTGGACGCCCAGATCCCCTTTGCCGACACATTTGCATTCCGCGACACCGTCACGGCCCTCATGTTCATCTACTATTGGGCGACCCTCGTCCTACTGTATCCGTGCGTCGAGAACCTCTACGAGATCATCTTCCAGCCCGTGCTGGACACTTTTCCGTCGCCCTATCCCAACTTGCCAAGCAACTTACAAATCCCAAACGGCGACCCTTCCGTCTACTACGGCCCCAAGGAGGTACGCGAGCTAGCTGGCAACGTGTGCCGTGGTCTCGATTTTGTACTGTCCACCACTGTGCAGCCTGACCTGCTGTCGGCACCTCTGTTTGTGGTAGAGTCCTTTTACCATAAGATGAATGCAACGTCGGGTGATGGAGCACTTGAGCTGCTCTGGTGCGAGTCGTTCCGAAGTCGACTGGCGGGCAAGGGACAGTACATCGCTGATGTGATACAAAACCGGCGATGGGTAGACGTAGGGCAGTTCTAGACGCTAGGTGAGGCCACTGACTATTGGAGGGAAAAGGGGCCGCACATACAACCAAATAAATACGAAGCTACAATATAGAACGAGGCTATTCCAACAAGAACAAGACTAATAACAAGGGCTAACTCATCTGTGTACTTCGGTACGTACCGAAAGCGACCGGCACATTTGTGTTTGATGGTATCCGCGGGGCGGCAGCGCTCTGTCTGTTGGTTTGCGTGGACGCTACTAAGTCCCGCGCAGTTGGGACGAGTGTAAGCCATCAGAGGGTGTTGATGATTTGTCCACCTTCCCTCATGATTCTCTGGTTCGCGCCTTCCTTCCTTGTCATTTGCGATGATGTCACAAACACAACTCCTTCCTCCGTTATTAGCACCATTCGGCGTGTGGGGAAAGAGCAAGTGCTTGCCACTTATTCACTGCACCTTCTCGGCTGAGTACTCTTGCCATATGGGCAGCTTCCTTTGAGTTTTCCTGCGTCTACGCCGAAAACACTTCTTTTCTGCGTCTTCTTTTTGTCGCCCTTCTTTTTTCCAACCTCGTTTTTCTTCCGTGGTAGACGGGCAGAGCTCGCCCACCGGTCCATTCGATTTGGCTTGTGTTTCCAACCTACCTCTTCTCCCGAACTTTGTGCTTGACTGCTCCTTGGCGGTATTCTATTACCTCTCAGTTTTATTGCACTGATTTTTATACATCTGCTATCCCCATCTCGTCGATCCCGTTCTCCGTCGTCCCCATATCCGGCTTGCACCATGCGAGGAGACAAAGGACGGCGACTATCATTCCGACGGAAATCCAGTGTCGAGTCACGAGAGAGCTCGTCTCAGAAAAGCTCAGAGAGTCAACAAAAAGAATCCACTTTGTCCTTGTTCAAAAAGATCCTCCAACCATCCAAAGAATCAAAACGGAAGGTGGTGGAGGTAGAACGTCGGCAGCTGGAAACCAGCGACTGTATGGTGCGGTGGCATGACTTCTGGTCTCACTCTGGGAAAAATACGAGCGTTTGGCAGTCTCTTAGAAAGTCCATCGAGGACAGCTCCCACAACCTTGTCCATTCCATCGGCATCGACAAATTCCTCCACTACAAGCCCCCAATATCAACCAACGGCGACAAGGGAAGTCCACGGGAGAACAAGCAGGCTATTCTAAGGAACTGGTTCCGGACGGAGAGCGATAGGACTGCTATGATGCTCAGAGGACTGGCCAGATGGGGGGCCCAGGAGATATCGGGAAACCCTGCCCTGGACGAGCGGTACCCGATGATTCTAATTAACGGACTACCTTTTGTCGGCAAGTCGACCGTCGCCCGAGAGCTGGCATATCTTCTGGACGATGGTAACCGACCTGGTCTCGTCACGACACTGCGAGAAGCGGCGTTCAACTTTTTTGGGGACCCATCTCCCCGGCCCTCCAAAGACCGAGCCAGCGCGAGCGCCCACAAGCGTGACAAGCACCACCGACCCATCGAGGTCTTCGCGGACGGTCGTGCCATCGTCATCGATGTCGAGCACCTGAGCTTGCTTCTTCATGCTGAAAATGGGGAGCATGGGCAGCAACCTGGCGGTGGACATACCAGTCAATCAAGCAAGCCAGATGCGCAAACGGCGAGTTCCGTGGCCAGATATTGCTCGTCGCTCTCCACACTGACGCGCAAGAAGCCCAGCAGCGAAGCTGCAGACCGCCTTGACCGCGGCCGCCGTTCGGCTCTGGAAGAGGGCTTGCTCCACGAGAAGCGCAGCGCGAGCGCGGTCATTTTCACAGAGTACCTCCCAAAGTACAATGGCGAGAGCGGAGAATTTGCGGCAAAAAGCTACCGGACGGCAGCGGACGTGTTTGACCGGCGACTCATCCCCGTCTACCTAACATGCAGTGAAGCGGAGCACCAGCGACGGTTCGAGTGCCGGCAGCGGGAGGAGCACCAATACGTCCAAGCAGCTCGGGCCCGCGGTGTGGCGTTTTCCGAGAACCAGATCGCAGCCATGGCGCCCGCGGGACTTCAGCAGGCTGCCCATGCCCTGAAGAAGCTGCACTGCGGCGAGGAGGACGTGTACTATTTTTCGAAACCGGCCCACTTTGTGAACCAACAGTTCCAGCTCGGCCCGCCTCCGGTCTTTGGCGAGCCCACTGCGCCTGAGGCATACCAGGGCGTCCGCATCGACTCAACGGGGCTGACAGCCCTGGAGACGGCCATGGTGATCCGCGATTTCATCCACGATGTGCAGCGTGGCGAGCCGGTGACCACGAAGCTGCTATGGCCGCCCACGCAGAAGGAGCGTGAAAGGAAATACCTCGAGGAGCTCGAGTCGTGGGTGGTGGTGTCCAGAAACGAAGAGACAAACAGAGGAGTCGAGGCGTCCTAGTGATTTTGCATCAGCGTTTTGTTTTGGGATCAACACTGTAATTTGTTTTCGAAGCTGCCTATTTTGTATTTTCTTTGTGCTACATTCAGCTCATTTCATGTTTTATACCCCTCGTTTTTATTTCTTCTTTCGCTTCCATTTGTCTTCTATATCCCGAGTCAGCTATTTTCTTTCAGATTTTACGGCACTTGGTTTTGCACCTTTCCCTCATTTTGACTTTTTTCCTAAGACGTTCCCTTCATTTTTCTTGGTCCTTTTCTGGGCTCTTTGTTACTTTCGGAAATGTTGTCGCGCAGGAGCCAGCGACAATAATCGTACCCTACCGTTAATGTTTGCCCCCCCGAGCGTCCAATTAATGGACTTTGCTGAATCGATTAGTGCCATGAAGCTGCAGCTACGTAAAAAGGGGCCACAAGTAAACAAAGAAGCTACCTTGTTGTCCTCTAGGAATCGCCTCAACGTACGACTAGGCGATGAACGTACTGCTGCACAAATACCGTGTGCTTGGGGTCTCTCGTTCCGTCTACGTGTTTATCATTTTCCTAGCCACAGCTAAATGCAATATCGGCGAGGCTCCGAGCGGACGGCTGCATGGTAGCATCCAGGAACAGGCACTTTACAGCTCTCATTTTCCAGGCTCGCAACACTCACGACGGGCGGCAGGATATGAAGCTAGAGTGCTGTCCCGCGGCCCCGAGCGCGGAGTAGGCGAGTTTCCTGCTACTACCGCACAATTCGTTGCCGGCCCGTTTGCCATTTCAAAGTATTACGAGAAGCTGTTGAGCCTGCCGCTCTGTCTCCTGCCGTGCCGCGACAGCCAAGCTCCCCCAAAAAAGCGAGCCAACTAGGCGATCCGACTTACACAAGACGAAGAATCACAGATAGTAGCTCTATGCTTTGTACCTGTTCTGTACGATCTTGTGTTCTCGAACCAACACTAAACGAAACCAAGAAATTGGGCATCGATGTAAGAGAAATGGCCATATTCAGGAACCGATTCACGGCAAAGGGGGGAATGAGCTGAGACATCGAAGACAGCAACGCAGCTGTTGGGCAGATCCGGACGCTCAAGCGATCCGGGTCATTCTGATAGAAGCAAAGAGAATATGGGATGGTAGGACGATGCGCCATGATCCTCCTCTCATGGGACGAACGGAGGACAACAGACGACATATCCAGTAAAGGATAAAGTACAACGCGCTGCTGGATGCCTTTTGATGTTTGCAGACCACGGGAGATAAAACACCCTCAAAAGCCGAGACGCAGGCTAACAAAACCCCCATTGTATCATTTTCATCCTTCCTTGTACTCGCCACTGGCTCCATTTTGCCATTTCCCTTGCGATCTCAGCCTCGCCCAGAATTCATGCATCCCTTGCCTCCTGGGCTGGATAAACTGATGCAACACTGCCGGGCCGCCTACAGTGGAGAACGACGAGTCTCGAGGACGGTGGCATACGCAGGCAGAGAAAGTAAGGCGGCGTGCATCGCGCCATGAAATGAGTTGGTTCCAGTAGACGCCGTGATGCGAGAATCAGACGACCCAATTGGCCTGTCTGGCAAGACGTGCCTTTCCTTGATGCCCAAGAACGACCAGAAACGAGTCTCCAACCTATCCGGCACACCAAAGAGCCACGCTCTCTCCACTGTATTCAGTATGCTGGATCCTGTAGTACGAGACCTGCGTTTCCCGAAACGAAACGATAGCATCGCTGCTGGCCGTGACCCCGAGCCCTGTTCCCATGCCGAGTGCATGAACGAGGCAAAGCGCCAGCTGGTCGTCCTTGAGGTCTTTGTCGCCATTCGCGTCAGCCTTCCCTGCTTTTTTGATATTTTCCCTGTCTTCTCCATTCAGGCAGCGTCGAAACGATGGGAAAGGTAAGAGAGAGCAGGGGTTGTCCAGGGAGGAGTGTGCCAGAGTCGAAGGCGAGACACGCCAGGCCATTCGTCAAATCGAGGCGCGGCTCGCACACAAAGCGGCCGGCATGACCAAAGGACGACCAAAGGACAAAAGGACAAGGAACTCTGCGGTCTGCTCAGCCAGAACGATGAAGGGGACTGGGGAAGGCGCGGCACACCAGATCGAGGCACCGTGTTTCAGGGCTGGCCGCATTTGCGTGAGAGGCGCCCAAAACGGCAAGAGGCAACAATACGGCACAGACAAGGCAGGAAGGCGGACAGGAAGGCGGGCAGGAAGGCGCGAAGAACTGGATGACAGGACGCATGCAAGACAGACTGGCCCGACGGGAGACGAGAGAAGGACTGTTTCGGCTTTCGTGGGCTGCTGTTGTGTATTTATTTAATTATTTAATATATACAACATAAATAAGCACCTTTCTATTCCTCGATTCTGTGTCCTCGACGTCGATCCCATATAATCCCAGACAGAGCTCTCACACTTGAGCAAAAGCGCTGTTTTGCTCCTTTCTCCCTTTTTTCACTGCTGCCAATCTTGCTTCTTCTTCCTCTTTTATTTTTTCATCTGTCTCATTTTTGGTCGATTTCTCTTGTTTTTCTGTCTTCGTCCATCGTCCTTTCGTTCGTTTTCGAATTCTTCAACACATTTCTCTCTCCGCATCCGCTATTAATAGCGAAGCTTACCAATTTCCAGCGGACTAGCGCCCCCAGTGCAACTGTGGCACCCGTCAGGGCATTCATTCCAGACCCTTCCAGCGGCACAAGTACCGACTGTACCGTTTTTGCGGGGCCCGATACAACTCGAGCCCCTCCATTCCGGCGCGCCACAGGGCCAAACAGGGTGTCGATAACCCACTGTGTGCAGCCCCGTTTACCGCTAATCAGCCCCTATTGCCCCTGTCCACACAGCGCACCTTCCCACACAATGGCCTCCATCGCCGCGCCAAGCCTGCCCGGCAACGCTGCTATCGCCGAAGCCAATGAGGCGTTCCCCAGCCTTTGTTTACATGACGAGCAGGAGCACAAGCGCCAGGGGGAGCAAGAGCGACCCATGCAGCACACAGCGCCGCATCACCAACCCTACGAAACCGGCGAAATCGAAGCTGCCCAGCCAGACCAATTCAACTCAGTCGACACAACGCACACGTACCCCGACCACCAGGATCAGCATTACCAGCATTACCAGCATTATCAGGTGCCGCTTGCCCAGCACCTCTCCATCCCGTCCAAGCCCAACGACCTCGTCAACCGTCCGTCGTCCGTGTCGCTCGTCTCGGCGGTCTCGACCCTTTCCGCCGCCTCCTTCTCGACCGACGCGGCCGTTCTTGTCCACGTCGACGCCGACTTTGATCCCCGACGTGCCTCGATCGTCAGTGCCGCCTCGTCGCTCTCGTCGCTCTCGTCGCTCGCCCCGTCCGCGTCTCCGCCGCTCCCTTCGGCTGCCGCCTTACCGAGCATCCAGACCGCACCCCAGCACCAGCGTCCTCTGACGCGAAGCCGCCGCAACGCCAAGCAGCTGCATGCCGCCAGGGTCCAACGATCCGCGAGCGTGGCCCTGAACGACCCCAGCAGCGACAGCAGTCCCTCCAAAGAGCAGGACAGCGACAGCCTCGCCCGCAGAGACACCAACGGCGGCCGCGAAGCCAAAGACTGGGACTGGACCAGCCGTCGAGCCAGCAACACAAGCCCGTCGCCCGCCGACGACGACAAGGAGCAGCAGCAGCAGCAGCAGCAGCAAGGAGGAGGCCTCGCCAGAATGGCCTACGCAGAGCAGCAGCGGTGGATCAAGGTCCAGGAGAAGACGTTTACAAAATGGCTCAACACGAAGCTGCAGGAGCGCGACCTCGAGGTCAAGGACCTTGTCGCTGATCTGAGCGACGGCGTCTTGCTCATCCACCTGCTCGAGTGCCTGTCGAACGAGTCGCTCGGCCGCTACGCCGCCAAGCCCAAGCTGCGCGTCCAGCGCTTCGAGAACGCCAACCTGTCGCTCAACTTTATCAAATCGCGCGGCATCCAGATGACCAACATTGGCGCCGAAGACGTCGTCGACGGCAACCGCAAGATCATCCTGGGCCTCATCTGGACGCTGATTCTGCGCTTCACCATCAGCGACATCCACGAGGAGGGCATGACGGCCAAGGAGGGCCTGCTGCTGTGGTGCCAGCGCAAGACGGCGTGCTACGACGAGGTCGACGTGCGCGACTTCAGCGCCAGCTGGAACGACGGCCTTGCCTTTTGCGCCCTCCTCGACATCCACCGCCCGGACCTCATCGACTACGACGCCCTCGACAAGAACGACCGCCGCGGCAACATGCAGCTGGCCTTTGACCTGGCGCACCGCGAGATCGGCATCCCCAAGCTGCTCGACGTCGAGGACGTCTGCGACGTGGCCAAGCCCGACGACCGCAGTCTGATGACCTACATTGCCTACTGGTTCCACGCCTTTTCGCAGATGGAAAAGGTCGAGAACGCCGGCCGCCGCGTCGAAAAGTTTGTCAACAACATGCAGGGCGCCTGGGAGATGCAGAGCGCCTACGAGCGCCGCGTGGCCGAGCTGCTGCGCCAGATCCGCGCCCAGGTCGGCGCGTGGCGCGACGCCACCTTTGCCGGCACCTATGCCGACGCCAAGGCCCAGGCCGCCGCCTTTGCCTCGTACAAGCGCGGCCGGAAGCGCGAGTGGGTCGCCGAGAAGAGCGAGCTGGCCACGCTGCTGGGCAACATCAAGACCAAGCTCGGCACCTACCGCCTGCGGCCCTACGAGCCGCCCGCCGACCTGCGCCTCGAGGTCATGGACCGCGAGTGGGCGGCGCTGGCCACGTCCGAGATGAGCCGCGGCCAGCTGATCAACGAGACCATCCGCGACATCAAAAACAACCTGCGCAAGTCCTTTGCCGACAAGGCCAACGACTTCGCCCTGGCCCTCAACACGGTCCAGCTGGCCATTTCCGGCCTCGAGGGCGACGTGGAGGACCAGCTGCACCACGTGCGCAAGCTGTCCCAGAACCTGCCGCCCCTCGAAAAGTACCTGGCCACCATTGCCGCCGTCGACGCCCAGTGCCAGGAGGCCAACATTGAAGAGAACGACTTCACCACGTACACGTACGACGAGCTGACCTACGAGCTGGGGCTGGTCAAGGCCAGCGTGTCCAAGAAGCTGGCCTTCCTCGAGAACCAGATGGTCGCCCGCAGCATGACCAACCTCACGCCCATCCAGCTCGAGGAGTTTGAGTCGGTGTTCCGCCACTTTGACCGCGACGACAGCAACGCCCTGCAGGAACTCGAGTTCTCCGCCGCCCTGGCCTCGCTCGGCCTGGTCTTTTCCGAGGACGAGATGCACGAGTACTTTGTCGACGCCGCCAGCACCACCACCGGCAACGGCTCCATCACCATCCACAAGGACCGCGTGTCGTTTGAGCAGTTTATCCGCTTCATGGTCGACGTCACCGAAGACCAAAACACCGCCGAGCAGGTGTTCCAGTCCTTCCGCGAGGTCGCCGACGGCAAGCCCTACGTCACCGAAATGGACCTGCGCCACTCGCTGGTGCCGGACGAGGTCATTGACAAGCTCGTGACCATGATGCCGAGGCACGCCGGGCCCGACCTGGCCGAGGACCGGGGAACGCCGCAGTACGACTACATTACCTTTATGGACAAAATGATGGGCGACCTGGAGCCGTCCGCCTCCTCCGCCTCACCACAAATACCACAAATCCAGCCGCAGCCCGCCTCGGCAACACCCTCACAAGCATCTACGTTTTCGTCGGCGTCATCGTCGTCACAGCAACAGCACAAGCACAATTCGACCTCGTCGTCCGTCTCGTCGTCCTCATCCTACTCACTGCCCCCAGCCGGCAGCCAAAGCCCAAAGAAACCGGTGCACTAGGACGGAAATTTTCTGAAGTTCTCGCTCATTATTGTTGATCATTGACTAGATTGTCTTAACTTTGTGTTGCATGTGCGGTTCTGCTCCGGCGTTTTTTTGTTCTTTTTTTAAACATCGATTTTGTAAGGCCTGACTTTTGACAACCGTTTTGCTTACAAACTTTTCTTGCCTTTTGCTGTTTTTGGTCACGGTACATACTCTCTTGTTTATTGCATTCTCTCTCTTCTTTATTCCATATAATTTGCATTGTTTTCGATATACCTTTGGTGCCTCCGTGAGTTGACGAGACTCCTCGTTTCGAATTGTTCCCAACGTAGTACGGCTGCATTGTACCTGCAATTTGAGGAGTGGCGTTCTAAAGTGGCAGATGTTTACATTATACCTAAAATAGACTAGAGCTACGTATTGGCCAATAGAGTAGGATTATGGCCTATTAGACAGAACCGCCCACAAGAGCAGGCACTGGAAGAAAAGCGTATGAATTGGGTTGTTACCAAAACCCTCCGTATGTCTAAACTAGGTGCAGTGTACAATGACGAAAACACCAACAAGGCTGCCGACGATCAAATGAGTGCCCAATGTAAACGCATGCGAATGACACTGATCTCTTCCGCTCACGTCTCCTCTCCCCGTCACTTCTCAAAGGCCCCCAGGTCTTTGAGTGCCGTTGCCAGTCGCCGGTAGTCGCGCAGCAGCTCCATTACTTCGCTGATCCGCAGGTCGGCCGGGTTGTGCAGCTCCATGAACCGCTTGACCGGGGGTGCGATCTGTGGTTTCGGCGGCAGCGCAGCAGCAATGTCAGGGAAGGCCTGGAAGGGTTAGCGGTCGTTCTTCTTTTCCTTCATAAAAGGAATGGTCCTTACTGTAGCCAGATCGCCGCCGTCGGACTTTTCACCCGCTGCGACCGCCAACGGCGTAGACGACGTCGACGCTGTGCGCCCAAATCCGCGGAAGTTGCCGATGCTCGACAGCCGTGACATGGGATTGAACGAATTGCCCAGGCTGCGGACCGAGTCGAGCAAGGCTGGATTCGTGGCAGCCACCGTGGAAGGCGCATCGTCATCCGCCAGGGCCTTGCGTGAGCTGCGCGAGCTGTCGGCACTCGGGTCACGCGACGTCGCCTTCCGACCGGCCAGAACGGTCAACATCTTGTCGTCTTTGCCGTCTTTGCCGTCCTTGTCTGTGTTGGCTATAGTGGACATGTTGAGGCTTGAGATTCGTCGATAGACCTTTCGCGGGGGCGGCGGCGTCGTCTGTGGCGTCTTGCCCTGCTGTTGTTGCTGCTTATCATCGCCGTCGATAGAGGCCTCGTCCTCGCTTACAGGAGGGGGTGTCGTCACCAGCTTGCGTGCGTCGTCGAGCGTCTTGGGCAGCACAACGTCGGCCGTGGCAGCACCGTCGGCGGTTGGCCCGGACACCTGCTGCTGTTGTGGCTGGCCAAGCCGACCAAACAGAAGGCGGTAGCTACCCTCAAGGCTGTTGCCGATTGTCTTGAGACCCTGGTCGGCCGCGTTGAAGGTGTTCATGACCGCGTCGCTCGCCGTGCTCAGAGCATGGGCGGGCGTGTTTACTAAGTCACTCAGCCGCCGGTTCCGCAGTTGCACGGCCGCAATAAGGCCTGCCGAGGGCGACGGTGTCGACTTCATGTTCATGCCCGTCGCCGTCGCTTCGGGGGTGCTGATTTCGGGCGCGCTTGGCGTCGCTGCCGTCGGCACCGGTACCGTCAGGCCTTGCTGAGCAAAGTACGCGGGCGGGAATGTCTCGGTTTTGGGCGTCTCCGCACCCGGGGCCTTGACGGGCCCAGACTGCGCCTCGTCCGCGCGAAGTGTGGATAGGTCCACCGTTTCGAGGAAGCTGATGGACGCCTCGAGGTTGGTCAGGCAGTACGCGGCCTCACCCTCCATCTTCTGCTCCCACCGGAACCGCTGAATAAAGTTGAGGTCGCTGACGACGTTGAGCTGCTCCGGCGGCAGCGTAATCAGCGTATAGATCAGCATGGGCATGATCTCGTCGGCCGACGAAGACGGGTGGAAGTGCGCCAGCGTGTCCACGATGCTCTTGTGCGCCGCCTTGAGGCGGTTCAGCTTGCCGAGCGGGTAGAGCGTCTGGCCCATCTGGACGAGCTGTTGCCGCGCAGGCTCCAGCCACTCCCGGACCTCCTTGAGTCTTGTGGCCACTGCCTCGGGCGAGGCAGGGGTCGCAACGCCCAGGTCGACGCCGAGGTCAGCCGGGCTGATCCCGACAAGGTCGAGCGCGGCCGTTTTGGAGCGCAGCTTCTCGTCCTGGGCCTCGTCCTGGGTGGTTCTGTGCCGGTAGATGCGGTCGTAGATACCCTCGCAGAGCCTCCGCTCCGCAGCCTCTTCCATCAGTCCCCGCTTCTGCTCCAGCACACGTCGCGCACGCTTGCGTTCGGCAATTTCTTCAGACGACAGCATCCGCTGCTCGGACTCGTTTTTGGGTGGCGGCGGCGGTGGTGTACTGGACTTGTCCTTGCTGCCAATGGACGCCGCCTTGGCCCGCAGGATGCTGGCAGCGGAGGAGCGGGCGGAGATGGGTGGTGGTGGTGGTGAGCGCTCGCGGTTCTGACGCATAGCCAGGGCGGCAATGTGTGTTGCGATGTGGGTAGAGGCGGTGGCGTAAAAGTCCTGGAACTTCTGGGAGAGACTGTCGATGTTCGGCGGCGTCGGGTGCACTTTGGCCTGCAGGGACTCGATGAAGCTGGAGGAGCGTCAGTAGCTTGTCACGAAATATTTTTGGTAAACGGAGAGCGTAGACACATACCTGTCGGCTAGACCGATCAGCTCAATGGGCAACTCATCCATGTCGACGGAAGCCCGTGGTGGTTCTGGTGAATTGTCATCGGACCCTGCTGCGTCGCCAAACGTGTCGAACTTGTCCTTGCCATTGCCCGATTGTGTTTCTTTGTCTGTCGTTGGTTCGCTCGGCGAGGGGCCGTCGAGGGCACTCGACGGTTGTCTGGAGCTCGATGCGGACGCGGACTTCTTTGCATCTGTCTTGGAAGCCGCCCGGTTGGACCGAAGGGGACTCGGACGATTGCTTGCTGTCCTGCCGGCAGCTTTGCCGGCCGTGGCGGCATCTTTTGAGCTAGCCGGCGCCATGAACGTCTCGGTCAAGCTTGAAAACATGGTTAATGGAGTCATTCTCATTGCGGAGGGCCTTTTCGTCAGGTGGATAGGAAATAAGAAAAAACGATCAAAAGCCCAGATGAACTAGACTCATGTAAAACAACGATGGAACCGCCGTGGGATGGCACAGCAAATAAGGCAACAGGAAACATTGTTACGAGTGACAGGCCTTGGAAACAAAAAGGCGGAGGCGGAAGCCTTCAGACAATGCTGCCAATACGCACCAGATGGCGGACGCATGAAGTCCGTAAGTGATCTTGAAACCCGCAGTAGTCAAGGGGGTTGGAAGTGGAGCTGAAAACAGACTGCACGCAGCGATGGCAGCTGTTGGCGCTGAGCCGCTGTGGCGGGTAATATGGCGGGGAAAGGCGTGGTAGAGGAGCGCACAAAACAACCGCGGGCCAGGTCAACAGACACGGGCTGCGTAGAGGTGTAGAAGTGTATGTTGTTTGCGAGGTAATATAAACGGAGGGGTGAAGGTGGTGTGCGTGTGTGCGAGGAGAGCAAAGCTGGCGTGGACAGAGGCTGGTGCGGAGGAGGCGAAGGAGACGTAAAACACGCGTTGAGCAGGATATCAGAGCGGGTGAGGGATATAGGAAAGGCTTCGTGACGCTGGAGGAAGCAGAAGCACTGATGTAGTTTGAGGCACCGAAGATGCCGATGTGGCCGTCGAGGAGGATGGGCAGGATGTAGAGGCAGCGAGCAACCAGTCGTCCGACGGCGTCGAGAGGAGAGACACCGCAAGGATGCCGGACGGCTGGGTTACGCCGAATGTTGGCGGCGGCAGAGGAGGCGTGGTCGTCCGAAAGTAAGATATTACGAGGTGAGCGTCATCGTTGGAGACGAAAGGTCGTTTGCTCTGCATGTTGTGGAGACTCAAACGAAAGGCACGCTGAGAATAATAGGCAGGCGCAATTGAGCTTAGCTTGGTCGTGCTTGCCCGCTGTGACACTGGAGTACGCTGAGCTGCCAGGCGCGATTGGGCTCTGCCTGGGCTAGACAGGCAGCTGCGAATGATTAGAGTGCTGATTGCACCTGCCCTGTAAATGGTCTTTGTCGTTTGCGAATCGCCCGACTCGCAGCTACTAAATTGGGCAACACCCCCCGGCCATTGTGTCGGTGATCTGTGTAGTCAGCGCACTAGAGCTCAACTGCACCAACAGCGCCCCGGAAGAGAATGTTGAACGTATCGACCCTGGGGTTGAAGTTCAATACGAACAAACAGTACGAAAGAGACGTTTCATAGTTTTGAACATTATAAATTTTGACTTGGGCTTGTAAATACAAGGGTTGAATGAGAAACTGATGATGCTCACGTGCATGGGCCGGTTTGAAGTACCAATGCGGCAATTTAGTATGCAGTGATACCTTCTTCACTCTGCCACCCGTTTAGGTTCCTGCCTGGGAAACGAGGCAACGGAGCATTCTCCACCAAAACAGACCCACCACCAATCGCGCCTTCCGGCCCAGCCCAGATGCCGATGCAGCCTGCCTAATCCGCCCTGTGCCTTGCTCCTTATCAGTCAATTCGTCATAGCCCAACAAACGACGCTCACATGACACTCACTGAGGCGACCAGCAGTACGTCGCAGTCAACAGATCTTCCGCGGTCCGTCACATCTCGCCGTTCTCCCAACACGCCACGACCCCGACTGCGGCCTCGTGTTTCTGGCCTGTGTTTGCATTCTATTCCTGGCCTTTCGTCCTTTCCTTTGTTTACCTCGACGGCGCGGCGATCACGACCGTCCGACTGCATCTCTCATCACGACATCGCCCTCGCCATCTTTATCTTTATCTTCATCTCTTTGTCTTTATTATCATCACCATTTCCCCTTCTCCTGCTATTCCTCTCGTCTCCCACATCTCGCGCTCTCGCTCTCACAATGTCCCAGCAATACCCATCCCGCGGCAAGTCAAAACCGCGGTGTACCTCGGCCGGCCGCGTCACGGCCCAGATGTTGCTGTCCTTTCTCGCCTTCTCCACGACCTCATTATCTGCCTCTGCCGGCGGCAGCGCCTCCGAGCAGCTCGTTCTGCCTTTACCGCCGGCCGGCCATACACCTGTGCTCGCTCCTGAGCCTCCAGCGCCGGCTGATCACGTATTTGTATGTTGCCGACCCGTCGCTCTCCATCCCCCCCCCATGCTCTGCGTATCGCTGACCAGCCGTCTTTCGTTCAGACCCTCAGACACATTTATCACCACGGCACACATCGATATCCACGCCTCCACCGAAAGCTCGACATTCTCCAGCGTGATGCCGACGTCTGGCTGGCCGCCGAGGACGGCTATGCACGCCATCGGCTGCCGACTCTGCATGCAAAAAGTCAGGCCGCGCCGCTGCAGCGGCTCGTCGACCGGCACCCGAGCGTCGTCGATCCCATGGTGGCACTCGCCCGCGAGCAGGGCTACGTGACGGTGCTTTCCCCGGACGCGTGGACGGTGGACAGCGTGCCGATGCCCAACGTCACAGACAAGACGACGGTGCTCAACATGGCGTACATGGCCTCGAACGCATACGTCGAGACGCCCGGGCAGCCGGACTGGGACGACGTCGGGCAGCACTTCAACCGGTCGTCTGACTTTGGGTGGGAGGGCGATGGGCTGCGCGGCCACGTGTTTGCGGACGCGACCAACTCGACGATTGTGATTGGCCTCAAGGGCACGTCGCTGGCCGTGTTCGACGGCGAGGGGACGACGACCAACGACAAGGAGAACGACAATCTGTTCTTCAGCTGCTGCTGCGCGCAGCAGGGCCAGTGGACGTACCGGCAGGTCTGCAACTGTGCGACAGGCACCTACGCCTGCAACAACACGTGTGTCCGCAAGGCACTGCAGGAAGAGAACCGCTACTACATGGCGGCGCGCGAGCTCTACGCCAACGTCTCGGCCGAGTACCCGGACGCCAACATTTGGCTGACGGGGCACTCGCTCGGCGGCGCTGTGACGTCGTTTCTCGGCTTGACATACGGCCTGCCCGTCGTCACGTTCCAGGCAGTGCCCGAGGCGCTGGCGGCCGGCCGCTTGGGCCTGCCGGTGCCTCCGGGCGCCGACCCCGACTTCCCGCAGACGCGCGAGCATATAGGGGCGTTCCACTTTGGGCACACGGCGGACCCGATCTACATTGGCACATGCAACGGCGCGACCGCCTCGTGCTCGTACGCCGGGTACGCGCTGGAGTCGGCGTGCCACGCGGGCTATGAGTGCGTGTACGACGTGGTGGCCGACAAGGGGTGGCGCGTGGGCGTTGGCACGCACAAGATCCGCACTGTCATCCACGATATCCTCCTGCCGTATGACACGGTGCCTGAGTGCAAGTCGACGCCTGAGTGCCGCGACTGTGCCAACTGGAAGATGTACGAGAGCAACGGCACGGAGAGCACGACGACGTCGACGAGCGCCACGTCGACCAAGACCAAGACCCGCACGCAGACGTGCAAGACGCCGGGCTGGTGGGGCTGTCTGGACGAGACGACGACGACGACGACGACGACGACGACGACAGGGATCACCACGACGCGGGACGTGCCGACGACATCAACGACCACGACGTCGGAGACACAGACCACAACCACGTGCGCAACGCCGGGGCGGTTCTGGGGTTGTCTCGACGAGACCGAGTCGGGATCGACGTCGACGTCGACGTCGACGTCGATGTCTACGTCCATTTCGAGCAAGACGTCGCCCGTCTCCGCTGATCCATCCACGACAAAAACATCGCCACGGAAGAGGCCGTCACCGACCGAGACATCCAGTACCTGCTCGACCCCTGGTCGTTTCTGGGGGTGCTGGGACGAAGCGCCCGCCACGACGTCGGCCAGCACGCAGACGAGCACCATCACGCCACCGCCGACGGGACCGACAGCGCCAGTGGCCCCAGTCGTGCCGCCCGTCACCACCACGCCGCCCACCTCTAAACAGCGCTGCCTGCAAAGGAGCTGGCTCGGCTTCTGCAGAGCGTGGGACGTAACGGACGAGCTGTGAGGTTGTCTTTGGTGTTTTTGTTTTGCTGTTGTTTACATCTCATTTTACTAGATCATTATTGTTCCCTTTGTCGGCGTTCCTTTCTCTGTTTCTGCCAGTCTTTGCGTCTCAGCTTTTCTTTATTCATATCAAACAGCATTCGGGACAATGCCGGCGCAGCAGAAGCAAGCAATGCACCATGACCAAACACTCTGCAAATATATCACTCCATACATAAGAATAGATTTTCTTCCAAGGCATCTGGCGGATGGTTTTCGTTCTATTGCTTGGTGTATTTTTTTTTTGTCTCCTCAGGCACGTTTGTCTACTGTGTTTCTTGTACATTGCGTTTGACCACATTAGTAGGTTGTATATAGTCACGCCATACGGTAGACGACCAGGATCCTTGAATGTATATTCATAGAAAGACTCGCCTGTAATTTCTGTAATGCGTGATTAGTTCAAAGAACGGCAGCACGATGAGACCGCAAAGTGTAGTGCGCTAGCGACGTATTGGCGGCGAGTTTGTGAGTTTTATGGCGACGCGTTACCCGGCTGCCGCTAAAAGTCTCCCTGAACGCCGATAAGATAAGACACGGTCTAGGCTCGTGCCCCAAAATTTCAGTGGGCAAAGACGCGACACAGCGCTGTAGGATGGCTTATCTGACTACCGTAAGGCCTTAAGCCCCAACTTTGTCGGCATTCAACACCAAGAAAAGAAAGCTTCTCTTTTACACCACCCACAATTGGTCCCCATCACAACCAACATCACGACGATGGCGACCGAAGACGACGGCGTGGCTGCGACCGCCACAGCGGCTACGACAACGGACAAGGTTGTTGATACAGACACCACAAACCACCCACCAGCCTCGCCGTCCGAACTCTCCAGCGCTTCCGACTCGGACGACGACCATTCCAACAACGCCTCCTCCTCGCCGCCCAAGAAGATTGAATGGCTGGCCACGGGACGCGCCAAGCGCGCGACGGCGGGCAACCGCATGAAGAGCCTGATTGCGAGTGTAGCCGCGGCGGCCGGCGGTGATCTGTCGGGGTCGGGGACCGGCGCCGGCCGGGGCACCACAGAGGACGCCGACGATTTGGAGCTGCTGTTTGCCGACGACGGCGAGGACGCCGGGTGGTCACTGGATGAGGACGGAGAAGATGGCAGCGACGACGGTGACGACGACGACGACGACGATGACGCTGGGGACGGTGACAAGATCGCGGCAAAGACAAAAGGCCGCAGACGACGGCGCGACAACGACGATGCCGAGAACGACGACGAAAACATGGACACGAGCGACGACGAGGACGACGACGAGGACGGCCAAGGGGGCGGGAGGGTGCCGATGACCTGGCGGGGGAGCGCGAGCTGGAACGCAAAGAGCGCGAGAAGCGCAATGCGGCGCGCAAACGCAAAGCCCAGGCGGCCATCCCGGCCCGCTTCCGCAAAAAAGTGCGCATCGACCAGCCGGAGAAGGCTGCGGCCGGCGCGGCCGGTGCAGCCGCGGGCCGTGGTGGCCGCGGTGGCCGCAGAAGGGCACCCGGCTCCGTGTCGGCGTCGGGCGGCTCAACACCCACGCCGTCCGCTACACCGACCCCCGGATTCCCGTCATCCCAGCCGCCGCCGCCACGCAAAAAGAAGAAGAGCGAGCGCGCCAGTTGGCTGCCCACGGCTGCCGACATGCCCGTGCGCGCGTCGTCCCGCACCACCACCCGCACCAGCAAAGAACAGCTCTACCAGCAAATGGCGGAGCGCGAGCGCCGCCGCGAGCGGCAGCTGGCCATTATGGCGAAAAAAGCCGCCCGCGACGAGGCCAGCAAGAAACCGCCCCTCACACAGGCCGAGCGCCTGGCGGAGGCCGCCATTGTCGAAGAGGCCAACGCCCGCAGCCTCAACACGTGGGAGGAGGCCGAGAAGCAGCGCGAGGCCGAGCGCGCCGCCAAGCTGGCGGCCATGTACAACCGGACGCTCGAGGGGCCCGTCGTGACGTTTTGGAGCGGCATCGTCGAGCTGACGGGCGAGGGCCTGCTGCAGTCGCACGTCGGGCGCATGGTGGCCATGGAGGAGAAGGCGCCGCGCAAGAAGCGGCTGACGGCGGCCGAAAAGGCGGCCGCCGCGGCAGAGAAAGCGGCCGCCGAAAAGAAGGAGAAGGAGGCCAAGGCGGGTGGGCCACCAAACGAGCCAAAAGAGGGTGAACCCCCAAACACAGGTGAGGTGAAAATGGAAGACGGTGGGCCAGCAAAGGAGATCACAGCAGACACCAAGGCGCCAGAGAAACAGCCGCCAGAGGGAACAGACGGTGCACCACCAACACCGGCGTCAGCCCCAGCGGGAGATGCACAAGCTGCTCAAACACAGTCCAATGCTGTCGCCATACCCAGTGCAGCCCCGGCTGACGGCACTGCGGCATCCAGCACCGAAGCAACGACAGCACCACCACCAACCTACTCCGAGGCTGTTTTCCAGCCCATTGGTCTTCCTCCAGCGCCGAGCTCATCCGCCACTGGCGCTACGGCGCAACCCGGTACTGCAGACAAGAGTGACCCGGATGTGGCGATGACGGATGCTCCAGTCACAGATGTGCCGACGGCGGACACACCAGCTGCGACCGAAAACACCAACGTCAGCATGAACGATGCACCGCCAGCATCCGCGGAGGTGACATCCACAGAGGCAGCACCCACGCCGCCGGCTCCTGTCCCACCTCCGACTGTCCCTACATTAACCGGGGGACAGCAAGAAGCACCTACGCCAACAGTCGTGCCGTGCAATTTGCCTGCTGCCCAACCCCCACGCCCTTCCGATCCCAGTGCAGACGACAAGTCTGTGCTCACGACCGCTCCTGACGAAATTCCTGCTACTGGAGACACGATAGCAGCTCCGGCTGGAACGAGCGCACCAACAGCTGAGCCAAAGGCCACGTCACAAGAGACACAAATGACCCCAACAACCATAGAAACTCCGGTGGCCAAGATGTTGTCAGCACCAGCACCAGCACCCGCTGCCGTGGCCTCCGAGTTGGCGCCAAAAGCACCCGAGACTACCAAACAAGCCGTGGTTCAGGATTCGCTGACGGAGGCACCAAAGACGGCACCAGCACAGCCTGTTGTTGAGACTGTGCCATCGGACAGCAATGTGCCGCCCACTGCCTTACGAGCGCCAACGCCTGTCGAAAACGCGATGCCGCCGCCGCCGCTGCCCAAGTCTGTCACAGGTGCAGTCCCTGCCCAAGACGATGCGCCAGCAACAGCGACAATTGCGCCGGCCGAACCGTCAAAACCAGGCGAGGCAGTTCCGCCACCGGTCGGCGGTGCGTCTGGGCCCGCTGATGCTGCTCCAGCCGCTGCTGCTCCAGCCGATGCCGCCCCCGCCGATGCCCGTATTACGCGCAGCTGCATCGTCCTCCAAAACTTTGACGAGGACGCCATCGAGGACAAACAGGTCCAGATGCAGATTCTGTTTGGCCGCCGCATGGCCAAGATTGCCAAGCCTGCGCACGCGCCCATCTGCAGCATCACCGGCCACCGGGCGCGCTACCGCGACGTCGAAACCGGCCTGCCGTTCTACAACGCCTTCGCCTACAAGCAGATCCGCAAGCTTGTCAAGGGCGAGCTGCGGTGGAGCCAGCTTGTGGGCGCCTGGGTCGGACCGGGCGGTACCACGGCGACTGCTGCGCCGATTCCGGCCGCTGCGGGCGTGCCAGACGGCTTTGTGGACCCGACACAGCTGAAGAAGAGGGAGCCCAAGCCGGCGGAGAGGGCCGATGGCGAGAAGAAAGATGAGAAGGACGGCGAACGAAAAGACGGACAAAAGACAGAGAGCGGCCAGACAAATGGAGACGGCACCCAGCAGATCCAGGCCAATGGCAAGACAGAGGACAGCAAGCCGGCCGAGACACCTGCTGCCTCTACTGCCTCTACTGCTCCTGAAAGCCTCAAAGCCGATCAGGCGGGCACAGCCACTGTCCCTGCACCAGCCACATTTGCGCCGATGGCTCCTGCCGTCCAAGTTGCTCCCGCTGCTCAGCCGGTACAGATCCCACCTGCCGCGGCAGCTCATGTGACTCCTACGGCACCTGCCGCTCCTACGGCTCCTGCCGCTCCTACGGCTCCTGCCGCTCCTACGGCTCCTGCCGCTCCTGCGACTACGTCGTCCTCCACAGAAGCCTCCATGCAGAAAGATGTCGCTGCTCCCGCCCGAGAGACTGCACCTGATCCACCGCCCACTGGTGCCGCGACAGCAGCCCCAGTTGCCCCCATTCCTCCACCTACGGACAGCGAAACCACAGCGGCTGCGAATAGTTGATTAATGGGACTCGTCATCTGGTCACGGTGGTTTTGTACGATGATGATGTATTTGTATGATATGGAAAAGGTCAAATAAAATACCAAAACAACCAAAAGAGCCATACATAGCCATTGCGAAATGAATCGACTCTCTTTGGCTATGTCCATTATGTCCATATTTGTTTACTGGTGGAATCATCCAGTAATGCCTATAATGTGTTGAATTCAATGAGCCAATGTGCTCGAATCTATCTAATAGCGAAAGCTAAACAAGTATCTAAGGAAATAGGGGGCTATGCCCGTTATGGTCCTCCACGACTTCTAAACTCCAATGTAAACAAAAGAAAAAGAAATGAAAAAGGTATAAAAATGTAATCGTAAAACTAACTACAGCAAAGACAAAAACGCTTGCGTAAAAAGGGGGCAGATCCACAAGGGCCAGCGCGGTGCTGAAATGCCAAAGAAGGGAAAGAAACAGTGGTAAGTAGTATAAATATGTGCAGAATAAGTGAAAAGGTTCTAGGTGTTGGGAGAGGACTGCGGGATGAGGCTAGTAGTGAAGTGACGAGGGGAGATCAGGGTGTGTTATGTGTCGTGGGGCATTGTGAAGTGTGTTTCGGGGGAGATTGAGTGTGCGTATTGTCACGGACATGTATACTCTAGGAGAGGGGAGCAGCACGGCTGCCGGTCAGCTCCTCCGCCCAGCCGGTCATCGTGGCCACAGCCGAGGCCACCATGGGCGAGGCACCGGCACTGCCGCCCGCGGTGGCAGCGTAGGTAATGAGCACCACGGCAGCCGTCAGCACGGCACGAACCACCAGCGGACGGATCAGCATGGCTGCCACGGCCGAAGCGGCAGCGGACTTGACGACCGACGAGACGAACGAGGACATGCTGGCCGAGACTGCCGTCACCGCCGGCGATGATGCGACACGGCTGCAGAACGCGCCGACAGGCTGGGCGATGCGGCGAGGCACGAGCGCCCAGACGGAACGGCCCATGCCACAGATGGCTGCCCACAGGTAGACGAGCGCCTGGTGCAGGAGCAGGGCGAAGCGCTTGGACAGGTCAGGTGCGGCAGTGGCTGCCGGGGTGGGAGGCAGGCCATTCTTGGTCGATGTCAGCAGCTGCTGCTGCAGGCCCTTCTCCTGATCCACCGCAGCCTCGGCGGCGTGATCCCGGGCCTGAAGGAGCATCTTCTCGTCGACGTTGACGTCCGGCGCGGCCAAGTTGAGGAACGGCGCCATGGTGGCCTGCTGCTGCAAGGCCATCTCGCTGGGCGGCGGCGAAGGCACGGCGAGCGGCGGAAGTGCTGGCGGCCGCCGACGAGCTGGCGACCACGACGGGCCATGTCGCGCAGGCGGATGGGTTGGAGCGCGTGGCGTTGGAGGCCACAGCCGGGCCGCCCGCGCCGCCGCCGCCAATATAGATGGTCAAAACATCAGGGGCACCGCTCGACACGGCACCAGACTGGTCGACACCACCATTGGGCGCCACATCGTCGTAGGGGAAGGCGTAGCCGCGGCCGTCAAGGTTGGTGGCATGGACAATGCGCGAGTAGTGGTTGGTGACGGGGTTCTGGTAGTAGCTCGAGGGCGGTCCACTGGGCTGCCTGGCGCTAGTCAGCATCGTGCTGCGGTTAAAGGCAGCAGACAGGCGTGCCGTAAGGTTGCCCATCTCAGCCGTGTTGATGGCGTACGGGGCAAAGGCACCCGTGCTGCACGAGAAGATGTCGGCTGTGCTCGGCTTGGGGAATGTGCCCACGCCAGGAAACGTCAGGCCGCCAGAGCTGTCGACCTGGCCGGTGACGGTGCCCCAGTGGGCCTGCGTATCGACAGTGATCGGGGTCGACTTGTAGTGGGACCAGACCTGGTCGACGTAGGCGTCGAAGTAGTTGCGGAACAGCTTGTTGTTGAGGACCAGGCCGTTGTTGGGCGACAGCGCGCGGAGGAACTTGGTGCCCGCCGAGGGCGAGCTGACCTGGACAACCAGCTGGTCCCAGCCAGCACAGTCGACCTTTTGCTGTGCCTGCAGCGCCTCGCACACCAAGTCAAGACCGTTGGAGGGCATGCCCGCAACCGTCTGGACAGGCGTGCCGTCGGTGGACGTCAGCCGCATGGCGACGGGGATGCTGACAAAGTCCACGTAGGAGATGTTGGCGAAGAGCTGGAACGAGTTGAACGTGAACTCGCTAAAGGCCCACCGCAGGCTGTAGTTGGGGTCGGTCGGGTTGGAGACGGAGGGCTCGACCAGAGCGGGGCCCCTGGCGCCACGGTTCAGGCGGAATGTGAGCTCGGCATCCTGGCAGTACCAGATGCGGGCACCAGCCACCTGCGGGATGGTGACCGTCCGGACGCTGCCGGGGCCGCCAACCTGAATGGACACATTGGCCGCCAGAGGCGACAGGTCGGTCGAGGGGTTTTCCGGGTAGTAGGGGCTGACACCGTCGCTCCGAAGGAGCCAGACAGCGTTGTTCTTGTTGATGTCGAGGCCGGTGATGTAAGCGTACAGCTTGTTTGACGTGGTGTTGTTCTGCAGAGCAATCTTCATGGTCGGCGGCGTGCCAGAAGCCGACACGGGTGTAATCGACGGTGCAAAGGGCCCGTTGGTGCTGGTGGACGTCGAAGTAGGATCCGTCGGCGTCGGCAGGACGCCCGACTCGTTCTGATTGCGAATGGAATCGTCAACAGTCGTCATGGTTGCGGTTGGGGTCGGCCCGATGTAAAAACGAATGTGCGGGTTTGGTGTCGTCAGTTAGGTGGATGCTTTCAGGTCTCTCGAGCTACCAATGTCGTCTAAAGAGGCGGCAACACTGAAAGATGGTGGTTTGAGAGTGAAAGAGCGAGTGATGAAGAGATAGAGAGAACAAAGCAAGAAAGAATCAAGCTGCTTGAAGGAAGACAGCTCAAGGTCTATTTATCTTCGAAAAGTTCGCCTCGGGCAACAGAAACAACTGCAAAAGTACGTCGATTTGAAGCAATACGGGATTTTTGCCTCCTTCGCCTTTCCTCTCAATGCTACCAGCCACAGATAAATCTGAATTGAGGCTTGCGCGTCTTTTACCAGCTGCTTGGCAGAGAGTGACTGATCAGTCGAGGCGGACTGTCGTGTGTCCTTCCCGCTGTCTGGTATGCTGCTTGGCTGCTGGTGTCGTCAACTGTCGCTTGACAAGAGGTTGGTCGGCGCGATAGGGCGATTTTCACAATGTCAAAAGGCCCTTGGTGTGGTCTATGCGGGGAGAATGTCTCGGGTGTCAGCTAATTGGAGGGCTGATGTGCGAGATCGTTCGTAGTATCGACAGAATGTGTGCCTTTGGCGGTGGTGCGGGAAGCTGGAATGAAATATGGCTGGAATGTGACTGGGACAAAATTCCAGGCACTGCTTCACAACGGGCGATATGAGAGGTGGATGGGGTCACAATGGCCCTTCAATAAATCGTCTGGAATGCTTCTAGTGCCGCTAATTAAAAAAGATGGCGATCAAGTGGCCCAGCAAAAATCAGATAACGGGCATAAAAACGTGCGTGTGGCAGGAAAAAGAGAGCCTTGCGTGGTCTGAGTTTCCACAACTGCACGAGCTGAGGTGTTGTCTCGGGAATGCAGATATCGAGTGGGCCGGGAAAATCTCGGAGCCGACGATAAGATAAAAATAGGGCAAAACAGGAAAGAAAGAGAGCAGCTTGGACATATGATGACAAAACAGGTAAACGGGAGGTTCACGACGGGTATCTTGCAGAGACAACGACGATCAGGGTCGTAGCGATACGCAAGCGTTCGTCGACGAGGCTGAAGCGATTCTGGGTTCGTCACCGGGTGACGACCGATGTAAAGAGGATATAAAAAGGTAATGTTTAGAAAATGAGTGTCTCAAGTGACAAAAAGGAAGGACTATATGGAAGTTCGTGAAGGTGACGTTATATGTGCTGAATGTCGTAACGCTTCTATACGGGAGTCGCATGGTCTCTTGATGCTCGAGATAGTCGACGAAAGCTGCTTTCTTATATAGGAAAACGAAAGAGAATCGGTCTATGCTGGCTGTGTCTACTTCGTAAACCTCACTCTGACTTTACCGTGCCTGTCCCGGCACGAACAGAGCAAAGGACCATGATGGCGCAAGCACACCTGAATAGGGGACGCTGGTCCGGCAGACCCCGGCGAGGGATCACAATTTTGCTCCTGCGTGATGGACATCAACTTCCATCAAGAAGGGCCAGCACCGCAGAAAGACATGACCGCCGTAGGTCCAGAGGGCGCAGAACATAGGAGATGGCCCAAGGTAAAATGGGTCAAATGAGACACTTGAGAGTGGTATCTTGCGTCTCATGCACTCCCAAAGGACCACGTGGTAGGATTGGCGCTGAAGAGTAGTTCGGCGTCGCTGACAACGTTTGATTGATCCAGGCGATGGATGCGAAGGTGGTAGGGGGGAGACGAGACGAAAGAGAAGAGAAAGGCCGAGCCACCCTACCTTCGTGGAAGACTGGTATTGATACAACCTCAGAAAGAAAGAAAAGTGGCCGAGATGAGTTGGGATCATAGAGGCGGTGGAGGGTGGAGCAGTGTAGATACCAGAGTCCCGTCCGAAAAAGATCGTCGTCAGGATGAAGGATGATGGACGATGAAAGGTGTCGCGTAGGACTCGGGGGATTGCGCATCGGCCAATAGGCATGCCTCTGTTGGCTCGTTAGAGCAGTGCAATTCTGCCTCCCGAGTCGAGGCGTTGCGTTGTCGACAATATCGCGATATGCTGTCGAATACGGGTCTTTCGATTTTGCCTTGGCCAGTTTCTGCCGTCTTTCTCCCTTGTAGGGGCTAGAGCACCCGGTAAGGTGACAAGACGGCAAGAAACCATAAAGTCGTGATGGGAGAGGTAACAAGGGAAGATGCAGATCCTGCGATACAATTTGAAAGATGTCGACACAAAAAGGAAAGGACAAAAGCCAGTCCGCCACTGGAATGTGGAGCCCCAGACAGGCGGAAGGCGCGACTGCTGATATGCATGCCGTGACCGAAAGTGCAAGTGCAATTGGCTATCTTTAGCGTGCAGGCGCAGGCCAACGGCAGCGGCCTTTCTGTTTTAGGTGCCATTTCGGGAAGGCGTGCCCATTGCTCGTAAAGAGAACGGAGATTGGAAGCTGCGATGCAAAGATAGTAGCACCGAGTCATTTACACGTCCCGAATAGGAAAGTGCAAAGCAGAAAATACCCCAAGGAAGGCGCGACCAGCCAGACGGAGTAGATCATCGTCGCATCGCGGCGCAGCCTTTTCTGCAAACTCTGTTGTTCGGCGTAGGGGATCCTGATATGCCGTTATCCCCGTTCATTCGCTTGCATCTGCTCTTCTGCTTGTGATATTTTCACAAGACGTTTTGGGACTGTGCCTCTGGTTATACCCCGGTTGTGTCATGGTCGTTTCCCAGGCTAAGAGAATAAGGTGCGAGGTGCCATAAAAACCAGAAACGTGGATGAGGGGCGGGAAAAGGCACACGTTGAGCTCAAAAAAGGTAATTAAAAATAAAGTTAGAACAAAAAGGCTTGATGCAACACAAAAGGGGGATCATGACGATCTTGCAACATACGACTTTGGAGAAACACCCTACCTATCTCTCCCACATGCAGAGAGACCGAGCGCCTCGAAAGATTCACCGGCAGAGACGATCGATGTGCCTAACGGAGAAAATGTGAAAATTACCAACGTGGGCGACCTGCTTGCGAAGAAAAGCATGAGCCGCAACATGGGACGATGGGCACCATGAGGACAAACTAGACCGGGGAAGGCGGACTGGGGTCTAAGCTAAGTGAGGCCGGGGAAAGGCGCACTTGGAGTCGAGGGAATGAACTTGTGTCTTTGGGTCCCTTCCCATGTTTGGCCCATTTTTTGGTCGGTTTATGGACCCAGGAGATGCTCTGCCGGCGGCGCGTGAGGTGATTGGCACACACGCCGTCAAATGTAGTTGTTCCTGAACTTTCTATTTGTAGAGGGGGGCCAGTTGCTCGTGCGTAAAGTCTCTGTTGTATTTCTGGGGCCACGAGCATTTGGTCGAATGCAACCCAAACCCTGCATCGTCCCCGAACCACATTCGCAATGTATGAGCGCACATGTCAACAGCGAACCGGGTTCTCATCGTGCAGAATGGTGTTGCCATACGTTTTGTTAGTTTTTCATCCCGTCGTAGGTCTTTGAATTCCGCGAACCGTCACATGTTTCACCCACCGCTTTTCCTCTTCAAGTCATCTCTCATAAAATCCAATCGGGCCGTGAGAGAAGATGGATGCAGAGGAGAGAGGCGTGCAAAAGACAGGAAAGTAAAAACGGCACAGAAGATTCGGGGAGGTGAAAGCTGGGGTCGCACTAGCACGATAGTTCGGCCTATTTGTTTGACCTCGAGCCGGCGACGACGACATGGGCAAAGATTGACAAGTGGCAGGCGGGGGTTGTTGAAGTAAGAAGCAGTATTGCTTTTAAGTTATCCGCGAGGCTCCGCGGTACTCTCGGAACAAGCCAGTCAGTTTGCAAACTTTGTACGTCGTGCTACTGGCCATCATGGGACAACATGAGGAAGACGCGGCCAATGACACATCACAGCCTTGTCGAGATGTGAGGAAAGTCCCAACGCATGGCAAACGATAAATAGAAAAAAGAACAGAAGAAAAAAAAGAAAAAGAGGGACGCAGAACACAAAAGTAAACAGAGAAATAAAAGAGAAAACAAGAAAGAAGAAGGAGAAAGTTAGGAAGTAAGGCACGGCGACACGCGACACAACGTGATTGATAAGATACTCGCCGAGAGACATTTCCGCCTTGTGACTTGACAATTTGCTGCCATGTTGGATCTGAAGGTGCCGCTCATCATTCTCGCGGAACGTTGCATGCGTCTGATTCGGCTTTATTTTTGAGTTTCCGAGAATAGGGCCTAGGAGGGTAGCCGCAGGTCCGTCCTAGACACACATGTTGCTTTCGATGTGGTGTTGTCACAATTGCATGGGAATAACGGCCGGCCGCGAGGATGGTTAACCTTTTCTGTGGCATGCTGTTGTGAAAAGGAAATAAGTATTAAAATATAAATCAAGAAAGCGGCCGTACCAAAACGATCCTTGGTAAACGTAGGCAATCGCTCGCACGAGAGACGAGAGAATCTAACCCAACAAACAATTCCAAGAAATTGAAAAGAAATAAAAAAGTATGTGCAGCCTAGGTTAAATCAAAATGGTGCTCCATCTCTTGCCAAATTAGCCAAGTACCAAATCCCAGAAATTCAAACAAAGAAAAGGGTCCCAAACAGGGAAGCCAAGGACCCAGGAAAGAAACAAGAAGAAATGAGAAACTGTCCACGCCCAGCTTTTGTTATATACGCGGATCCTGCGATTTGGCCAGTGAGACCTATTGTCGGCTTACTGGAAACACCCGCTCCCTGCCAATATCTCGCGCGTCCCGCATTACCATATATTGAGCTCCCAGCCAACAATAGCAAAGACGATGGCAAACACCGGCCAAAGGACAGTCGCTGCGGTTGTCATCCTGCCACTGTTTTTTTGGCCAGAAACTGTCTGGTTGTTGGTCATGTTATTCTGAGACGTAAAGAACCAACCCGCCGGGGTCGTGTTTGTCGCCGTCGAATCAGGAATGGTACACACGGCACCCGGTGCGCTGGGATCGCGGCAGCGGAGGTTCCAGTCCTGCTGGCGCTGGGGCAAGGACGAATTGAAGTAGGCCTTGACGTACGAGACAGTTGTAACAGCATCCTCCGTTGGTGGTCCGGCTGACCATAGCGGGTTCCCATTGCTCCACTGTTGCAGGACAAGATGGCCTGCGTGGGTCGGTACAGCGTCACTATCCATTTCGGCGAGGAGCTCGCTGTCGGCGTAAAAGTAGACGCTGCCCGGCAGAAAATCGATGCGGTACTCGTGGAAGTCTGCGGTGGGGTCGAACGGAAGGTTGACTTTAAGGAAGGTCGGGGTGCCTTGGGCGTCGAATCCATCCTCGGCTGCCTCGCGGGACTGCAGCACAAGGTTGACGGGATACGTGTTGTTGGACGCGTTGTACTCTTTGGACAAAAACTCCATGTCGATCTCTTGCGTGTCGTTGAAATACTAACAGCAACAGACGTCAGTAAGGCACTTAATTACATGCGACCATATCCCATTGTCATAGTTATACATACCCAGAAGAACGCGGAACAGGTTCCAGAAACGTTGGTTAGTTTCATGCCTGCCCGGAAGCTTCCGTACAGAATATCCGTCCGGTTGGTGTCGATCTCGGACACCGGCACCATACCGGCGACGATATTGGCCTTCACAGTCAAGTCCAAACCCGCAGGTTGGCCGTTCTTGGCTTGCCCATCCTCGACCTGGCCGTTCGGGTCCGGTTGTGTCCGCATGTTTTCGATGGCGTACATCTCTCCATAGCTGCCGCGGTCCTTCTCGCTTGTCACATTGAAAGCTTGCCGCACCCAATCGGTGTTTGTCGAAATGTTGTCGAGGTGCGCAAAATCCGTTTCGATCAAGTCGGTAAAGGCCTGCACATCACCGTCGATTACCGTCGAATATCCACACTCACAATCGGCTGCAGCAGGGCGAGCGAATCCGAAAAGCAGGATCGCGCCAACAACGGCGGAGATGGACCACGCACTTCCGCTGAAGCTAGGAAAGGCGAAACGTCGACGAAGAGCCATTGTTATTTTGAAGGAAGGGTCACTTCCATAAGAGGTGCTTTCCTACACCTGCGAAGTCTGTTTGAGGATGTCGTTTTCGTGTATCGATGGCAACCAGATGGAAACGCTCTGCAAGCCCCTGGAATCTGCACGGGGAGATCACAAGGCCACGAGCGCGCCCGGACGAGTCTGCTGGATACGGTTGGGCGAATGTCGTTTGTGTCCTCTGTATACGAGGTCGAGGTGCCACGAGCAAAACGCTGAATTAATAGGATGGCTAATTGTGCTGCTGTACCAAATCTAGATAAATCGGATTTGTCCAAGGTTACGGTGGACTGAGCAACAGTCGGACAATGGGTAAACGAACGAGATAATGAATGAACGCGCAATAAAACCTCGCTTTTTTTGTTTTGAGTGTGCGGGAAACGTGGAGACAAGGAGTGGATGAGTGAATCGCAAACAGGGAACTGCCCAAGCTGAACGAGAGTTAAACACAAGGTGTCCGGGTGGAGCACAAAATAAGAAGCACAGATAACGATCCTGAACGACAGTAACGAAATGTAAGGAAAGATAAAAAGAAGAAAAGTGAAAGAAGAGGGTGGGGAAAATAAGAAAGAAGTACGGAGCAGTGAATGACAGACGAGATGGTGACAAAAGTGAAGGTGAGGAGGACCAAACGGACGAAGTGCTCAAAAGAGCTCCGCCTCGCAAAGCAAAGGAAGGGAAAGCAACGACTGCGCCGCACGAGAAGAAACAAGAGAGAAATTCAGCGATGCTATAATGAAAGCGAAACAGACAGAAGTCTGGACCTGAAGAAGTCAAAAGGCACCGAACGATGACGGGTGACGAGGTAGGAAGTAGGGGCGTGGAGAAAAACGGCTGACCGCAGGCCGAGAGGGGGTGAGGCAGGTGGTGTCTATTCCTCTCCTTTTCAGTACCCCGTCCGTACTTGTTTCTCCTCCTTTCCTCTCTGTACTCTGTGGCTCCGTGTTCTGGCCTCGCCCCTTTTGCTGTTTGGCTCGAGAGTCGTACAGATTGTGTCACACAGGACTATCGGTCGGTGAGGGCTCAGAAATACGACAGCTGACATTGGTAAACAACGCCCCCCAGTCTTTTCGACAAAGGTTCTCGTCCAAGTAAACGGAGAGGACGACGGTAAGATCCTGACTCTATCAATGCCGTGCTGGTCAGCTAACATTCACTTGCCCGGAAAGTAAAGTAAAAAAGGCACGCATAAAAACAGCGAGGAGAATGGAGGACACAAGGCCAGCGGAGGTTGGAAGCCGATGGAGGATACCACTGAGGATTCACTTCAATGTCTTCTTCCTATGCATCAAACGCCACCAACGTGCAAGGGTATTTAGCATCTCCTGCCACGCGATCAGGAAGGATTTCACCAGAGACCAATTGAAAGCAGAACTTGCGGAACAGGATTAGCAATGATACGCTCGCAGATAACCTGGATTAATGTTGAGACGGCCAAAAGCGGAGCCTCCGGTCCAGACGAAGAATAGGCACGGGGGTGTCGAAGAGATCCGGTTTGGGTGTGGATTCGAATGTATCGACGCGTCGGATGAGGCAGTGTCGATAAGGATGTTGGTGACAGGAAACAGGGAGAAGGACTGCGGACGGCCAAGAGGAAACACCTCCAAATAGGAGAGGGGGCAAAACACGATTCGCCGCGTATGAGGAAGGCACGATCTAGAATACGAAGCTCTTTCCCTTTCTGAACACATTACGCACCGGGCCGCTCTTTCCTATTTGAGAGAAAGTAGCTTCGAGGCGCACCGATAGCTGGCAAGGTCCATTTTCGGAAAGAGCAAAGGAGGACGTCGATGCCATGCCCAGTGAAACAGCGATGCTTTTATACGGACCGAATGGACGAGTCAAAGGGACAAGTGGAAGAATCGTGGAGGGCAAACAGCGGCACTCAAAAGCGAATCTCGGACTGCCTACGACGGGCATCACCATGATCTCTTTTATCTGACATCAAGGAGGAGACGAGGGAAAACGAGATAAGCATTTAGGCCGCGAATACGACAAAAAAAAACACTGCACACCCTCAAAGTAAAATAAAATGAGACACGAGTGCGAAATTGAGCAGGCAGGAGAAAGTAGCACAGGCGGAAAAACAAGACGGGTGGCCGCAGATACGTGCATGAACGTTCTGCTGCACCAAATAAGTCGATCTCGCCTATGGTAAGAAATCGGCGAGAGGGAAAATGGAGGCCACGCGGAATTTGAACCTTACTGTCGTACCAAATTGTCGAGGCAGCTTTATTTTGGCTCATGCGGTTCACTTGACTTGGTCTACTTTTTAGCTCACGCCCTCTCTGATGCTCCTTCGTGATGTGCTTCCAGGCTGGCCAGGAAGAAAGCTGTGCGAATTGAGGCTGGATATAGGAATGTCGTCTGCGGTCACATGGCTTAGAAGGAATATTCAAAGAGGCACAGTGAAAGAAAAAGAAGGGCATGTGCGGTAGTAAGTTGTGCCTGTTGGTCCCAGTGGCGTGTCTCCCATACTCATTCCACTCCCTCTCTTAAAAGAAAGAAGCAAGATCGAGGGGATGGACAGCGATTGGCTGTGCAGATTTCGCCATTCGCCAACCATTTTCAATGACGCATTGAGGACGTGCGGGCTCGATTTATATTGCACTTTATTTAGTCGAGTGTCGTATACTGAAGCGTTCCTGGCTCTGATTGCGTTTCCAATTTGACGACACGGGACGGGCGGGTAAGATTTAAAAAAAAAATCTATGTTTTTTTTGTCTTCTTTTCAGTCTCATTTTGGCAAAGGAAGGTCGTTTGTATTATTCCGTCTTTGAAGGCGACTTTCGGTGCTGCATGGCCGTGCACTTTACCCGGACGTCGATCATCGTTTTGCTTTGGGACGGAAACTGGCGGCGACAAATGTGATGTACGGCGGTATGCTGGACTACATACAGTCCAAGGCGAGCAAACTATATTAATAAAGCTCAACAGGATAGGAAATGGCCGATGCATTCTCCAGGGCCTCTTCACAACGGACGCGTAAAAGGGTGCTATGAATAAGCCATAGCATGAGCATAGCACCATAAACAGTGTTGATGCTATACTATTCGATTGCCTATAATCTCATGCGATTTCACTCTTAACCTTATTTGATTTTTATCCACACCCTCTATGTCCGGGGAATCTCAGGAGCCAGACGATCGTGAGCTGTATTACGCAAATAAGAGGAGAGTGCAACCGTACGAAATTCTCCGAGAACATCATATTCCACCTCTAGCATTGGCGGAACGAGTCGAACCTTGATAGAGTAGCAGAGAAAGCGGTGCAGCCCTGGGGATGTCAGTTTGAGGGAAGTATGTTGGATTGAATTGCTATGGGATGCTGAAAACGTGTGATAACAAGAGTACAAAATAATTACTAGAAACGATGGAGGACGTGCATGATGACAAAAGAAACAGAACAAAAACGTAAACATTGCAGCATACTGACTAGACTCGCTCATCGTACTGACTTCCCCTTCTTGTGTACTTTTCGGCTCTGCGACCTCTTTTACCTTTTTTTTCAACTTTTTTGCAAGGCATCACCATTGTTTCTCATTGTGCAACAGCGTCTTCACGGAAATTCAAAAAAAAAAAAAAAAAAAAAAAAAACTAAATGGAGAAAAGACAAACAAAACTTGGCATAACTAGATAACTAGTAACTGAGAATGAATCTTGCGGAAAAAGTAAACATAGGAAATGTAACAGAAAGCGACGAATATAAAAGAAGTTGAAAGACAATCTGTATATCGAACAAGGTATCGGGAGGGAGAGAGGTGGTGATAATGGGACAAGTAGTGAGAAAAGAGTAGTAGAGTGGGTATGAGAAGAACAAGAAAATGAGAAGAGAAGGAGCAGTTGGCTTTTTGGTGTTTCTGTGGGGGTGCGACCAGTAAGACTCGCAAAACACAACGTCCAGCATTAAAACGGAGGCACCTCTCCCTGGCCCCAGGTGGTGAGGATGAGGGAGCATGCCATAGCTAGTAAAACAAGAATGTAAAAAAGACAAAAGAGAGATAAGGAAATTCCTCCATATGGACCAGCCAACAAAAAAAAAGTCCGTGAAGCAGATATTAGTTTTATGTGACGTCTTGTTCTGTTTTTGTGTTGTTCAAAACATGACCCCGTCCTTTTTCTCGATCGCCGAGAAAAGTGTAATAAACCAATGTGTGCCCCCAATCCTGCCCCTTATATTAGTTGCCAGGTGACCATCGACCCATCCAAATTGTATAGGCCCGCTTGATGCAAAGAAAATGAGAGGAACTGAAAAGCAAAGCGCAGAAGAAACAGCAGACAGAAATCAAAGACCCAAGAACAAGACCAAGCAAGAAAGCAAAAAGCAAATAGCAAAAAGCAAAAAGCGATGTAGGAAATGTGTGACAAAGGAGATATAAATCGACAAGAGAGCAATAAGAGAGACGGAATATGAAATGAAGAGCAAAACGAGACAGAGCAGTGGAAAGGAAAATCCAAAAAAGAAAAAGGAAACTGCCACGTGACCGCCGTCTGTCCTTTGCCCGCGCCGAAAATCCTTGGAACCGGTAATGAAATGATGTGACATAAAGATGCATTGTGTATAGGGGTGGTAGGGCAGATGGGCACGACAAGGTACCCAGCGCCCCAAAACGAGTGTCAAGAAGTGGGTGGCAACGGTGAAGACGACGACCTCAGATTAGTAGAGAACGCTGTCTTCGTCGGCGCCCTGCGAGGTCATGGACGGGGTTGTTGCGCCACTAGAAGCCTCAATGTCGTCCACGTAACCCACGAGGGCCTGAGAGTGGAGTCGGAACGATTCGCCCATGAGTCTCGTGATACTATTGAAAGTTAGTTCATGTCGTCGAAATCCTAAAGGTAAATAAGGGCACACAAAAAAATACATACCCCCAAACAACAACCTCGTCGAGCATGGAGCCCCAGAGACGTGCGACAATGGAGCTAAGCTGCGTGGCAAACGCCTCCTCCACATCCTGCTCGAACAGCTGGCGGACCTTTTCGTACATCTTCAGCTCGTCCTGGGTCGCTGCCTCTTCGTCGTGTTCCAGACGATACAGCCAAAGACTGAGGATGATCATCAGATCCATGCCGCACAGCGGGTGCTCGATGCTCCAGTTGGTGGGCGAGGTGCGCGCCACCCAGCGGACGCCCTGGGCGACCGCCGTCTCGATGCATTCGTAGCACTCCTGGATGACCTTGAGCATCTCGCCGGAGCGCTTGACCTTGTCGCGTGCGTTGGACATGGCCGCTGCCACCTCGTACGAGTCGTGGTAGCGGAGCGCCTCCTGCACCGTCTTGAGGTCGACCTCGAGACGGGCCCGGGCGCTGCGGCACATGGCGCGGGCGTTGAACGTCAACGGGTGGCCCTTGTGCGGCGCGCTCAGGGGCACCGCCGAGGCCTCGGGCTCGCAGAGCTCTAGGGATTTCTCCCACGTCTCGAGAGCCAGACGAAGCTTGTACTCGGTGACGACGTCCTGCAGAGCCTCCGGGCTGCGCTTGTGGTACCAGACCTCGAGGAAGAGGGCGTTGATCATGACGCGCGTCGCAAAGGCGCTGTACTTGATCGTCTCGCCCTGGAACAGGTTGTCGTGTGCCTCCATAAAGGTGGCCGTCTGCGACGCCTTCAGCTGCTCCTGCCACGCGGCCTCGTCAATCACGTTGAGGTTCCACATCGCCTCCGTGGACGGCAGCTGCAGGTCCTCGAACTCGTTGAAGCCGATGGCCGGCGTGTAGTTGAAGGACATGGTCAGCAGACCGAAGAAGATGTAGACGGCGTAGTAGGTGCGGCGGCAGCCCTCGTCCTCAACCCACTCAGACCGCGTGGGCGCACGGCCCTCACGGCCTTCCTGGCGCAGCTTCAGCTCGTAGCGGTTGCCAGCGACCATGTTGGCGAGAAGGCTCTTGATGGAGCAAGCCCATTCGAGGCCCTTCGGGTCGCCGCTCCAGCTGGCGAAGACCATGTTGAGCAGCGAGCTCTGCATGGTCCACAGCGGGCACTTGCGAGAGCTAAAGTTCTCCTTGTGCTGCAGGAACTGGTTGACCATGACCTTGGAGCCGATGTGCAGAATGTACGCCTGCTCGAGGTCGAAGGCGTACAGGGCGCCGATGGACAGCACCGCAAGCAGGAGCGGGGGCGATGTCTGCGTGGGGCTGAACGACGCCGGGTTCAGGAACGGCAGGTGATGGTGGAACAGGCCGAAGTAGGTCGACAGGTAGCGGTTAATGGACGAGATGTTGGGCACCCGGAAGCCCTCGGGGATGGCATGCTCCGTGTCGCCGTTGCGGATGTTGTCCAGAATCACGTTGCGTTCGTCGTCGTTGTTGACCTGCGGGACCTTGAAGCCAGCCGGGGTTGGGGGCGGCTCGACCGGCGTACGTGGACGCTCCGTCTGGTAGACCGATGCAGCGACGGGGGCTTCGTGTGGGTTAGCCTTGTGGGGATCGGCATGGTTCGTCTTGGCGGGGTGCAGGTACATACGATGCATGTTGTGGCCGCTGAGGGAGGGCAGCGGCGTGGCCAGAGGCTGGCTGGCGTTGGCAACGGTAAAGGACGGAGTTTCAAAAGCACCGGATGCGCTGGACGCAATGGAGTGCGACTTGGAGTCGGACTGGGCCATGAACGAGTCCCACTGGGGAATGGCAATGGCGCCGGACGGGTACGTGACGGCGGGCTCCATCATGTTGGGGCCATTCTGGGGGAAAGGCGGGATGCCATTTGCGTTCTCATAGGGACTGCTGCTGGAGGAGCGGGCAGCGGCAGTGGCTTTGTGATGCAAGTCAGCCACAAGCATAGCAGCGGTTTCGACGTCAAAAATACCTTCGCTGCTCGCTTCCAGTTGCTCGATGGCAGCCGTGTCAATGGAGGCGATGGTGGATTTGGACGGGCCGGAGACGGCACGCGCTTTGGCCACACCGCCACCACGGCGCTTGCCGTCGCTGTGCAGAGGGACGCCGCCATCCTTGGCGTGGACAGTACGGTCGTGACGAAGGAGAAGATCACGGCGCACAAATGTACTCCTACACTTCATGCACTTGAAGGGTCTCTCTTTGGTATCTAGAGGATGTTAATAGTTGCACGTGTGAAAAGGCAGATCATCTCCCAAAAGTACTTACGCGAACGTTCGTGACGGCTGCGGTGCTCACTTCTGCTGAATGCGCGGTTGCAGAACTGGCACTTGTACTTCCTCTCCGGGGCGGCGGAGGGTTTCCGAGCGGTTGGGGTTGCGGCGGCCGGCGCGGACGGCGCGGCGGTTGGCATGACGGCTACACTTGCGCCCGGCATGGTTGTCGGCTGCTGTTGCTTGTTTTTTTGGCGTTGATTTGTGGAGTGTTATTTTCGTCAGGCGATGGAAAAGTGTGTTCTCTTTCCGTTTGTTTTTACACTTTGCTTTGCTCTGGTCTCAACGGACAACGGTTTGACGGCGGGCGACGGCGGCGGCGTTGTCGACAATGCAAACGACAACGGCGGCGGCAGACAGCAACAACGGCAGTGGGCGACGGGCAAGTGTCGGAAGCCGGAAAATAGTCCCTCTCAGAAACGATAGTTGAAATCGCCCCCCAACACCTCTCTCGCACACGCGCTCCCGTGGGATTTAAAGGGTGTCTTTGGGACTTTGTTGGACGTTGTAGTTCATTTGCAGCGGTATCCGGGTCATAGGAAGAATAGATAGGGGGTTTGGATGGGAGATGGGAGGGGTGTCCTGGCCGGGGCGAAGGTGGAAAAGGGGCAACGATGACTGTGGCCCGGTGAATATTGGCACGATGCAGATGGCAAGACGGGTCGAGCTACGTGAGAGCAGGACCTGTCTTTGACGAAAAGTTGGAGAAGACGATGTAGATATGGGTTGGGGATCAGCAATCAAACAACCGAAGTTTGTGCTGTGGCGAGATGGACGGTGACAACGGGTTCGATGCGCGTACGCGTTGGAAGAGTGTTGACGAGAAAGTCGAAAGTGGGCGTTGATGATGGAGATGCTGGATTGGAAGGGGGAGAGGAGAGAGGAAGGAGGAAGGAACGTAAAAGGGAAGGAGAAGAGGAAGAGGGGTGAATGGGAGGGAATTTTTTCTGGAAGGAGAAATGGAGGGGAGGTGGGAGAGAGCAGCAAGCAAGACAGAAGGAGCGGCGCGCGCAAGGGTGGGTGGAGGGGAATGGCAAGAGCGATGGTGTTGCTGGGCAGGTGGGCTGGTCGGTGTGGGAGGGCGACTCTGGGGCGCTCAACTGAGGAACAACGCACAGGGGAGCGGCGAGGGGGGCAACGGTTAGCGGGGGGGGTCGTTATTACGGGCTCGCCTTGGGGGAGGAAGCTTTGCTTGGGGGCGGCTTGGTGCGAGAGGAGGGGGTGGGAGGGGGAGGCGACAAGTTGTCGTAGAATGGCAGGAGCAACTGGCAGCGGGGGTCTACGGCCTGGTGGAGGGGCTGCTGTAGCAGGAGCGTCGGACAGATCGAATCATTGACTTCTCAAAGCAGAGGAGCAGTGGACAGTGCGTGACGACCGCCGGACTGTTTTAGGAGTCTCGCCAATACGAATGTGGTGTGTGGGCCTGCTGAAGGGAAGTGAGAAACAGGTATGTGAGGGCGGTTGGGGTCGGGGAGGGCTGGGCGGTTGAATGCCAGTGAAAGTGTGCTAGGGGCGCATTAACAGCGCTGTCATTGCGCTGGGGCGCCCGGTCACTGGCACTGTAAGTTAGCTCGATATAGGCTGGTTAGGCCCTGTGTCCAGGGGATGACAGCGGGCAAAGTGAGACACTGTGCTCCTGCTCCTTCTGTTGTCCAGCAGAACGGACTAAAAGGGGAGACTTGCCAAAAGCAACCCAGGAAATGGAGACCCACTGCGTCTCTTTCGGGACTAGTTCCTTCATTCCGGGAGATTTAAATTGGCCCCGGAAGGTACCTGCTACGAGTCACGCACTCCCTCGTTCCACTATGGCCCCGCCATCCGACATGGCATGGGCACTGGGATTATCTGCGACTTGTTAAGTTCTTTCCAAGGTAGATATCTGGTGGGGTTCACCTACCATATAAGGAAACGAGATTGGTGGACTCTGTACTTCATGTACCTCCCCACTCTGTTAGTATACGCAGATACCTCATTTTCCACGTAGATACATCAGCCCGCCAGCACTTTTCCCCCGCCTCTCCAAAGCATTTTGTCTTGTCTTAACGTTCGTCTTCTGTCACTTCATGGTCGGCCCTTCGCCGGAGTGCGTCGCTCCTCAACAGAGTTCGCAGGAAACGGGAGGTCATCAGAGCTGTCAAGACTGTCCCACTGTACTGTCCCTCGGTCACGGTCGCACATGTTCGCGCCATATCCGTCTTGTCGCGAAGAAGACAGACAAAACAGTTAAGGCAGTAAAAACAGAAAAGAAAGGAGACGTGTTTTCCGTTTCATTGGTGTCATTTGTTTATTTGCAGCCTCCACGGGTTCAAAACGGGCCTTTTCTCGATATTGGATTGGTCTACCCGTCCGTCACTCGACTCCTTCCGGGACGCGCAGACTTTTGTAAATTGAAGGTTTGTTACAAACGCGAGTCACGAGGGCTCTTACTGGCAAACTGACTGGCGCGTTCCGTTCGTCGTTCAGATCGAAAAGAGTAAAATCAAACGTCGTAGCGTCAGTTGTGGGAACGGCCATTGACCTTGTCCCGATAGGGAGAGTGAGGAGAGTGAGAGAAAGAAAGAATAAGCAAAAGGGGGAGGAGGCAGTCCGTTGTGGGCGCAGCGCACCGGTTGAGAGATGACACTGAAAGGTTCAAGAGAGGCAACAGCACCAACAGATTATTCCCAGCCAATCCAAAAAGTGAGGCTTGCATGGTTTGTGTGTGAGTGGGCGTCTTTGCAACAGAACGGACGCCTGGTGCCCAATCCCCTCCCTCCCGCGCTGTGAGGTGCATATGGCACACGAACGCCTCCCTGCGGTCTGCGCAGAAGACTAAACGCCAGACCAGAGGAGGCGTGCTGGAAACTGCGCCAGAACGAGAATACCAACCCCACGCATCGCTCACACCAGAGGAGCTGCAGGAAGCCGAGCCACTGGAATGCGGCCGCTTGTCCTTTGCATGTCGTGCTTTTGAGTGCGTGCATTTGTTTGGCTGGGAGGCCAAGCATGCAAGGAGAAAATAAGGAGACGAAGAAGCAGCAGAATATGTCGTTTGGGCAACGACGTAGTCTTATGAACAAGCAGCGGCGCATTTGTAAGATGCTGCTTCCGTCGAAGCGGCAGGGTGCCAGCAACACCTCACGTGCCCTCATAGCATCCATGCTTCTTTCTATTCTCCCGTCCGCTCCGTATCGGGAAACAGCGACAACGTCTAAAGTGAGGGGCAGTTTCAAGGTCGTTTCGATAGAAGAAAGAGCCAGCAAGAAAAAAGGGCTCTTGCCGTGTAAGGAGCCGTCAGCCAGTTTATTCAACAGGAATAAATACAGTCTAAAAGTCCATCAACAACTAACACGGCACGAAACATCCCACTTGGTGGCTTTTCTTCGTGTTAGTTTTTCCTAAGCTCTAGTCGCAGGGACGCTGGCCAGGTATTTGAACCGCCAATTTACAGTGGAAAGAGACAACGGCAAGCGGAGAAAGAAACAACGTCGGAGGGGTCTAACGCACAGAAACAGCAAACGCGTAGCAGAAAACCGCCCTAGGACGGGTTTACCCCTCGCTAACAAGCCAAAGAAAGAAAGAACAGAGGGTCAGAAACGAAAAAACTGCAGCGGGTGACCTGCTAGCGGAGACACGGGCGTCTTTGGGGCAACGAGACAGGAGGGGAAGGCGAAAGCGGGGCCATGAATACCGAGGAAGGAAAGCGCGAACAGAGCGAGGCGAAAGCGAAGGGGTGACTGCAGGAAAGAGGTACGAGGCAAGATGGAAGAGGAAAGAGTGCTCAAAAGGGAAAAGAGGAAACCGCAAACTGCCAGACCATATAGCACAGCGACAAGTCAAGAAAGAGCGGCTGCAAAATGCAGACAACGAGCAACCCCACTTTGTCGCTCCTTCGCCTTTCTGTAAAAGTGTCACTCGATGCGCCCAGGCAACCTTGTGTAATTAGACAGTGTGCGCCGTTTGCACACTGTATCGGACGGGGTATGCTGTGCCTTCCTGTTTTGGCGAGGTAAGAGCGAGCAGCGTGGCACGAGGCACTAATTTGATAGTGCAGTCAACTATTGCGGCAGTGGCCGAGGTCGAGTCGAATGGTTTTGTGTTTGGCAGGTGCGCGACAACGTCAATCGTCGGATCAAACGTAAATAGACACATAATCACAGAGCTCACAGAGCATTATTATCCGTGCAACCCACGAATAACGCCTTGGGCGCAATTTCCAGCAGGTGCAGCGCCCTGGGTGTGCGCCTCGTATTTGACAAAAGCAGCAGCGCGTCTTGCACTGCATTCCTTGGTCTGTTTCTGACGGCGCGCTTTAATTTATGCTGCCCGCAGTGTTTGTGAAGCCGTCCATGGCGCAAAAGTTGGAGTATATTGAAGGCGTCCGTAAATGCCAGACCGGTTGCACGTCCGCAGGGACACGGTATGATGAACCATGGACGAGAGCGACGATGGACAAAGCACATCATTACACGCGGACGCACTCAGAGCCAAATATCTGCGTCATGGCCAAAAGCATCCGAGACCAACAACGGGCCAGAGGGGTCAGAAATGCGAAAATCAGGTGGGGTTCGCATCATTTCCCTCTTGTCGCGTCTTTTCCACGTCTTTTCCAACTTTTACGCCGTACCTCATTTTCTTCTCGATCCCTCCGATCGCCAATTTCCAGCAGTCTTCCCCCAGTCTCTCGTCTTGTCGCAGCCTGCCCTGCTTGACCTGCGTTTCCCACCCGCTCCAACGAGCAGGACACCGGATCGGTACTAAGGTCGCCCGGGGCTGTCTTCCGCTGGCGTTAGGGTGCCGAGAAGAGACAAGTATGCTCCATAATAGAGTGGAAAACACTCTCAATATACAGGGGGGAGGGTAGGAAGAAGGCGAGGGAGGTGCCATTTAAAATCTTGGGACGAGCATGGGTCTGGTTCGGGTGTGGAACAGGGGGGCCATGAGAGAGATGGCGGAGTGAAAGGGGGAAGAAGTCCAGAGAACGACAGTATGTTGTAAGATTACCAAGTACTTGTGCCCCAAACAAGCCTAAGATGGAAAAGAATACAAAGTGTCTGTGAGACGTGACGCAGATTAAAGACGAAGGAGATGAGATCAGGAAGAAAAAGTACCAGACGAGCATCTGTATTTCTACTATGATGTTACAGTGTTGCGTTACCCTGTTGGATTTTATTACAGGAGGTTG